TTTGTGCGTGCTCCTCGAAGGCCAAACACGGAAGGTCGTGGTCGAGGTTTCCAGAAAAACAGCCACGTGACACATTGGCACACGAGGTCTTTCTCTCTCTCTCCTGTGAGCCGCCCAAGAGCCCAGAGTCCATTGTGCTCTCCGAGAGCATGCTCAAAAGAACAGAGTTCGGCGGGCACGCGTGAGAAATGGAACTTTTCCTCATTTTCTCGCGCGCGCGCGCCCACCAATCAGCTGATTATCATCGTCTCGAGGCGTCTGCGTCTCCCGCGTGCCATTCGGCCGATGCACAATGTGCTTGCTCCTCGCGCCGAGACAGTATTTGTGTTGATGTTTGTGTTTTTGGGTGCCGGTCTGTGGATGACACACTCTCGTACCGATAGGTCTTTGATTTTCGTGACTGAAAAGACGTCTCTAGTCTCGGAAATGCTAAAAAGAGTCAATTTCGGAGGGAGATGGTAACTTCCAAGTTTAAAAGTTCTTGCAAATTACCTTTCTCTCTTCTTTTTTGAATTCTTCGAATCCGCGCGCGCCAATCAAAAATAATTGCGGTTTCGTGCCAATTTTACGCGATTTTAATGAGAATACCTCGTATCACACGCACACACACACACACACCCACTTTGTCTGAGTCATTCGTGAAAATTGCGCGGGACAGATTTTCATGGAATGGCGGACTCTAACCTCTTTTCTGCTCGTGACTCATTTCGCATTCATTCGCAGAGGAGCCAGGCGCCCCCGGAGCAGAGAAGAAGAAGAAAAAGAAGCGAGACGGAGAGAGAGAGAGAGAACACGTGAACAGCTGATTCTGAATGGGAAGCGGAGGAAACGGAAGGAAGGGGAAGAAGAAAAGAGAGAAAGAGAGAGAGGGGGACATTTTCGAAACGTTTCGTTGTCCACTTCCTTCATCGTCGTCATTCCCGCTGTACAGTCCTCCCTCTCATCATGACGATTCGTCACCTTTTTTGTTGACATTCGCGACGGAGGAAAAGGGCGGTGCCTACCCACGGGGTGATGACTCAAAGAAAGAAACGAGGATGAGCAAAACGTTTCGAAATGCTGTTGCTCACTCCTTTTTTGTTACATTTGATACTGAAAAGTTTCATTTTTTCTCACTTATTCAGCAATGTCTTTTTTAAACGTTTCTTACATCGCTGAATGGAGTTTCTTACTTGAAGCGCTGTTAAAAACGAATTTTTCAATCCCCCCCGACCAGTGTGCTCGGTTTTTGACTCTTTTCAGTGCAGGTCACCACTTTGACCTTTATCGCCGCCCTGGGAATTTGTCGCTCTCTCTCTCTTTTGTCTCAAAATGCAAATTCTCATTTTTGCACTCACTTGCACTTTTACCCAATTTCCGTCCTAATTTCATCAGTTATTCATTAGAAAATTTCGTGTGCGCTTTTCGAAATTCAACACAATAATAGTAGTGCATTTCGCAATTTTCTCTTCCAAATTTTTGGTGTCGATGATTTTACCGCACAATGACTGGGTCGGTTACGAAATTTGCGACCACCCGCCGTGTGTGTCACTATTTGCGGCGCTGACCATGGGAATCGCAAATATTACTATTTTTTTGGTGTTGTGAAACCCTTTTAATCCGACGTTCGCCCACATTCCTCGATTTGTCTGGAATGAATTCGTGGACGCGGTAGGTAAAGTACGCAACGATTAGAGGTACACGAACAAATTTATGAGGCCGCCGCCGCGCCGAACGATTTGTGATGGAAACTATTAAAACGAAGCGGTGGTGGCATTATGAGTCAGTGTTTTGTGAGGCCTAAAACGGCAAAAGTTCTCTTTCTATCTCTCTCCATTTCCCCCGTTTTTTCTGCGCTGTCAATCGTTCAACCCTCCCTCCCCCCTGTTTGGATAGTGATCCGAAGCACAGACACACTAAAACTTGTCAAGTTTACTTTTCGTTTTTGAAGGAGACCGCACCGTTTTATGCCCGTTTGATCTGACTTTTTTCGGCTCTTTCACCTCGTTTGTCCTTTTGCTTTGTCAGAGAAACGTTGTGTTGAACCTGAAGTTTTGAGAGAGAGAGAGAGAGAGATCTGTGACAAACGTCCGAAACTTGGACTTTTCGACCTTACCATTTGGATAAATTTCTCCTAAAATTTAATGTTGGCAATCTCATAGCAAACAATCTCTCGGTGTTGATCACACTTTACCAGACACTATGTACTTTTTACGACAGGCTGAGCAATTCTTGCAAATGAACCCAAAGGCATAACTAAGGAAATCTTTATGGTGAACTTTTCCGTCTAAATGGGTTCCCTAGAAACTATTCAGAAAAATCATTAAACTTTTGTGTTTTTGACTAAATTCCCATTTTTGTGAGTCACTTGGCATAATTGTGTTGTGTTACCTTTCAAAGACTGGCTAAAAGTAGCACTTATCGAATTTCCAAATAAATTTGCTCGCTATATTTCCCTAGTTAGACCCTTGAGTTCATACGCAACAATTGCTCAGTCTAGTGCTCATTTTGTAGCGTGATCGGTCGCAAAAAGTACATGTTGTGTCTGGCTTGTTTGCAAGTGCATTCCTAGGTTAATTGTGGCAAGATCCTCTTCTTCCGCCCGACGTCTTCTTCAGAATGCGTGTTCTGGTGACGATTGATGGGTGCGGTCTCTCCGTCTCGGAATCACCGAAAATTTCGCGAGTGAGTGAGGAGACACGTGAATAAATGAATGTCAAGTGAAAGAAAGCGAGAAGAACATTGACCAAAAATTGACATTTTTTCGTCTTATCCGTCTTCGGCACGTCACGTTTATGTGAGTTTTGGCACACCGAAAGATGTTATCAGTTTCAAAATTTCGCATCTAAACACTTGGACGCGCGCGCGCGTTTTTTTCGGTTCGAAATCGACCGTTTCCCTCTATTTCTCCCGTTTTCGGCGTCGTCGTCGCCGATCGGTCGGTCGGTCGGTGGTGTCTGGCGGTGCCGCGGTGTGTGTCCTCATATGATAGTCGCTGATTTTTGTTCGAGAAATGTGGGTTGAAACTGTTTTTTTTCTTGGCACGCTTCGTCTAGAAACTTTAAGATGTCTGATATATGCTCAGTTTCCAGCTGCTCTCAAATTCAGATTTCCGATTTCATTTCCCTCTCTCTCTCTCTGAAAACGGAAATTTCGCCGAGCTATCACATCATTTTGGAAGCCGTGTTCAATCTTTTCGTTCAGCTAACTTTATTCGCAAAAGAGCCCAATCTTCAAATATCTGCAATTCGTCATAGTTGGGCTCTTTTTAGCCCATGTTTTGCCAACTATGCTCAAGTTGAGAAATATTTCAATGTGCTGAAAACGTTTTAAAATGACGATGATTTTGACTAAACTCGCTGAAAATGGCTAGTGGCGACGGAAAAATGTGACCAATTAGCATTTTAAAAGTAGACCAAAAAGTGGTCGAAACACACCAAACACACCTCAGTTCATCAAAAATCGCCGCGGCGCGGACGGACCCAGCGGAGAGATATGAGACGATTGGAAGATGAAACAAGTGATGATGAGATGACGCGTCGTGTGATGTAATTTTTCAGAGACTTTGCATTCTCACGTCTTCTAGTTCGGTCTTTTTTTCGGCCACGGTCCCAAAGATCACGTTCGAGTCAGATGGGTGCACTTCCAGAACATTCGTAGACTCCGCCCCCTTTTGCTCTGGCTTCTCCTGTCCCGCCCATCATGGGACTAGGCATCCATTTTCTCATCCCAAATGGGTTTCGGTCTAAATTCCTTTTAGGAGAGGAGAACAAAAACTGTTCGTGTTATCTTTTTTCGCCGAAATTGATAAGAGATGCATGTGATCGGCGCCTGACCCACATAGTCTCGGCTTCCAGTGAAAATACATTTTATTTTTTTTGCACGGCGATGTATATGTACAGTGTCCTCATAGGACAGCTGCACAAATATATTCCACATCTGTTCGTGTTGTATCCCTAGTACGATTTGACGAGGAGACAGGCTGGAGGGGGGTCTAGGAGGTGGACCGTTAGTCCTGACAGATGGTAATCCCCCAATAATTGAGCGTGCTCACTATTCGTGTCCAACCATTCTCGATCATTCCACGATCTCGACTGCCTTTGTCTTCTCGTTTCTTTGTCATCATCCGTAATGAGTGCAAAACTGGGAGATGAACGTTTTGTGTTCGCTAAGTTTTAAACGTTACACTTTGCTAATGAGACGGAGAAATATACGACGTCGACTTTTACCCGCCCGCCCAACAAAAAGGGCATGTGTACTGAGGTGCGTGTGCGTCAGACGGCGTTTCGCTGAAAATCCGGTGCCCTATGCTGTGCTATTTTGTTCTTCCTCTTCTTTCTCGTCTGGTGTGGCAAAGGACATCACTGGCCAGCTGTCCCCTTCTTTCTCTCTCTCTCTTTCTTTCTCTGTCTCTTTCTATCCCCTCGTTGTCACCTTTTTTCTCGCAGAGAACGGCTCATCATGAGAGAGAAAACATGCCCCTCGTTGCTCTTTTCAGCTGTCTCACGGGTCCCGGTCCCGAGCTATCGGGTCCAAGATCCAAGAGTCAAAAGCTAACCTTTTGATTTCTCATCATTTTTTCTTTTTCCTTACCGTATCGCTCTGCTATCTCGGCATTTTTTGAAATGTGAAAGCGCTCTTTTGAGAATTCAAATGGCACACACGAACTAGTTCCCGGCTATGTCAATTTACAGGCACTTTTTTGGTTGATTTTTGGAATTTCAACAGTGAACACTTCCTCTAAAAACAGTTTAAACTCCATGTCTTATCTTGAAATTTCAAGAAACGTCGAAAAAGGGGGACTAGTGCGTGTTTCTCTTCCATCTGTGCGTGCCATTTGAATTTTTTCAAATTCGTTCTCAAAGAAGCGAATTTACTTTAAAATGCCTAGAATCTGTTCCTTTCTCTCTCGAATTCCCAAAAAAATCGATGGTTAATTGCAGAACCCCTCCCTCGCCAATCTACTCATCCGCACCGACACCTCACCTTCTGTTCACCACACCCCGCCCGCAGTTTTCTATATGCGTCAGAGCGATTTGCCGACGACCGCAGTGCGACTGAGAAGAATGCCGCCGGCGCGAGGAGCCAAGACGCTCGGATGGTTCGTCGACCACTCGGACATTTTCGACAAGCAACATCAGCAAATGGAGCAGCAGCAGCAGCAGTTGCAGAGGAGGAGCAGCTCCGCCTCCGAAGGTACCGTCATGTTGAAAAATGCGCAAAAAACTAGGGTTCTAGGCGAAAAATGAACAGAAAACATTGAGAATGCGGAATTTGGGAGTGTCGTAAAAAGTCGACAACGCCCCCCTGAACACTTGAACACTCTCTCTTTTGCAATATTCGTTGGGTGTGACAAGTTGTTCGCATCGTTCAACGACGTCGCCCATAAAAAGTTTCCCCATCCATCTATCCATCCATTCGTCGACGACGACGACGACGACGAAAACGCATCAGATCCAATGAAGAAGCGGGCGGCAACCAACATGAGAAACTGAATGAGACAGGCTTTTCGGCTTCCTCCCCTTTGGTTCTCACGCACATAAGAGAGAGAGAGAGACCGCCTAGTTCCTTGTTTGTCAGGGAAGAAGAAGAAGAAGTCAGATGATGTTGGCTTTTCTCATTTATACCCGAACACCATCAGATTCTGATCATCGGTCTCTTTTCTGCATGCTTACAAAAATTTTCGCATTTTCCGAACTTCGCGCTGCGATTTTACCCGTATCGATATTCTCGGTGCGACTTTGAATAATTCAATTCAATTCCAGACTCGAAGCCATCGATTCCGAACGGCTCGACCTCGTCGTCGTCGGCCAGCGTCACGACCACCGTCGCCGCCTCAGCGCCCCAACACAACCAGCAGCAGCATCCGAAGAAGCAGAAGCGCTATCGGAAGACGTTGAGCCAGTACGGAGCCGCCCGAAAAGAGGGCTACGCGGCGAGCCAGGCGATGAGCGAGAGCAGCGAAGACGGATGCGTAGTCCTTCCGCCGCCCGTCACTCTGACGACCACCTCGGGAGGATCGGCGCCGAACGGATCGACGCCGCCGCAGGAGGAGTACTGGTTCTATGATGTCGCCACCGACGGATACTATTACGAGCAGAACGGAGCGAAAGGATGGCGGCGGAGACAGCCGAACGCCGCCGTGCACAAGGGAACCAAAGATCAGGTGAGAAAGTGTTGGAGTTGTGGGTCTTTTTGTTGAGAGCCTCGAACCTCGCTGTATCTTGATTCGTCCTATTGCGGAAGTTTCCTATGGGTTCCTCGAAATATCCTCAAGTCTTGTTGTTCTCGAAAATTTCACGCACCACTTTCTATGAAAGCCTGAAATTATGAAAGGACGCACTTTCAGTCATCATTTCTATTCCGGATTCTTGGATTCCTAGGATGCACTGTGCGGTTGTGTTGAAAGTATTTGCGTACTCTTTTCCGCCATTTCCTTGTGACCCTAAAAGCCATTTATAGCCAGCCTGAGCATCGAATGAGCAAAATCCACGGGTAGTCCTGGAATCGCACTTTTCGGACACACTGAATGGATGGATGAATGTCCTTGAGAGGAAACGCACGTTGCACTTTTAGTCCCCTTCTCACTGCTCTGCTCGTCCGGTTTTGGTCTCACTAGACCCAATGTCTTTCCGAAATTCCTGAGACAAAAGCCGAGGGCTGTGTTTTCGACTCTAAACTCTGAAGAGGCTCTAGAAAAGTCTAGACCCGCCACGAAGGTCAAGAAGCACCGCCGGAAAAACAATTCCGAGAAGGCGTTGATTCTCCAGGGAGCTCAATGACTCATTCGTTTCCGTGTCTGAAAATGGACACGAGAATGCTATTATTCTCGGAGAATCACGTGTCGCCGCAGGTCCTTCTCTCGTCAAAACATGTCCTTATTCGGTCGCTCTTCTATTTTTTTTACGAGGCGGCCATCCAGGACAGCAGCTGTCTCAATAGAGTATTCGGCTCGGCGAGCAATGAGGATTTCTCGGAAAGAGCTCTGGAATGGTCACCTGCTAACAAGGGTCATGAGAGGAATCGAGGCGAGTTGGCGGCCAACCTAGTTCCTCCTCGTTGTTTCTAAGCTGTTTGAAGAGAGAAACTTGTTCCATTTCCTCTCGGAATCTTGTTCTTCATAGTGTGGAAGTTTTGTCCGTCTCCTCATTTGCCGACCACTCTCGCAGCTTTTCCCCTCTATTTCTCCAATACAAAACAGCATAAAAGTTGTTTTCATCATCATCATCACAAGAGGGAGAGGAAGAGAGATTCGTGGAATGGCAGAAGGACGAGAAAAGACCAAAACAAGTGGAGATGAACTGGAAAAAAAACATTTGGGGGAAAGAGTTTGGGAGTTTAAAAGGGACTGCGTTTTTCTCGAGATGTTTTGTGTGAATAAAACGTTCAATTTTTGCAGGAAGTGGCCCATATGAACGTGAACGGACCGAGCAAGTACAACCACATGCTGGCCCAGGCGCAGGCTGCCGCCGCGCAGGCCGCCTTTATCCAATTCCAAATGCAACAGGCCGCGCAGGCGATCACCCCGCCGACATCAGCCACGCCACAGTCCCAGCAACAACAGCAGCAGCCGACGATGCGCTACTACGACCCGAACTCGGACGGATTCTTCTACGAGATGGCGTCCGTCGACGGATGGAAGCGTCGGCAGCCGAACAAGCCGGTCTCCGCGTCGGTCCCGGCCGGCATCACCAGGCCCTACTCGCAACGTCAGGCCGATCATCAGCAACTGCAGATGATGGCCGCCGCGGCCCTCGCTGCGGCCGCCGTCTCTTCTGGAGTTCCCGTGGTGCCGCCGCCGACGGGATCTTCGTACGGAGCGGCGCTGGCTCGGGGACAGTTTCCCCGGAATACGGTCAAGTCGGACGTCCTTTCGATGACCCCAGCGCCGGAAAGCCGCGATTCGCCGTCGTCCTCGCAGTGCGGCGACACGTTTGCCGAGCTGTTTGGCGCCGGCGATCCGGTGTTCAACCCGATCCAGCGGCCGTCGGCACTCAATCTGGAGCAGAAGGCCGTCTCGCCGCAGCTGGAGAACTTGGCCGCGCTCTTCGACGCCGCCGATCTGCAGGCACACGGAGCTGTCAAGGTGAGCTACTCATTAGAATCGTCCTAAACCCAATCGTTTTTTTTCAGATGCCAGTGGTGACTCCCTCCTCGCAAAGTCCGATGAAGGAGTCGTGGAACTCGTTCCGCTCGTGCTCGCTGTTCAGCCCGCTAAAGCCGTCGAAGCGGGTTCTGGCGCCGGCGCCGATCGGCCCGAACCATCACCAATCGATGGGCACGCCGCTCATCGACGAGATGGACGACACGATGGTTATGCTGATGAGGGACCTGGACAAGTTGTGGGCCACCACACCCGTCTCGGGCTTCAATCAGGCCTGAAGCACCAGCCCCTCCGAGGCTCTAGGCCGGTACTATTTAGTCTCATAGGTTTACATTTTTTGCAAGTTTTCTCCTAACACTCACTCCCTCTTTTTTTCTTGTCTGTACTTTTTGGCGTCTATACCATGAATGTATATATATAGAGTACCACTGGTGGTGTGTTTTTTTTTCTTTTTCTTCTTTGTACCCGTAGGCCCCGCCCCTTTCCGCCCCCTCCTAGCCACGTTCTATTCTTTCTTTCTTGTTGAGTGTCTCTCTTGTCCCCTCTCCCCCTCTCTCTCTCTGACTACTACTGTAATATGTTGGATATGATATTTCTTGTGTGTGTGTAATCGCTTTAGACCACTCCCATTTTATACTACTATCACTACTACTAGGAACTGCCAAAACTCATGATTTTTATTGGGAAAACAATAATTTAGGATACATTGTAGATGTGTGTGACAGAGTGTAGATCACGATAGGTGAACCGCCCCGCGAAACATTCCCATTTGGCCCCGCGATTATTATTGTAAACCCCCCTTTCCTCATTTTTTTTTTTGTAGACCGTAGTAATTTGTTCACAAGCCCGCCGCCCGACCTTGTTGTTTTGTCGGCCGGCGCACGGCTTTTGTAGACTGAAATTTTTTGAACCTTTTCACATCCTAACCTGGATTACTGTAGCATCTTCTTGTCGTTCAAACACATTTCACCCCCAATTTCACACGTCGTTTCCTCCACCCTCCTCCACCGCAACCAAACCTGTAGTGTGTCGATGCTTTTTCACTTTGGACAAATAAAATTGAAAACTACTTGTATATATCAATGGAGCACATTCTTCGGACTGTTTAATTGAGCATTAATAGCATATCGTATTCACTTTTCAGTCAACAAATCGGGCTCGCGTCAGCCCCAATGACAAGGCCCCTTTTTTCGATCCGAGAAAAGATATTTTGGCCACACATTTTCATAGTTTCTAGTTTCCATCAAATCCACCTGTTTGTGGATTCGATAATTTCCAATTTCCGTTTTCACTTCCGGTGGCCTTTCCACCCAATTTCCGCAGCAAAGTATTCCACGTGGCAATACATAGAACAGAATCGACTGAAAATGTGTGAGCAATTTTTGAATCCAGGCGTTGGAAAGTTGTGGAACCTTTGGAGAACTCGACAAAACCCGACCGGAGCAATGTTTTCAGGAAAAGTTTTATTATTATCATTATTCTCTGATTCTTTTACATGTAATATTCTGAAATCTTGCAGACTGTGATCCGTTCACTTGGTGCCTTTTCCCACTCGTTTGAACCGGCCACCAAACATTTCTGAATCCACATAACAGTTCTGATTAGTGTTTACAGCATTGTCAGAGAGTTCTTCATTCTTCACTTTTGTGGTCAGTGATGTGGAAGAAGAAAACGCTTCTGATGTTAGAATTTGCTCGAGAGCAAAGGTGTTGCCGTGAATTAGATCACTGACATTTAGGTGGATTCAGTGACCGGTCAAGAGGAATGGGAAAAGGCTCGAAGTGAGCGGAGCAGGACCGACAGGAGGATTTTAGAATATCACGGTGGAGCATGACCAGAAAGTGAAGTTTCGTAGATACGTTCAGAAAACTTCTGTCGATGTGCATGCCAATTTGATCGGAGCAGATGCACATTTTTGTTCCTCCCGTTGCCACGTGGAATATCACAAAACAACTTACACAAAGCGAACCAGGAAATGAATTAATGCGAAAAGATCCGTTAGCAAAGAATTTGTTGAATAAGGGAAAATCTGCAGGACTACTGGGAAATCCGAAATGTAATTCGTTTCAGCTGATTCTTCAGGCTCTCGTCAGTTTCAGAGGTGCTCGGCACAAATGGAAATGCACAATTTGAAATGCCACGTGGCACTCTTCCTACGGATTCCGGAAAAGTCTCAACTCAGTCCTTCAAAACGGCTGGATGGTCGAAGCGAGTCATCTGAAGGGCGTCAAATACCTGTTCCAATAGGGACCATTCTATGTAAATCCTTACTAATCATCAAGTGTCACAAGAGTCCGATTCTGTTTGAAACCCTTGAAACTTTGGCAAAAAAAGCGCTTCTCCTGCTTGGTATACGGTAGCTTTCGGCAAATGAGTCACTATAATTTGATTCGCCGAACCGAAAACATTGTGCCCCAACAGAAATGCGACAAAAATTGCAGGTTTGCCAGAAACTTTGGCCTCGACTTTTTCCACTCGAAAACACCCGAGATATGTAGTTGTTTATCAAATGACATTTTGTCGGACGGAAACTCGAACTTTTTGCAAATGTCATTCGGCAAGACTGATTTTGGAGGAGCCATGGATCTTTGAACGAGGAAGAGAAGTACGGTAGCCAAGGGTTCCAGACACTTTTGATGAGTTCCTAAGCCACCTAGGCTTAGACACAAGTCGACCCAGTCCCAATGAGTTTACACGGTCAAAGACTGATCTCTTTTGAAGTTGGTGGCCGCGGCCTAGAAATAGTAATACTTTTCCGTGCAATGAACATTGTTTTACGTCCATTACTGTAACTTCAGGGTTTCCGGATTGGGTCTCGGATAGTACATAAGGAAACGAACCGTCACAGTGACTTTTTCTAGACTGTCGCCATGAAAAAAAGGCCTTCTTTCGGTGCTGAAACTCTCAGACCAGCAATTCGTTTTTCAGACTCCGTCTTAGGTCCTCACACTTGTTTCTCCGTCAATTCTTGGTTCGTTTAGACTGCTCCATCCCAGACACCCGAAAAAAATTGCGCGGAAAAGAGCAATCTCGAGGGCACCGCGAAGGAAATTCCCGAAAAAAAAGCGCTCGTCTCGTCTTTTTTGATGGCTCAGGGGAAATTCGGGACACTCTGAGAGCAGTTGGAACGTGCTTTCTTCGTTTTCGTTCGGGAAATTTGGTCAGGACTAGACGACAAGGTCTTTAGAGTTTCTATTATCAAACAATTGTCTGATGGAACCCGTACTCTTGCACAATTATTAGTTTTGGTGTAAAGTGAACTAGATTTCGAACATTGAATTCCGTACATCCGGAAAACTAGCTTCTTTCTCAGCTGCCTGTAGAGTTATCTAAAAGTGGTCATTAGATAAAATGTACGAAATTTCTTAATAAACAATTCGTTAGTTGACAACTTTTTGATATCTTTACCGGCATCTGAGATACATTGTTTTGAATGAACTGTCTTGCAATGTGTTCTGTTCCCTACCGTATCCGATTTTTGAACCCTTGGCTCGCCGCGTCCACTTTTCTAATCCAGGTGGGCGTGGCGCCATGCTTCTACTCCCCGGGAGGCGTGGCGCTGAGCCGGATGGGCTATAAATACCCGCTTTTTCTGTGAATTTTCATCAAACCAAACATGGCCTCTTTCTCTTCCTTCTCAATCCTTCTCTTCGCCCTGGCTCTTGGCTCCGCCAACGCTCTTGCTCTCAAGGTCAGCAAACTTTTCCAGACAAAAAAGCGAGTGATAGTTTCAGACTGCCCCAAAACTCACTTCGAACCCGATCCTCAAGATCGGCGACTCGCCGCAGGACACCAAAATCCGCACCGGGGACCGTCTAGAGCTCAGATGCTCGGTGATCACTACCCCGATGGCAAGCATCTACTGGACCAAGGACGGAGAGCGCGTTCAGGGGGAGACGGCGCCGGACGTGACCGACTTGATTGCGAATGAGGGAAAAGATGTCGGTGTGACCGCGAACATGGACTCGGTCTTCGTGGTCCCCTGTGCAACCGAGGACGACGCCGGGACCTACGTCTGCCACGCCACCAACAATCGCGAGACCGTGAAGGCCGAAGCAGAAGTCGTCGTTGGTGAGTAAATGGAATCAGATAATAGGGAATAGTGGGTAATTTCCAGAAGGAGCTCACTCGAAGCACTGCAAGCACCACCACAGACACCCGGCCCCAGTGATCACCTTCTGGTCTTCGCTCCGCTTCGAACGGCTCGGCAACACCGTCGTGCTCACGTGCCGTTCCGACTCTTCCGTGCACTGGGAAGCGGATGGAGAACCGATCGAGGACCCGCGGATCTCGCAGCTCACGAACGGGGATCTGCAGATCGAGGGAGTCGTGAAGGAGGACCAGAAGGAGTACACGTGCGTCGCCAACAACGAATACGGAGAGCACGCCGTAGAGGTGTACCTCTATGTGACCGAGAAGAAGAAGAAGCACTGATCTGATCTACGTTTTGCTTGTTACATTACATACGTAGTTGCTTTTTACGTGAATAAAGTTATTTGGATAAAAAGAGGTCTTTGAACTGGGAAATGAGGTTGAAGGTCAGTCGCTCTCTCGTTTGCTCGTCAATCTTGTTTCGGTCTTTGGCTGCTCGCAGTCTGGCGGTCCCTCCGGTTCCTAAAATAGAACTGCTCGGCCATTTCGAATATGTTTGGCGCCAATGGGCACGTAGCTAGGAGACGTTTCGCAACTGGACACGTCGAAACCAAGTTAATATCTTTAGTACCGAAGCGTGAATGGTCTGGAAAATGTATGCATTCCACGGCGCGGCCAAAGTTTTTTTTAGTTGTTGATGAATTTTCTCCAAATATTCATCTCTTTAAAGCGTTTTTCTCTTCTTTCTACCTCAATTAGACCTTTTTACAGATTCCAAATGAAGTAATACGCGAAGAGATGATGAAAAGAAACGAGTAAGTAAATGAAAGTAATGTTTTATTCAAAAAATATACGATTTCTCGAAAAACGTCTCTAGATTTTCGAATTTTTTGGTTTAGAAAGTTAACTTACATGACTGTGAATGTTTTCGAACCAAAAAAAAGTAGAGTGACAGTTCGCAGAAGCAAAAAAAATTTTTCAACGAATTTTCAGTTTTCCGGTAAACGATCGGTTTTTCCGCGAAAGCGAGCTGTTACTCTACTTCTTTTTGGTTTGAAGACATTCCCAGAAATGTAAGTAAAGTTTTTTAACTAAAAGACTAGAAAATCTAGTCACGTTTTTCGAGAAATCGTGCATTTTCTGAATAAAACCTTACTTTCACTTACTTACGCGTTTCTGTTCATCGCATCGACTTCTCTTCGCGTATTACTTCACCTGGAATCTGTAAAAAGGTCTAATTGAGGTAGAAAATGGAGAAAAACGCTTAAAAGAGATGAATATTTGGAGAAAATTCATCACCAACTAAAAAAAAAGAACTTTGCGCGTAACATAAAATGCACTGTACGCAGAGCAACACCGGCGTGCAAAAATGCACAGACTGAGGATCAAACGTTTGGTGAACGTCGCAAAAGCCGCGCCGTGCACGTATTCCATGAAGTTTCCTGCAACAAGAGAATCGGATTGAGAATCATAAAGTGTGCGGTTTCAGTCGAGGATCTCCAGATAATGGGTGGTGTAGACGCTGTGGAAGAAGAACACGATGGACCAACTGACTTGCAAAATAAGAGCCCGGCCCGGCCCGCCACAAAAATGTGTAATTTTTTTTTAATTTTTAAACATTTTTCGCGTATTACGTCAGTATTTCGATGCGTTTAAGTTTCAACGACACTCCGGAAATTCGCCTTCTCTCCTTGTTTAGCAAATTTTCCACGATTTTTCCGGAATTTTCGATAAAAGACGCGTAAGGAGAGGTCTCTCAGGGGTCAGTCAGTCCGGTCCAACACACATCTTTGTCCCTCTCTCTCTCCTCTTTTCTTTGTGCCTCTATTCGTCTTCGCCCTAATTCGATGCGTGCCGACCCTTACCACTTTGTGTTTGATTCCTTCTCAAACCGCTGAGCTAACTGCTCTGGAAACTCGATTGCAATCTAATAAGAAAAGCTCTATTTCGCAATCTAATCAGATTTAATTGAAGTTCCAGTAAAATCGTATTAGATTACAATATATTTTTTCTGAATTGCAATCTAATAAGAAAACATTGCAATCTAATTAGAAAACATTGCAATCTAATTAGAAAACATTGCAATCTAATTAGAAAAATTGCAGTGATTGCAATCTAATTAGAAGATTCTGCAATCTAATTGAAGCAAATTCAATTTCAAACGAGTTTGTATTAGATTGCAAAGTTTTCTAATTAGATTGCGATCGAGTTCCAATTCTTATATGTAAGAATTGGTTGTAAGGTGTTTCGCTGCTTTTTCTTTCCAAAAGTACACAAACGTTATCGACTTTTTTCTGTCCGATTGTAGTGTTTAAATTCAAGGATACTTTTTTCAAACACCCGCTTTTTCTTGTGGCCGGCGGACTAGAAAACACAAGGGTAATTATTTGTTTTCGAATGATTCGGTTTTGTTATAGACTTCAGATTTAAAATTATCTTTTAAATTATAGGTAATACTTCGTGAAACCTCGTTCCTTTTCGTCAATTTCCCATTTATTTTCAGTGCTCGAAGATTATCGATCGATCGAAATGGCGGATGGTCGAATGCGGTTGAATGCGGTTGTGAAAGAGGAAATGGAAGAGGTTCCACTCTACATGCGGCGTCTCCAGAAGGACCCGCCGAGCCTCCCCGAACCGCAATACAACATTTCGCTGGATGCGTTCGTCAAAAAAATTGAAACAAAGTCGGAGGTGTCCATACTGACGAAAGAAGATGGCATTCAGGTGAAACAGGTCATTCTCGAGGAGATTGGCAAGAATCGGGCACTGTGGAACTGCGACAGAAGCATTCCGGCCGACTGGACGAAGGCTTCGATGGCCGTGTACTGCCGGACGAATAAAGCGTACACGAGTGAGTCTGAACAATCCTCAAGTAATGTAGAATTGAGATATCAAAGACTGTCAAAAGTAGTGCTGTACTCTGTAAAACTGATCCCTTTCCTCTTCCAGATGAAACCCTCAGAACAGTCCATAGACTAGCGAAGGACAATCTAAAGACGAAGCTGCGAACGTGTATTCTGAAGAATAAGTTGACACCGGTGGAGGTGGAGAACTATCTGGAGACGTGGGACCTCTACCCGTTCTTCCGTTACTTCCGAGAACGGACCGTGTCCCTTGAGAAGGCTCTGAGGAAGGCCGCAAATAAGAATTCCCGCATTCGTGACCTGCCGGATTCGGAGGAGGAGGAGGATGAGACAGATGTGGAGGACCTCGCCGAAATGATCAACGACGAAGAGCGGTCGAAGCGTCGCGCGTCGAAACGGAAGGCCTCGGAGGCCGGAGAGTGAGTCATTCAAGAGCGAATTGAGGCCGAACGAATGGTTTTTGCAGTGGTCCTTCGATGCACAGCTACTCGGAACACGCCGAGTTCCAGGGAGGATCGAATGCACAACTCCTGCAATATGTCACGGTCAGTCTTACTAGGGTAGTCCTTCTGTTGAGTTTTTAGTGTGCTAAATACAGTTTCCTAACGCGAAAAGTTTCAGGCGCAGGTGAAAAGTGAAGAACAGCAGAATGCCTACGTTCATCCTCAGCACTTTGACGGATATGGCCAGCACGAAGTCTACGCTCCTCCACCGAACTCCTACATTCCACAGGACATGGCACAATCTCAGTGTTCGGTAAGTCATACTCTCACTTGTAAATTTCGGAAAAATTACTGTCGGAATGTGTTCAAGTCTTCGAACATAGTGCATTCCCCAAATTACACTGTTTTATTTCCAGTACTCGTGTCCGTGCATATCCAAGAGGGGCAAACACATTGGCGACGACCGACTGGCGGATCTGGAGGGATTCGAATCGCAGATATTGCGAGTCATGAAGGACCGTACCGATCAGATCGCGATTTTCGTGTCGGCAGTGTACAAACTCCTTCTTCCGTTTGAGGACAGATCCTTCAAGAACGCGTACGAAGCGTTTGAGTATGTACTTGCCCAAAGAAAGATATAATTGAAAGCAGGTCTGTGATCTCATGGCTAGAATAGGCCTCGTTCTTTTATGCTAAACGATCCGAGTTTTCTCCTATTATCTCGCTACTTGTAAGTTTCCCAAGTTCTCATGCTCTGTTGTATTTTCGAATACGTTTTCTCGATAATAAAGTGCACTTCCCAGGAATGGTTACAAAAGAAATTAAGAGAAATCTGGAAGTAATAAAATCTTCAGGCGGCCTGTTACTTATTGTTAGGCTTGAGCCTCAAGACCCTTGAAAAGTTATTTTCCGTGAACGTTCTTGTGTTGATACTGAAAGTACTTGGTCATGCGGTCATTTCAACCCGTGACACTTTCCCGAGCAACAAAAAAAGAGAGCGAAAGACGCAGACACGAAAACGGTTATTACACAACATTGATTGTTTGCCTCCGTTTTCCTCACTTGCCTGCTGAAAGTGACTTTTTTCCAGTTCAGCACAATGAATAACTTGTCGGCGATGCCGGATTTGGTGAAGGAAATGATTGTGAGTTGGACGGATTTTTCGTCAAAGTGAGTTTTCACTGAAAACGCCGAAGATTGATCATTTTCAGACTTTCCCTTCGTAATGTCTCACACGACTTTCGATACTTTGTCGATAAAAGTCAAGTCTATTTATGGGCGGTTTCCATCTCATTCCATCCCGTTTTCATGATGAAAGAGCTCGAAAAACACATGCTCGTGTTCGAGTACATCGCCGGAAACCCTCCGATGTTGGACGTTCAAGTATGGGAGTCTTCTGACCACAAACCGGTCCCCGTATCGATCGATCAGTTTGGCCATTTGGCCAGAAACCCGAAATTCAAGTTGGGCACTCTGAACATTGACACAGTTCTGGCACATGACGTTCTGTCGGACGGACAACGGTTGAAGGGGTTGGAGGATCGCTTCTTCGCGGACGTTTTAGAGGTCCTCAACTCGTTTGCACATGGACTTTCCGTTGAAAACTTTGAAATTCGATTCGCGGGGAGATCAACTCACTTCTCGGCAGTTCTCACCAACATTTCACCCAGAACCATTCAGACAATTTCGATTACTTTCACTACCGAAAATGGTGTATTGGACACGAAGGAAATCGATAAAAGTGAACAGTGGAAGAGTGCAAAAGGCCTTATTTGCAGTGGATTTACACTGAATTGCCCAGTTGAGAACCTCGGTCACTTCACGCGATTGCATTGTGAATTGATGACGTTCGTGACTCCTGCCGACGTCGTTTTTCTGAAAGAGGTTAGTAACGACAGCCTTGCATAAAATGATTAACTAGGAAAGTACTGTTGAACATATAATGTTTGTAAGTGGTAACTTGCAGAAGTACCTCCAACTACAAAACTTCGAGAACTGTGTGATAGTCTGTGATGGTTTCGAGAAGGCCGCCGTCACTGAATCCATGGGCGTTCCTTACCTCCAAATGCCGCCATGTACGACTTTCCGCTTCCCGAAAGACGACTCTTTTCTGACACTTGTGGTTCATGATAACTACATTTTGTTCGCATAAAGGGTATCATCACTTCACCGCTCCTGCCTCCTGAGAAAAGCCCGCGAAGTTCAAATGGGGCCCCGCTCCTTCAGCGTTCAATTCTTGCAAGTAGCGCGCGCAGTTTTCGCAACGCTGCCGCACGCATTTTGCTCTTCAGTTCGACAGTGAAAAAACAAGTGAAAAAACATTTGTTATCGGTTTTTAGTGTTTTCTTTCTGAGAAGAAGATGCAACAAGGCGAAAGAATAGGTTTTGATAACAAAAAAATAATTTTCTGCTTTAATTTTCAAGAATTCGGTGTTCAGAGCAATGTGTGCGGCGGCGTTGCGAAAACTGCGCGCGCTACTTGCAAGAATTGAACGCTGAAGGCGCGCACGTGTGTTCATTCAGAACTCCCGCCATAAAAATTTGAATTTATTTTCGAAGGGCGCTACGCACCGATTCAAAATTTTCGTTTGCCGCCTTTACGCCGGCGTACGCCCATTGGCTGCGTGTCGCCCCTGTGCAAACACCGTTCTAGATATTTTGCGTACTTGGCACCAGATACTACGCAAATTTTAGGCCAGCTGTTTATTTATTCAAATTAGAGAGTGCGAGATTGAAGAGACGCCGACGATGTTCGGTAGGGCGCGCTTGCATGCGCGTAACAGTTCGAACGCTCGTGGGCGCGGAGCCCCATTTGAACTTCGCGGGCTTTTCTCAGGGAGCAGGAGCGGTGAAGTGTTGATAAATGTAAATAAATTGTATAGTATTGTGAACTCTTGTTTTTCCGCGTGACCTTTCCGCGTGACCTTTCCAATTTCCCGGGCCGCAAGTGAACATTTGCCACGTGGAAGGTGAATCCGACCGCCTGCTCTCGCCCATTTCACTTTTCTTCTCCGTCAGCCCATTATTTGGTTGATTTCTGTTCGAATATGCCTGGATGGACTGATTTGTCACACGAAACCAAGACCGAAATCGTGAATCGATTGGATTTGATGAGTCGGTGAGTGGTCCCAGCGATCGAAAAAAAAGAAACTGAAAGTTTTCCTCCAGAAATGCTCTGAAATCGTGTGCTCGCGCCGAAAGAGCTCTGGTCGACGGGACCGACCTGTTTTTGCCACGTGTCCGATTCGTTTTCCAAGGCGATGCCGCACTGATTGCGGCCTACTCGAGCATCGATCGCTTTTTGAGATTAGAGTTCTGGAAAGACAAGGAGAAAAATGTCGTTATTCACAGGTTTCGGGGGTTTCTATCAATTGGCTATGCAAACGCGCTCCGCTGCACTCAGCGCTTGTTCTAAATGTACGTTTTTACTGTTGAAAAAAAAAAGTTTCGACATTAGAATCGAAGCTGGCAGCGTGCCAAGGCCCGGCCTCCCAAACGCATATGCTGCGCGGGGTTGTTGCAACATTGCCGCACGCTTTATTGTTCTTCGTTTTTGTCTTTATTTTTCGGCTAAAAATCAGCAGAAATTTGGTTATTCTCCTTTTTTTCTCGTATTTATTCATTTCAATTGTCTTTTGCTATAAAAAATCAACTTTGAAAACAGGTTTATCGATTTTTAGCTTGAATTTTCGAACATTTCTCGATTTCTGTTTTTCTCCTTTCGATTTCGCTGAATTTGAGAATTTTCAGGATTTCCACCTACGGAAAACTCGAACAAGCAACAAAAGGGCATGGATTTCTTCTTTTCGTGTTAGTTTTTGACATAACAACAATTTTCTCTCCGATCAGCGTTTACAGAGCGTCTTCTCCACTCCGCCGTCAGCACACAAGTGAAAGTTGAAGAAGCATCTCCCGCTGCAGCGGACAGTATGAATTGGCACTAATACCAATTATTTTAGATGTATTTATTACGTTTTACAATAAATTAAATGACAAGAAAAGTGAAAGAATTTTATTATCAGTGATATTCTATTTTCTTCTCCTTTTTTCCGGATTGAAGCGTCCACGGACTCTGAAATTACGGTTGGAGAGAAAATAATCTCGTTCTTCTTCAAGCTAACACGACAGCTTTTTGTATTCCGTTGTGTGCTGACGGCGGAGTGGAGAAGACGCTCTGTAAACGCTGATCGGAGAGAAAATTGTTGTTATGTCAAAAACTAACACGAAAAGAAGAAGTCCATGCCCTTTTGTTGCTTGTTCGAGTTTTCCGTAGGTGGAAATCCTGAAAATTCTCAAATTCAGCGAAATCGAAAGGAGAAAAACAGAAATCGAGAAATGTTCGAAAATTCAAGCTAAAAATCGATAAACCTGTTTTCAAAGTTGATTTTTTATAGCAAAAGACAATTGAAATGAATAAATACGAGTAAAAAAGGAGAATAACCAAATTTCTGCTGATTTTTAGCCGAAAAATAAAGACAAAAACGAAGAACAATAAAGCGTGCGGCAATGTTGCAACAACCCCGCGCAGCATATGCGTTTGGGAGGCCGGGCCTTGGCACGCTGCCAGCTTCGATTCTAATGTCGAAACTTTTTTTTTTCAACAGTAGTACAAGAAAATGTGAAATTTCAAGCAAAAACCAGAAGCATGTTAAAAAAGGTAAGTGCTGAGTGCAGCGGATGCGCGGTTGCTTTTCCGAACGGGTAGAAATCACAAAAACTTTCTATTTTTCAGATCGGAAAACGATTTCAACATGAAGCCGAGCGCCCGGATTCCGAACGGAGACATCCTCGAATCGGCCGTCTCCGTCCTCAAATCCCTTTTCGCCCACAAAAACATTTTTCTGGGAGGACTCGAAATGGAGCTGCCGGACGTGAGAAACTATGAAAAATGGGGGCACGACATCATGAGACAACTGGTTGGCTACCGTTTCCGAGCCAGAAAAGTGATATTCAACTGGAGGAATTTTGGTGAAGACTTCCTCTTCAACGCATTGTGCGTGCGCGAGGATTTGGAGGAACGGGCAAGAATCGGAATGGAAATCGGCACGTACGGCATCGAAAAAGGCTACTACTACGTGCTCGACTCTTTCGAATTCTGTAATGCCGACGCGAAACCGGCCTGTGAGTTTATCGCCTTTTATTTAACAATTTTGGACAACTTTTTCTCGGAAAAACTAATTTTTCATATTTTTTACTCGGAACATTTCAGTCTCCTCGACGATCGTAATGTCCGAATCGGAGAACAACGTGAACTTCGCGATTGCGGCGTTGGCGTTCGCCCGAAAAATGGGATACGCGCGAGTGCGCTCGAAAATTATCAAAGCCAACTTTCCGAAGCCCAATGTGAAGTGAGTCGGTTCCCTCGTGTTTCAGAAATCGGTTTTCTTTCCAGAGGTCACAAAGACGTGAAAATCCTGCGAACGGATTCGGTGGTCGCGGGCGTGTCCCTGTACGTGTGCACTTCTGCGTGTGGAATGTGGGTCTACGCGGTGCGCGACGATGCTCAACATCTTTTCATCGAAACGTTCAAGTCTGTGCGGTGCGGTCTCGGGTGGCTGTGCAAGAAGTGCTCGGATCCGTTCGAATTCGCCTACCATCGGGACCTGGCCCGTCGTTCCGTCCACGAGCCCCACTTCACCGGAATCATGATTCCGCCCATCACTGCCAGTCACGCCGACTTCATGAAAGACGTTAAGAAACTGGGAGAAGCCTACGTCAAACTCGACAAATCGAGGGAGAAGAAGGTCCCTGAAAGTCACCAAAATCATCAAAAAAACAAGCAAAACTGCCCCAGGAAAGCCTCGCTTCGGTGCCAGTGAAAAGTTCCACTTTCCTGGCAGTGAAAAGTTCCTCGTCGATCCGTGTTTCCCTCTTGATCTCCATCCAAATGTTCTTCTTCTTCCTCTGGTACAACTCGTTCTCCTCGCTCCTTCTCAATTGGGTTTTCGCCAATTTCACCGCTGGAATCCTCTTGTTTTTCTATTACTGAACTGTGTTTAATAAACAGAGATTTTGGAATCGAACTGTTATTTGGAGAATATGAATCTCGTCTAATTCTCTGTCATGCTCTGATTTCATCTAGGTACTCAATTAAAGACGAATCTTATATTATGCCAACTCACGCAATATGCCGTAAAAGGAATTGGAATTGAATGAGAAATTTTTTTGAAAAATATATTATTAAAATGGAAACCACAAGATTGATGTCTAGTTTTGTTGCCTCTCTACGACGAAGAGACCTTTTCTCGACATGGTCATCCGGAGCAATTTGTTGGGGTTTTCCGCGAGGACCTTCGCGACGGCTTCGTAATTGAACACCGTGCACTGAACTGACGCCTTCACGAATCCCGGCATTTCCAGGTAGGCCTGAACGGAAAGTCAATTGAAAAGTGTGAAAAAGAGAGGAAAAGTTGTACTTGTTGCATAATCTGCACGTCTTGGACGGAAAGGTAGGAGAACGAGGTGATGAGGTGCTCGATGTGGACAAAGTGCTTCGGCGAGAGGCCCATCACGAATCCCTTGGTGCTCCAGGCGCGGGCCTGTTTGAACTGCGGCGTGAGCACCACGTCGAGCATGCTGATGTCCGCTTCGCCCTTCGCTTCGAGCCGCGCGTCCGAGCAGACGAGTTCGATCGATTCGAGGGCGTCCGGACAGAGGAACGGCAGCACGGCCATCACTTCCAATTCGCTGTTCGCGTCGAACTTCAGCTCGCGGCTCTTGATCGGCTCCTCCATTCGCGAGAGTCCCTGATTGAAGTAATAGAAGAAGGCCTTGCGGAGATAATCGGAATGCCGTTCTTGGAAGCATCTAGAAGAAGCACCGAAGAACACAATCGAGGACGACATGTTCGCGCTGATTGAGTCGACTCGATTCAAAAACGCCATCGGATCAATGATAAGGGAAGCGATCAGAGCGGAGTTCATGAGTGTGCAAGAGGAGCTAGAAGAGCACCGGAAAAAGATTTTGGCTCTCGAGAAATTGATCAGTGAGTGTAACTCGCAGATAATCCAAGTGCAATCCCAGCTGTCCACGTTCGAGCTCCGCACCTCTGGCCCCTCATCACCAACGACCCCGGGCCCACCTCCACTCTCGGCCTACGAAGTCGAGCGCCGTCGTTCCATCGTCCTGGCAAACGTTCCGGAATTCATGGGCCCTTCGAATCGAGACGCATGGCAGTGGGACTTCTCGTGTGTCTCCAAAGTGCTTGCCCACATGAACATCGGGACCCCGCCCACCACAATCTACAGACTCGGGAAGGTCAGTCGCTTCCGCCCGCGCCTTATCAAGGTCGTCCTGCCATGCACGGATATTCAAAAACAAGTTCTCTCGCGAACCAACCTCCTTCGATCGTTCCCTACCGGATCTTTCCCGCCCGTCTTCCTCCGTCCCAGTCTGACAAAGGAGCAGCGTGACCTCCGCCGAAGTGAACTTCTTGATCGTTCTCCACGCATTCCATCTCACCCTCATCATAGTTCACGTATTAAGTCCCCGTCCATTCCTCCTCTCATCCCGTCCTCTCCCCTCCAAAACATAGAGCCAATGGACGTGGGAAACGACCACAGGGACAGAGTTCTTCCCCCCCCACTCAGTAAGTAAGCCTCCAACTCTGTCCCACATAGCTCACAACAAAATTAAGGACCCGATTTCTCCCCTCAATTCGAATTCTTCTCCTCTTCCTAGCATAACACAACCCGGTTCACCCATTCAATTCAACTACCCCCCGAATCTTCAGCTCACTTTCCTTTCTTCCAATTCGAGGTCACTCATTGCTAACAGAACCGAAGCCAGATTTTTATTAGAATCAAATAGTTACGACATTCTCCTCTTCCAGGAAACGTGGTTCAGTGACAGTACGCATAGTAACTTTCTAACGCACGGATTAGATTATGAACTTTTTAGATGTGATAGAGTTTCTAAACGCGGCGGCGGCGTTTGTGCGATCCTAAAGGCGAACCTTAAAGCTCAAGTCACCCTTTCCGAAACCGTCAAAAATTCGTACGAGATCCTTGTAATTGACATGGACATTTCTATTGACCCAATTAGAATAATCAATGCTTACCGTGCCCCATCCTGCTGCTCGGAGAAATCAGCAAGGCTTATTAAAACAGTGTCCTCTCTAATTGACCCTGCCATGAGCATTATCATAACCGGTGATTTCAATATTCACGGAGTTGACTGGACAGCATCGCCTCACACTTCTTCTACTCGACTAGGGTCTGATCTCCTCACATTTTGTGAGACGTATAATTTGACCCAAAACATAAGATCACCTACTAGAGGGACCAATATTCTCGATCTCTTATTTACAAATTTTTCCATTCCGACTCCTCATATTTCTGCCCCTCTTGGAACCAGCGATCACTGCAAAGTTTCTTTCACAGTTGATCTATTAGAAAAGCCTAAACCATCTTTCTACCTACTTCCCGACTACAAACATATTAACGGTCCTCTCCTCAATGCTTATCTGTCAGCTCCAGACTGGACAATAATTTTCGGCCCTGACACCATCGAAGAGAAATATTTCAACTTCATTGGTTACCTAAAGCATGTCTTTGCTCAAGTAGTTCCGCACAAGTGGGTCGAGTCGACTCATGGGTCACTACCTAGTTACCTGGACTCCTTCCAAACTGGTCGAGTCTCACTGGAATAAAGCTGTTCGAACCAGGGACTGCTCGGACTACATTGAGTATATTAAACTTGCGCAAAAATTTCGGAAAAAATTTACTAAATACAAAAAAAATCTAGAGCTCAATCTTCTCAAAACCAAGGGCTGCAGCAAATTTTCTCAACTCTCGAAATTCATATTGAAAAAAGAAAAACTCTCTTATCCTAAATTTATCATGAAGTCGGGTCTTCCCACTGCATCGGACTCTGACAAATGTGAGGTTCTAGCCGATAACTTCCAAGCGCAATACCTTCATCATCAGAACCTCCCAGTCTCAAGTTTCCCCCCCGGATACCAATCAAATCAGGGCATTCCCTGGGTAAGTGACGAGGAAATTTTGAAGCAGCTCGTCAAAGTCAAACCGAACAATACACTAACCCCAGATGAAATTCCGGCCAGATTCCTCAAATTTGTATCTCCCTTTATAGCCAGTCCTGTGGCACAACTATGTAATCTCTCGATGATGTCAGGTGCCGTTCCCGCTCAGTGGACAAAATCTATAGTGTTTCCCCTTAAGAAAATTACCAATCCGACTCTACCCGTTCATTTTCGCCCTATTAGTTTAACCTCGGTCATCTGCCGCTCTTACGAAAGGTGTCTATTGCGCTATTTACTTCAGCACCTTCAAGAGATACAATTCTGGAGCGATAGCCAGCACGGCTTCCGACCAGGCAGATCCACAACTACATGTGCTTTAGAAGCCATGAATGATTGGACCACACATTTGGAAGAGGGTCAACAGGTGGACGTGATCTATTTCGACTTCTGCAAGGCTTTCGATAGAGTACCGCACTCGCTTCTAATAGAGAAGCTAATGATGCTGAATTTGAACGTGAATCTTATCAATTGGATCAAAGCTTACCTAAATAATCGCAGCTACCAAGTTCGAATAAACAACGCACTCTCATCAGTAAGGCCCGCTCCGTGTGGGGTACCACAAGGTGGGGTTCTGTCCCCAGTTCTTTTCTGTATTTATGTCAACGAAATTAGCATGATCCTCCCTCCTCAGATACAATCAAAGCAATATGCGGACGACCTCAAGATCTACACACACTTCCCCAAGACATCCCCTTCCAAAGATCTCCAGATCGCAATTGACCGTATTTCTGAATGGTCCAAGAAACACAAGCTGTCTCTTAATCTCTCTAAATCAGTTTGTATATCACTAGGTCGAAATCCCACAATAACCAAATATTATATCGACACAGCTGAGATAAAAAGAGAATCAATATGCAGAGACCTAGGATTTCTGATCTCTTCAAATCTAGATTTCGCGGACCACTGGAAGAAGACCATTCAAAAAGCAAACATAATGACAGCGAACCTTTTCAAGTTTTTTTACTCCCCAAACACACGCCTGATGACCCTTTTATTCAAAACATTCGTACGGCCCATACTTGAATACGGCACTATTGTCACATGTCCTTCTAAAAAAGCTACGATAAGAGCAATAGAACAGGTTCAGAGTAACTTCTCTCGTAAGCTTTGGTTACGGAAAATAGGAGCTTTTCGTACCTCGAGATTCGCCAAACTACATAAACGCCAGCGAACGTCGCCGTCAATTTAACCTCGAATCACTAGAGACTCGCCGATCACATTTAGATAAGAAGTTTTTTTAATCAAATTTGTTAGCTAACAAAGTCGACATCAATCCTGATGACTTTTTTTCCTACGCTTAAACACTACACGGACTAGACGGAGTCACGTTTACCGATGGAAGACTCCAAAAATCGAAGCTAAGACACAACTTTTTTTACACACCGAGTCTTATCAAAGATGAATCTGGCACAGGCATCTGTTAAATGATCATCTCTTTCCTTTTACGCGGGCAAGTAGCTGAAGATTCCCCATTTATTCCCCCATTTATTCCCCCCCAACTCCCCCACATCTCCTCCCCCTCTTTTTTTCTCCTTCTCCACGTTAATAAACGTAAATAAATAAAAATATAAAAATAAAAAAATAAAAAAAGTACTGTTGAACATATAATGTTTGTAAGTGGTAACTTGCAGAAGTACCTCCAACTACAAAACTTCGAGAACTGTGTGATAGTCTGTGATGGTTTCGAGAAGGCCGCCGTCACTGAATCCATGGGCGTTCCTTACCTCCAAATGCCGCCATGTACGACATTCCGCTTCCCGAAAGGCGACTCTTTTCTGACACTTGTGGTTCATGATAACTACATTTTGTTCGCATAAAGGGTATCATCACTTCACCGCTCCTGCCTCCTGAGAAAAGCCCGCGAAGTTCAAATGGGGCCCCGCTGCCGCACGCATTTTGCTCTTCAGTTCGACAGTGAAAAAAACAGGTAAAAAAACATTTGTTGTCGGTTTTTAGTGTTTTCTTTCTGAGAAGAAGATGCAACAAGGCGAAAGAATAGGTTTTGATAACAAAAAAATAATTTTCTGCTTTAATTTTCAAGAATTCGGTGTTCAGAGCAATGTGTGCGGCGGCGTTGCGAAAACTGCGCGCGCTACTTGCAAGAATTGAACGCTGAAGGCGCGGAGCCCCATTTGAACTTCGCGGGCTTTTCTCAGGGGGCAGGAGCGGTGAAGTGATGATAAATGTAAATAAATTGTATAGTATTGTGAACTCTTGTTTTTCCGCGTGACCTTTCCGCGTGACCTTTCCAATTTCCCGGGCCGCAAGTGAACATTTGCCACGTGGAAGGTGAATCCGACCGCCTGATCTCGCCCATTTCACTTTTCTTCTCCGTCAGCCCATTATTTGGTTGATTTCTGTTCGAATATGCCTGGATGGACTGATTTGTCACACGAAACCAAGACCGAAATCGTGAATCGATTGGATTTGATGAGTCGGTGAGTGGTCCCAGCGATCGAAAAAAAAGAAACTGAAAGTTTTCCTCCAGAAATGCTCTGAAATCGTGTGCTCGCGCCGAAAGAGCTCTGGTCGACGGGACCGAACTGTTTTTGCCACGTGTCCGATTCGTTTTCCAAGGCGATGCCGCACTGATTGCGGCCTACTCGAGCATCGATCGCTTTTTGAGATTAGAGTTCTGGAAAGACAAGGAGAAAAATGTCGTTATTCACAGGTTTCGGGGGTTTCTATCAATTGGCTATGCAAACGCGCTCCGCTGCACTCAGCGCTTGTTCTCAATGTACGTTTTTAGTACAAGAAAATGTGAAATTTCAAGCAAAAACCAGAAACATGTTAAAAAAGGTAAGTGCTGAGTGCAGCGGATGCGCGGTTGCTTTTCCGAACGGGTAGAAATCACAAAAACTTTCTATTTTTCAGATCGGAAAACGATTTCAACATGAAGCCGAGCGCCCGGATTCCGAACGGAGACATCCTCGAATCGGCCGTCTCCGTCCTCAAATCCCTTTTCGCCCACAAAAACATTTTTCTGGGAGGACTCGAAATGGAGCTGCCGGACGTGAGAAACTATGAAAAATGGGGGCACGACATCATGAGACAACTGGTTGGCTACCGTTTCCGAGCCAGAAAAGTGATATTCAACTGGAGGAATTTTGGTGAAGACTTTCTCTTCAACGCATTGTGCGTGCGCGAGGATTTGGAGGAACGGGCAAGAATCGGAATGGAAATCGACACGTACGGCATCGAAAAAGGCTACTACTACGTGCTCGACTCTTTCAAATTCTGTAATGCCGACGCGAAACCGGCCTGTGAGTTTATTGCCTTTTATTTAACAATTTTGGACAACTTTTTCTCGGAAAAACTAATTTTTCATATTTTTTACTCGGAACATTTCAGTCGCCTCGACGATCGTAATGTCCGAATCGGAGAACAACGTGAACTTCGCGATTGCGGCGTTGGCGTTCGCCCGAAAAATGGGATACGCGCGAGTGCGCTCGAAAATTATGAAAGCCAACTTTCCGAAGCCCAATGTGAAGTGAGTCGGTTCCCTCGTGTTTCAGAAATCGGTTTTCTTTCCAGAGGTCACAAAGACGTGAAAATCCTGCGAACGGATTCGGTGGTCGCGGGCGTGTCCCTGTACGTGTGCACTTCTGCGTGTGGAATGTGGGTCTACGCGGTGCGCGACGATGCTCAACATCTTTTCATCGAAACGTTCAAGTCTGTGCGGTGCGGTCTCGGGTGGCTGTGCAAGAAGTGCTCGGATCCGTTCGAATTCGCCTACCATCGGGACCTGGCCCGTCGTTCCGTCCACGAGCCCCGCTTCACCGGAATCATGATTCCGCCCATCACTGCCAGTCACGCCGACTTCATGAAAGACGTTAAGAAACTGGGAGAAGCCTACGTCAAACTCGACAAATCGAGGGAGAAGAAGGTCCCGAAAGTCACCAAAATCATCAAAAAACAAGCAAAACTGCCCCAGGAAAGCCTCGCTTCGGTGCCAGTGAAAAGTTCCACTTTCCTGGCAGTGAAAAGTTCCTCGTCGATCCGTGTTTCCCTCTTGATCTCCATCCAAATGTTCTTCTTCTTCCTCTGGTACAACTCGTTCTCCTCGCTCCTTCTCAATTGGGTTTTCGCCAATTTCACCGCTGGAGTCCTCTTGTTTTTCTATTACTGAACTGTGTTTAATAAACAGAGATTTTGGAATCGAACTGTTATTTGGAGAATATGAATCTCGTCTAATTCTCTGTCATGCTCTGATTTCATCTAGGTACTCAATTAAAGACGAATCTTATATTATGCCAACTCACGCAATATGCCGTAAAAGGAATTGGAATTGAATGAGAAATTTTTTTGAAAAATATATTATTAAATGGAAACCACAAGATTGATGTCTAGTTTTGTTGCCTCTCTACGACGAAGAGACCTTTTCTCGACATGGTCATCCGGAGCAATTTGTTGGGGTTTTCCGCGAGGACCTTCGCGACGGCTTCGTAATTGAACACCGTGCACTGAACTGACGCCTTCACGAATCCCGGCATTTCCAGGTAGGCCTGAACGGAAAGTCAATTGAAAAGTGTGAAAAAGAGAGGAAAAGTTGTACTTGTTGCATAATCTGCACGTCTTGGACGGAAAGGTAGGAGAACGAGGTGATGAGGTGCTCGATGTGGACAAAGTGCTTCGGCGAGAGGCCCATCACGAATCCCTTGGTGCTCCAGGCGCGGGCCTGTTTGAACTGCGGCGTGAGCACCACGTCGAGCATGCTGATGTCCGCTTCGCCCTTCGCTTCGAGCCGCGCGTCCGAGCAGACGAGTTCGATCGATTCGAGGGCGTCCGGACAGAGGAACGGCAGCACGGCCATCACTTCCAATTCGCTGTTCGCGTCGAACTTCAGCTCGCGGCTCTTGATCGGCTCCTCCATTCGCGAGAGTCCCTGATTGAAGTAATAGAAGAAGGCCTTGCGGAGATAATCGGAATGCCGCTCTTCGAGAAACGTTTTGTAGGGAAGATCCAGTCGGATTAGGAAACGGTACACCGAGTAAAAGTGCACTGAAATTATTCGTTGCCAAAGTGTCATTTTCATTCAAATAACGCAGAGAGCCTTATCGATGTAACTTTTTCGACAAAATAGTCAAATTTTATCGGGTTTTCATGGATGAATTTGTCGGCAAGTTGGATAAATTTATCGAAGAACATGTTTGTCGATAAAGTCTTTCTGCACAAAAAAGCTAACCTCTCAAGTGAGCAATGAACACGGTGATGGCGAATTCCATAAAGTTCTCGTTGTAGAATGTCTCGTTTTTTCGCTCCTTGAGCAGACATCCGTCCTTGTACTTGACCAGTTCCAACTTGAATTTCACAGTGTCCGATCGCTGATACGTCAACTCGACGACGTCCGTTTTCAGACAAATGTCGATGCAGTAGAGTTCGTGCGGGAAACGGCTGCAATTCTGGGGAAATTAAAGAAACAGTCGAGTTTTGGGGGCTCACACTCTCTTATTTATGACCACATATTTGCCGGTTTCGTCTTTTTGAATGTTTTCCGTAACTTTGCTGAATTCCTCGGCCGTTTCATGACCTGCCTGATTCTTGATTTTTTCCACGTCCACCTGAAAAATGCGTTCTTCTTCTACGTGACTAGAAAACTCTACGTCCACGGCTTCGCCTCGCCCATCGACTGACTTTTTTATTTAGTCCCCGCGGGCCCCGGCGATTTTTTTGTTGAAAAATAGGCACAAATGCTGTTCAAAATGCATGTTCTAAATATACTTTTAAATCGATTGAAAAAAGTTTGCCCAGCTGCACTTTTGTGCTCTCTGTTAAAACATCTTGTCGTCCCCGGGAGGTTTTTTGAGAATCTCTCGAAAACAAAGGCCTAAATTAGAAATCCGGTTTTCATATTCGATCTGAAATTTGATTAGCCATCGTCTGTAATTAAAAAAAAAGATGTGAATTCAGACTAAAGCACAAATAAGTTGTTTTTTTGCTCACAAAGCCGAGAACATTTTTTTGTGGCTGAAAAATGTCGTGATTTATCAAAATTCGACGAAGCGCCGTTACCGAATGATAAAGAATTCACTAACATTTTAAAAGGTAAAATGACTTTTATCGAGTATTTTTCGTCTGCAGAATTGGCTCAAGCTGAGCGCACGAGTATTTCAAATGATTTTTCCCTGAAAAGACACTGAAAATGAGCGTTTTTCCGTGTAAAACTGGAAAGAAAGCTGCGAAAATTAACAAACGGTCATTTTTAGATGTTTCTCTAATAAGGAAGTTATTGACTATGCGCCAGTTCTCCCTCGATTCAATTGAAAACACTGAAACTATGTTCTGAAAAAAAATCTCACCATGCTGATAGCTTTCCGAATTATCCGTTACCTTGAGTAAATTTCTGTTGATATGGGCGGTTTCTGAATAAAATTCTGAATGCTTTTTCACAGGGGAAACAAAAAACTGGCGATAAACCGTCGGAAAAAACGAAACGAAGGAAAAAGAGCGTTACAAAATCGTAGTCTTTTTTCCGTTTTTCTTTTTCGTTTCTCCGCCTACGTCTCTGTTTAGTACATTATTTCTCACTGTGCTTTTTCTATCCGTCTCCGCTATCGGACGATGGGAACCAATGAAATGGCGACCGGGTTGATTGGGAGTGACGGGGAAAGGAACTATCGAAACAAAAAATGTTTTAAGAAAAGGAGAGACATGTTCAATTAAATAAAGAGTATCTCAGATTTGACAGCGGAAGTCCTCGTCCTCAACAATTGGAAAATTCTGAAAAGCAGCAATGGTCCCTGAATTTTCTGAAAGGTTTTCGAATTTTCCTTTTCAACATGCTTTAAAGTTCACCCTTATATAATTATGAAGTTGTTCTGAAACAGGAAGGCCAAATTCCCACTTTCCTGCTCGGAGAAACGGGTGCCAGCTGTCGTGATGCAACTGCGCTCCACCGTACTCGGTTTCTCTGCGTCGCTTCGCTAGACACACTCTTTCTTCGATTTTTTCGCGGGTTTTTTTCCCATTTTGAATAACCTCATTCGATTTTTCCAGTTTTTCGCCTTGTTTTCCAAAAATTCGACCGAAAAACAGTCTCACAAAATTAAAAGTCGATAATTTCAGGTATTTGAATGGATCCGCATGTGTTGGCGAGTCTGGACGAAAGCGGGTACCACAATATGCGGCAGATTTCGACGTTACAACTCGAGAAAGCGTTGGATATGACGAAACAGAACGCGCTGAAGGCGAGTCTGATGATCGCCAACGACGCCGACCTTGAATTCGACTTCGGTACGTGAAAACGGCCGAGAACGGGCGGTGATTATCGACTTTCCGGGCGGTTTTGCAGATTTCGACGAGGACGAGGACCTGGATCAGCCGCAAATGGGCACGCGCGCCGACAAATCACTCGGACTGCTCGCCAAACGGTTCATCAAAATGATACAGTACTCGCCGTACGGACGGTGTGATTTGAACACGGTATCCGAGAGATTCACAGGGAAAATATCTGGATTTTATATCTTGATTTTCAGGCCGCCGAAGCGTTAAATGTACGACAAAAGCGACGAATTTACGATATCACGAACGTTTTGGAGGGCATCGGGCTGATTGAAAAGCGGAGCAAGAATATGATTCAATGGAAGTACGGGAATTCGAATTTCGGGCAAAATTTTTGAAATTTTTGTTCAGAGGCGGCGATTTTATGTTGAACATGAAGGACGGAAAGCGGCAAACGGCGACGACCGAAGAAGAGCAGCGGATGGAACATTTGAAGGCGGAAATCGAAAAATTGGGGAAGGAGGAGGAGCACATCGAGCAGCATCAGCGGTGGATTTCACAAGTTTGAACCGGGGAATCTTCAAAAAAGGCAAAACATTTATATTTTTCAGTCTTTGCGAAACGCAATCGAGTCCTCGGATGCGAATCAAGTGAGCTACGTGCTCCGCTCCCAACTTTCCGATAATTTCGGCAGCGATCTCACGATCGGACTCCAATCCCGTCTGGGAACGCAAATTAAGACCAGCGATCCGGAGGTATTTAATTACGTTTAAAAAACATTTTTATGCGAATTCGACCGGAAGAAGGGTCAAAAATTGAAGTGGGTCCGTTTAGAAGGCGATCTCTTCGGCGTTTTCGACAGCGAGAGTGATCCATCCCTGAGTACAGTAACCATTTATCCGGCAGTCTACAGTAATCCAATCCAATTACCATGGCCGAGTAGGCAAGGGTGGAGGCAACCAGGAGGGCGGTGTAGACGGCGGACATACTTAGAGAGGAGGATCGGAAGGTGATCTTGCTCCAACTGACGGATGTTCTATCTGTTATACACATTTGTTTGTCATCGTTTTACTGATAAGCGATTGCCACGCAGAAAGTGATGACAAATCGATGGGTATAAAAGGGAAAAATCCGTCAGTCGAAGCAAGATCACCTTCCGATCCTCCTCTCCAGATATGTCCGCCGTCTACACCGCCATCCTGGTTGCCTCCACCCTCGCCTACTCGGCCATGGTAAATTGACTACTGTGGACTGCCGGATAAATGGTTACTATACTCAGGGATGGATCACTCTCGCCGTCGACAACGCCGAAGAGATCGCCTTCTGAACAGACTCTCTGATCGACGCAGACCACAAAGCGACTTTCTAAACCGATATTTAATAAAAATAGTGTTTTTGATGGAACCTTATCCGACTTTTCTCACGCAGGAACTCTCGGATCACATGTGGATGTACGTGAAAAACGCATCGGGTCCTCTGCGGGCGGCGATCGTTTCCAATCACGAACTGCACGATTTCGTGCGGAAAGAACGGGGCCAGCCGCTCGACGAGGAGCACGTCGACGAGGACAACATCGACTACACGGGCAGCGATCTGTTCATGATGAATCCGACGGCGCCGTCGTCTTCCTGTTCTGGAGAGTACGGAACGTCGGCCGGCGATCGGAGGACACTGGCCGACGAGATTTACGAGCGAGGGCACCAGCAAAAGAGAGGAAGTGAGGCATTTTTCAAGGGGAATTTGTCTCACTAGGGAACTAGAATTTCATAGGGTGAAAGATCTCTACGAGAGGATTCGAAACGTGTTCTTCGGTATTGCTGCCGTCCTCTGAAACTTGAGATAAACTCATCTGATTTTACGCTATTTCCGCATGAGTCGCAGATGTCAACACAAAAATTGAAGAACACGTTTGAAATCCTCTCGTTGAGATCATTCGATCCAAGCAAGTCTAGTTCCGAAAGACCAACATCTCTATGACTTAGTTGGTGTTACATAGGATTCTAACTTTTGGCCGATTATGATAAGTAATGTAAAAGCAAGATTTTGTTCTTCATTTTGCAGGGTTCAGTGCGCCGCTGCCGCCCGTCAAACCGCTGGATCCGCCGCCGGCCAACCACGACTACGTGTTCGCGACGCAATTCGACGACGACCGAGCCGACTCGATTCTCGATTTGTACGGAGACTGATCTCTCTATTTTTTGCACACTTTTTTTTTCCAATTTTACAGGCTATTTGCGATTTTATAGCTCTTGCATCCATTTTGAAGGTTGATTCCTGTATTCTTTCCTTTTCTGACCGGGAATTGGGATCTTTTTCACGTGTTCATTTTTCCTGTTCGTATTCACATTCTTTGCCATTTTCTACATCCAAATTTTACAATTTTACGCGTTTTATTAACTTTTTTGGCAATTTTGCTCTAAATAGATCACTTTATTGTAGATGTTGCGGTAACTATCCATAGATTTATCTAATGTTTTCGAAAATTGTGGGAAAAGTTGTTTTTAGATGGCTCAGGGCCTTTTGTCGGCCGTTTTGTACGTTGAAGACGTGCTGCGGAAGGAGAATGTGAGCGAGGAGGAAAACGAAAATGTGAAAATGTATTTGGATGGGAAATTTCCGGCGCAGCACAGAAATGTAAGCGTTTTCTGGCATTTTCGAGTCCAAGAATGAGTTTTTGCAGAAAAAATTCGAAAGAATGGAGGAAATTGGCGAAGGCGTGAATTTGCTCGTAAAATTCGCCGGATTTGAAGGTTTTGATTGGGAAATTCGGGCGAAGAGTCGGATAATATTGTAGAGGCGGAAGAGAGGGCGATTGAGAAGCTGAAGGAGCTCTTTCTGTGCCTGTTCGTCACTTCCGGTCGAAGGATGGCGACGATCGAACGGCGCAAAAGGGACCGGCTCGAGATTCCGTTCAAAGTACAGAAAAAGTGGAGAATCCTCGGAGAAACCTTTTTGTTTCCAGAACGCACTTCCGTGGACCCTCAGTCTGCTCGGAATTTCGGCGCTGAAGGATCTGAGGACGTGGTACGACTGCACTTATCATCAGAGATTCGAGGAATTGCGACAAAAGTACGGGAAGCCGGCCGGTGCACCAAGTTCCGAAGAACCGCCCGAAAAGCGACAGACACCTTCTGATAACTGACCTTTTTTCTGTGAATTTCGTAACACTCTAGTCCGCCATCGAATCGCTTTTTATCATGTGACTAACCATTTGTCGATTTTACCCGATCTCGCCATTCAAAATCGGTCTTTTTTTTGCTATTTCTCCTCATTCTTTAAAGTTTTTGTTTGTGCTCATGGCTTTGGCTACCAGTCCAACGAGTTGTTTCGAAAATATTTCGCAATCGAATTTTCTACAACTTGTACACTATTATCGATCATTAGTCGTTGGAATTTAACAGAATTTCAGTAGACAAATGGCGGAGGATCCGGTAAATTCGATATTTTTCGAGCGCCAACAGGCTGCCCTTTGTGCCCAGCACGCACTCAACATGCTCCTCCAGGACGCGCTTTTCACCTACGAGGATTTGAGTGTTTTGGCGCGGCAAATGGATCAGATGGAGCACGATATTCTCGGAAATGTACGTACCGAGTTGCTGCGGTCCCGTCAGACCGAATTTTAAAAATTACTACCGGCCTACTTTTGCCACTTACAATTGTCCGATTGGACCCAAAGTTTGCAGGCTTTCAAGACTTGGATTGAAGTATTTTGGGACCAAGTTTCAGACCGATCCGGTAATCTGGTCCCGAGATTTACTGGTTTGAAGGTTTCTGCGAAGCCCGCATTTTCAGGCTTCAAATCAATATATCTCCGGACCAGATAATCCGATCGGTCTGAAACTTATACCAGTTTTCTTCAATCCAAGTCCAAGAAACCTGCAAAGTTTGGCTCCCATCGGAATATTGCAAGTGGGTCAAAAGTCCCTGCTTTTGAAGAATTCTTGAGCAAAAAAACTAAAAATAAAACGATTCTTGAAAAAAAACTGTTCTACAGAACGCGAACGCAATGGGCCGCAGCGAGAACATGAACGACAGCGGATTCTTCTCGATTCAAGTCATCGACAAAGCGTTGGAGACGTTCTCGCTCAAACTGATCAACATTGAGAATCCGACGATGATCGAGTTCAAAACTAATCCACTGTCAGTTTTTGTAGCAAACAATTCCACCTAGATAGCATTTTTTAACATTCTTGTTCTAGGAGTCTAAAATCGGGTCTGCCAAGTTGAAAAAAACTGAAATTTCACCGTGAAAGTCCAATTTTCAATATGTTTCACTTCAGAACCGCCCGTGCGTACGTCTGCAATCTCCGCGAGCACTGGTTCGTTCTGCGCAAGTTCGGAAATCAGTGGTTCGAGTTGAATTCGATCAACCACGGTCCCAAATTGCTCACCGACACCTATCTGACTCTCTTTTTGCATCAACTGTCCGCCGAAGGTTTGTCACCGTTCAAAAAGTGACTTTTTACTCGTTTTCCCCAAAAAATTGAAGAAAGAATATTTTTGCAGGATACACAATATTCGTGGTGCAGGGAATCCTGCCGTCTTCCTACGCCGACGAGCTGATCACTTTATGTCCGGTGGAGGCGAAGCAGCCGAAAAAAGAGCAAAAGGAGCCGAATATGGTGCAGAAGTTCTTCAATTCGGTCGGACGCCGACTCGGCTCCAACGCAGAGAGTTCCGTTTTTTCCCAAACTTTTTAAAGCAAAGACTGACAATTTTAACAGCAGAAAGTCGCATGTCAAGCAAAACATGGAGAAAAAGAGCAGCATCTAATGCAAAAATCCCAACAAAAAAACGCTCCCAAAATTGCAGGTGATTCGCAAGAGGACCGTGAGCTGGCGATCGCGATGGCAATGTCGATGGAACCATCGGGAGAGGCGGTCGAAACTGAAGAGGACCTGCTGAAAAGAGCCATCGAAATGAGTTTGGGGCGGGAAGACGCTCTTGATCCCGCTGGATCATCTGGTCCCTCTGGATCATCTGGTCCCTCTGGATCAGTGGTCCCAGTCGTGGAGACGCCGATTCTGAGCACCGGATCCTCGGAGGAAAGCTCCAGAGGAAGCACGCCGAGTTTGGAGCAGCAACGACGCGATCGCGAGAAGTTTCTTGAGAGGATCGAGAAGAGAAATCAATGATGAGCCGCCAAGATCCCCCTTTTTCTCGGTGGTCCCTCGGAAATGTTAATTTGGCGGAAAGCGCAGATTTTTCTGCTGATTTCAATAACTTTTGTTGATGTTTGGCGAAATTTGCACAAAAACCTATGCTTGCTGAAATTTCAGTCAAATCAATAATTTCGAGGGACCGTGGCCGTGGCCGAACTTTTCACTTGGTGCCGAAGTATTAATTAATCTAAATCGACAATATTTATGTCATTCTTATCCTTTATTTATTCATTTATCCCGTTGGGCTCTTTCTTATTGTCTTCCTGGTCAAAAATCGATAATATCCCCGTCGCTCTTGCCCGGTTCTGGTCTTTTTGTGCATAAAAACTCGATTTTTTCTCAACTTTTTGGTATTCGCCAGTTTATTATCTTTTTTCCCGATTCGTCCCAATTCTTCTCAAAAATTCAGAAGTTCAGATGATCGGCGACGACCAAGACGTCCAAGACGAACAAATGCACGAGAATCCGTCCTCTGGTGAGTTTTTTGAGTCCGTCTGCTAGGTTTTAGGTTTTTTTTTCGATTCTTTCCCATCTGCACGTTTTTCAGTAAGTTTCTATTGAAAATCGTAATAATCATGTTTTACAAGGTTTCATATTTCCCTTAATCTGTCTGATTTGATTAAAAAATTAAAATTCATGCCTAAAAAACTCAAAAAGCGATATTTCAGGACAGGGTGAAGAAATTGGCGACGAAGCGCCAGTTCCAATTGAAAATGAGCCGGAAGAAGTGGGAGAAACGGTGAGAGAAGAAGAAGAAGAGGTAGCGAAAGAGGAAGAGAAAGAAGAAGAAGAAGAAGAAAGAACAGAGGATCGGAACGAGAGTTTGAAATCGTCGGAAGGAGGTGGAGCCACGGGAGAAGAAGCGGAAGAAGAAGCGGAAGAGCGAGCGCCGGAGCCAATGGAAGAGGGAGAGAAGGAGAAGACGCCGGTGGAAGAGGAAGAAGAAATGGAACGGAATGAAAATGAGCAAAAGGAACGGGAAGAGGACGAGTCTCCGCTCGAGCCCACTCTCCTCGGCATCGCCATCGATTCGCTCATGATGAACTGGTACTCTACTGATTTTATCTTGAAGGCCTAGACTTTTGACCAAATAATCCTATCGGATCTAAACCTTGCAGGCTTTTTAGACTTGGATTGAAGTATCTTGGGTCCAAGTTTCAAACCGATCGGATCATCTGGTCCCGAGATATACTCGTTTAAGGCCGAAAGGGCCGGGTTATTGAGAAAATTGCAACCAGGACCAGATAATCCGATCGCGGTGAAACTTTGTTCCAAAATGCTTCATGCAAGCCAATAAGCCAATAAAGTTTGGGTTCGAGCAGATTATTGCAAGTAGGTCAAAAGTCCAGGCCTCGGCAGGTCTTCGGAACGCCTGGACCGGGCCAGTCATGGAAAAACCCCTAAAATGGCTATTTTTGAAGGTGTCAGCTGCTGTCGACTGTCACTGTGAAGGCGCCGGTGCCGCCATGTCCGACTCCGGATCACGTGAAGGAAGTGGCCGAAGTGTGCAGTAAACATGTACGTTTTTGAGACAAGTTGTGAATTTGTAATTGAAATGGCGAGATTATTCGCATTTTCCAACCGCAGAATTGGCTGAAATGCAAGAATTGGAATTTTTCGCGAAAATTCAAATCTCCCCCAAAACCCGCCAATTTTGCAGTTCCGTGACTCGTCGGTCGACGTGACCAACGAATTCTCTCGTCTCGGCGTGCAATGGGAAATGGAGCAGGCGAGCGAGCAGTTCATGATAGAGGAGGCCGATTTGGACGACGTGATCGCGCGGCAGAAGGTGCTCATCGAAACGGTCACCGAGGCGCTCGAGATCCGCGTCGCCCGGTACAGGGAACAGTTTCCGGACGCCGGAAAACACTTTACCACTTGATTTGCTTTGATTTATATGATAATTTATTGATTTCTCTGAAAATTTGATAAAATGTCGAGCAAAAGTGATGAGAAATTGTGAAAAGAGTTGGACGGGCGGCCTCTCAGATCTCGGGTCCCTCCCCGCCCGGCACGAGCATCGTTATGTGGTTTCCGTTGAGCAGAATCGTGTCCAGCTTGGTCATCCGCTTGCCCTCGGCCGTATTTTCGTACTCGACGACGTCCTCGAGCACCATGTTGACGTAGTCGTCGAATCCGGTCAGAGTGCCGACGATCTCCTTGTCGTTCTTCATGATCACCCAGATTTTCGAGCCGATGCACTTGTCGATGAGCTCCAGCGGCAAAAGAGTGTTCGGATTTGTTGAAGTTGACGTCGACATTGTCTTCTGCAAACGAATCTCTTGAAATTTATTAAAAAGGGGAACAATTGAAGAAAAATGGTAGAAAAGTGAAATTTGCGGGCTTTTCCAGATAGTTTGGACAAAAATTGTGATTTTTCACTTTTAACTCGCGATATGAAGAAAACTGCTGAAAAGATATTAAAAAAAGGAAAAAATTCAGTGCAAACAAGTAGAATACACGAAGAATCGAAGAAAATTCACAGAATCGTATTTTGCCGATTTTTTTGTGCGAACAATGCATTTTTGTTAGCTGAATGTATGAATAAAAGGCGTAAAATTGTATTTTTAACACAGTTCTACAGAAAAATCAACGAAAAACGACTAAAAATCGATGGGAAAGAGGCTAAAGACAATTCGTAATTCAAAAGTATTTGTGTGGATTTACGATAAACAGAGAGCCGTGCTCGTCAAAAACGGAGTGTCGTTGGGTGTTTTGAGCGATGAACGAGAATTTTTATCAGTTTAAAGCCATTTTATTGTGAAAAAACCGGATATCGAACAAGTATATACACAGAAGAAAATGTTGCAGCTGCAAATGCACAAAAATACATAAAAACCCGATAAATGCACTCGGCGCATAGCTACAAGCGGCTAGACTTTGGCTAGTACAGAAAACTTGGGAACACCCTTTTTCCTATCATTAGTTGTCGACGTTTTCGGTGAAGTGCGACTTGACGGTTCCCAATCCGAGAAGTTCCTTGGAGATCTTCTGAATCTCGAACTTTTTCACTTTTCCCGAAATTGTCAGCGGAAATTCTTTTTCCTTCTTGATCAGCACATAACGTGGCACTTTGTAGTGGGCCATCTGAAAGCAGATTATTGATTTTCCATCCTTTTTCTCCAAATAACTCACTCCTCCTTTGCAAGCCTTGATGATCTGCTCCGGAGTGATTTTTCCCTCGTCCTGATCGCGAAGGCGCACCCACGCACAAATGTTTTCGCCGTACCGGTCGTCGGGAACGCCGACGACGTGCGCGTCGGCCACGTACTCGAGCTTGTGCAGGAACTGCTCGATCTCCGTCGGGTAGACGTTCTCGCCGCCCTTCACGATCATGTCGCGCGTGCGGCCCACGATGTTGATCGTTCCGTCCTCGTTCATCACCGCCGTGTCTCTGAAATATTCCATTTAGGTCATTCTGATTAAAAATTGTTCCTTACCCCGATTTGTACCAGCGATCCTTGGTGACGGCGAGGTTGGTCTTGTCCTGATCGGCCCAGTATCCGAGCATCGTCGAGTATCCCCTCGACCACAATTCTCCTTTGGCGCCCGTCGGCACCGGCACTCCGTACTCGTCGACAATCGCGATTTCCTGATGGGGCATCACGGATCCGACGGATTTGATGCGTTCGTACGGATCGACGTGCAGTTCGGACATGGTCACGAGCGGCGACGTTTCGGTGGATCCGTAGATGACGGCAAAGTCGGTCATCCGCATCTCCTTGACCATTTTCTCGCAAAGCGCCAACGGGCAGGGAGCTCCGCCGATGACTCCGCCCCTCAGCGAGCTGATGTCGTACTTCTGGAGCAGCGGCGATTTGAGCACGTCGATGAACATGGTCGGAGTGCCGAACATGGTCGTGCAGCGTTCGTTCTGGATCGCCTCGAAGATGTCGGGCACGTGGTAGGACTTTGAGGGAAGATGACGGTCTGGCCGTGGTTGACCGCGTTGATGACTCCGACCGCACAGCCGAAACAGTGGTAGAGCGGGTTTGGGATGCAGATGCGATGGTCCTCGCGGTCCCAGCCGAGACGGATGCCCGCGAAGTAGGCGTTGTTGTTGAGTCCGAAGTGCGTGAGAGTGGCTCCCTTCGGATGTCCGGTGGTTCCGCTCGTGAACTGCATGTTGACGGGCTCATCTGGACGGAGACGACGGTCCATCTCCTCGAGTTTGGCCCTCTCCTCACTTCCAGCGGCCTTCATGAGGTCGTCGTACACCCAGGCACCACTGAAAGTAGAAGTTTTAAAGATTTTGGGGAAAACGAATGGGATCCTACTGGACTGGGACGTCATCTCCGTAGAGCACAATGTGGCGGAGCTCTGGAATATCATGGGACTTGATGTGTCCGACGCCCGGCTTTCCACGGCGCATTTCTGGCATCGCCTCGATGAGGGTGTGCACGTAGTTGCTGTGCTTGTGTCTCTTCGGCGCGAACAGCACCTTCATTCCGGTCTTTCGCATCACGAAGCGCAATTCTTCGTGCAAATAGTGCGGGTTCACGTTGACCTGGATGACTCCGGCGAATGCGCACGCGTACTGCAGCACCACCCACTCGTAGTAGTTCGGCCCCCACACGCCGACTCGATCGCCCTTCTCGAGGCCCAAAGTGAACAGCGAGGCGGCCATTTGACGCACCTAAAATAGTTTAGACTGATTCATTTTCTAATTCGATTAACAAAACCCGATAGCAATTTTGCTAGGGGTTTTTTGTCGCCAACAACTTACATCGTGATAGAACTCCTCGTAGGTCTTGCGAATCGGATACTTGAGGAAGGCGCAAAACTCCTTGTCGGGCACTCGTTCCGTCGTATTTCTCAGCGTCTGGCCGAGCGTTTCGTTTCTGAGCGGAATGTTCGACGTTCCGTGGATGTAGCTGTTGGTGTGCTGGCGGTGCACCGACGGATGCGTCAGATGATTCGATTCGTGCGGGACCGTCGACGTCGACGGAGCGACGTGGCTGGTGACGGCGTGGGCGAAGCGGCGGCTGAGGAGAAGCGAACGCATTTCTGAAAGTTTCGACTGATTTGTAGATGACATTTGAGGAGTCGAGGTAGGGAAAGATCTATAACCGAAAAATGTTCAATTGGAGAAGGGTTGAGATTCCTCCGCACTCCTCCGCCGCTTTTATATCATCCGCTTCCAAGTGCCAATTCCCAGGACTCGCCAGGGCGCCGCCCCTCTCTGCAAAAGCGCCGCCCCTCCCCGACTCCACATGACTATCGTTCAATGGTGTCCCCCTCGCTAGTCCGCTCACGTGTGTCTGACCGACAAACAACGGCGCTGCGGAGAACGACCAACATGTGAGAAGAGGAAAAAGGGGGAGAAGAAGAAGCAGAAGAAGAAGAAGAAGGGGGAGCAGAGAACATCGAAACACTCGGTTTGATATGATCAAAACGATCCGATTGGTGTCGCGTGCGTGTTGCCGAGTAAACAAGAAGCGAGGCTTCTGCAGCTCAGAGTACTTTGATTAATATCAAAAGTATCGTCAGGATCGACACGAAATACTTCTAGTCTGGACGAATAGTTTGGATGAGGAACTGTTTTTTTTTCGTCTGATTGAAAGATCTTTTCAATGTACTCTTCTCGGTATTTTCAATCCACTTTGCTATACAATCATTACATTCATGGCCTACTGGAAGATTGTTCTTCAGAAAAGTTCAGTTTCCCCTAAAACTCTTCAAATTTGACTACTCTGGAACTGCTCTGAATCAATTACCTGGGTCTGGCCCTTTTTTTTGCTCTGCTTGTCCTTTTAAGAATTTCAAAAATAGTTTATGTAAGTTAGGCCCGAAATCCACTTCACCTTGAAGAAATGAACCGAAAACCTTAGATCATCCCGGTAAATGTTTTGCTGATGTCTCAACCATTTGTTCCCTTCTTCGGGTCACAATATTCAATCCATCTAAACTTGAGAAACGTGGCCTTAGTTACAGTACCCAGAAGATGCGCGGCTTCACCGGATGACGTGTTCGCCTAAAGTGCCTATTCATCTCCGTGTTCTCTAGTCGGTGCCCATCACATGTCGCCTCTTGGAACAAGTGTACTCTGAAGTGTTATCAACGCGGAGACGACCGAAAACTAGTGCTGTGAAGCGATTCAATGCTGATCACACGTGGCAGATCTCTCTATGTTTTTGTACATTTTTCGATATTGTAGTTTGACAATTCTTGGTTTCTAGTCTGCAAAACTGAAAAGCCGCTAGACAGTCACGAGGGTTTGAATGAATAGAAATGCCAAATTCGCATTTCAATGAGCCTTTGATCGGTGGTCGGAAAGCAAAAATCATGGGATGTCTGGAACGGGGAATGGAAAACGAACGGGCTTTGTGATTCTGAGAAATTGCAATTTGTTTAAAAGTGCAGACACCTTCAGGATAGTTCAAGACTTTGTAAAAGTACGGTAACTCTGTGCTGACCCATTCTCTGAGCGTGCTCTTCAATTCGGGCTCACTGACCAGTTGCCGTGAGCATAGTTCGCGCCGAAACTAAAAATGTTTTGAGTCTCCGCGGTCGATTGACAAACTGATAACAGCTGTTGCTCTCTGTCTCTCTCTCTCTCTCTCTCAATCAGTCACCGATCAAAAACTGATACGACCGCACTTGTTCCTCTCGTTTCTCTCATTCCTTCGATATTCGAATCACTCCGAAGAACGATCAATTTGAGAAAAGTGAAGGGAAACAGAGAGAAAGACGAATGTGTTCGTGGGTTCTTTGATGACAAGCGGTCTTCATTGGATATCTGGTCAGTGATGGGTGATTTTACACTTTTAGCAGAAGCACACGTTTCAATTCAAGTGCAGTACCTTCAAATGAACATTTTGCACTCACTTTGCAACAATTTGCCTTTAAAATGGACAAGTTTGAAGCCGTGCTGCTTTGGACGGAGACGATCATCAGGGAACGGTAATTACCTGAAACATTGAGAGATGAGTCAGAAAGGGAAAAAGTAACACAAAGGTTTGCATCAACTAGCGTCGGAATTCAAGCAAAACAGAATGGGTACATGCAGGGAAATCGATAATATTATGGAGGTGGTTGTCTCTTTTATACAGTTTTGATCTGGTTGCAAAGCGTACCTCCCAGCAGGTCTGCTATTATTTAAGTTTTACTACAGCCTGTTTTCTCTTTGCGAAAAGCGAGAAGCACACTGTAATAGACGGGAACATCGATGCCGTTGATTCAAAACGATATATCTCAGTTGCCGGTAGAGATATCAAAAAGTAGTCAACTGATAAGTTGCTCAGAAAGATATTGCGCACATTTCATCAGTTGAACACTTTTTGATATCTCTACCTTTAGCTGAGATACATGGCTTTGAATATAAACAATAGTGGCAATGAAGACGAAGGACGAAAAATGTTGTGTTTGCAGAGTTTCAGGTAACCTCAAGTGATTTGATGAAGTCAGCTCCCGGGGACATTCCGCAACCACAACTTCTTTTCCAACAAGCTTTTGATAATGCTTTTAGAAGCGTCCCGGTTGCGAAATGTCCGTGAGCCTTAAGAATAATTGCTCATCTTTCACAACATTGCCTTCTCCGCGGAAAATGTTCAGAACGACGACGAAGATGATGAAAATGGATGACTGAAGAGTTTCGGCGGAAAAATAATGACAGAGAATGCGACGTCAACAACCGAATCCATCAGACATTTAGCTCATTTCCGCCCTCGCAAGGACATGTCTGGAACATGTTTTTTCAGTGTCTCCGTGTACTTTTAACGCTTTTAACCTAAAAATAGCCGAAGCTCTCATGATTCTCGCATTTCGAAACGGGTCCAAAGACTGGCGTTTCGTTTTCCAATCATTCATCCTATTACCCACTCAGTTTTTAGTGGTTTTTCTCAAAATAATTCGTTCAGCATCCCAATCTTTTTATTTGTTCCCTCAAAAAACTCACGCAAATCGTGTCGTAAAAGTTCGAAAATCCGAAAAAATCTAAAAAAGGAAACTAAAGTCGGGCCCCTTTTTTCAAATCGAATTTCGTGTCAAAAAGCATGTGGCCGCTCTTTTCCGAAATTTTATTGTTTCAAAGAAAAACGTGCACACTTTTTGCGATAATCTCTTTGAGTTGAACGGGAAGAATTGAATAATTTATCCACCTTCGCCCGTATAATTTTCCGTTCTCTTCGATAAATTGTTCTAGAAAAGATGTTTGGTTTGCCCCATTTTTTCAATTTTTTTTCCAAAAGTATGCAAATTCGGTGCTGTGTTTTGTGTTCGCTGCCTTTTTTGGCGCCAATTCGATTTTCGGCAAAACGTGAAAAACGACGAACATCTTTTTTCAGTTGGGCAAGACTCTTGAGTTCATTCTCAGGCGGTTAGTATTGAAAAAGCTGTATGAGTGCTCAAATTCATATTTGTCATTTTTGGGCCGGGCTGGGCCGTGAAAACTTTTGACAGCCAGGCCCGCATTTCAAAAATTCTTAATTTTTAAGACAACCTCAAAATGGAGAAAGACACTGTACTTGCATCCAATGGGATTCAGGCATTTCCATCCCTTATTTATCCACTGAGGCCCTTATTTATCCATTTAGGCCCTTATTTATCCATTGAGGCCCTTATTCGTTCACTCAGGCCCAAATGCGGGAGCCAAAATATTACATTCTTATAGAGGCCGTTTTGACTCAAATACGACTAAATGATGACAATCAGCTAACTGCTGAATTGTCATCATTTCTTGCGCTGAGCATAGCTGCATTAATACGCATCCCATTTCTTTTGGTGTTAGTTTTTTTTTTGTCTCCCCTAAAGGAGACTTTCCAAAATTAGAAAGCTGACGCTAAATTTCGTTAGGTCATGTCAAGTCGGGCGTACCTCAAACTTGGGTAATTAAACCAACGCTAACGTTGCGTCGCCGCTCTTCAACAATGCGCGCAGCCGACATGTCCGAGGGACGGCGAGAGCGAGGCCTCACCACAGCACACAACATTTAGTGCGGCCGCCGCCAAGCGATTTTTCGAAGGAGACGAGGTGGAAACAGAGGCGGTGGCTGCGAGAATATGATGGCGACGGCACAGGAATAATTCCGCTTACGACCACATCACGTTGAATACACGCCATCCCGTCCGATCTGGCAAGTTAAGCAACGTTGAGTCCAGTTAGTACTTGGATCGGAGACGGCCTGGGAATCCTGGATGTTGTAAGCTTTTGCCTTTTTCATCTCAATTTATAAATAATTTTGTTCTTTTTGCCGTTTTCTATATATGCAGGTGTTATCTTGGCCATTGAGGCCCTTATTTATCCATTTAGGCCCCTATTTATCCATTGAGGCCCTTATTTATCCACTGAGGCCCTTATTTATCCATTTAGGCCCTTATTTATCCATTGAGGCCCTGATTTATCCATTTAGGCCCTTATTTATCCATTTAGGCCCTTATTCGTTCACTCACAACGAATAAGGGCCTCAATGGCTAAATAAGAGCCCGAGTGACAGAATAAGGGCCTCAATGGATAAATAAGGGCCGGAGTGAACGAATAAGGCCCTCAATGGATAAATAAGGGCCTGAGTGAACGAATAAAGGCCTCAATGACCAAGATAATACCTGCATATTTAGAAAACGGCAAAAATAACAAAATTATTTATAAATTGAGATGAAAAAGGTAAAAGCTTACAACATCCAGGATTCCCAGGCCGTCTCCGATCCAAGTACTAACTGGACTCAACGTTGCTTAACTTGCCAGATCGGACGGGATGGCGTGTATTCAACGTGATGTGGTCGTACACAGGTGAATCGCGCACGGTCCATTATGGATACTCCGTGGATGAAACGTGGATGAGCGCGCACATAGCAGGCATAATGGATCCGTGGGGAAGCGACAGGGCAATATGCTTCGCGCGTGTGTGATATATGCCTCTGCTGGCGACGCCCGAGCGTGGATCGCGCGTGCCCCATCTTACCCAGCGGCTGCCGCAGTGCTGTTCGCTGCTGCCGTTCGCGGGGGATCCATAATGGGAGTTGTATGCCTACACAGCGGAGAGAAAGTGCTAGCGTCGCCGCCGTTACAAGGCGACTATTCTGCAGATCTGCGAGCAGAAGTATAGCTGGTGCAGTGTATTCATCACGAATCAGATTATGAATTACAAAATATATTGCTTAGATGGTTTCTCTTGTCAAAAAACTCTCTCAGTGATGTTTCGTAGCGATAGACAGCGAACGCTTGTTCTCTTCTCTGGAGAAAACGCATAAGTCCTGGCCCTAGGTAGAGAACATCCCAGCTTCACTAGTATCCCATTCATAAAAGTTTCATACAAAATTCTCCATGGATTTGTCTAGGCTACAAAACAGTTGCCTCGTTCAATCTGACTTTGAGAACGTAGTCATTTGATTCTCTTCTTGCTTACACTCCGGCAGCAGCATGAGACGGTCCTCTAAACAGTTCGTCTGAACAGAAGAACATGTATTAGCCACAGCAACAATCAGTAATTTGCTTTCAAATTTTGCTGATAGTCAAGAAGTTGTTCGGACGGAGTGTCTTCTGCTATACATTGAACATGTACTTGTACTCTATCTCTAGACCGTTCCGTTCTAGCCTGTCGCTCCCCTTGGCGAGAACGCGCGCATTTTGTCATGCAAGCCCCTGCTAGCAGTATCAGCAGGGATGGGAAAACACGAAAGCGCGCGCAGGGTACGGTAATAGGGGCAGGGGATCGAGTTTGCGGGGGGAGCGCATGGGCCGTGCGCGACCCATTTTTCATTTCTGGCTGCGCGGCGTGCCTCCATATAGCTCGCATATAGCTCGCATATATCCTACTAATGAGTTGCATACTCGACACACGGATGCCCCACGTGGCGTCCATAATGGATCATGCGCGATTCACCTGTGTAAGCGAAATTATTCCTGTGCCGTCGCCATCATATTCTCGGAGCCACCGCCTCTGTTTCCACCTCGTCTCCTTCGAAAAATCGCTTGGCGGAGGCCGCACTAAATGTTGCAGACTTGCCAAATCCCGGGCCGGCCCGCCGGGCCGGCCCGGCCCGGCCCGGTTTTGGCCCGGCCCGGCCCGACCCGCTCGGGCCGGGCCGGGCCAGCAAATCGTCGGCCCGGCCCGGCCCGGTCGGCCCGGCTCCGCCCACTCTTGAGAAAAATTTTTCGTAATTTTTTTGTGAAAATTTTTGCGACTTTAAACAGCAATTTCTATTTTTTTAACAGGTTATTATGCTATAACATTGCCTTTTTTTAAGTCTATAAAATTTTAAGTCTATAAAAATTATGTTCGTTTCGAGGTTCTAGTTCGCTTTGAATTTTTTTAGGTGCATCCTCCCGGGCCGACCGGGCCGGGCCGGGCTGGGCCGGGCCGGGCCGGGCCGCGGGCCGGGCCGGGCAGGAAAAATTTCCATTTTTGGCCCGGCCCGGCCCGGCCCGGCCCGTTGCAAGTCTGAAATGTTGTGTGCAGTGGTGAGGCCTCGTTCTCGCCGTCCCTCGGACGTGTCGGCTGCGCGCACTGTTGAAGAGCGGCGACGCAATGTTGGCGTCGGTTTAATTACCCAAGTTTGAGGTACGCCCGACTTGGCATGACCTAAAGAAATTTAGCGTCAGGTTTCTAATTTTGGAAAGTCTCCTTTAGGGGAGACAAAAGAAGTGATGTAAAAAGGAAAACAGTTGTTGGAGTTGTGAATTGTTATCCGACAATCTTTGAAAAATCCAGAAATGATGACAATTGTGCGTGCAGCGAGCACGACTGTGTCTCGAAAAATGTTAATAGTCAGCACCAAACTACTCAAACTTGTGTTTGGTGACGAAAATGAACAAGAAAACAAAGTTGAATCTGATCTAAAGAAATTTAGAAAAAAAAAATTTAAATTTAGCCAGTGCTTTTTAGCAAGAATGGAGAGCATATTCGGATTCTCCGCGAAATTCTCTTCCGAATCACGAAGGTACCGTTCCAAACGGAAAGGATTCGTTCAAAATCATTCAAGAATGTGTTGTCTAAAGTTAACAGCTGCACACTTTGATCCTCAAAAACTTGTTGATATTTCGTGTCGACGACATGAATGTTATGGGCCATCTGCTGAAAACCGAACAACTTTTGAATTTTGATTCCAAATCCTCAACAGAAAAACTGAATTTGACTCCAGTTGAGCTCGAAATACATTTATTTCCAGATACCCGGGGGGTAATTTCCTTTTGGCATTCCCGTTGATCTGGCACATAAATCCTTCTTCCTCTTTCTTCTTTTTCGGCTCCTAAATTCCCGCCACTACTCAATTTATTCAATTTTCTCTTTTTTCTCCTTCAAACGAAACCTTTTTTTTCCAACAAAAAGATAGGAGTCTAGTCTGGTCAAGTCCATCACAAAAACGTTTCTCATAGTAAAAAAGTGTAATCATAGTTCGTTTTTTTTTGCGCATCATTTTTTGTGTTTCTCAGACAGACAAAGTGTCACTTGCAGTTCGTTTTCCGGAAAGCTCTTCCTTCCTCTCCCCCCCTTTTTGTTCGTCTTTTTTGCACATGACTTACTTACTTTTCACGCTTTTTAGAAGGCAACTTTTTTGAAATGTTTGAAACAAAAGCCCTGATCATTTCTTATTCTCTGCAAAAAGGAGAGAAGGGTAAAGGTCGGCAGCGACAAACAAAAGTTTCCAAACTGTTTGGAGGAGCGCAAAAATCCTGTAACTTTGAAGGCTTATATCTCAAGAACCAATGATTATTTCAAAAAGATGTCAATTGCAGAGTTGTTGGAAATTTTATGCTGAACAACTTTGTAATTGCTCATTTTTCTCCACATTGCTCCATTTTCGAGTTGTAACCCTGTTTCTGAACAGAATTTTTTCCAGCATCGTATGAACAGCCTTTTCATGATTTTCTTCAATTTTTCATTCATGCTACTTTTTAAGCAAATTTATTGACACAAAATAGAAGCCTACAATATTCGTATTTGTAGTTTGGCCTCAAAAAGTCTCGTTTGCCACGTCATTTCGCATCAAATTGGAAATGGGTGGGGGAGGCAAACGGATAGATGGTAAACACATTCATCTCGGCCGTAAAAAGTGCTCCAGACATGTTTTTTTTGGAAAAATTTGCGATTGACTATGTCATGGCCTAGTTTTCGCATAGACAAAGTTCGGCCGTGTAACCTAGCTTCTTGAGTGGCCTAAAAAGAACCCAGACCACACGTCGATGGCCTAGGAAACTCCTCGGCCACCGACCAACTTGTCGATCATATTCGTACATCCGCCCACGTCCGTTTGGCTCGGACCCCGAGCGTCGGCACCAATTAAATTTACAATTCCATCCGATTCGCTCTCTCCCTCTCTCTCTCTTTTTTCACCCCCTACTTTGTATCCTTTTTTGTGTGATTTCCGATATAAAAGTGTTTTTTCGATTGAAAAACTCGATTGTTTTGTGCGAATTCTTAATGAGTTTTGTGCAATTTTCGCCGCGTTTTCCATCCGTCTCGACTGGACAATTAAAAATTTCGATCCATCTGGCGAGCTGCTCATTTTTTCAGCGCCCCCATGCATTTTCTGCTCTATCTCGTCGTCTGGCTCCAACTTTCCGCGTCTCTCAGTGCCACGTCACAACCGGTGGGTACAGTAATCCTACCGTAACCCTTTGTAGCGTTTTTTAGGCCCGGACTCCCATGAGAAACCTCTACGAGCACCTTTTTTCGGACTATGTCAAGGAGATCCGTCCGGTGCGCAATGAGACGGACACTTTGAAAGTGGAGATCAAATTTTGGCTGAAACAGATTCTGAAAGTCGACGAAAGGGATCAAATCGTCAATATTTATTGCTGGCTGGAATTGGTAAGCGTTGCGTACTTCTTTTCTGAATTCTCTCTGAAAATCTTGTTATTTAGTACTGGCTAGACGAAACATTGACGTGGGATCCGAAAAAGTTTGGCAACCTGACTAGAATCCACGTGCCGGCGCACAAAATATGGAAGCCCGACGTGCTGGTGTACAACAAGTGAGTGAAGCGAAAAAGCAAAAAAGCGCTGCCTGCTGCTGGAATCGAACCAGCGTCGCCACGGCCACAACGTGGAGTACTAACCACTATACTAAGCAGGCCGAAAGTGCCGGTCTTCGTTTTCGCTTATGTACCCGCTGTGTGCGCGCGAGGCGAGGCGGCCGACGAGCGGGGAGCGCTGTGGTTTCCTGTGGAAATTTTTAGAGAAAAATGGAGAAATTTGTGTTTCCACAGCAATATTTGCTTTTCCGAGTGTAAAACGTGAAATAACATACATTTTGGCGTGAATACACTCAGAAATGTCTCGTTTCCAGCGCGAACATGAATGTGGAGGAGAACGAGATGGAGACGAATGCGATTGTGGACAACACGGGACGAGTGATGCTCTTCCGCTCGATGATCACCGATATCAGTTGCAATTTGAACTTGCAACAGTTTCCGTTTGACCAACAGGTATTGTAATTTTGACAAAATTAAACACAAACTTGTTTTTTCGAAGCCATGAGAGTCATTTGAATGTATATTTCTGGCTGAGACTTTCATTGAAGATGCATAGTTAACCAAGTCCTTAACAGACCCCAACTTCATCTAGGATGACCTTAATTTCGTCTAACACAGTCCTAGAAAACGTTCTCAGATCTGCTTCGTAACTTTCGCCTCTTGGAGCATGGACGGCAGCAAGTTGGACCTCTCGGCCACTCCGAAAACCGACAACCTGGAGCTGTACATCCGAAATACCGAGTGGTCGCTCACCGATTTCAGGTATCCCTTTTCCGTTGTTTCGTTCTCAGTTTGTACAATTTGTTCAGAGTGAAAATCTATCAAAAAATCTACGACTGCTGCCCGCATCCGTTTCCCGACGTCACCTACTTTATGGTCTTGCGACGATCACCGAGCTACTATATTTTCAGGCAAGACAAACCATTCATTAACGGGCGAAAAATGTAGTCACTTGACTGTGAGAAACACTATGAACTCGCTGAGATCACACAGGATTTCCGTCGAATCAAGTGTTTGCGGACATTCGAATCGAAACACAGAAGAATGTAAGGAAGGGAGAGGAAGACCTGAAATCGAATGAACAAACACTCTTTGGGAGGGGTTTTGAACAGAACTAACCGAATCCGAAACGAACATGAGAAGTGCCCAGTGGTTATCGAGCAGTTCGGTCGAAACAACGGCGAAACGGGTGTTGAGGACGGTGATTACGGTCCACGCAATGATGCCAGTGTACAGGACGCAATAGACCAACGCCACTCGTGTCAGTTTCTTGGCCACTTTTTGAATTGCCCGGTTCGACGCTGAACATGACAGTTTTTCATGTTTCTCGACGATATTATCGAGTGCAAACTAACTTGTGCTCGTCCGGTACACCAGCCAATAAGTGGATGCTAACAGGGCTATGAGGATGAGAAAATAGACGATCGAGTAGACGGACTTTCGATAAATACCGCTGTTCACGTGTTCCACGTTGATGGTGCTCATCAGAGTTGCGTTGATCAGCTCCACTCGGACCATTTCGCCGTGCAGCGAGAAGCCCGGAAGGAAGCTGTAGAAGAAGGAGACGAGGAAGAAGAGCGGGTACCAACGGGACCACGTCTGCAATCTCGGGTTCCACTTGTCAGAAACGGCACCTTACCTGCTCATTTTTGTCGTAGTACACGATTGCCGTGATTCTGTGAATGTTCAAGGCGCATGCTGAGCAGAATTGCATGTGAGTGAAGAAATTGGTGAGATAGGCGGGCCAGGACATGAGTCCGGGTATTGTGCGCTCGAGGAAAACGTTGATGTTTATACCGTCCGGGTATCGGATTAGTCGAGCGGAGAGCCACGTGTTCAAGTAGCCAAACGCGTTCTGTTCTCAAAACATAATATACCTCAGCTATCGGTAGAGGTACTGGAAAGGTGTCAACTAATAAAATGTTCACTGAAAAATTTTGTACATTTTAGTAGTTGACCACTTTTTGATATCTCTACAGGCAGTTGAGATACAGAGCTTTTTAGGAATAGTTGACTCACAATAAGCAGATCCATTTGAACAAGTCGATAGAACGAGTTCTTGTACGCCTTCGCGCATCCCAGGTAGAAAAGAAAGAAAATGATGAGTAGAAAAGAAGGTAGACCGTAACACAACTGAACAATAATCGGCAAGCGGCGGGCGGTTCGGTCAGGAACGATATCGACGGTTTCGTAATGTACGTACTCATTCCGGAGCGAGCATCGAGGAAGTATCACACATTTTGTAGACACTCCGCCGCATGATTACTAGTTTTACGGCATTTCACTCTGAAGGAAAGGGCACGTAATATTGGGGGGACTCGAGGAGATTAATGTGATTAGAACGGGGGTACTGGCACAAAAGAATCGATTTCAATTCAACCATTTTGTTGCATTTTGAAGTTGACAGATGCTCAAGTTGTGTTATTTTATACAAAGAAAGAACTATTTCTAGAAGGCTGTACATCATTCGGCTCATTCGACGCCTCATTTCCCTTTCGTAACAATCCCAAATCGTTTTTCACATTGTTATCGAACGCGATGAGAATGTACGGAAGGGCCAGTGTCATCTGTCAACAAACGTTGTTCTCTTTGTTCTAAAGATAGTTTCTTATTACCAAGTCGGTCGAGTAGATCAAGAGCGCCCAGTGATTGTCGTTGAGCACATTCGGAAGAAGATTGAGAAGAGTGGTGAACGTGGTGAACACGCTCCAGATGAGGAATCCAGTGTAGAGGAGGCAGTAGGTCAGCGCGATTTTCGTCAGTTTTTCCGTCATTTTCCGAACGGACGCACTCAGAGATCCGCGCGTTTTGATGAGATCTCTGAACTTTCGGGGAACACAGACGGAGGTGAACAGCCAGAGAACGAGGAGAATCGTAAAGTAGACGAACGAGTAGAACGTCTTCATCTGGGTGCTCCGATTGAAATCCTCCACGTCCACACTGGCCATCAGGGTTCCGTTCGCCATGAAAACCGAGGCTTTGGTGCCGGGGAGCGAGAGATTTGTGGAAATTGCGTAGAGGACGAAGAGCAGTCCGACGAACGGATACCAACGAGACCATTTCTGGAAAGAAGTTCACTTTGTCGAGAATTGTGCGAAAAAAAGTAGGTCAAAACGTACTTACATAGTCGTGTTGCGAATAAAAGTAGATGGCCGAAATGCGATGGGCGCTCAACGCGAACGCCGTGCAGAACTGAAGATGCATGAAGAAGTTGACCAAATACGTGGAAAGCGTCAGAAGACCCGGAATGAACAGCTCGATTCCAGTGATAACATTCAGTCCGGACGGGTATCTGACGATTCGTCCCGACAGAAATGAGTTGATGTAGTAGAGCACATTCTGAAAGTATTTTAATGGGATATTGTTGAACAAACTTACGACACACTCACAATCAGGGGTGTGCGGAAAATATTTCGATTTTCCGAAATTTTCCGATTTTCCGAGAAATTTTCGGAAAATTTTCCGACGGAAAATTAGTGTGGATTCAAGGTCAATTTGTCCGAAACCACCGTATGCTTTTTAAAGGCGCATCACAAAATTTTTGGAAGGGTCTAGCAGCGAGCGTCTTTTTAAATTTGATTTTTAAATTTTACGCACGGAGCGACTCTTTTCAACCGCGCGTCTCATTCTCACTGACAATCGGAAAACACTGGACCCGGAGAGCTTCTCTCGGCTAATTTTTTTGCAAAAAAATATTCCATTGCTTGGCTTCCGCCCACTCAAGTGATTTCAAATCATAATAAGCATTTTTTTGTATTAGAACGTTGTTTAAACACTTTATTGAACCAATGAACAAGTGAGTTTTCCGATTTTTCCGATTTTTCCGAAATTTTCCGAAAAAAAAATTCGGAATACCCGATTTTCCGAAATTTTCCGAAAAAAAAATTCGGAAAAACCGATTTTCCGAAATTTTCCGATAAAAATTTTCCGCACACCCCTGCTCACAATCAATAAATCCATTTGGACCAATCGATAGAACGAGTTTGTGTAGGCCTTTGCGTGTCCGAGGAAGAAGAGGAAAAAGAGCATGAGGGCGAAGGAGGGAAGTCCGTATCCCAACTGGACGATCGCCACGAAAAGAGTGGCGCGGTCGGTGACGAAATCGTCGACCGGCACCGTCAGAAACACACTCATTTTTTGAGGACGGAGCTAGAGATGTCAACCAGACCAGTCCGTTGTTGTTTTGGGTTTGGAAGGGAGTGGAGCTGGAGTCGGGGTTTGTAATTGGCAACTTCAAATCACAAATTCAAAATGCCGGGCACGTGCATCAGACCAAAGACGCGTTTTCAAAAAAGTGAGTATAGTTTGGGCTTTTTTTTGATTCCCCAACTTGAGATTGGTCAGGTAAATCAATTTTTGATCCATACATTGACTAACATGGAAGTCGAGGATAAGACCCATCCTGCTAACAGTAAAATTGATGTTATTTGCAAAATCCATACGAAAAATGGTTTCCTCACGGCGACCAAAAGTGTAGAAAGGGGCGTGGCCGGCTACCGTATACCAGGAACAAGTTCCGCGGGAAATTTGAAATTAAACAGTCAATTTGATGTTTTTGACGTAAATTTACTGGTTTTCGCATAGTTTTTGTTGATGTAACTGCATAAATTTTTTAAATGTATCTTTTTGAGCATTTTAGGCCCGAGTTTGTGGCATTTGCTTCAGAAATGAATTTTTTGAATCGATTTTTCGAAAAGGCGCCTCTTGAAATGTGGCGCGCCGGCTGAAAAAAACGAAAATATTCCTTACAACATATCGCTAGTTAAATCGACAGCCGAACACAAAAATTTATTGTTCTCACAAAAAAACGGGGTGGCAACGTAGGAAAATCACATTTATGCACTTGAAAGCCCAGCTCACACAACCAGGGGACCACTTCTAGACGGTTGTACTTCATTTGCGAAACTTGGGTTTCGCGAGAGTCCCAAATCGTTCTTCACATTGCTATCGAACGCGATGAGAATGTACGGAAGAGCCAGTGTCATCTGTCAAGAACCGTTTTCTCTTCTCCTCTCGCCGACAACCTTCTCTCACCAAGTCAGTGCAATAAATGAGAAGTGTCCAGTGATTGTTGTTGAGCACATTCGGCAGAAGGTTCAGGAGAGTGGTGAACGTGGTGAACACGCTCCAGATGAGGAATCCAGTGTAGAGGAGACAGTAGGTCAGCGCGATTTTCGTCAGTTTTTCGGTGACCTTCTGAACGGACGCACTCACGGCGCCGCGCACGCTCGTCAGTTCTCGAAATCGGCGGGGAACACAGACGGAGGTGAACAGCCAGAGAACGAGGAGAATCGTAAAGTAGACGAACGAGTAGAACGTCTTCATCCGCGTTTTCCAATTGAAATCCTCCACGTTCACCGTCGTCATCAGGGTTCCGTTCGCCATGAAAACCGAGGCTTTTTCGCCGGGGAGCGAGAGATTGGTGGAAATTGCGTAGAGCACGAAGAGCAGTCCGACGAACGGATACCAACGAGACCATTTCTGGAATAGATCGGGTGTTGATGTGTGGATGGATGAAAGTTCACTCCGTCTAGACTTGTGCAAATTTGTAATGTAGGTTCCTGGCATTTGCCAACTTTTTCTTCGAAAATTCATAGACTTGCGTGCTCGACACCCCGTAATTAGACATCGGCCACAAATTTTGGAGTTTCAAAGGTCTAGCTCACGGAAAAGTACACAGAAACTTATGACATCACACAGAACTACGTAATGATTCAACAATGATCTTACAATGATTGTATAAAGCGCGTGAAAGTCTTTTGATTGCGTCAGTAACCGTACTTACGTAGTCGTGTTGCGAATAAAAGTAGATGGCCGAAATGCGATGGGCGCTCAACGCGAACGCCGTGCAGAACTGAAGATGCATGAAGAAGTTGACCAAATACGTGGAAAGTGTCAGCAGACCCGGAATGTACAGCTCGATTCCAGTGATGACATTCAGTCCGGACGGGTATCTGACGATTCGCGACGAGGGAAACGTGTTGATGTAGGAGATTGAGTTCTGGAATTACGGATATTATAGTTGTGCTCGTACAATCACCAACTTACAATCAATAAATCCATTTGGACCAATCGATAGAACGAGTTTGTGTAGGCCTTTGCGTGTCCGAGAAAGAAGAGGAAAAAGAGCATGAGGGCGAAGGAGGGAAGACCGTATCCCAACTGGACGACCGTCGGGAATATGGTCGTCCGATCGGTGATGAAATCTTCGATGCTAACCGTGAGAAGCACACTCATTTCTCCTCAGTGATCTGTCGTTTTCGATGGGAGCGGCGAAAAGAGAGATTTCCGGTTGGAGAATAGCAATTATAGCTCCTAATATGCCGCTCTTAATGCCATAGCCAGACATCGAAAGCAAAGTTCGGCGGGATCGAAATTTTATGGTCTGGCTGGGCGTTGGACCCTGAAACCCAAAGCCATGAATGAGCATTTCAGTCTGGTCATCCCGTCGGCCTTCATAACCGTCGTCACGATTGTCGGATTCTTCACACCTCACTCGACGACAGGCGAGAATACGGAGAAAGTCTCGCTCGGAGTCACCGCTCTTCTTTCCATGGCCATCATAAGTTAGCGCTCTTTTTTTCCGAATATCATCCATGTATGCCACTCGAAATAGGCCACGCCCCTCTTAATGCAAAGCTGCGGCTCATCGGGGCCTATTTCGGACGGGGGAATGGATGATATTTCGAAACACAAGTTTTTAGTGATGATGGTGTCCGATGAGGTTCCGGCGACTTCCGAAGTGATTCCGTTGATCGGAAAATACTACATCGGCCTGATATTCCTCATTTTCATGGCCGCCTTCACGACGACGCTCACACTTTCGTATCAAATGCGCGGAAATAGTGGACAAGAGGTGAGCAAATGCAGAAAATCCGCATTTTTCGAAATTTCACTCATTTTTCAATCAATTTTTGCAGGTCGATCCTCGAGTCCGCGACTTTTTCTTCTATCAAATCGCGGCGAATCCGTGCATTTCATGGGCCTTCTCCTTCCAGTTGCCCAAGAAACTTTTGCGGTCGGATCACAGAAAACAGGTACTTTCCCTCTTATTTTGCCCCTCTCGCAACAACAAGATCGCGTGTCCTCTGGGCGGTGTTGTCATTCGCCTCGCGTCCGCTTTTTTCCGTGTCCTCGGTAGTATAGTGGTGAGTATCCGCGTCTCACAGGTAAAATGCGGAGGAAGCATATGCTTCAAAAATGCCTCAAAATGCCATATGCTCGCATATAGGATCCACATAGGATCCTCCGCGAGCGAAAAGCAAGATATGCCTCGCGCGTGCGTAGAAAGGGGAACTTCGGCTGCCGAATCGCGCACGGATGAAATATGCTTTCAGTCATGCGGTATCACTCGCTATGCGTCGCGGCTTCGAGTGCATTGAGCGAGTTCCTCCATAACTCGAAGAGCATAATTCGTAGAAAATAATGGTCAACTACAAAGTTGATCAGCATGAGATTTACTACAACTTTTCAGTTAATTACTTCTTCCTGCAACGTTTAGTTCTTGAGATACAGGCTGTTGAAATAGTTAGTGGGTCGTATCACAAAAACGAGCTGACTTGCAAACAGGTTGTCAACTGAAAAACGATGCGCAATGTCTTTATCAATAATTCATTAGTTGACAACGTAGCTATATCTTTACTAGATTTCGTGATGCAGCAAGATTTAGAACTATTGCTTTCATCAGCCTGTATCTCAAGAACTAAACGTTGCGGGAAGAAGTAATCAACTGAAAAGTTGGAGTAAATCTCATGCTGATCAACTTTGTAGTTGACCATTATTCTCTACGAATTATGCTCTTTGAGTTATGGAGGAACTCGCTCAATGCACTCAAACGCAGTTCCTACATGAACCGAACGGCAGCACGAGCGGCACCACAGAAGCGGCGGGCAGCGGCATGGCTTCCCAAGCATTTTTTTCTGTGCGTCGAAACTTCTGATGCGTGCCGTCGGAAGAAAAACTGATTTATCTTACCCGTTTTTCTTCAGGATCGTGTTTATAACTATAAAAACTAACAAAGAGCAACAAGAAACTCCCAGAAATGTATATAGGTCACTGGGAAAAAACCGTTTTGCGAAATATGGCAGTTTCGTGCTTGCTTTTTGTGTCTCTTTGTTAGTTTTCATCATGATGAACTCGTTCCCAAAAAAGCAAGTGAAATTAATCAGTTTTCTTCCGACGGCACGCACCAGAAGTTTTGGCGCACAGAAGAAGGCTTGGGAAGCGCGCCGCCGCCCGCCTCCCGCCGCTCGCTCGCGCTCTCCGTGTTCCGAGACTTTAGATGCGTGCCGTCGGACGAATACCTATTCGTTTCACCCGTTTTCTTCGGGAACGTGTTTATAATAATCAAAACTAACAAAGAGCAACAAGAAACACGCAAAAAATTTCCGAGGTTCAGCACGAAAACAGCTAAAATGAATCGGCATTCGTCCGGCGGCGCAGAGAAAGAGGCTTGGGAGGCGCGCCGCCGCTCGCTCGCGCTTTCCGTGTTCCGAGACTTCTGATGCGTGCCGCCGGAGAAATACTGATTCATCTTACCCGTTTTCTTCAGGAACGTGTTTATAATGATCAAAACTAACAAAGAGCAACAAGAAACTCGGAGAAATGTCTATAGGTCACTTCATTATGATGTAAACTAACAAAGGGACACAAAAAGCGCTCACGAAACAGCCATATTTCGAAAAAAGCTATTTCTCCATTGACCTATACACATTTCTCCGAGTTTCTTGTTGCTCTTTGTTAGTTTTGATCGTTATAAACACGTTCCTGAAGAAAACGGGTAAAATGAATCAGTATTTCTCCGGCGGCACGCATCTGAAGTCTCGGAACGCGGAGCGGGTGGCAGGCGGCAGGCGGCGGCGCGCTTCCCAAGCTTTCTTCTGTGCGCCAAAACTTCTGGTGCGTGCCGTTGGAAGAAAACTGATTAATTTCACTTGCTTTTTTGGGAACGAGTTCATCATGATGAAAACTAACAAAGAGACACAAAAAGCAAGCACGAAACAGTCGTATTTCGAAAGGAACGATTTCTCCATTGACTTATACACATTTCTGCGAATTTCTTGTCGCTCTTTGTAAGTTTTCCTCATTATAAACACGTTCCCGAAGAAAACGGGTAAGAAGTCTGAACTTTCTTGTTCTCTCACTGTCTTCCCTGAAAAATCTCGATGCTACTGTAGGGATGCAGAACAAGCGATTTTAGGAGCCTGAGCCTGTTCTGCATCCCAGGCTATGCTACTAATATGCTGGTTAGTCGCTGTTCTTGGCGAGCTCGCCCATTTTGTCATGCAAGCCTCTGGTAGCAGCATCAGCAGGGACGGGAACACAGGTAAGCGCGCGCATTAATACGGGAAGGGTCACGGGTTCGGGTTTGTGGGAGGTTTCGTGGCGCGCGCGTCGCGTTTTCCATTTTCGGGTGGGAAAGCATAAAGCATCCGCCGCGAAAGCACAAAGGATCCGGCGCATTCCAAGCATAATGCTTCCATATGGTATTCCTATGCTTTCCACGCGCGATCCGCGTTGAAAGCACATTAGACCCATATGCTTCCTCCGCATTTTACCTGTGCTGTCACATGCGAGACCCGGGTTCAATTCCCGGCCGGGGAGAAATTTTTTGATTTTCGGACATTATTTTCAGAGCTTTTTCTTCATCAACGGAAACCATGCGAACGGATACGCGAAGGGCGAACTTCGGCCGATCACCCCGCCGGCGCACATTGTCAAAATGGAAGAGATAACCGGCGGAGGAAGTATCAAAAGCTTCGTAATGTCTTCCGATTCGGCGACGACGACGAATCAGTTGACGTCGTCGCTTCTGAAGATCAAATTGGTTTTGGACGATATGAAGGCGTCCATTCAAGCAGGTTAGCCGCTTTTTTCATCCCGGAAAAAAGCTAAAACACGGATGTTCGTGAGGATTCGCGAGAATTCCTCCTCCTCTCAAATTGATTCGATTTCTGATATTAACAAGACATCACTAAAGTTCCGGTCTTATTTTTAGATGTTTGAGATCTTCAATATTGTCGATTTCTTCATCCAAACGTCTAAAAGAATTGCAGAACGCGAGTTGAAACGCATCAAATTCGAGTGGCAACAAGTGACGCGGCTGATCGACAGATGCATAATGTTCGGCTACATCCTCATCACAATCGTGTTCGCACTCGTCATGCTCGCTTCCCGCGAACCGCCGATTGTGCTCAGCGACGTTATTATGGACTCGGTCAAGAGCACTTGAGCTCTTTTTCTTGGAAAATAACCCCTATGCACTCATAAACTGAACTTGCTGCTCAAATTTCTATGCGGTTTGAGTTCACCTCATTTCACCGGTGCTAATGAATATATAATTTTTAATTAAGATAACAACAGAACAACAAAAGATGGAATAAAACATGATAAATGCATGTACAGATGAATTGTGGCGTGTCGTTGGAGTTCTGAGAAAATTTCGCTTTCAGCAAAGATCAATGTTCTATTCCGAGGTCCCAAGACACGGAATTTCATTCATCCAATCACGGGACCGAATTAACTCGAGATTTCCGGCCGACATCATCACAGATCAAACCACCGAAAAAAAGGTGCTGGAAGGGGTGTCTGATGACAAAAGTGTAGGAGGCCTCTATCAGGAGACCGGAAATGTTTTCCAGTCGTGTCTGATGACTTGACCGTATTTTCTCGAATACTGCACGACTGCTCGACTAGAGAACGCTACAAACGGATATTCGAAAAGTGCCGAACGTCCGTCACTGGTCTTTAAGGTCAAGAAAATGGTATATCCAAAAATATCCGTGTTTAACTTGAATGCGCGCAGCGAATTTTTCCATTTAGGTCGTGGTCCATAATGGGAAAGTGGGAAAGAAAGGAATGTATTTTTCCGCACTTTTCCTAGACCACCTAAACGGGAAAATTCGCATTCCAGGAATACTTTATTACTTCCGAAATCGATACGAAAACTGGTCGTTCAAAAAAAAACCGGATATTTTTGGATATATGAACTTTCACATGATTCCAAGTATTCAGCCTCTCCCTCCCTCATCAGCACGTCGACGTTCTTGCAAAACGTATAATAATAATCGGATTCTTTTTCTGACCTCTAGTCGATTTCAGGAAATTCGCACATTTTCTGCATCAGTTGACACGCCGCGCCTCCTCTTCGCCGTTTACTGACACGCAGAAACGCTTCTAAACTTTGGCTCGGCGATTTCCGGAATTTGGAGAAAGGAGACGTCTCGAAGTAGGAAAAAGAAGCGCCGAGTTTCGGGTTCATTTCGCTCCGGTGCACATTCGGAAACGGGCGGTTTTGTCGGCGGGAGAAAAAAAGTTCTTGGATTCGTCTATTCAGAGGATGTCTGTCCCGAATTCTAGATTTCCTTATATTATGGAGTCATTTTTCTGCAATCGTGTCGAAACGCGGTCCCGATACCATTGCAGTTTGCACTACAAACAGAGTTTCTCAACAGAGCGCGATTGCAGTGAAGTGCGAAAAAGTGCATTCTTCTGAGCCCAAAAATCCCACCCGCTGTGTCCGAAACGTCCGAAAAAACGATGTCCTTTCTGAATGGAACCCTTCCTCAGTACTTTTCCGTCTACTAAATCGCGTGCTTCATAAACGACTTCAAAGTTTTTTGTGACCGGAAGTACTTCTCTTTCATGGCTCGCCTTCTCGACGCTCCGCCCATTTCCTGATTGTTCGGAAATGGTGTAAAACCTATAAAAGTGTGCGGAAAACGTAGGAGAGAGAGAGAGAGCAGTCGCTTTTTCTATCGTTCAAGGCTCACCCATCCAAAAATCGCATCATTTTGTGTATTGCGGGCAGAAAACCGAGAACAATGCAGCCGACTAGTGCTAACTGCGGATGATGATGATTATGATAATCCCTTCGCGAATCCCTTTGATCCATTTTCGGATAAGTTCAACATTTTACCTATTGCAAAGCATGATTGGATGAATTCCGTGACTTGAGCCCTCTGATTCAAATATCGCATTGTTTACCTCTAGTAATCGTCGGGTTCCTCAATTTTTATGCTTCTGTCCGAATCGTCCTCTTCCTCCGATTGGTCCTCCTCTTTGACTGGCGCCGTTTCGGACCAGTCCTCTTCGTTCGGCGGTCCCTCGTCGTACGAGTCGGGTTCCTCGATTTTCACCGGCATTTCCTCCTCTTCCGCAATTTTTTCGTCTTGGGGACGCGTTCCTGCTGCTGCTGCTGCAAAAAAACATCTCTGTTAAAGGTGTTTTTAACATTTGTCGTCATTTTTTCTCCAAGTTTATCCCCACCTTTCATTATCCTTTCTATTCATCGTTCTTTCAATGAATACCCGTCAAATGTTTAGCAAATCGTCCATTTCTCTATTCAATCCATCTAAATATGTATCGCCAACTTTTCGAGCATATCGAGGTGACTGCTCAGCGTGAGCCCGAGGTCAAGGTGAGCTCCAATCGATAATTTTAACGCTCAGAAACTTGAATTTAGGCGAATTCCGTGGAAAATGAGCAAAAATCTCCAGCGAAACCCGTAAATTCATCGGAAATCGTTCAAATGTCAAAGGCAAACGAGGTGAAACCCGGGAAGATCAGCGAGAAGTCGTCGTCGGGATCGGCGTCGTCAGAGAAGGAGAACAGCGAGCCGTTGGATGCAATCGGTGAGTCCAATGGCTTCTCCCACTCTAATCCCATCATTATCAACCGCGGGCGGCCGTCATTTTGCGCACGTTTTTACGAGCAAATCTCTTTTTGACTATAATTATGAGGTCTTCGATTGAAATCCGAATCGAGTTAGCCTCCCCTAGACCGATTCGGAATCTTTTTGAGCGAATGACGGAGGCGCGTCCGGATTACTCACTAGGTTTGTTTCTAATGTCGTCACGCTTACGTTATTTGCTGCCAGTTGGAAGTTCAGCGACTAATCGGATCAAAAACGGGAATTTCCAGGGCAAAAGATATTCGACGAGACGTCTCGTCTGTCCGATCGGCAGAGGGAAATCATACAGAAGACGTTTACGAGCGTTGAGAAGGATTGCGTCCGAAATGGGCTCAAGATCTTCGTCAGGTACGTAGATCGATAGTATTGACAAGAATCGCATCTTTTTTGCAGACTTTTTGCGGAATACCCTCGCTACAAGTTGATTTGGCCTCAATTCCGCGCGATTCCCGATTCGAGTTTGATGAATGCGGTCGAGTTACGGTAAGAAGATGGTAGACGGAGATCCGAGTGGAAAATTGGAATCTTTTTAAGAAGACACGCATCGGTGTACTTGAAAGGTCTCGGAAGGATCATCGAATCGATGCGGAACGAAGAGGAATTGGCAAAATCCATGTCACGCATCGCTCAGGCTCACATCAAATGGAATGTTCAGCGGAATCACGTTATTGTCAGTTTCTGTTACAAAAAAAAACAAAAGTTCTAGAATTTCGACTCACGACTCAAAATTATGGCTTGAAAGAGTCAGGGCCGATCGAATGAGCGAAAGTGTCTCAAAAATCCACCTCTAACCGAGTCCGAAGCAAAAAACCTTTAAAAAACGTTTCCAGCACATGATCGAGCCGGTTCTGGAAGTGGTCAAAGAGTGCAACGGCTACCAATTGGACGAGGAGACGCGCCAATCGTGGACGGTCCTCTATCAGGTCATCGCAAATCTAATCGAAATTTTCCGTTGTCGCACTGCGAACGAATAACTCGATCTCATCATCAGACTGTTTTTCGAATTGCCGTAAGACCATATTGGTCACTTTGCCACGTATACATACATTTGTTTCTCCTGAAGACCTGTGAATAAACTGACCCTCTTCTTCTCCGCTCTCCACCTTCAATTTCACATCGTTTTCCTCGCTTTTCTTCGTCTTTTTCGCCTTTCTCGTCCGCTTCCTTATCACTGCCACTTCTTCGGGCATATCCTCCAAATCCGCTTCGCCCGGCGCACCATCCAGGTATTTTTGTATCAGAACTGTGTTCAATCCAATCTGAACAAACGGTTTCTGGCTCCAAATTTCTGCAAGAGACAATTTCGGACCTCTGCGTCGGCGTGTTCCATCATAATCGAATAGTGCGCGCGTGATCCGTGGAGTCGGTCCAGCTCCTGAGCCACTTCCCGAGCAGCCTCACGTTTTTCCAGATTCCGGATGGTTCTGAGCGATTTGGGCTGGAATTTGACGTTGTTTCTTTTTGAGAAGTAAGTTGGTCGGAAAAGCGAGCAATTTTTTGAACGCTTTAAAAAGTTGAAACTTTTACTTGAAAACGCTGGTTTTTGCGTGCAAGACTGTAATTTTTACAATATTCTGTCCGGAAACAAGGCAATTTTGAAAGGATAGAGCGAAAAATAGCAAAATGGACCTACAGTATGCACAATTTCCTTATCCCAATCCAATTTCACATCTCGCCAATGTTGGCTCCAAATCGGTCGTCCGCAATTTACCACTTTTTGAAAATCCTCCAATATTTCACGATATTTCACCTAAAAACAGCATTCGATCCGGAAATTTTAGTGGCGAACCGCGGAAAGAAGTGCTCCGGCGCGTGCTCCGTTCGGGCACCAAGCACCGTCCCGGACCGGCAATTTCTCCAGTCTTTCCTGGATTTCCTTCGCCAATTTCAGATATTCTATCACATTTCTCAGCCTAAAAACGATCAATTTTACGGCAGAAATCTTCGGAAAAACTGACGCCGTATCGAGCCATCCCTCCACTTCCGTCTCGAACTTTTCAACGTGTTCCGGAAGGGAAATCACGAATTCCTCCTTCAGTTCGAGCGTTTTCTGCAGATTTGGCGAGTTTTTCCACGGAAGTTTGATGCGCGACAGCTCGTAAATCACACAAATCAACGATTCAATCATGTCGAGTTCCGACATTCGGTGCGCTGAAAGTTTTAATTGAAATTCCCCAAAAATCTATAATTTTGCTTTCTGTTTTTTCTGATGAAAGCAATCGTACAACTATACAAATTTTGTGTAAAACCGGCACCTGGTCCCTTGACGATGAACGAAATGGGCGCATAGGTCAAATCGTCGGAATTCCAGTGCAAATCCATAGTTTCGGCGCTGTCCAGATACGCTTTCGTGACAGGACAATACCGTTTATCCGAGATTACGGTCACCTAAACTCAATATTCACACATTTTTCGCAGAAAAACAACAATAAACATCAGTGATATCGGCTAAATAGAACATTCTGGATTTGACGTCGAATTTCCACTGTTTCGCGTCGAAATTGCGTAAAACGTAGCCGGTAGAGGCCAAAAGTTCGGCGGTGCTGATCAGATCGATGGCGATGAACGCGGCGGTCGTAGGGGCCAATTGGGCCGACGGCGCCGCTTCCAGAAGAGCCTGAAATATCGTGTTTCACGGATTTTACACATTTTCGGAGAACATTTATACTTTAAGAGTGGGTCCGGGTCTGTTCTGAAGGACCATGAAGTAGACGTGATTGTTGATGAGTCCGCAGTCCAGAACACTCGTAAACCGGTGCGAATTGCCCAGAGAGTATTGTTTGTGCGAGAATTCCACCTGATTCGCCAGCGAGCTCATTCCGTCGTCGCCGATTTCGACGTACAACACTCCCTGAACGTTTTCTTTTTAATTCAAAAATCAATTTTCCAGTTTTTTGCGAAAAATTTACTCACAAATTCGCTGACTTTCTGGTCGCACACGTCGTAGCAATGGGCGCCTCCGCGCGCGCCCACATTCTTCAGAATCACCCATTTATCGTTGAAAACCGTTTTTGGCTTTAGATTTTCGATCGTTTCCCGGCTGAAACGGGTCTCCACACGCTCGTAATTGTGTCCTTTCCGTACCCGACTCATTTTTCTGAAATTTAGCTTTTTGGTAAATTTGACTGAAAATTCAAACTTTTTCAAGTGGCAGATTAGCAGCGGAGCGCACTTGCATACTTCGGCCACGACCCCATTTCAGCAAAGTTCGAAAAAAGTTCGATCAATTTCAATTAAAAAAAAGGCGTTTTCTTTACATTATCAAAACGTTTTATTAAAATTACATTGAACAATTGCAGATCAAGAGCTCTCTTCTGTGAGACTGGAGAAAGAGGCGACACAGACGACCTTCTGGCCGCCGATCGGACGTCTCTTCTTCGCCGCCGCGCCCGCCTTCTTGAGCATCGTCTCCAGCTCCTCGAGCATCTTCTTCTGCTCCTGCTCCATCCGCTTCTCCTCCTCAACTCGCTCGGCGAGCACTTGCCGCTGCTCTCGAAGCATTTCGATCGCTTTTCCGATCTCCGCCGCCCTCGCGCTCCACTCTTTCAGCCGGAATTCTTCGCGATCACAGTCCGTTTTCAGGTCTTTCAGCTGTTGCTGAAATTGAATAATTGTTGAAAAACTTAGAAAAACAAAGAAAGAAAGCAAACCTTGTGCAAATGGCGTCGAAAGTCGATTTCCTCGCGCATTCTCTGCACGAGATCCCTTTTCTCGGCGAGTTTCTCGAGGCTCTGCTGGATTTCGGCGGAAAGCGCCGCCGAAGAGTCCATCGTGACGCCCATCAGCTCCTTTTTCGCCTTCACCTCGCTCATCATCTCGGCCAGATGCTGCGCCCACGCCGTCACCCTGTACGAGATGTCCGACTCGCGGCGACGCGCCTTGTCCACGCGGTCCCACAGTTCGGTCACTTGCGATTGGACGACGCCGATCCGATTCGACAGCTTCAGCTTCTTCTCCGTCTCCTCGTCCAACTGACGCTCCAGCAGACGCATGTACTCCTCGACGTCTTGCTCGTATTCGGCCACCGATTCACTCTGCAAAACAGTGCGTTTATCGATTAGATTCTTCCTTGCAAAATTTTCAGATAATTTTCTCACCGTCATTGCGGTCACATTGACCACCGTCAACTTCTCACGAATCGTTTTGATATCCATTTTTGTTAATTTTCACAAATTGGCAGTGTTGGAAAGTATAAGGCAAATGCCACATGGCACGTGGTGCTGGTCACGTCAGAAAATCTTCTGGAGCATCAGAATCTTCTGTTGTTTATGGGGCTATTCAGCGTATGTTTGTTTTACGTTTTTTTTTCATCGCTGAATTGGATTTTTTGTAAAAAACGAAAAAAAACGTAAAAAACGGAAAACAATCATTTTTTCACAGCCTGAATAACCCCATTACTTCGATTTCGACGGCTGTTCTTTTCATCGGAGTTGGAGAGCTGAGAGTATTCCGCTAATGTTGCTATCGATTTTTTTGGAGACGTTGTAGGCGCGTTTGTCGATAAATGTTTTCTCTCGATAAGTCACACTGCTGCTTCCACGTGCGCGAAAAGCTTTTAATAATGTTTTTTTTTCCCTTCCCCTGATAAAGTGTCTCGTGCCGTCATAAAAACAGACTGTCACCGACAAAACAGTCCTTGAGCACCCAGCATCATAACTTTCGTCGTTCGCTTATCACTTACTTTCGTTATCAGCTGACCCTTCGCATTCCCTTCGAGTCTACCCCTAACTGCATGGTTTTCTTCTTTCGATTTCTCTCCCTCTCGCCCTTTTCTGCCCGTTTTCTGCTACGAATTCCTCGAAATCGCGCGTGTACCCGAGTGGAAATCCAAAAACGATCCGAACATCGGGCCGGCGTACGGTCAGCCCGAACAGGTCCATTTGGCCTACGGAGGCGATCCGTCGGCCTACTCGGTCACCTGGCTGACCTACGACGATACCCTCAAGTCCATAGTCGAGTACGGAACGGATATTAGGGATCTGGAGAAAAGTACGGAGGGACGATGCGCCGTATTCCTTGATGGTCAGAAGAACAACGTGTGGAGATATGTGCATCGGGCGAATCTGACGGGCCTCACACCTGGCACCACATATTGTAAGTTCTTTGCTCTCTTTTTTGAATTTTAGTAATTTGCAGACTATCACGTGGGCTCGGAGCACGGTTGGAGTCCGATCTTCTTCTTCACCGCCCTGAAAGAACGGTCCGAAGACGGCGGAGGCTTCACTTACGCCGTTTACGGAGATTTGGGCGTTGAGAACGGACGGAGTCTGGGCACAATTCAGAAAATGGCACAGAAGGGACAGTTGGACATGGTGCTGCATGTTGGTAAGCAAAAAGAAACGATTGTATGTAGCCAATATTTCTTGGGATCTTTGTGTGTTCCTGTGCTCTCAAGTTGTCCGGGAATCGTTTGAAGAAATGTACTCAAATCCCCATTTCTCAGGTGACTTCGCCTACAACATGGACGAGTCGAACGGTCAGACGGGCGACGAGTTCTTCCGTCAGATCGAGCCGATCTCCGCGTACATTCCCTACATGGCGGCCGTCGGAAATCACGAATATTTCAACAATTTCACGCATTACGTGAATCGCTTTACGATGCCGAATTCCGATCACAGTTTGTACTACAGGTAGCGAGGGTTTCGAGTACTTGAAGGCACTTCAAGTACGTGTTCAGTTTCGACGTCGGCCCTGTTCATTTCATCGTTTTCTCCACCGAATTTTACTTTTACACCGGCTGGGGATATCATCAAATCGAGACACAGTACAAGTGGTTGATCGGCGATTTGAAGGTACTCTATATTTGAAAATGTTTAAAACCTTTAGAATGTTCCAGAAAGCCAATGGTAACCGTGACAAAGTGCCCTGGATCATTACTATGGGGCATCGACCGATGTATTGCTCGGATTTCGATGGCGACGATTGCACCAAGTACGAGTCCCTGGTACGTTCCCAGTTTTCTAGAAGATTCCATAAACTTTCCCCATCAGATCCGCACGGGACTGCCGTTAACTCACGGCTACGCCCTCGAAAAGTTGTTCTACGAGTTCGGAGTGGATGTGGAACTGTGGGCGCATGAGCACAGTTACGAGCGGTTGTGGCCCGTGTACAACAGGACCGTCTACAATGGAACCCGGGAACCGTACGTGGATTCGCCCGCGCCAGTGCACATTATCACGGGATCGGCGGTAAGTTAGCTGACTTCAAAATTGTGTTCCTAAAAGATTCTCAACTTTTTTTGTCAAACTGTATCAGTTCAACGAATGAACACTCTAAAATTGTAATGGTTTTCGGTTTCAAAGTTTATTGGTACTTGGTGTCAAACAAGAGGTCCCCCACAGATGCTCACTAAATCGGTGATACATCTTAAACCTTGACAGGCACGAATAATAGTCTTATAGTTCCATGAATTGCATTAAAACCCTAAAAATGTCCAACCGATTTCCATTGCAGGGTTGTCGTGAGAACACGGACGTTTTTGTGGAGCACCCGGCGCCGTGGAGTGCCGTCCGATCGACCGATTACGGGTTCGGCGTGATGAGAGTTTACAACGCGACACATTTGAATTTCAAGCAGATCAACGTGGCACAGGTAGCCTGGACCGAGGACAAACCTTGCAGGCTTCATGAACTTGGATTGAAGTATGTTGGGCCCGAGTTTCAGACCGATCGGATCATCTGATCCCGAGATATAAAGTGATTCAGGCCCGTAAAGCTTTTCGGGCTTTTAGGCCAACTTTAGGGGGACCAACATACTTCAATCCATGTTCAAGAAGCTTGCAAGTAGAGCGCTTCTGCATCACAACTTTTCAGGGCGGCACGGAAGACGACAATATCTGGGTGGTCAAAACGTCGCCGAAACACCATCGCCCGTTCAAAACGCGCGATTTGAAACGGTTGCGAACGTACGGAACCTTCGTGCCCAAACATCATTGTCATCACAAATCGCATTGTTTGAATCATTGATCAAATTTCTGTACTTTATGAACAACTTCACAATTTTCTCACAGAAAAAAGCAGCAGAAATGATACATAAATCAAAGCACAAAACTTTATTGAAACTTCACGATTTCCGGCGGGCTTCGAGATCCGAGGTCTACAAAAACGAGATGATAAAAAATGAGAAAAAAGGTGAAAACCTCTGAATCCGCTTCTTCGTCCAATCGGCTCAAGTTCACCGTGTTGTGGTGGAAGAAGCGATCGCCGTTGTGCCCTGAAATCATTTTATCTCAGCTGCTATTGGAGATATCAAAAAGTGATCAACTGATAAACTGTACAAAATTTCTTGCTGAGTATTTTATCAGTTGACAGTTCTGTGATATCTCTACAGACAGCCGAGATATTCTGCCTTGAATGTACAGTAGGGTACTCTAGGACTGTACATTCGGGACATGATATCTCAGCTGCTATTGGAGATATCAAAAAGTTGTCAATTGATAAAATGTTCCAAATTTCTTAACGTACATTTTATTAGTTGACTACTTATTGAAATCTCTACCCCCAGCTGAGATACATCGATTTCAATGGGGCACACCTATAGTTCCATTCGGACTTTTGGTCGATTGGATCGAAGTGTTCGATTCTTTCTTATTGTTCTGTTCAGTTAAAGTGATGGGTTGAATAGAGTCCGCACGGGGTCTTGACATGAAAGCCGAAGTCAGTTTTCGACGCATCGTCCCTCCGGCTTCCGACATTTTATCTGCAAATCAATTGAAAAAGGTCTCAAAGTTGTGGCCGTGGTCGAGACTTTGCTTAGGCCACGGCCACGGCGTTTGACTCACGAACGGGAGCCTCGTTGTGTGGTTCCACGTGGATCATCTTAACTCGTTCATGAGCTCCGGGCAGTCTGAACATGATAATCAACAATTTGGAGCGTTTCGATCAGTGGGACTCACTCGACACAAGCCACGGATCCGCGTTGATTGATTGGCGCTTCGGGGACACTGTGCTCCGAATAGACGGGTTGCCACGTGGGATCGGCGAAGACGTCGAGACGGAGCGTCGGCGGATTGTCGCAGTGCGCATCCACGATCGCCATTCCCGTCTGAATTATGAAAGTGGACACCGGGGGAGGGCCGCCCGCACACGAACCGCAATGTTCTTGTCGATGAACCAGTTGCACTCGAGGTCGTCGTCGTCCTCGCCGAGCGGATTCAGAAGCGCCTCGGCGACTTTCATCCAGCCGACGAAGAACAACAGTTCGAGGATGGTCATGATCGGAAAAACGAGGTTCGCCTGTTCGCGCGTGCCGTCGTGGATCGAGAATTGGCGAGAGAAGAGACAGATGACAAAATAGACACGGACAGCGAGGAAGACGACCTGAAAACGGGGCTCGAATGGGAATAGGATAATAGAATAGAAGCGGGTACTTGGGGATAGGCGATCGGGATCGGGACGAGGTCGTATTTGTTGAGAGTGTCCAGGGTGAGACGGTACTCGCGGATGACCGTCAGAATTTGATTCAAAGTCGGCGCACTGTCGATCAGTTGTTTGTGGTTCTCGGTTTTCTGGAACACTCTTTCATTCTTTACCTTTTTTGATTCGCTGTGTGACTCACAAACGTGGCCCTGCAGAGAAGAGCCTGTGCCCAGTTGACGGGCATCCAGTACTTGTTGTAGTCGAACTTGAAGCCCTCGATCACGTCCAACTCCTCCTCGAACAGAAATCCGGCGTCGATGAGCGATTCCAGGTTGGGGAATCTGCGACGGACTTTCATCGAAATGTCGCGGAAGAGCATCACTTGCGAAAGGACCAGGTAGCGGATTACGGTACGTCGGACGAGCCGCGCCTCTTCGCAACTGCCACGGACCAGGTTGGACACTTGGATGGCACAACTGAAAGGGACCGGGTGAACGAGGGATTTGTAGAGGGGGGACTGACTTCTCGATGAAACTCATATTCAACAGAATGTTCCTCCATCGGTCTATGACTATTGTGACGAAGAATCCGAGCATGAAAGTCAGGGGAATGTAGGCCAATCGGCTGTCCAGGTGGGCTCCGATCAGCTCGAAAGTTCTGGAAGTTTGACGCGTTATATCTCAGCAACCGGTAGAGATATCAAAAAGTTGTCAACTGATAAAATGTACACAATATCTTTGTAAGCCTTTTATCAGTTGACAACTTTTTGATATCTCTACCAGCAGCTGAGATATAACGTTTTGAATAAACGGTACCTTTGATGATTTTCCGTAAGGCCAAATCGATAGATCAAATTAATAATAAAGTATATGAGGATCCAGAAGAACATTTCAATGTACACAGATTTGAATATAGACCCTGAAAAAAGACAAGCGCGTCGGCGTACTAACGATTTTCAGATACCTTTCCATTTGCCCAATAACTTCAGAAAAGTGAAACTGCCGACCGAGGAGACGTCCAAATTGTAGGATACTGTCATTTGTTCTGAAAATAAGGACAACTGGGGAGAGTCAGCTGCCAAATATGCAACTTCTTAGTAAAACTGCTCAAAACCCCGAAAAATCAAACTTTGGGACATGTCTTGAGGCGCCCAAAGGCTACTGTTAAGAAATACACTCATAACTCAAAAACGATTCGATTTAGTGTAAAATGATTAATTACAAAGTTGTTCAGCATAAAATTTGCAACAACTTTGTAGTTGACGACTTTTTCAAATAGTCATTGGTTCTCGAGATATAAGCTTCCAAAGATGTAAAAGTTTTGAATGTCCAGTTACAGTCTTCTCGACGCGTTGCAAAGTTCGGAAACAAAAGTGACTGTATGGTATGTGTGTGGGACACCAAAAAGAGTGAATTGAATTGAGTGTTTGTTTTTGGGCGGCGGGTGTCATAACACTCGTAAAATCTGTTATGAGTATTATCGTTTTCTCTCCTATCACTGCTCTTTGCCACTCTGTTTTTCGGGTTCCTGAATTTATAATTCCGCTGACAGACAGGCACACACTTGTATTGTTGATGTCGGTTTTCATATGAGATCATCGAGCATACGGAAATGTTACGCTTTTTATTAAATGAACACATCTTAAATTATTACAGTACTTTGAAACCGGGAAAGTGATATTGTGGGGAAATGAGAATCGGGTCACAGGTTATCAAAATCACTTTCTGAGGCGGTTCTGAAGATTTCGAATTATGTTTTCATAGCAAAATCCTGCACTAATAGATATTTTTAAGTTGACAAACTTTCAGAGAATTCTCACAATTCACAAGGGACCGTCCGAGTATTGCCGTGGCCTAGAAAAACGCTAGGCCATGTATGTGACTAGTAAATTTGCAGTATCTCAATTGCCGTTAGAGATATCAAAAAGTTGTCAACTAATAAAATGTACAAACTTTCTTAGTGCACATTTTGTTAGTTGACAATTTTCCGGTATCTCCACCGGCAACGGAGATATAACGGATTGAATGTACGGTATCCGAGTGCCGATATTGTAGGCTTCTCAAACGAGCAGCTCGTAGTCTTGTTCGCCGGGAAAATGACGGCACTTGAACTTGTAGATGGGTTTCGAGACGAACAGAAGAATGATCGAAACGATGAGCATGACGAACAGGAACAGAATGCAATAGATCAGAAACTCGTTCATTTGGTGCGGACGCATCTGGAAAACACTTTTTTTGTAAGGCTTCGAAGAAAATCAGCGAACCTGCCCCTCCATTTTCTGAAATTCCCGGAAAATGTGTTGGTAGTAAATTTTGATGGCTTTACAAGAGAAAGAAAAAGTAGAAACGAAGATCCTAAGGCTTGGCGATAAATTTTTCACTTTCACACAAATCCTCCCCCAAAAGCCTCTCAAATCAAGTGTAAATCTTTCGAAAATCCGAGGAGTAAACAAATCTTAACGAATTTTTAAAAGAAATTCACTTATTCTAATACACTACACATGTGTTTTATGGTTTAGCAGACTTTTGAGCGAGGGAGGACTGAACCCGGAAATTGTACGGCTCTAAAAGTAGGTAGTGTTCATTCAATGCAATATATCTCCGTTGCCCGTAAAGATATCGAAAAGTCATCAACTAACAAATTATTCATTAAGAAATTGTGTACATTTTATCAGTTGACCACTTTTTGATATCTCTAGCGGCAGCCAAGATACAAGTGATCAAGTGATTCCAAAGGGTTCCTCACGTACCTCCACGTGTTGTTGCTGGATTTGCTCCGAGTCGAGTCCGAGTAGCGACAGAATTTTGGTGCGCGGTGGAGAAATTCTGAAAGGCGTTGGAAGCGAATGGAAAGTGAGTGCAATGAGAGCAGATTTGAAAGAGGAAGAGAGAGGAAGAGAGAGAGAGAGAGAGAAGGAGAGGAAGGGGTTGCCAGGGGAGCCGGCAGGGGGCTCACGGAGCACACTCGGAGACGCCGAGAAGGGAGAGGAAGAGGGAAGGCCCAGAACCTTGTAGGATCTCCAATTTGATGCCGAAAACGTTGTGGGTAATGAGGAGTGTCAGTTTTCCAAATTGCAACTCTCAGAATTAGAGTGCTCAAGGCTAGCCATGCAAAATAGGCGCGAATGTACGTATTTATACGTAATAATAGTTCTCAACACGGAAAAAATGACATTTGGGATCGAATTTCTGCAATAAATGAAAAGGCTTCGGCTTCCAGAGAGTCTAGACTCTAGGATGAAAAGAGAAGAAGAAGAAGAAGAAGAAGAAGAGTGAGCGAATGGTCAATGACGTGGCACTAATATGACCTCGTTCCAAGCGACACTTTTGTCTTTCTCTGCTGTTCTCAGGTTCGGTCTTCAACAAATTTCGGAACGTTTTCTTTGTACTTTGAGTGTAAAAATCTAGACTTTTCGGTGAGTTTTCCAATGAATTCGCATAAATCAACGTTTTTAATATTGTCCTTCTCAGAAATTGGGCCATAACTCAAAAACGACTCACTTTGGCGTGAAATGATCAATTACAAAGTTGTTCAGCACAAAATTTGCAGCAACTCTTCTGTTGGCAATTTTTTGAAACAATCATTGGCTCTTGAGATACAGGTCTCAGAAGACAGCCCGACAAATTTCGAATAGCCTTAGTTTCTGGAACAGCTAAAATGTTCGGTGTTTTGAGATTTTCAGCTGTAATTCTAACAATTTTCGAAAACAATTAGACAGAACGCTAATATCGACAATGGGAACCCATTTTTGAAGTAGACCGGGAAAATATTGAGTTTCAGAAGACACTCTGCGGTCCCCAGTTGTTGCGCAAACTTTCAAGGGTCCCAGGAAACAGCTCAAGTAAGAAAAACGTTTAAAAAGGTGAGCTTAGGATAGTTGGAATGCGCAAAAACACAGCTGGACGACGCCGTCGGTGTTTTCGTGCGCAACGACACTCCGACCATGACGGTCCTTTTCGGAAGACTGTGGGCGAGAAGGAAGGAATAAAAAAGAAGAAGAAGATCCATTGACACATCCTCACGTAAACATCAGAGTTGAGCGGAATTCCGTTTGCCGTCTTCCGTCTTCCGTCTTCCGTGGTTTTTTTTGTTCCGTCTGCCGTCTGCCGTCTTCCGGGATTTTTTCTTCTTACCGTAAAAGAGTAATAGCTTTTCAGAAGCCATTTACTAGCCCCGAAGAACGCGAATTTCCACGGGCAGTGACCCAGATCCAAAATTGTTGTTGTTTAGTTATTTTTTTCAAAAAAAAACCGTAAAAAAAGGTTCTGCATTTACGATTTTTTTGTTCCGTCTTCCGTCTTCCGTCTTCCGGGAAAAAAGTTATCTTCCGTCTTCCGTCTTCCGTCTTCCGTCTTCCGGGAAAAAAAGTTATCTTCCGTCTTCCGTCTTCCGGGAAAAAAAGTTATCTTCCGTCTTCCGTCTTCCGGGAAAAAAAGTTATCTTCCGTCTTCCGTCTTCCGTTTTCCGTGTTCCGTAAAAAAAATGTTCTTCCGTCTGCCGTCTGCATCGGAAACACACGTGTTACGGTTCCGTCCCTACTCTCGAGAGACGGGACCGTCCATCCAGACAGGAACAACGTCTTCACTGTCTTCCCAAAGGCCATGAGTGTTTTTGACTGCTAACCCGCAAAAGAAAATAATGTTTTCTCGGCCACGTGAGTCTCCTGAACGCAGGGACCATATTCTTCTGCCAACTTTTTCGTTAAACAAAAACTCATCAAGTCTTACGCATTTTATGGAAGCGTGTAAGTCCTTGTTTTCGACATATTCTCAAAAAAAAACCTAGATTGATCAACAGAGAGCACACTTTTTTCAATCGATAGCAAATTAAAGCCACGAGAACTGACATCAACTTTCCGATTTCTCCTGAAGAATCATCGATTCAAGCTGCGAACCCTTTTGAATACCTTACAAAAGAACTTTATTTAGTCGGTAGGCGAGATTGTAAGAATTTCGATAAATTTTACTTAAAAACACTATCAGAATACCAATAAACACGTCTGAGGAGCATTTCTGTCAAGTTTGAGCAAACTCTCATCTACTGACCAAATGGAGTTCTTTGGTTAGAAACCGATTCGAATCCTCAAAAGCCGTTCTTGTTTCACAATGGTTACAAATATGTTAATCACTGTAAAAGGTCTGGGGGTGGAACACCTGTCCTTCTCCTTCTCTCTCTCTCTCTCTCTCTCTCTCTCTCCTTCTCCTTCTCTCTCTTTCTGTTTCGGATGCTTCTGGCCACCTGCCCTTTGCGGTTTTGTCTGCGTCTCGCTTCCTGTGTTATCTCTCGGCTCTTGTTGACTCAAGAAAGACACCCGTCCGACCGATTATGACCCTTTTGCTTGGAGAGACCGTCTCTCTCTCTCTCTCTCTCTCTCTTTTTGTATGCATATGTGGTCCTAACCGGTCGACACGTACAGCACTCGTTGTACGGAAAAGAAAGAGAGAGAGAGAGAGAGAGAGAGAGACCTGTATGTGCAAAGTGTATTGATTATATTGTATGTGCATATCAGTTTGATGATTCATCCATTCTCTCTCTCTCTCTCTCTCTCTCTCTTCTCCTTTTGCTCCGTTTGCACTATTTTTTGTGATAGGCAAACCTGTTTTCCTTTTCTTCCCTTTTCTGGTTGTTTCTGGAGTCTTCTGACGGTTTTCTAGTGAAGAAATCTAAAACAATCCGAAAAACTTTGTGTAATTAGTCGATCTTTTGCAAAGTTTTTCAAGAGGTTGCTGAAATTAGCGTTGGAATATTGTCACTTTCACAAATTGGAGCATAACTCAAAAGCCACTCATTTCGGTGCAAAGTAATCAATTACAAAGTTGTTCAGCACAAAATTTGCAACACGTTTTCAGTTGACCACTTTTTGAAATAATCATTGCTTTTTGAGATAAAGGCCTCCAAAAGTGATAAAAATTTTGACAAGTAGCCTTAGCTGTTGATCTGATATCATTCTATTGCCTAAAAGGTTAGAACCTCCAGACTCTTGAAAAACAACTCCTCGAGCACCCAAAACCATCATTTGCTCTCTAGATGACTCATTTTTGTTTGTCTAGACGATCAGACTGGTTGCTTTCTGTTTTCATAGTGAGAAATGATCATTTTTGTTCAATTTTCGGTTCAAACCCTCAAAATCCTGCCGTTTTTCAGCCAATTCACGAAAATTTGTGAGAATTTGCAGTTGAATGAATGATACTACGAACGGGTGTCCTGATCCTAATCGCACAAGTGACATGGTGTCAGATCGGTCAGCCGGGCCAGGCTCCCGGCCAAGTGCCTCTGGATCCGGGGTACCGACAGCCGCTCGAGCCGATCAAGAACGTTCTGCAGGGCAGTTACGGTAACAACGTGACGCTCTACCAGAGAAATTCGCCGTACCGCGTCTCGGGCGATTTGACCGTCGAGTACGGGGTGACGATGGAAATCGAGACGGGCACGCGGATCTACTTTGACACCGGCGTCGGGCTCATCGTCAAGGGAACGCTCAGGGCTATTGTGAGTCATCAAATATTGAAAAAGTGCCTGCCATCAGATTGAGCTCCAAAAGTTAGTCTAAAAATCCTTCATCTCTGAATGCCTATATCTCAAGAGCCAATTATTTTTTCAGAATCTGGTCAACTGAAAAGTTGTTGCAAATTTTATGCTCTACAACTTTCTAGTTGACAATTTTAGTCCAAAATTTGTCATTCTTGAGTTATGGTCAAGTTTCTAAACAGTGCCCACTTGGGCGACAAAAAATCGAGGAAACAGTCGCGGTTTCCAAAAAAAACCACCCAAATCATACTTCTAATTTCCATTTCCAATTCCAATTCGAAATTACATCAGTCGCCCATCCGAATGAGAGAGTGTTCCCAGTGTGAGAGACGCAGACGTGCGAAAGAGAGAGAGAGAGAGAGAGAGAGAGAGAGAAGTGAACAGCACGGCGGCGGCGGCGGCGGAAACGACAATACTAACCAAACAATGTTCGGAAACATTCGCGCGAGGTCGGCCAACTGAAGCTAGAGGGTAAAAAGTCACAGTGGAAGCACAATATACTTTTAAGGGAGGGACAGAAATGAGAGGAACAAAAAGTGGGGGTTTAAATATCTAGGAATGCACAAAAACCGATGAAAACCCGTACGATTTTCAGGGAAATGAGTTTGCGCACATCGAGATGCTTCCGTACCAGCAACAAATCAACTACGACTCGGAAATGCCGACATTCCGGCTCGTGGACGGGCCTACCGTAAGACAGGGACGGCTGCAAGTACAGTTTCGGGACAGATGGAGATCCGTGTGCACCATGCTCACCAAGTGAGTCTTCTATTTCCTAGACGTGTTTTAGACGTGTTTTGAATGAGAATGCAACCAATTTTGTGGAGCTAAAATGTCAAAAACTTACAGCTGGACATCGATAGACACGGGCACCGCGTGCCGATCGATGGGCTACTCGGACGGCGGCTTCTGGAAATGGTACCTCCGAAACAACGACACGTACCCGTTCGTGATGCCGAAACCCGAGTGCCACGGCGCCGTCCGTGATCTCTGGGACTGTCCGGCCTTCTCGGATCCGTCGCGGATCCGCCTGTCCGAGAATCTTTGTCAGGGAGAGGACGACATCGGCATCTACTGCTGGGGACCGCCCGTCTTCACCGGATGGGCGAGACATTGGAAAGGCATCCAGATATTGAACTCGCCGTTTCACTATGTCAACTCGGATCCGGATTTGGTCTCGGTGAATCGAGAATCGAACTCTAGGCTCGAGTTTATCGACATTCTGTATGCCGGTTATGATGGGTGAGTTGTATAATCTTTGAAGACCTATATCTCGAGAACCAATTGTTGTTTCAAAAAGTTGGCAACTGTGAAATTGTTGCAAATTTTATGCTGAACAATTTTGTAATTTATTATTTTACACCAAAATATGTCAATTTTCAGTTATGGCTCATTTTCTGTTGCGAGTTAGAAACAGGCGCGCAAAAGTTGGCGGCACCTTTTTTAGAGCAATATATCTCAGCCGCCAGTGGAGCTATCAAAACAATGTAAACTAATAAGTTTTGCATTAAATTATGGTGTACATTTTCTCAGTTGACAACTTTTTCATATCTCTACTCCTAACCTAGATACGGTAATTCTTTTCAGCGCCTCCAAAAACACGACCTCGGCGCTGTACATCGAGGGCGTTCCGCCGATCATGAACGGGCTACGGATTGAGCACAGTGCTCGGGACGGTCTGCAACTGCTCGATCCGTCCGGTCCCGCCCTCATCGCCAACTCGACGTTCTCGTTCAACCGCGGCCACGGAATCTTCGTGGTCAACACGACGGACGGCCGCGTCTTTGTGAACAACTCGAGGATCGAAGGGAACTGGGGCGACGGCATCTGGTACAAACAAAAGACCGGCGTGAATCTGATCAACTACGGAATGCGGGAACGACGGAGCATCGGGCTGCTCGAGGAGCAGAAGCCGAGAATCGATTTGTGCGCGGAGCATCGAGTGTCCGATGAGCACTTCTTTCCGCATTTGACCGCCGTTCATCTGAAGAACCGCACGTTTTTGGACCCGACCCAACCGCCCATTTGTTGGATGGTACGTCTATGATCTTTCGGGGACCGCGGTTCTAGATTATCGAAAAAAGATCTACAGTGTGAATTATCTTAACAAAAACGTCAAAATGTTGCAGACGGTCTCTCTGCCGCCGCGCCTACCGTACACCTACAGTATCCAGTGGCTGCACATTCGGGACCGTAACCCTCCGACCGCCAGGACCACTCTGATCCTCTGCGATTCGAATAATCCGGACGAGAATGCGTGCTCGACACCCCGTTTTCGCATTCCGATCCGCGATTCGGTCTACCCTCAGAGTATATCGCTAAAAAGTTCGGGCAAGCCGTTGTACGTGGCTCTGGAGCACATTTTGGACGGCGAGCAGGCCGGATACGTGCAGGGGACGTACATTTACTGCTCAACATCCATGCGTCGGTTTTGGGTAATCCAGGGAATCGGGGGAAAATGGAAAATGAAAGAGGAATTTGCCTGTTTAGATAAGGCGTATTACGGATTGAACGTCACGAATTGCATCATCGAGAAGAACACCGGAAACGGAGTGTTCGCGAATGAAATCAGGGAACGGACCGCCCTGACGAACGTGACTTTGGACGAGAATCAGGGATATGCGGGCTTGCTCGTCAGGGTGAGTCGCCCTATTTTGTGATTTCCGGAACTCGTTTCCGAGAAACCTTTCCGACTTCCGCATTCCGCATTCCGTGAAACCTTTTTGCAGGACGGCGCAGCGGACATCTGGCTGAACGAGACGCGAATCGTGAAGAACTGGGGCGACGGAGTGAACATCTCGTACGCGGGCGGCAGTATCATGGTCAACGGCTCGCGAATCGAGAAGAATCGCTGGCGCGGCGCGGCGATCCACTACAATCAGTCGATTCCGTTCTTTCCGCTCTACAACGAGGTGATCTTCAAGGGCCGCCCGTCGAACAACCTCTTCTACCTGCCGACCGTAATCTCCGACAACGAGTGGGGCGGTCTTTTGGTCGGCAATTACTGTGCGAGCACTGCGGATGAGGTGAGAATCGAGCCGAAAGTACTGATCTCGTGGGTCGAGTTTCTCAAAAACCGCTATCATCCGGCGCTGGAGATATTCTCGTGTCGGGACGCGGCGGTCGGCGCCAGTTTAATCGACATTACCGGCAATCGGGTCGACGGGAATTTGGGCTTTGGAATGAGGATCTCGCCGGCCGTCAACATGCACACCCTCATCAGCAGCAATCAATTTCTGCACAACAACGACACGGCCCTTTTCATTCGCAATGCGCAGTGGCCTCAACTGGTGCATCTGCCAGCCGAAGTGACCATTTCGAAGAACGTGTTCAAGTTCAACACCGCCAAGTACATCATATCGATCGGATTGAACGAGGACGCACGCCGACAATTTCTCACTTTCAATCAGCAGAATGAGGTGGGTGAGCAAGTGCGCTCCAACGAAATGTAGACCTTTTTTCAGGTGCGCGCGAACACCGTCTTCGACCCGTTTCCCTCGCTTCCGGCGCGTTCGACGCCGTCCGCGGCGCTCGTCGTCTCTTCGTCGAACGTGAAAATCCATCGGAACTGCTTCAACAACGAGCGCGCCAAGTACGAGATCGGCACGGAGCTGGAGCGACACGCAAAGTGGATCGACGCGCGGGAAAACAATTGGGGATTCCAGGAGATTCCCCGCTTCATCGACAAGTTCTTCGATCAGTTCAATCGATACTCGCTCGCCTCGATCGACATTGATCCGTACATGGCGGCGTGCAATCAGAGAATGCCCTACATTTCACTGTTGAACGGCGCGTTCCGACAATTCCGAAAGCCTGCCGAACCACGGCTCCTCGGCGGAATCATCTACGAGAACCACGATCTGCTGAAGGGACGGTACACGGTCACCGAGGACCTGCAAGTGGTCCCCGGCGCGAAATTGACGATCGCGAGTGGGAGTGTGCTTGAGTTTCAGCACGGAATCGGCATGATCGTGCAGGGGGATCTCATCCGGAACGAGTACGATCAGGACGAAAAAGTCATTTTCACGTCGACGCCGTTCACTTTGGAAAAGCGCCCGAACATCCGACTCGTGGATGCGGATGGGAACGACGAAGTCACCGAAGGACGGCTCGAGGTTCTTGTCGACGAGCAGTGGGGTCAGTCGGTCCATTACCAACGAGCAATTGAAATAATATTATCGTTTTCAGGGACTGTCTGCAACCGCAGTTGGACCGCCCATCACACAATTCTCGCGTGTAACCAACTGGGACTGGTGGCCGACGTTCAGTACTTCGAGAATTGGCGGATATTCCCCGAGGAAGGCGATTTGCCGATGGTCATGGACAATATCAGATGCGAGGAGAACGAGGTGGATCTGACAAAGTGTCGGCACGACGGAATCGAACGGAATTGCGCGGCCGGGTGTCGGAAGACTGAAGTTGTTGGTTAGTATTCTGGGAGATTAATAATATCTACGCCCCTACTTTCAGGTCTCCGCTGCCTGGAACCCCGTTGGGCGGGCGTCCGCTACTCGTTGCTCGCGAATCCGCCGACCGTAACCGGCCAGACGACGATGGATAACTGGCTGATCGAGAAGGGCGGTCTCTTCGATTTCCGCACCGCCCGCTTCTGTGCCGCGTTCAAAATCGACTGGAACTACCACACTTTCCATCGGCTCGAAATCAAGAACAACTTTTGGGATGGGGTGGACGTGGTCTACAACGATCTGATTAAAAAGCCGGCGATTCGGAACAGCCTCATTTATAACAATCGACACAATGGCTTCCACGTTCGCTCCGCCGGGATTACGGTAGAAAATGTGTGTTTTCTCCGGAATACGGAAGTCGGAACAAAAGACGTATTTTCAGGTGACAATAAACTTTTCGGGCCAGTCGGGAATGCGCTACAATCCGTCGGTGTCCGCTCTCGAACAGGACGATATCGTCTCGTGGCTCAGTCTCCGAGAGCAACCCGAACTGGAGGCCAACAATATTTTCCGAATTCCGGATAACAATCTCGATTTGATCGAGGTAAACGACTGGAAAAATGACAAAAAAACAACAACAGCAATATTTTCAGGTGATGGAAAGCAATTTGAATCAGCGCAAGTTCCTGGTGGCATCGGAGACCGACGATTGTCCTGAAGGTAAAAAACTGAAAAAGGGGTGTAAAAGTACAGTAACCGGTTCGGACCTTCAGATCCACTTCAAGAGTGCGTCTACAATTTGATGATCCGAGCACAGGGCCATCAGTACGGAATGGCCTCCAAAATGGCCATTCAAATTGTGAATCCGCCCTCGAACACTTCCGATGAGGACGCGGTTTTTACGGAAAACGGAAAGAATTGGAGCGCCCGCAAAGACCAGATTTATGTGAGTTTTTGCGGAATTCGGAAGTCGGAAAGCTGGATTCCCGCCCCAACTATTGTCTCTTTTTTCAGTTCCCCGTGATTTCGACCGAAAATGAGATGCGAATACGGTACACAAGATCGTACGGAAAACCAAAATTGGTCATTTTGGTGCTCTATTTGGATAGTGAGTTTTTTTTTAAAGTTATGGCCTAGCAAAATCTCTTCCACACGGTTCTAGAACCCCAAGAACCCCAAGACCACCAAGTTAAATTTCAGCGCAAGAGTACGTGGACCGATTCGTCCACGTGTACCAGTCGCGGATCGAGGATAACCAGTACGGTTTCTCGGCGGTCCACTACAGTAACCTGACGTATCCGGACGGCCGGCTCTCGAACCGCTGGGACCGCGAGAAGATCTGGCTGCAAAAGGTGAACTTTACGCGGAACTCGGAGGCGGTCCTCTGGCTCCACTCGCCGCAACACGCGGTCCCGCTCGGCACGCCGATTGCCGAGATCACCTATCACTTTGACAACTGCTCGGTGACCGACAATAGCGGACCGATCATAGAGTCGCATCGTGATCTCTACGCGTCCGCCAACGTTTTCCACTGGATCCTCTGGTCGAACACTTTTGCGAATAATTCGAAGAGCGGCATTGCCGTGGCCCTTCCGGATACCTACGATTTGTTGGCCAAACAACAGCACAGCTTCTGGGTGAGCCTTTTTTTCTCGAAAAACGCAATTTTCAAAATTTGCAGCTGACGGAGAACCGTTTCGAGCGGAACGACGACTTCCGAATCCTTCTGGACGGATACTACGCGTTCGCCAACATTTCTTCGAACAATTTCACGGAGAACATTGCGCCGGACGGCTTCGGAATCGTCGAATTGCGTGGAATGGAGAAGCGGCTCGTCTGCGAGCGCAACCGATTTTTCCTCAATTGGGGCCACTGGATGCTCAAGATCGACGCGACGTCACAGTATTTGCGGGCGGTCGACGTGGCGAGCCTCGTGCGCTACAACTACATTGAGAAGAACGCGTTCATCCGCAAACGCGCCGACTACGTGGACATGTGGCCGCGATCGTTTGCGCTCGGCGTGTTCGGAGCACAAAGAGTCGAGGTGCACTTCAATCGGCTCAGCAATGAACTCATCGACTTTGAGCTCGTTTCCGGAGCCAGGGTTCGTCGGCAATCCCAACTTGGGATGCCCTCACAAATGTGGCCTTCTTTCAGTATTCGGAGATCTCGGAGACGATGAACGCGACGTACAACTGGTGGGGAACCGGCAACGAGGCGGTCATCTCGCAAAGGGTTTTCGATTTCGACGACTGGAACACGTACATGCGCGCCGAGTGGTCGCCGTTTTACGTGTCCAACGATCTGTCGATCAACTTCTGGTGGAACCCGTTCCGCGACGGACAACTCGCCAATGCCACGTACATCGAACCGACGGTATCCGATTTGCACGGACGAGTTTACGAGGACAAGAACATGACTCTCATCACGGAGCGGTGGTACGAGTTCCCGCATTACTATCGGGTCGGTCGTCTACAGTACTCCTCAAAAGAACTGGTCCTCCTTTTCAGCCGTTCCGTCCCTACCGTATCACTCGTGACGTCACCATTATGCCCGGCGCCACGTTGTACATTCAGGAGAATGTCGAAGTGCACATTTGGCCGAACGTTCGGATCCTGGTGCTCGGAAACCTTGTGGCCGAGGGATCCTACTGGCAGCCAATCAGGTGGGGACTGGAAATGTTTGGCCAAAAAAACTCGGCTGCGATTTTCAGATTCAAACCGATCAACACGACCGAGTACCTCGAGATCAAGGGCAAAATTCCGACGGAATACCGAAAAAAGCGGGGCGTCGTTTTTGAAAACGGACCGGAAACGTTCAAGCTTCGGCCTAAAACCCGACGGCCCAAATGGTCGACGAACAACGAGCGGCCGAGGCCCAAAAGGGCTTCAGACCGGGCCAAGCCCGATTTAGTGTACCGGCAGTTTCCGACTCTCCATCGCGACGATCCGTATTATCAGAGATTCACAGTGTCCCTCACGGCGAACGGTTCGGATTACGGTAGATCCGGATTTGTGCAAATCTACAATTCGACGACGGGCGAGATGGTTCCGAGTTGCGATCGACAGTTTACGATCCGAAATGCGCAGGTCGTGTGCCGGGAACTCGGGCTCGAGACTCAGAATGTGTACCATTGGGTCACCGAGCGATGGGACTACAATCCACAGCTGCGCATCATCAAGACGTACATGGAACCGCGCGAGTGTCGCGGCGACGAGCCCAGTCTGGACCGGTGCAACCTCCGACTCAGCGGCAACGACTCGCAGTGGATGTGCATCGATTCCGAGCACTTCAACTACGTCTATTGTGGATCGAATCGAAGTCTGAGCCGCGAGTACATCGGCAACTGGGGCGGCATCACCTTCGCTCAGCCGGGATTGGAGCACGAGTACGGCGAGCAGCGGAGGGCGGCGCAGACGAGCGAGAAGTCGATTCTGAGAAATGTGGAGATTGTCGGCGGCGGGCACGGACACAACGACACGTGGCAATCGGCCGGCCTTCAGATATTCCATCGGGCGCCCATCCTGGACCACGTGAATGTGACGAACTGCTCGGTGAACGGAGTGCAGGTGATCTCGCCGAGTGATCGGATCACACTTCTCAATTTGAATGTGACGGACAATCACGGACAGGGCATCAATATAATGACGACGTTCGTGCAGGCGCCGAGCACTTCGCAGGAGACGATGCGCAAGCCGATGACGATACCGTACTACAGTCAGGGAATGCTGGACATGTGCGCCGCCGCGAAGAGGCTCGACGTCCGCAATCGCATTATGGTATGTACACGTTTTTCACCGGTTTTCACGACTCTAGGACAACTCGACAACTCGAACCTAGTTTCGAAATGTCCGGAAATCTACAGTCCACACTGACTCTTTGCCATTCCGTCCTTTCAGCTCTACTACAAGTACGACTCGTACCCGGTCGACTGCGTCAAGATCTTCACCTCGGCGGGCCGTCGTGTCGCCTTCCGAATAGTCCAATATCACCTGTACTCGTCGCCGACGGACCTCGGAAGATCGGACGCCCTTCGGATCTACAGCTCCGAGTCGTTTGCTCCGATGAACCTGCTGGCCGACTTCCGACAGAACTACCAGTCGGCCGATCCCTCCGTGGCCGTTTCCTCCGACGTTCTGGCCATTCATTTGAGGGCCACCGCCGCCGACGGCGTCTACGGGTTCATCGCGGAGGTTTCGGCACTGCCCAGCAACGCCGAGCAGCGTGAGTTGTCCTCGAATCTTTGGTCTTCAAGCAGTCGGTTGTTTCTTTTCAGATACTGTCGGAGAAGTGATCATCCGCGCGTCGCGAATCGACAACAACGACCGCGGAGCCATCGAGTACTCGAATCTCGGCGAAATGAGCCCCAATCTGGTCATCGAGAGCTCCTCGTTCTCCTTCAACGGAATCCACTTGTTCGGAAACATTTCCACGTCGAGTCAGGCTGTTCAGCTGCACTTGCACAACACTGTCGTAAGTGTTACAGTTTATTCAAGACGATGTATCTCAACTGCCGGTGTAGATATCAAAAAGTCGTCAACTGACAAAATGTTCACCAAGAAATTGTGCACATTTTGTCAGTTGACAACTTTTTGATATCTCAACTGGGCGCTGAGCTATTTTTAAAAGTTGCAGTGTTCTTTCAGTTCTTCCTGTTCCGCTCGAACGCAGTGGCGCACAACCGCGGCGGTCTGTACATCTCCGCGACGTCGAGCAGTCCGGTGGTCCGTCTCGCGGCGCTCGTCAAAAACTGTCTGTTCGCCTACAATTCCAACTCGACGACGCTGGCACTCTCGGGCAACAACTATCAGCAGATCGCCGTGCTGAACAACGTGTTCAGCCACAACTACGCGCTCTACCACGACACAATTGTGGCGCATGACGTGGCAATCAACATGAGCCTCAACACGATCTTCGACAATACCGGACTGCACACGCTGGATGTGCATGAGAACTCGAGAGTCTCGGCGGACAAGAACGTCTTCTTCTACAATCATTTCTACGATAATCTCGCACTCGGACACGGACATCAGTACCTCGAAATGTACGGATTTCAGCCGCTTCTTCGGGAGAACAACGAGTTCCTGAATCGGCCGAGACGACAGGTTCTGACGCAGCAAGGAGTCTCATTCGACTGGTGGACCCACGTGGACAACGAAACGACCCGATATCGATCGACGATCATTGCGGGCGGCGCGCAAGAGATCTTCAAGTTCAACACGTTCAACGACCCGAAAAACGATTACGAACTGACGACCGGACGGCAGTCTCAGTACGAACTGGGCGCCATTGACGCCCGCGAAAACTACTGGGGCTACCCGGGAACCGTCGGCGTCGCGTCGGGCAAGATCCGCGATCAGGAGGACTATCCGGCACTCGTGAAGGTCGAATACGCGCCGGTCTTGGAGTCGAACACGAGTCTCATCGAGGGAGACTGCCCGGCCGGCTGGTTCCAGGCGGGCCACAACGAGTTCAAGTCGTGCTTCTTGTTTGTCGCGGCCTCGGTGACGTACGTGCGGGCCGTGGAGTACTGTAAAGAGCTCGGAGCATTCGTGCCCTACTTGCGGATCGATGATATTCTGCAATCGCAATTGGCGCAGCGCATCGAAAAGTTCTCGATCGAGCTGATCACGGAGCAGGAGAGACTCAAGGCTTATGGGGTCGAGGATGACGTGCACGTGTGGATCAGTTCGGTTACGGTGCCGAACACTCAGTGCGGTTGGCTCAGCGCCCGCACCAAACGGATCGGCGTCACGAATTGCAACGTTCTTCTTCCGTTTGTCTGCGAGAAAGGAACGCATCCGTACTCGGAGCCGATCCTCTGGAGGACCGGAGTCGTCATTCCGATCATCATCGCCGCCGTCGTTCTCGCCGCACTCGTTGTCCTTCTGGTTTGCTGGTGCATCAAGTCGAGGAAGCGGAACGAGGTGTTGATTGAGCGGAAGAAGATGGCGAGGGCCAGTTTCAAACTGCAAAAGTGAGTTGGATTCGGATTCAATCGAACAACTTGATGGATTTATTACAGAAAAGAGCAAGAATTCGAGAAGAGCCAGTTCAAGAGTCGAAACGCGCACAGCCACACTTCCGGACACGCGAGCCTGAACAGTGGGACCACCGCGAGTGCCTACAGTGTTCCCGGGTAAGACTAGTGGCACCTCGGATCCTCAGAACACAATCTATTTCAGACGAGACCGGCTGACCACGAGAGCACCGTATCCGCGGTCCCCGACGGATACGCTCAGCACGGGAACATCGGATCGCACCTTTTCGTACACGACATTCACTCCGCAAGGAGGACCAACCACTGCTACGGGCACCTATCAGACGAGGTCCAGGTACTGTTTGTTTAAAGTGATATATCTCATCTGCCGGTAGATATATGAAAATGTTGTCAACTGATAAAGTGTTCATCAAGAAATTTTGTACATTTTATTAGTTGATAACTTTTTCATTTCTCTGCGGAGAGCTGAGATATGTTAGCAAACGCACCGTTACCCTTTTTCAGTCGGCCCTACCGCTCAGTCTCGACGGATCCGAACGGATACTCGGAGATCACCGACCGTACGACGACGGCCACGCCCACAACTACAGTACCCTACAACGCCGTCAAAATGCGTCCGTCGACCATTTTGACGAGCGACACTTCGGACGTCACCTCGTGCAGCACTTGCCCTTCGGATTCCGGTACGTCTCCTCGTCGAACGTTGTTTCATTCAAAGTTATTCTCGTTCAGAACGAACCTCGACGGCCACCGACATTTCCACGTCATACACGAGCGACGCGTCGGTGAGCACTCTCCAATCGACAGTAATCCGAGCACCGGCCGCCGCTCCGAGATCGCCGCGAAGGGATGGACCGACGAGAAATTCGACGGGATTCCTCGCCCACAACAACAACTTCCAACCGCTGCCCACCGAACCGCCAAGGTAGGCAAAAAAAAGGAAAACGACTACAGTACTCTTTGGAGGGATGATAGCAAAAAAGTGTGAACGGTGTGTAGATTACCGTCTAAAAGTTCTAGAACGTTTTATTATCCCTGAAAAAAAAGTTACACCCACTCAAAGTTTGCCATTTTTTGCAGAAACGAAACCATTTTCATTTTCAGACAAGCTCCGCCACCGCAACCGGCTCCCCGCTCTTTTAATCATTTTGTCGAGCTGCATGCTCCGCCACGTACCGGATCTCTCCAAAAGCCGCCAGTCATCGAGACCTCCATGTGATTTATGATTCAGGAAATCAACTTTTTTCTGAAGAAAACAAATGTTCCGGTTGTACACTTTCAAACCTCCTGTATCTTGGCTGTGGGTGAAGTTGTCAAAAAGTTGTCAACTAGAAAAATGTGCGAAATTTGTTAGTGAACAATTGATTAGTTGACATCTTTTTGATATTTTCACTCGCAGCCGAGATATACTCGGTAACAAGAAGCCTTTCCCTTTTTCTCTCACTGGTAACGTGTTTTTGTGTAACTTTATTTGCTGCTCGGCTTTACATTTTCCCGTGTTCACTTGCCATAATAAATGTTTTTCGCCCGAAGAAAACTAGTGTCGGCCAGGGGAAAACCAATAAAAATTATTCAAAAATGTTTCGTTTTCGTTCGCAAAAGCAAGCACTCTGCGATTTATATGTATATGTAGCAGAAGAAGAAGAAGAAGAAGGAGAAGGAGAAGGAGAAGAAGAAGAAGAAGGAGTCCTTTGTCCATTCAGGCACATTTATATGCATTGGCCTCATTAGGTTCCTTGCTCCGGAAAGATGCGGAAGATTTCGGCGGCGAAACGGGCGGCCAGTGTACATTTTGAGAGCGTTTTGTTTCGGTTTCACGCACAACTTTTGCGTGATTCGGATTGAAGAGAGCAAAAGTTCAGAGGTTAGTGGGCTTTGGGCTTTTGGGCCCTTGAAATTTGCGCATTTATCAGGCTTGAATCGGAGTATCCAAGCTCGAGACCAGATGATCCGATCGGTCTGAAACTTGGTCCCAAAAGTCAGCAAAGTTCGGTCCCGATCGGATCATTGCAAGTGGCCAACTATTAGAACTCTGTGATGGCACCAAAATCTGTCGTTTCGATCTGCAGTGACGTGGCACACCGCCCCGATTCCCGACATTCCTCATCGGTCCCTGGAGACGAACCGAACAAAAAACGGGCGCCCATAAACCTTGCCCTCTCCTCGATTCCCTTTTTTTTCTCGCAAAAGTTCCTGAAACACACTTTTTTCTACAGAAAATGTTGCAAAAGACGAGAGGAAGCCAAGGAGTTTTGTGGAAAGAAGACCCTCGAAAACATGGAGAAAAACAAGCGAGGGAAATCATTTTAATGGGAGTTTTGAGCAAAAACATGAGAAATGGGCGGAAAAAGAGAACGCATGTGCGCTCTACTGCACTTTTGAAGTTTTGGGACAGACACAGACAATATTTGGCGTTGAATATTTGAAAATGGGCACGCTTCGGTTCATTCTTGCGTGACGGTGTTTGCAGACTTTCGCGTCTACCGTAATCCCAGTGCAGCACCATCTTTCAAGACGTTATACCTCAGATGCCGTTAGAGATATCAAAAAGTTGTCAACTGATAAAATGTTCAATAAGATATTTTGTACATTTTATCAGTTGACAACGTTTTTATATCTCCACCGGCAGCTGAGATAAATTGGTTTGAATTGACGGTACACTTAAAAATTGAAAAAAAGTCCAAACCGACTACAGTAGCTGTGCACTTTTCATCGAGAAGTATCTGGGATTCGTTCCACTTCTTCTCTCACTTCTTCTTCTTCTTCTTCTTCTTCTTCTCACCCGGGCCGAGCCCGACTCTTCCATCATCCGCGTCTTCTTTCCGAGCTTCCCCCCCCCCCTTTTCCAAAAGCTTTTCCTTTTTCTTCCCAGAGGAATTTGGAGCCTCTTGTTTCCCGGGTCATGTCTTCTTCTTCTTCTTCTTCTTCTTCTTCTTCTCCCCCTCTCCCTTCTTCTTCTTCTTCTTCTTTGTGCTCCTCCGAAGCTCCGCCCCCTTTTCCCCCAAAATTTCTCGATTTCACCGCCCATCTCTGTCGAATACTCATGCCCTCATCTTTTGTACTCTTTTCTAGAGACACTTTGCAACCGCATATTCGAATGGTTGCGAAACGGCATTGTTTTCCAGCCTACCAGAGTCTAGATCTACAATATTTTGTCATTCTTTGAAAAATTGTCATGAATGACCATAAATAATATATTTTTGAGCAATGACACCTTTTTCATTGTTTTTCCGGATGTCTGGGGCCAGAAAGTCGCGGTTGCGAAATGTCCGTCGGTTTCAAAACGTCCAATGGCATCGTTACAAACTTCTGAACATCACCACACTTCTGATTCGGCATACCGTGCTCCTTTTCCGAGTTCCGACTTCCGTTTTCCGAACTTTGCATTCCCGCTAGACTTTTCCGTTCGAGAAGCCCGTCAAAGAATGGGAAAAAGTCAAAAGTGCATGGCGTATTGGCCGTTTGCCAGTGTTTTCCATTCGTCCCCCTCCCTCAAATTCATTCGCTTTCTTTTCCGTGAATTGTCAATTCAATTCCATTTCCACTTTTCACCCCCTTGCCCGATGTCATTTCAGGTCAATGAAATGGCGCGAAAAAGGGGTGAAACGAAGGATTTATGAGAGAGAGAGAGAGAGAGAGAGAGAGCGGTCCCGTCGGTTGAGGATGCACTTGGGTCCCGAAAAGTTGAAGATGGATTCGGATATCCGTCAAGTACCGTGGTCTTTGGCTCCGAAACGAGATCGCGTCTCCTAGTCTGATCGTTCTCGGCCACATGGTGCATCTGCACAATTTTCATATGGTGCATCGGGAATCCTATCGAATTTTGCTTGAAAATCCGTTTTTTCTGAATTAACTGGTGCATCGGCCAATGGAGAAGTGGAAAATTTGTTGATATTATCAGTACTCCCGTTTTTCTACAAAATTTTGCATTTCCCGGTGGCCGTGGCCGAGTTTTCGCACTTTCCTCGCTTTCCCAGTGCTCATTCCGAATTCTGATAACTTTTCATTGTTTTCCGCACTTTCCGCCACTAGCTACTCATTTTTCACACGAAAACAACACGTCTCGCTCCTCCTCCTCCTTCTTCTTCTTTCGCTTTCCGAGTGAGTTCGGCGCATGGTGCATCGGCCGACGACGAGTAATCACTGAAAATCTCTTTTTTGTGTGCACGTCTACAATAGTCGGAGTCGACTCCAATTTCCGTTGTTCGGCCGATGAAATGGCCGCGATAACGGGAAAACGGCTGGCGAAGAAGTTAATTGAGTCTGAGTGGGAGCACACATTTTGAGAGGCCTACAATATCCAAAGACTACTGTATCATTTTTGCTTTCGGTGGCCTAGAAACTGCCGGATTTGGGTGTCTAGGCCACCTCCTTTTTTGCAAATTTCAGTTTGATTTGATTGGTTCATAGTGCAGCAAGGTTTCCTGGTGGCCTAGGTTTTCAACAGTACACATTACTAGGCCACCTATGAGAATGACCTATAATCCTGATCCGAACACGACTATTATAGGTCAAAGTGTAAGTGGTGGCCTAGACATTTTACAGTTTGGGTTTCTAGGCCACCCGTCTCAATGACCGGTTGAATCCTTCCTAATAGCTTCTTCTCCTTCTCCTTCTTCTTCTTGTCAGTATGCAAATTGCGCCAATTGCCTCGGAAAAGAGCACAGAAATCCGTCCGACTTCTTCTTCTTCTTCCTCCTCTTTTTCTTCCTCTCCCGCCTCTTTTGATTGATTGTCTCTCGGGGTGTCAAAAATGAACGAAACGGACCAAAAGCACCGAAACGATGAAACTTCTTCTTCTTCTCCTTCTCCTCCTCCTTCTTCTTCTTCTTCTTCTTTTTCTCGGGGATTTAGAGACGTCTCCCTTGTTATGGATGTTATGTTCCGCAAAAAGAACGCAAGCGGCACATGTACATACACTTTTCTTGTTTTGTTTTACTCATTCTGAGTTTCGAAATTTGAAAGTTTTGTGTTTTAGTTACACTTTGAGAATCTCACTTTCAAGTTGTGTCATCTGTTGGGACCGTGTTTCTGGTCCCTTCGGATCGCAACCCCTTGGTCCCGGCCGGAAACGCACCGATTACTCACTGCCGTATTCACTTACCTATTCGTCGGCTCCAATCCATTCCATATGCTTCCCTTTTCCATTTCCGAATCCCCCTTGAGAATAGGCTCCGCCCACTTGTGTACATACATCGACCGGAAGATCCGGACGGGGGAATTTAGAAGAAGAAGAAGAAGAAGAAGAAGATGAAGAAGACGACATCGATACCTTATTATTTGTCTTTTTGACGTGATACCTTCCAGAAGCCCTCCAACTATGTGGAGATGAAGAAACGGCGACTCACTTTTCTGCTCAAATTGCTCATTTTCATCTCGTGCTCTTCTTCACCCCTCCTTGCCACGTCATCATCATCATCGGTGCCACGTCATCTCAATAATGCGCAGGAAGAGTGGAGAATTCGAAAAGGTACGCCCATTGGCTATGCTAACGCGCTCCACTGCACTCAGCACTTTGCATTTCCCATTTTCGTCGCCAAGTTCATTTTTTGTTGAAAGAGCAAAAAGGCAAAAGCTTACAACATCCAGGATTCCCAGGCCGTCTCCGATCCAAGTACTAACTGGACTCAACGTTGCTTAACTTGCCAGATCGGACGGGATGGCGTGTATTCAACGTGATGTGGTCGTAAGCGAAATTAACAGTGTGCCGTCGCCATCATATTCTCGCAGCCACCGCCTCTGTTTCCACCTCGTCTCCTTCGAAAAATCGCTTGGCGGCGGCCGCACTAAATGTTGTGTGCTGTGGTGAGGCCTCATTCTCGCCGTCCCTCGGACATGTCGGCTGCGCGCATTGTTCAAGAGCGGCGACGCAGCGTTAGCGTCGGTTTAATTACCCAAGTTTGAGGTGCGAACCTGGGAATGACCTAAAGAAATTTAGCGTCAGCTTTCTAATTTTGGAAAGTCTCCTTTAGGGGAGACAAAAGAAGTGATGTGAAAAGGAAAACAGTTGTTGGAGTTGTGAATTGTTATCCGACAATCTTTGAAAAATCCGGAAATGATGACAATTGTGTGTGCAGCGAGCACGTGTCTCGAAAAATGTTAATAGACAGCACCAAACTACTCAAACTTGTGTTTGGTGACGAAAATGAACGAAAAAACAAAGTTGTGAGTGCAGTGCCGCGCGTTCTCTTGGCCAGTTTGGGGAAACTTTGATTCAGAACACTCTGCGGCCACGTCATCGCCCCCGGAAGATCCGGAAGAAGAGCTTCTGCCGATGGAAAGACTGAAAAGGGCGTTCGGACGGAACGACTACTTGCTGCCCGAGAATTTCAAGACGCTCCGGAGGGCGGACATTCCCGTCACGTACCGGCTGCACGACGACCTCCTCAGATACTATCGGTACGTCCTGAATAAGGTCCAAGCAACTGACAAATTGCAAAACAAAAAAAATCACTAGAACTCAGAAAGAACCAACGAGATGGCCGTGGCCTAGGAAACTCCTCGGCCACACCGAATTTCCTTTCAAATTGTCGATGAGACAAGTATTTCTGCAATGCAAACGATTTCGTTCAAATTTGAACCGTTTCCGCTCAAAATCTCAAAAAGTGCTTGATATATTGGGGTTTCGCAGAAGAATTTTGCATGGCCGAGGATTTTCCTAGGCCGCAGATCCTTTTCTAGGTCACGGAAAAAGCGGTAATTTCTAACCTCCTCTCTGCCGGATTCTCGATTCCTTTCACACGTGGCAGGGAGAAGGTAGAGCAAACGTTTTCTAGGCCATGGCCTAACTTTTGCAACAAACACCATGACATCACTTGCTTGACCCACCCTCCGATGCTTTATGTTGGTTTTGACCCGAAATCTCCGAAACCCGCAACAAAAACGTCATTTTGTGTGGTCGGGGAACGGTCCCCGGAGAGTTGACAGGTCAAAAAGACTGACATGTCTGCGTCTCGCTTTTCGACAAATCCGACAATAGCGAAGAAGGAGAAGAAGAAGAAGAAGAAGTAAAGTGGGAAAAGGGGGGTCTTTTGAGGAGGAAAAAGGGTTAAATGAGACCAATTATGCAATCAGGAAGGCGGGTTTTCGGGGGAAAGACGAGGGGATCTAAAGATAACTTTAGGGGGGACCACCCGACATTGAATGTGTACAACTCAATGGAACCGAGTCCTTTTGGCCTAAAAAATGTTTGGGTACACTTCAAGTCTGGCTCTACATTTCTTCAGTTGACCACTTTTCCGTACCTTCACTCTCCGAGGTACTGTAGCGCTTAGAAGTTGGGGGACCACAGTACTCCAGGGGTTGGTCTTTGAAAGAAGTTGTCTTGTCAATTGATAAAATGACGGTCTAGGTGTGCAGATTTCCCAGAACAGTTTCTAGACCTCTAGGACCAGAGCTGACGTGTTCACGGTCCCTTAAAGTTGACTAAAATCTCTTTGTTTCTGTTTGGGCGCCACAAATTGAGTTAGGGGCGAGAAATGGAAATGGTCAATCCAATTTACTTCCTCTCGAGACCCAAAATGGAACTTTTCCGCGCACTGGACCACGACCGAAAGTTCTCGATTCGATTATCGATAGACTACTACTGTAGACTTCTAGGAGGGACCCAAAAAAAACGTGTTTTTTTTTCCAGGAAAGGCACCCGTCCAGTGACGCATCCGAAGAAGGTGATTTCCGTGTCGATGAGCGTCTTTTTGTACCAGATTGTCAAATTGGTAAGTCTTTTATTTCGATTCTTCAACTATTGGGGGAGAGAACCCGTATAAATGGTTTGCAGGACGCCGTCAAGAACACGATCAGTCTGTCGGGCAGTTTCGAGTTGGTGAGTCCGCTCATTGCCTTTTCTTCTTCGGCGTCGGCGTCGGAATCAAGTCGGTCATGTAGTCGAGCACTTTTCGGTACCTAAAAATGGGAAATTGAGCGGTTTTCTGTCAATTTCCAGTCATTCGAGCTGTTTACCCTTTAGAAATGATGCAAACACGCTCTAGCGCACACGTGGGGGGTTCTAGACAAATTTTTTGAGAAAAATAATGGTTTGTGCTCAAGTGGTCCCAGTGGTTCACCTCTTCAACCACTTGCTGGTGACGCCTCTCGCATCGACAGTGACGACGCGTTCCTCCAACGAATTGGGACCGATCAAATTGAACATTCGCTTCGATTTGACAATTTCGTTGCGCAAAACTCCCGCCATCGCCTTTTTGTACTTGGTCTCCAGTCGGATTTGAGTGCCACGGACGGTCCCTTCCTCGATTAGCATCAGACCTGAATCGGCTTTGTCGTTGTGCGCCTTTAAATTGGAGGCGGATACGGTAGACGGCAATTGTCTACCGTATCGTTTCAAATTTAAAGGCGCACACGCCGCCTACCGGTATTCGTGACGAGTTCGATGGAAATGAGATCGTCTCCCTCGGCGGGCTTGTCCAACTCGACGAATCCGGTATCCTCGTGGAACGGTTTCGACGTCAGGAAGCCGAATTCCACGTGCACGTCCGTTCCGTCGAGGCTTTCCGCGCGGATTCTAAAACACACTTTTTCGATACATTTTTGGAAAAAAAGTGCTCCCGGGGGACAGATTTGAGGATTGAGGGAAACGGGGAAAAGTTGCCGACAAGCGGCAACTGGATATCGATAAATTTTTGGATAAAGCTACTTCCAACAAAGCCTGGTCCCGTCTAGACCTCCGTAAAAGTAAAATATTGTTCGTTTCCCAAAAAATTATGTTCCGAGTATTGAATATCCGCAAAAACGTACGAAATGTTGACGGGCGGTCGGTCGAAAGCCGGAACTTCGGATATCTGCACGTCGAGGATCTCCCTGTACGGTCCCGACATCGGCTCGGGGAATCTGCGAGTGCGTCGACATCATGCTCTTTCTTTTGGGGGAAATTACCTGTAGGCGGCACTCGTTTTCGACTCCCATCTACCCACGAACCACTCGATATTGTCCAAGATCGGCGGAAGAGCGAGGGCGAGTTCTGGAAGAGGAAAAAGTTAGGCCACCGGAATTCCGACTACCGACTTCCGCATTTTCTCGCTCTCTCTCTCTCTTACGTTTTCCGTTATTCCTGCACTGCCCACAGGACAATGCGCAATTGTCGGCGAAAAACGGCGAAATGGGCCGAGTCCAGTGGCAGCGTTCCTCGGATTTCCATCGGGCGCAACTCTTGTACACGTCCTGGCAGGGTCCTGAACCGAATGGGTTACTGTAGGGTTACTGTACCTGGCACTCACTTCCGCACTTCCGTCCCATCGTTCCGAAAGGACATTCGCACCGATTTCCGAGCGATAATTCCACGCACTTTCCGCCGGGACCGCACGAATTCGGGTCCGTTGGGTTGCAGAAGTCAATTACTGAAAAAGTTGTTTATCGAATTGGACATTTGTATCGAGAAGTTGTTCGATATAAATTTTTTGATGAATTTATCGATAATTCATCGATAAATATCGATAATTTTCGAACATTTATAAAAAATCAACTTACTAGTTTTGGACATGGTCTGTCCTTGTCCGATGGCAATAATCGAAAGTTGTACGATGAGAAATATCCGAAAAATTGCCCTCATCTCTCTTTTTTCACTGAATAAACAATATAAGCGGCGGCGGCGATGAGATATGGAAAGAAATGAAAAGTGCGAACGATTTCGGACTTCACACACATAAGAATCCAAAGTGGTCTTTCTTTCTTTCTTTCTCAAGGCCAGTTTTATCCATTACATTTGCATATATTCATTGCGCAACACACAATCCAATGCAAAGAAAAGCAAAAAGCGAGTAGGTCCTGGCCGGGTTCGAACCGGCGACCTTCTGCGTGTGAAGCAGACGTGATAACCACTACACCACAGGACCGCACGTCCGGCGTGCGGGATAGGTGCGCCTATGAGCTCGCGGTCGCCGCCGTTCGCGCACAAATTTGGAGAAGATAAAAATGGAAATTTTCTGCAAAAAAATGGGGAGAGTGGTAGGAGAGAAGTAAAAGTGAAATGGGGAAGTGAGATGCGCATTTTGAAGGTCGTTCAAGACCAGTCAGTACTTGATAAGGAAGTTTGACGCCCCCGGCGCCCGTGGCTGTAATGTTACTACACGAAAAAATGGGTGGAACTGATCGCAACTATCGATTTTTTTTTGCAGTACTGGCTCGACGAGTTCTTGAAGTGGAATCCGCCGAGCTACGAGGGCGCCGAAGAGATTTTCCTGTCGAGCTCCGACATTTGGATACCCGAATTCTCGTTGTACTACAGGTTCGTGATGGTGGCCTAGGATACGATACGGATTTTTCAATAAGGGGGGTGGAAGTGAAAGTGAGAGAAGATCATGGGAACTTGAAAAAAAGATGATCGTGGAAAAGAAGACATAATGATCAGACACCTTGAAAACTTGCAAAAATAATGTGTAACCGGCCAGTTCCAACTTTGAGAAAGCATAACTTTTTTCCTAAAAATCGTGTATCTCGGCAGTCTGCACAGATATCAAAAAGTGGACAACTGATAAAATGTACAAAATTTCCTTTTAAACATTTTATCAGCTGACAACTTTTCGATATCTCTACCGACAACTGAAATAAATCGTCTTGAATGGAACTTGAACTTTACGGCTTCCAGAAAGAACATTATATGTCAAAAAAAGGGAAGAAAACGACGATATCTGTTGTGTAATTGGGTGTGATTGTACTGTACTTAGGATAGAGATATTGTAGATTAAGAAGAATAAAAAGAAAAAGAAGAAGAAGAGGTAGGACACTGTAATAATCGAAGAGAGAGAGAGGGAGAGCGAGGAAGAAGAGACATTGTTTTTCCGTGTCTCTTTAGACCTTCGGAGAACACGTTCCAAACGTACAGAGAGAGGGAGAGAGAGAGAGAAAGAGAGAGAGAGAGAAAGAGAGAAAGGCCTGCGCCCACGGACTTTATGACTACAACTTCTGGCCGTTTGCTAAAGAAGCCGCCGCCCCCAAATGAACCGAAAGTGACGAAAAGACTGATCAGCCGTTCTCCCCCTCTTTTTCTTTCTCTCTGGAACGGCATGCGCCCTTTAAAGTACTGTAGTCGATGCAAACGCGCTCCACCGCACAACTCGAAAAAATGCTACGATCCTCAGAGAAGTTTATGATTACTGTAACTCTGACACAAATTTTCCAGTCTCAACTTCAACGACGCCGTCAAATTGCAATCGAACAACGACATCCGGGTGAATTACACCGGCCACGTGCGCTACTACATCCCCTTCTCATCGGAATCGCTCTGCAAACTCGACGTCAAGTTTTTCCCGTTCGATGTGTACGTTTTGCGCCTGCGTAGCACCCCCAAGGGACCATGTTCGGTGGAGCGCGTTTGCATTCCCTTCTCTATTGCCCCTTTCTTCTCCGCTCTCGGCCTTGACGCGGCCGCTCTTCCGCACTCTCCTCTAGGCCGTTGCCGGCAGCCGACAGGGCTGGGTCCTGTGGTGTAGTGGTTATCACGTCTGCTTTACACGCAGAAGGTCGTCGGTTCGACCCCGGCCAGGACCTACTGGTTTTTTGCGTTTTTTTTCTCTCGCACACTTTCAATCGTATTTCAGCCAACAATGCACTCTGCTGTTCGGCTCGTGGGCACACTCGAACGATTCGATCAAATATTCGTTGTACTCGCAGAACTTGTCGCTTATCGACTTTTACGACAACCAGGAATGGGAACTCGACACCCATAACAGCTCGGTTCATTCCGACGGATTCTTGTACGACTACTTGGACCCGCCCCTATTTTGGGAAATGATAATTATCACTTTGGTGATGCGGAGGCAGAGCTTTTATTATGGTTAGTTCAATATCGACTCAATATTGCATTAGCGAAAGATTCTCCGTTCAATTCTTTAGAATTAAACTGGGAAAGCTTCTGTAAACAGCGAAAATTCACCTATATCGATTCAAAGTCCGATTAACTGACTTCTGTCAAATTTTTTGAACTTTTCATGGATTCAGGCGAATTTCCGATGTTTTCAGAAACTTTTCCTGTTAAATTCCAGTGAATTTCTTCTAGAATCTTTACCAAAGAAAACATTGAATCACTAGAGTTCTTAGAAAACGAAATTTACCAGGGAAACTCAGAAGATCCCGGGTTTCGAAAACTCAACCCGTAACTCCCCGACAAAAAAGAAAAACAACGTTTTAGTGTTCAATCTGGTCATACCCAGCACAATGATCACTTTGGTATCGGTCATCGGATTCCACACGCCAAGTACCAGCGGACGGATGAGGTTTCGACCGATTTAGAGCCTCTCTAAAACGGTATCCTTTTCAGAGACGCGAAATTCCGACTGGGCATCATGACCCTCATGAGTATGTCGGTCATCCTGCTGGCCATCGTCGAAGACATGCCCAAGTTCAGCATGGGCACGAACCGACGCGGCCGAGGCTCTTTCTCAGGCATTCCGCTGATCGGACTCTACTATTTCATCCTACTGGCCATCATCGGAATGTCCACCGTCACCACCTCCATGTTCGTCTACTTGGAGAGGGAATCGAGGGTGAAGCACCATGTTCCCTGGTACTTAAAGTGGCTCTCTTTCGACATTTCGCCCTCGCGAATCGCTAGGTTAGCCCGGAAAATTGAAAATAAACTAAAATTTGAAGTCAGAAATTTCAGGAAGCTGTCCCGTTATCGCCCTCAAGCAATGAGCCAACCGCCGTCGGTGAGTCTAGATTTTTAGTTTTTAGCATGTTTTTCCTCAAATTCTCACCCCACCCACTTTGGCACCCATTTCACACACACTTTTCCACCGTCAATTCCAGGAGCACCTCCTCTCAAACGGACACGTTCGAACTGGTATTCGTGACAAAGCGCGCGGAGTCGCCGCCTCGCTGCTCTCGCTTCTTCCGCGTCCCGGAAGCGGACAAGGAGGCGGAAACGGAGGCAGTGGCGAGAACGGGAACAGTCCGTTCCACATGCAACACATTCACGCTTATCACCAGGTGCCGACCCCACACACCCAGAATCTTTTTTCGGTTCCTTCAGTTCAATTATTTTTATTCCCATCCCAAAAAGTTAGCAAAAACCAATTACATTATGTTGAAGGACAATCCGACACCGGCTCGAGAATCGATCCGAAGACGTCTGAGCATGTCGCAGTACGACAACATGCTCATTTATCAGTACTACGAGCAGGCACTTGAAGATATCGCCAACGGGGTGACTAGAATGGATAGAACCATTGCGGAGATCCGGTAGCTAATGTAAAACAACTCGGGAAACTATCCAAATGCTTCCTTCCAGGTCTGAAATGATGACGCTGATTCCCCAGGAGGATGTAAACACGAAGTGGCAAGCGGTGATCAGGAGGTTGGAGCTCTTATCGCTGGTATTCTACGTATCGGTTCTATTCACCACCATGTATCTCTTCTTCTATCACGATTGGTAAAGAGTCCCATTGATTAACAAAAAAACTGAACTTATTCTTCAGGTACTGCGCCATCGGGCACAATCCGTGTGGACAGTCGAACTTGAAGTGTCCCTGGATGGCGCACACTCCCGACGATCCGCACTGCGAACACAATTCATACAACTAAATTGCTTGAATTTATCATAGAACTATTCTCGGGTTCGGTTTCTCTCCCTCTGTTCTCATTTGCTCATAAAGACTTCTGATTATCTGTGATCATGGAAAAACAAGAAAAGACAGTGTGTAACGTGTGAACATTCATAATGTAAAAAACCAACAATGAGCGTCGAAGTGATTTATTTGAGCTCCTTGACTTGAATGCCTGGTGGGAGGGACTGCTTCAGCTTCTCGGCCTTGTCCTTGTCCTGCAAAAAATGACAATGAACCTCAGATGTATTATCAGACGAAGCTAACTATTGACAAAACATTTCCAAATGAAAACTTCAAATTCTCGCGACTTATCTAGAATAGTTCAAGAATTTCAATTCACACTACGAAAAACGTGTCAAGAAATGCGTACACGACGAAACATAGCGAGACTTTCACGGATGACAAAAAGTTTCTATGTTCACTGGCTTGCTCGTTTCAAGAATAAATGAACACTTACAGCAACGACGAGGGTGTACAGGTAGGTGGCGCAGCGGACCTTGAACTTGGTGTTGTTGCTGTTCTTCTTTATCTTGACCGACTTAGCATCCTTTCTGCGAGCCTTGACCAAGAACTCCTTGATCTCCTTGATTTCCTTCGGCATCGTAATGGTGTTACCTGAAAGAACGGAAAAATAAAATTTCAGAGAAAATCCAGATGAAATTAGTGAGAAATACTGACGGAATAGAAACGCAATGTGGCTTTAAAACGAGTTTTACATCTAAAAATAAGATTCAGAGTAAAAATTCCCAAAAAAAATTTCCAGAGAAATTTTTGCGATTATTCGTATAAGTTCGGCTATACTATCAACGCAGGGGCATTTCTCTTTATTTTTCCAGTTCAAAACCTGAAAAACTAACAATAAAGCACCAAAATCAAGCACGAGACGATAAAAACCATAGTTGCCACGGGCCGGGCCGGGCCAGGGCCGGGCCGGGCCGAAATTTCCAAAACTCCGGCCCGGCCCGGCCCGTCGGCCAGCCCGGCCCGGCCCAGCCCGACCCGGCCCGGCCCGGTCGGCCCGGTTCAAAAAGCGGGAATTCAAAAATTTGAATTATTGATCGCATGAAGCCATTTTTTTGTAGAATTAGGGGTTTTTGCAAGCATCGAACATTGAAAAAAACAAATGTATTTCTCATAAAAAAATTCATAATAGCAAGAAAAACAAAGAAGAAACACTAAAACTTTTAGTTCGAAAAATTTTTTTGTAATAACGAAAAATTTCCGCGAAAAATTTGAATTCCCGCCTTTTTGAACCGGGCCGACCGGGCCGGGCCGGGACCGGCACTTCACCGACCCGGCCCGGCCCGGGCCAGCACTTTACCGGCCCGGCCCGGCCCGGCCCGGGCCGACCCGGGCCGGCCCGCATGGCCGGCCCGAAATCTGGCAAGTCTGATAAAAACGAAAAAGTTCAACACTAAACGAGCGGTGGGTGTACGGTTGCACTCATTGGGCTGTCGCCAATCGCTGCGAGACCCGCCGCGTTTAATGCATGCGCCTTTAAACTTTGCGACCAAAATTACATTCTCCGCTGGGAAAATGCACCAAATTTTCGGGTTTTAAACTAGAAAAATAAGAAAAACAAATGAAAATAAAACATTTTCAGTTTAATGAGTTCAGAATATCGACTTTAGACCAATTCCTGCTGTTCACAACAATTTTACACTCCACTTACTGAATTATTGGAAAAAAGTAAGTTGGTGAGTGTCAGCAAAAAAATTTTCGAAAAAAATCGAAGAACGTTGTACAAATAATTCATAACGAGAGTACGCATTATTTAAAAACGAAAACTTAAAAAATAGGAGAGTTATTAATTGTTCATGTTCACAGATTTAATTTGGTCTCTAATTCGTTGAAGTTGGTCCAGTGAGCAGTCTTTCAGAAATTCGGCCGCCTCGTCGATCTTCGTGCGCTCCTTCTCTCCCATCAGACTCCTCATCGCTTCCTGATGCCTCCGATGCTTGTTTCTGGCCGCCAACAGCTCCCTCTTCATCTCTTCGTTTCGCTTCTTCACCACATCGTACGATTTCAGAGCTGTGTCCTGCAAGAATTCAAAAATCCAAAAAAAAGAACCGGCCTGGAAGACGCACACACAATTTGCTGATTTCGTTGTACTTCTGATACTCATCCGGCAAATCCGCGTCCGTCATTCCGTCCATGTACTCGTCCTCTCTCAATTCGAGCACACTTTTCACGGCCGCCTGCGTCGACTTCAGAATTCCGACGCTGGAACTGTATTTACACTTTTTCAAAGAAAATTCGGGAAGATTGGCTCACTCGAATCGCGTCAATTGCTCTTTCAGTTTGGCTACGGACGCTTCGATGTAATTTTGACGATTCAGGAGTATTTCGTAGTCGTTCGCTGACATGTTCAGCTTTTCTCGCACTGAAAATCAGAATTTGCGGGTAAAAGAAGGTGAAATGCGAAATTTCATTCAAACTCACGCCATTCGAGTTGCCTCATTTGAGTTGAATACGCTTCATTTACAATTGTGACGGCGTTGACGATTCGGCGATATTCTAAATTAAAAATGTTCAGCATTTTTAGTCTAAAATGCAAATTACCTGTGCGAAATTTGGAAGTGGGGTCTGCGGCCGGCTTCTGAACTCCCGTGTATCCACTTTTGATGAGCTCAACGCGTAGCTTCGAAATCAGCGGCTCCAGTTCCACGTCGTGATGGCACCACTGAAAATAAACTTGTTAAATTCCAGAAAAACCAAAAAAAGGCGTACCGGCCTCGGAAAATGAGGGTCTTTGTCAAAATCGATCGGTTCTCTGGTCAGCGTCGGCTCGCTGGGTGCATCGAAATTTAGGCGTCGACAAATTGGATGTTTTCCGCCCGGCCACATTCTTCAAACTCTCAAATTATCGTTTTTAAGCTAGAAAATAGATGAAATTTGAGCTGGAATGCATTTCATTCGAATGATGATAAACGAGAAATTTCGTCAGATCTGACGTTTTCGGGGTTGACACACTGCGTATTTTGCCTTCTACAGTAATCTTTATTTAATTTTTGTGAACTTGGAAACTTGAGGAGTTCGCAAAGAGTCCAGAAAAAACGTGACCAAACGTATAAAAAAAACCCTGTAAAAACAAATGTGTTTAGAATTTATTTCCAATTGCTCGGGGAAAAAATGAGCTGGCTCCGTAATCGCAAAAAAGCCGAACTGTCGTCCGGTTCGTATCCGGGCGGTCGGAAGTCGTTTTCGTGGACATTTTCTCTGAAAACTCTCAAAATTGATGAAGACAAAGTCTCGGAAGAGCACTCTTCTGGAAATTTTTACTGGTGAGCATCGGGAACGCACTTTTTCCGGGAAATTTAGTATTATGTTTAGGAATATTTCCGTACGGAAGAAACTTGTGGAAGAGGTCGAACAATTGGATGTTTTTCTGTCGTGCTCTCTGGACAAACGCTTTAAACTGGAAAAGGGCGGCGTGTGGAGGGTGGATTACGCCCACGTGCTCCGCTTTAAAAATCACGAAAACCCGGCGAGCCCGTTGGTTCTCTGCAATCACGCTTTTTCGTCCACGGCCAAGTCGCACAGCACAGACACTATCAATATTTCGGAAATTCCCAATGAATTCAAAATCGACGGCGACATCATCACGATCGAGGCGGAAATCGGAGTGAAACGGGTGGATTGGAAGCGGCCACTCACCGATTTCACCGTGAAGAGAAAAGGCACCGATTTGATTTTGATGGTCGGAATTCACGAATTTTATGTGAAGAAAAAGGTGGAATCATCATTTTTAGCTGGAAAATCATCGGAAATTTCTCAGATCTTGGCCATCGTATCGCCGGTTTTCCAGGTGCTTCTCGACGGTCTCGGCGATCCGTCGGACAACAAGGAGATCAAAATTCCGATCAACAACGTCGATTTCGAGCCTTTTCACATTTTTCTCCATTGCATTCACGGCAAGCCCATTGAGATCCGTTGTAAGCAAAAAAACCGCCTTACAGAAAAAAAAGTCGATAAAATCTATGCATTTTTCGAAAAGTCTTTCTCTCTTCCCGGTCAGAAGATCTTTTGAAAACATTTTCGATACATTTTTTTCGATAAAGCTGTCATGAACCCTCTTTCTATTTCAGTCGAACTTGTCGAATCACTTCTGAAATTGGCAGTGAGATTCGAAACGCCGAAACTGGCGACGGAATGCGAGGAATTTCTGATGAAAAGTGTGGCCGACGACGCGGAAGTGATCCGATTGGCCGACACGTTCCAATTGCAGACCGTCGTGGTGGGGCGTTGCGGTCGCGTCGCGGTTCAATTCGAGAATTTGTTACAGATGAAAAAGTTGGAGTCGTTGAACACGATTCCGGCACTGAAGGCCGCCTTCAAATCGTACAGAACGTTGTCGGATCCGACGATGACGAAACTTGTGACGAAGATTTTGGAGATTGAGTGAACTGAATGAAACAACTTGCTTTTTTTTTAATTGCCGCTGCAAAAATGTAAGTAATGCGCTCCGCCGCGGCCATCAGCCATTTCTTGAGGCGATACTCGTCTAAATTAGAGACACGTTAAAAATTGAGAAATGAGGAACGAGAGTGTATGTCTGCACTGCCTCCATTCCGATTCGATCGCATCATTGCAAGTGGATCAAAAGACCAGGCGAAGAGCCGGCTAATTGCCCAGCCCTGCCTCCCCCAACCACAATCAAATCACCTGTCAATGTTTGGTCAAGTAATTCCATTCCACTTTCCAATCACAATGCTTTTCGAGCGGACACCCCCCGAGCTCTGTACCACCGGCTCCTTTGCCGCCTTCCTCGACACTCCTCAATTTCTGTCCTCAACCCTACACATCATCACGCTCACCGGCCTCCCGATCCACGTGTTCGGCGCCATGTGCATCGTGTTCCGAACGCCCCCGCAAATGGCGAATATGAAATGGGTGATGCTCAACTTGCACATTTGGAGTGTCGCCCTTGACGTCACGTTCGGATTTCTGGTCGTTCCGTTCACGTACGAACCGGTGCTCGCCGGCTACCCGTTGGGAGTGCTCGCAGAGTTCGGAGTGGACATGAAGTATCAGTATTATCTGTGCGTCGTTCTTGTCGCTGGTGAGACTTTGACTTTCTCAAACGTTTTACTAGGAGCCCCGTGGTTCGACCGCTTCCAATTGTTGCAGGCGTGCTCGTCTCGGTGGCAGTGCTGTTCGAGACCCGTTTCTTCGTGCTCTACGCCCGTGACTCCTTCTGGCGCCACCTACGTTGTCCGTGGCTCATCATCAACTATCTCATCGCCTTCACTTTCATGCTCCCCACTTATTTCATGATTCCCGAGCAAGTCAGCGGCAAGCGCTATCAGTTCGGACGATATCCGTGCATGCCCGATGAGGTCTACGACGAGAAGGTGTTTTTGTTGAGCACGTGGAGCAGTGCAGTCGGCTACAATTCGAATCTGAATACTGCCGGCGAACAAGCGCTCGTTTTCATGATTCTGATCTATTGGAATATGAGAAAGTCGATGAGCCGGATCAAACTATCGAAAAAGACGTTGGAAATGCAGAGATCCGTTCTGAGAGCACTCATTTTGCAGGTAAACGACTAAACTGTACGTATTTACGCCCAACTTTTCTGTCAGGTCACAATCCCGTTGGTCATAGTCCTCGGTCCGTTGATCTACAATACACTGGCCACGCTCAACTCTTACTACAATCAGGGCGCCAACAATTTGTCGGTTAGTGTGATGGCCACGCACGGAATCGTCTCCTCGTTGGCCATGATCTATCTGCACAAATCGTATCGAGAACTGTTTTGGCGGATAGTCTGTCCGAAATGGACGATGGTGGTGGTGGATAATAATAGCAAAATTTTTACGATTTCATGATCACCAAACATTTTGGTGAACGTAAATCAATATAAAGTTTTGCAGCTTTACCAGTTGACCAAAAACCGAAAAAAAGAGAGGTGTTGTCAAGGAAATGATTAGTTTTGCCAGGTGGAACTCTGTTCCGTTTGCTCCTTTCCTTATTTCTTTACTCATGCGCCAGAGCCCCTGCAATGCCATTCTCTTCCTGGACACTCCCAACTTTTTCCGTCTCACTCTTCACTATTTCGGCTCGATCGCCATCCCGATGCACTTGTTCGGCTCCTACTGTATCCTGTTCAAGACGCCGGTAGGGACTGAAAAGGGACCGGAGAAACCGTTTGGCTAAGCAAACGCGCTCCGCTGTACTCAGCACTTGTTAGCGTTTCTCATTTTCATCTCCAAATGTGCTCCAAAGTGCAGAGTGCGGCAAAGCGCGTTTGCTCAGCCAACCGTGTCGGTTTCAGTGGCCAGCGTGTCGATCATCCAAATCTTCGAGAACCGTCTGCTCGTCCTCCAACACGAAGATCCGTGGTGGCGTCGCTTCCGTGTCCCGTGGTTTCTCTTCAATTACCTCGTCGCTCTGCTCATTTTCCTGCCCAGCTACCTCCTGATTCCGGATCAGTCCGAGGCCAAATCCGACATCCTCGGGATGCTTCCGCGCACTCCCGACTACCTGGATATCGATCGAATCTTCGTTGTCTCCGCCGGCCATCAATACTTACTCTGGCCGGGTTTCCTTGGATTCTGCCTGTATACCGGTCAGATCGGAACGTGCGCCTGCCTGATCGAAAAGTGTTTGAGCGAGAATTACGGGCGGAAGATGTCGTTGAACACGCTCAAATTGCACAGAAAGTTCCAGAAAGCTGTTCTGCTGCAGGCATGGTTGCAAACGCGCTCTATCGAAAAAGCAGGGCGAATCCCGCTAATTTTCATTATTTTTCTGAAAATTTCGCCGCAATTCGCGTGGAAAGCGTGAAAAACGACAAAAACTTCAGAAAATTTATCGATTTTTTGCAGCTTGTGATCCCGTTGATAATCGTCTGTCTGCCAGTGCTCTACCTCGGATTCTCCGGCCTTTTCCGGTTCCATTATCAGTTTCTCAACAACATTTCGATCTAAATCCTCTCCTCGCACGGTTTCTTCTCCACAATCGTGATGCTGATGGTGCATCAGCCGTATCGGGAATTTGTGAAGAACGCGCTGCACACGGGCGTTCAGGGACGATGATAATGAGTAACATTTATTAATTCGAGCAGATGTTTCAACAAGAATGAATAATAAAATCAGTTGCCTCGATTTGCAGTCAAAACGGGCAACAGGTATTGTTCGTTCACGTAATCGAACATTTTTTTGAACTTGTGGTATCCCAAGCGGTCTGAAGTGGCCTGCTGATCGACTGAGACGTTGACAGATTCTTCCAGACGCACATCGGAGGACATCTCGATGCTCTCCGCATGTTTCCAAGCTTCCGCGCCGTCCAACTCGACATTCAGAACTCGGAGAAGTGGTCGAATGAACATTCCTTGCAAGCCGACCGAGAAGAAAATGACTGCGAGTGTGGCCGTGACGAACATCGACTTGCCGCGCACCGAATCCGGCATCGAGAGCACCACTCCGAAGGCGATCGCTCCGCGCAGACCCCCGCAACTCATTATGAGCAGTTCGTTCTGGAAATGAGCAATTAGTCTCGGTTACTGAAGTCGTCTTTTGCTAACTGAAACTATCTCACTCACCATCGGAATCGTCTTGTTGCGAGCGATCCGCAGTACGGCGGCCAGTCCGAAGATGGCCACGAATCGGAAGAGAACACAGAGGAATATTGTCGAGGCGACGAACAGAGTGTCCCAGTGATGAGTCGTCGAAATCGTGGCGAGACCCAACAATCTGAACTGCGTCGTTATTTTCTTTGAATCTACCTTTGCGCCAATTGCAATTTTTGGGGTTTTGGGGCCAAGTTTCAGAGTTTTACATGAAGGTGAGTGACTCGGAAGAGATGGCAAAGTTCCGCGTCATCACCGAAACGGCTTCAAGACACGAGGAGCTGAGATTCCGTTCCAGATATTGTTTGACCATCATTCCGCACACCGCCGCTCTGAACACTTTTATGCAAACTCTAATCCTCTCTAATCAGTCTGTCTTACGCGATGATCGAGGAAAACGAGAAGATCTCCGAAACGACGTATCCGAAATAGGCGACGACGAACACCAAAAGAGCAGAGATGACGGGCGTGTTCTCGGTGAACCTGAAAGGATCCACTTGTCTACCGTAGCCCCCGATCCCAACTAACTTCGTCGCGAGACCGCATCCGAACGCAGAGACGATTCCGATGAGAACGCCGCCCAGAGAGACGACGAAAAAGGCGAGAATTCCGAGGAAATAGTCCCAGAAAGTGCTCACAGAGTCTGTTGACGTGGAGGCGAAGGATTTGAAGATGCCAAAAAGGACGACGGATATCGCGTCGTTGAAAAGGGCTTCTCCGAAGGCGGTGACAAACAACGGCTTGTTCACGTGCATCTCCTCGAAAACGGCAATCACTGCCACCTGAAAGTAACCGTGTGTCTTTTCGGTTAATACGTTTTTGCAGTGTTTTGTTCGCTTTTTCTTGAAAATAATATCCATTTCCATCATTTTTGAACTCACCGGATCGACAGCCGAAATCAACGAGGCGAAAAGGAGCATTTCGGAGGTGCTCGTTTCGACGGAAAACCATTTGAGCTCATTGAGAACCGCCAGACAGATTCCGATCGCGAACGTGTTGAAAACGGTCCCGACGACCGCGAACATCATAATTCCGTCGAAATTGCCGAACAACTCGCGATTCGGCATAAAATAGCCGGCGTCGAAGATGATGGGCGGCAGGAGAAACGCGAAAAAGGTGTGAGCATCGAAGACGAAAAACTTGACATCCAGGCGAGTCCAGTAGAAGAGGAGGGCGAGCAGAAGACCGAGAAGGATTTGAAGCGCAGACTCCGGGACTGTGTTGATCCACTCATTCTGTTTTTTGATCTTTGTGAACACTGAAAAAAAGGCAAAAGGGAATGTGCCGTACCGGGGATTGAACCCGGGCGCGTTATCGTCGACATTTTTTTTCGGGAAAAACGGTACTAACCTATTTTGCAAGCACAAGTAGCCAAAATCCAGAGGACCGCCACAAAGACAAACTCCATTTCGTGCCATTTCGGATTCAAAATCTTCAAAAAACGCGCGTAAAAACACCTAAAAACGCGATGACTTACATGAAATTCATAAGGTGACGTGTCTGCTGAAAATACTGGAAAGACGGAAATTTCCAGAAGGAAAAGAGCGGCGAAACATGTCACAGTGGACTTTATTTTGAATTCTTTGCAGCAATCCGATAGGAATGAATGGGGCGAATCGATGGTATTTATCAGTGGCGAGGTAGTAGAAGAAGAGAGAAAAATATGAAATCGACCGGTCAGGAGACGTACATTTCAACGATAAAAGTACGGTCTCGAAGTGTCAAAGTGATCATTGATCTGAAACATTTTCATTTTCCTCGTCGCTCTCGAATGATCTCTTGAAAAATGCAAGGCCGAATGACGCAAACATGTGAATCCCCCAGTATTCAAAGGAAAACCTTAGAGCAGGACTTCTCACAGAAACCTTATATTTACCGGCTCATTTCGAAGAAAAGAGTACAGTTGAGCTTTTATTAAAAAAGCAGAGATCTCAATGTTCGATTTTTTTTTATGTGTGGTGAGAGACACGAATAGTGCTGAACTTTTAGTTTCGAGACGCCCGCGGGAGTCCCCACTCTTGTCGTTCACTTTTACTAATTACGACGTTGCTGTTAGCCCTCCCGAACTCTCGCGAACACCTTCCAATCCGATTAGACCCCTGCTCGCATTGAAGGTGCTCATTAGGGGCTCACCGGCCGGCACGGGCTCTCGCGCAAATGCACACGCCACTCGGCCAATCGGATATTCTGTCGCATCACATGATAATCTCTCCTCGTCGAAGCCATATTCAACCGGAAAGCGGATGTACACACACACTCTCATCCATTCCATTTCATTTCGCTCACTGCTCGCAGTTTGGCGGTATCCTCTGCGTGTCGATTTTTGAATTTTTAATGAAGATATTTCGATTTTTTAAAGGAACGCTCTTATCGCGATTTTTCGCAGCGTTATCGAGATGAAAAACATTAAGCAGACTCGTTTTTCCCAGAGATGCAAACTCTGAGTCCGGCCCGTTGCAAGCCTTTTGTAACTTTGAGTTTAAATTTCAGATTACACAGTCCGGCCACACCAATTTTGCAAAGTCCGCGCTCCACCGAACTTTGCACGTCTCCCCGTTTTCTTTCTGCCGGCCGTCTGCGCCCTCAGCCTCTCTCGCGTCCGCCATCGATTTTCCGTTTTTCGCTCGCAAATATCGGTATTTTTGCAGCAAAATGGAAAATGTGATTCACCAAGTGTTCGCCGCCAGCAGCACCTTCAACATCGTCGTTGTTTTGACCACAATTCTGGTGAGTTTTGCGAAGGAAATAAAGAAAAACGGAATTTGTTTTGCTGTTGCAGGCCGGCGGAGTGATCGGATATCTTGTGCACAAGTACGTGGCTCAGAAGCAGTTCGCGAAAGTGCAGAAAAAGGGAAAAACGACGGAAAGCGGAGAGTTCAACGGAAAAATGAACACGGTGAGCGAAAATTGCTTTTCTCATTGAAAACCGGAAAACTTTACATGCAAACTCAAAATCAAAATTACAGGACGTTCTCCGCAAACCGCACGTCAATTTCAGCTCGGAATTCTGCGATAACGGTACGAAATTTACACGAGTTTTGCGTTTTTCAATGAACACTTTCAGAATCGATGCCGTCGTCGAAGAAATACGAAGTGAACGAGGAAGAAACGGAAGAAGATGAAGTAGAAGACGAGGAAGAGATGCCCGAGTTGGAGGAGGAAGACGAAAATGAGCAAGAGCCGGAAGAGATTGTTCGTTTTTTCGGCCCACAAATATGAAACAAAAGGGGTGTTCGATTTGTCAAATTTTTCACTCGGAGAAACGAATCGGCAATGTTATTGCAAGCATCGATTCAAACTTAGGCTCAAAAATTGGGCGTTTTCGCTATTCTCGCTTTAAAACTTCGTGTAATTTTGTCGTTTATCAAAAAATGCTTGTAAAGCGCCCAAATCGGTCTGGCGAAATCGATACCAAATTTAGCGCTTTTCATTGTTATCGAAGAAGAAAGAGTTAACTGAATTCCGTGTTACAAGTACTCATTTTCAGCCGAGAAAGCGAGAAAGCCTGTTGTTGGACAGCAACCGAATCAATGCGACAATCGGAAAATTGCACGGAAAACTGGCGACCGCCCAGCTGAAAGCCAAAACTCGGCAGATGGAATCGGAAATGAGCAACGAGGAGAAGGAATATGTTAGAATCTCCTAAATTTAAAAGAAATTCGAGAAGAACGCGTTTCAGGAGGAGCGAATGAAGGCGAATCAGATGGCGTCGATCATGAAGATGATGATGGATAATCCCGAGAAGTTCGGAATGGACACCGAACAGATCAAGGAGCAGATGAACTTGTATAACTTTTGATTTTTGGATTTGTGGAGCACTTGATGTAATTTGGTATCTTCTCATCGATCTCTAATAACTAAAGCAGTATTTATTTCTCTTCAAATCAAAGCGTAACTTTATTAAACTCGTAAATAGGCGAACCGAAAACAGAAACTATTTGGTTATGGCAACAATATTTAAGGGCTGAACATTGATGGAATTCAGAGTCATACTCTTCTTCCGAATGTTTCGTTTTCCACAAAAAACCAATCGGAGCACCTCTTCCCGATAAGGCGCTTGTACGGAAATCATGGCGATCGTGGAGAAGAACCCGTGGGACGAAATGAGAATGAACGAAAGATTGTTGAGTGCCTGATTGTGATACTTCACCCAACAACTAATTCCCAGGAAAACAATGGGAAAAACGAGAATAAAGAATGGGAGGAGAAGTTGGAGAATCAGGGCGCGGATCAGTTTGCGTTGAAGATTGACGGTTCGGCGGGAGAGTTTGCGGCCGTATCGGTCGAATGATTTTGTGATTTGGACGAAAAGAACGCCGAGCTCGAAAGAGAGAAAGGCGAGCTCGGCGGCTCCGGACCTCAGGAACAGGGCCGTCGAGTCGGCGAGCAGGAAGATCGGAGCGGATTTGACTTCTGCGGAGAGGCACGGAAGTATCTGGAAGAAACAATCGATTAGGGCGATGTTAGGGCTTTCATTACAACACTGTTAAACAGAGTTGCCACGGGCCGGGCCAAAATTTTCAAAACTCCGGCCCGGTTCAAAAAGCGGGAATCCAAATTTTGAACTATTGATTTAAAAAAATGTTTGTTTTTCGTAGAACTAACGAATTTTGCAATTATCGAGCATATAAAAGAAATGTAGTTCTCAAAAATAGTTTTTATTGGCATCAAAGCAAAAGTTTTAATTTTGATCCCCGCAAAAAAAACGAAAAAATAGATTTTCCCCAAAAATTTGAATTCGCGCCTTTTGAGCCTTTACGGGTTTACGCACGAAAAAGTACAATTGTGTCCTAATAAAACGTTCGATGCTTCTCTCGAAAGGGATTAGCGGTAGAGCGCGTTGGCCTAACATCAAAGAAAGTACCTGTATGACGTATTGCTTGCCGGCTTCCTGATCTTCGGGTATAAAATAGTAGACCGGATAGAAAAAGGTGACGGCTACGACGTAGTTGAGAATGAACCACGGTACTCGAACCCGATGCCACCAGTGATTGGCAGGTGATAAAATGAGAAAGCGATTCTCGAAAAGACCGAATATCGAGACGCCCATCACTGAGATTTGCAAATGTAACGCGTCATTCTAAAAGTAAAACAAATCTCACCGACAACGGAAACGACTTGAAAGTAGGTCTGATCGGCTGTGGTCATCCACGTGAATCTCAAAATGCCCAACGGATAACCGGCCATGAGGGGCACCAAAACGAACGGAGTGGTGAGCAGACTCAGTCCCAGATCCACGAAACAGCTCCAAAAATGGAAATTGAGGAGGCTCCATTTGATCGAGTCCATAGACGGCGGAGTCTTGGCCAGAATACAGTAGGCGCCGAAGAGATGGACGGGAATCGCGACGAATCCGAACGAGTGGAGGGCGAGCGAGAGGAATTGGGGAGTGGCGAGGAAAGTTCCGGAAGGATCGGAAGGGTCGCAGTACGTGTCCGTCATGTTTGAATGAAAGAGATCAGAGAGTGGTGAGCAAAATCCGGTCGACTACATACTCGCCTTTTCAGCTGTCATTAGAAATTGGGGAAAATAGGACGTTGACAGATTTTATTGACGATTCAAAGTTTCAACGAATATTATATTTCTGGCTAGGCAAACGCACTCCACTGCACTCTGGCTTTTTTGCATTTTTGTCTTCAAATGCGTTTTTCTTGAATTGCCATTAAAAATGCTCGTTTTTCCACTTTTCTTGCCTTAAAATCGTACATTGAACACTTTTCTAAATCATTTCATCGAAAACAAAAGTGGAAAAACGAGCATTTCTGATGAAATTTCCAGCGGAATCAGAAAAATGCACGTGGAGTGCAGTGGAGCGCGTTTGCATAGCCCGGCAAAAGTTATGAGACCGCGTCGGTCTGTACATCCTGTGCGAACTGCAAACTTTCCGGTCGGACCCAAACATCGATTCGCAGCAGTGAAAATGTGAATTCTCGGTAGGGAGAGTGTATGATAATCATGACAATTGTCGAGAAGAAACCGTGCGACGATAATACTATAAGACAAAAATTGTTGAACACCTGATTGTGATAGATGAAACACGTGGCACCGCCCAGGTATAGAAGGGGGAACAGCATGATGATTATGGGGATGAGCATCTGAAAGCGTGGAGCAATTCTCATTGGAAATTCAAAAAAAGTTTGGACGGGGTACCTGCAAGTTCAGCGCCGTTTGAAACTTCTTCTGCAACTCGACAGTTCTCACTGACAGATTAGTGCCGTACCGTTTGTTGAGCACGTGTTTCGTGTAGAATGCGCTGACCAGAATTTGTTCGATAAACAAAAGTCCGGCAAAGACGCACGAGAAGAGCAGTGTTTTGATGTGATCGGCGAGGAAGAACACGGCGCTCGCGTCGACGTAGACCGGAACGCACGGAACTACCGTCAGAAACAGCCGTCTCGTCTTCTCCTGGTCCGGAATCCGAAGGTAGGTGGGCAGGAAGAAGGTGAGTGCGAGGAGGTAATTGAAGATCAGATAGGGGATTCGGGCACGACGCCACCAGTGCTCAAAGTAGAAGAGCACGAGGAGACGACTCTCGAACACACCGAACATCGCCACCGCCACTACTGAAAGGATTTTGAGGCTGAAAGCTGGATCAATCAGTTTACTTCATTCTTTGGCGCTAAGGTCCCGGTTCTCGGCTTAAGTTTTCTAACTTGACGAAGAAGTTTGTAGTATTCTGATTTGTCATAAATAATCTGATCAATTTATGTTCCAATCGAATAATTCCCAACCAGCTAAGGCCTCAGAACGTTGTGATTTGTTGCTTTATTCGATTTTCCTGCACCTGACTAACGAGCAACTAAATGAGATTTGGATAGAGGCCGAGAAACCGAGAGACCGAGTAAAAGGGTATATTGATGCCGTTATCCAATTTGTTAGCGATCAAGTGATCTTTCAACGCTAACCGTTACGATTTAGTCTAAGCATGTACCGTTATTTAATTCAAAATCAATATTCTCGTCGAGAGCGGAAAAGCAGACTTGCCAAATCCCGGGCCGGCCCGGCCCGGCCCGGCCCGCTCGGGCCGGAAGTTAGACCTCAAAAAAAATATGCAAAAAAATATGAAGGAAGAGGAAAACGCGTGCGGCAAAATTGCTAAAATGGCGTGCCAGAGTTGCAATCAATCGCTCCGCCCACTCTTGAGAAAATTTTCGTAATTTTTGTGAAAATTTTGCGACTTTAAACAGCAATTTCTATTTTTTAATTTTTAGGTGCATCCTCCCGGCCCGGCCCGTTGCAAGTCTGCGGAAAAGTGCATACCGTTTACAACAATTTATTGTATGGCCCGAAACTCACTGGCAATGACAGCGGCCGCAAAGTACGCTTGAGCGCCCGGATCGATTCCGATCGTTTTGAAGACTCCCAACGGATATCCGGCAAAAGCGGGTATCAAAATGAACGGAGTTGTGAGTAAGCTGAATATCGAATCGAGAAAACAACTCCAAAAGTGAAAATTGAAGAGACTCCACTTGACGGACCGCATGTTCGCCGGAGTCACGAACAGAATGCAGTAGGCGCCGAAGAGATGCATCGGGATTGTGAAGAACCCGAAATAATGGAGAAAGTTCGTGTAAAAGTCGGCGGTGGCCAGGAAATTGGTGGAGTTGCAGTAGCTCATGTTGCTCTTTGACAAGTGTGATCGGGCGAATGCGAGCAATCTACTTTGTGTTTGATCATTTTCAGCTGCAACATTTCTTTTCGGTGAGTAATTCTATTCAATTGAAACACAAATTCTCGGTAAGTATTTCAAAGGAACAACATGAACATGATGCAGACACAGCCGTTAGAGAATATTATGAGGAGGGAGAGTCGGATTGTGCTAGAAGGACAGCGTCGAAATGGGCATGTAGGAACGGGGCGCCACGAGAATCAAATAGGAGATCATCGACTGGAAAAGAGTTAGGGAAAGGTATTAGGAGGTGTCGGTGAATCACAACTTTCACCTATTATGATTAACAGAAAAAGCAGTTCCTGAGAACTGATCTCGATAAACTATTGACATCATAGTGAAATATGGCTGATTATGGAAAGCATGCAATAAATTAATTCGTATCACAAACTTACAGAGATCAAAAACACAGAATTATTGAAACACGCACAAAATATTGCAGTAAATAGAGGATATGTACATAAAATAGGTGTCTAGCATTCTACAAGTCCGAACCGTTTGAACTTTGTACATCTCCAACTGCACGGCGGTTTTCCTATACGGATGTTGTCCAAAATAGCCATCATATCCAGAGAGCCGTTGGCACGTCGGTACCGTTCCGAGGAGAACAGGACGTCTCGGGCAGCGGCGAACGTCTTCTGCATGTGGACGAGCACTGAAATGAAAACGTTTTGAGTCTGGTCACGACTGAGCTGTTCCATCACGCTATCCAATCAGGCCTTAACACTTCAGTCTAACTACAAGACTGACAACCACACTAGGAAAAACAGTAAGTTTGAAACGCACTCTGCTTGGTGATTGCGGCCGCGAGATTGTGGTTTAAATCGAACGGATCCTCGACGCACATGAACCTCGACCACTCCTTCTCCGCTTTCGTCACGATATCCTTCTGCCGACATTGAACGACCGTGTGCTCAAAGTCGAAAGAGCACATCCATTCAAAGTATCCGATGAGCAATTCGGCACACGACTGCGTGTTCTTCTCCTTGAACCACTCCTCTTTGAACGTCTTCTCGAAGTAGACATTCCAACACGCCACCTTTATTTCTTTCGTGTTCTCTTTTCGGAAATCCTCCTGGAGCCGTGGGAGGACGGGCGGAGACGTCTGTTGGAGGTACGAGATGAGCATGAGCACGTGACCGTAGGAGCTCAGAGATCCGCACGAGGCGTCGGCGATGTGACACTGTTTCGTCAACTGAAACATATGACGTGTTTGATCGACGCGAATTCGGATGTCATGCGAGAGATGGAAGAGAAACACGAACTAGTTTTCCTTGTCATTTATATCGCTTCAAGACTTACGTGTTTGACATAGAGTGCCAACTTGGCAAATCTCTTGTCCGGGCTCCACATATTGTAGGTCCTGAGGAGTTCCGAATTGTGATGGGCCAGAGTGTTGTAGAAGGAGAGACTGAAAGTAACTTGTTTTCAGAATGTGTTGCTAAGCAAACGCGTTGTGCAGAGGAGCGCGTTTGCTCAGCCAATAGGGCTAGCAATAACTCACTCGGCATTGAGGGTGAACTCCAGATACTTGAACTCGAACTTCACAATCGGAACCTTCGCCGTCAGCACCGCCTTCGCTTCCGTCGTCAACTCCCACGATTTGATGTGCGCGAACGCCTGCTTCAGTACGTTCTCCGTCGAAATTCCCTCGTCCGGCTCATTTCCGTCGTCGAATCTGAGCGTGATGTCTGCATCGGAGCCCACCGCGCCGAGCCCGGTGGTCATGGAGCCGAAAAGAGTCAATTGCACCTTTTGCCCCATGAACTTCCTCAAATACTTCTCGAGAACCTTGACCATCTTGCGGGCGATGCCCACCGAATCTCGGTCCAGCTTGTTCGTCTCGAAGTGCTCGCCGATCGCACCGTCGATTCTGTCCAAAAGGGGCCGCGTGAACTCGAGGGACCGCATCGGCGGAACGGGGGCCAATAGGGGGCAGCCGTTTTGTCCGTGAGCCCATTTGTCGCAGTAAATGCAGATATTTTCGGGCTCATAACCGTCCGTCAGACTTTGGCGGTCGAAATCAAAGTGGTGGTCGGAAGGGTCCAGACGGTTCGCGAGTTCGCTCAGTTTCTCGAGATTGTAGATCTCGAAAAAGCGATCAAATCGGATCGTTATTGCGGAGTAGAGGGGCAGAACGTCAAACTGAAAAGAGGAAACTAAATAATTTAGGGAAAATTTGTTTGCTTTGAAAAACTCCTTTGAAACTCACATAATCTGCGAGTTCGTGTTCTTCCAATTCCATCAAATTCAGCCCATTCGGAACCACTTTCACTGGTCCTCCCTTTTTCATTGTATTCCGATACTGCATCAAGTCATCGAACTTAAAATAAATAAAAAACATTCGAAAAGTTTTTCATGATCCATTCAACTCACATTGCCAAAGAATTCATAGGGAACCAAAGGACCATTCAGACTCCTGGGGATTCCAAAATAAAGAAGAGCGCTGACTAGGCAGTTGTGGAAGTGTGTGTACCACACGGAGTTCTTGGGTATCTGGATGACGTTGTCGGTGCGGAACGGATCGATAATGCAGAAGACCCTCCGGCCCCACTTCTCCTTTTGCTCGTTCGTCAGCCGTTTGTGCGTCACAAAGACAATCGCATCTCGGTGCTTCTGGACGTAGAATTTGAAGAATCCGATGAAGAGCTCGCCGAGATTCCATTGTGGCTGGGGTTTCGTGAGCTCATCCTTCGTCAGGTAGTCTGCCAGGATGCTCGTCCGACAGACTCTCATCACCGCGTCGGGGCACTTTCCCGCCTTTTCCTCGTTCTTTGCGAGTTGCTCGCTAACAACGGCCTTGTGAATGATCGGAAGGATTTCGATCTGCTGGAGGTAGTGGATGGCCATCAGGTCGAACGCATATCTCGGGATCCCCAACTTGTCGACGCTTTTCGTGTCGAGACTCAGCTTCCACGCCCAGAGCCGAATGAGGAAGAGGAAATCGGCGAGCTGATTATTGATCCATGTGAACTTCATCAGCATGTGGTTGTATCCGAGGTGCGGCGATTCGAGCGCCTGATCCGCTTCCAGGTAGCTGACTCGTACTTTCACGCCCATCGCCGTGAACTCGATCGTCGAGGGGATGCCGATTGCGGTCACGAAATGAGCGGGCGCGATGTGAACGGCGATGGCGTCGCGCACGTCTTCCAAACATCCGAAAAGCCGTGCTCCTTTGAATCCTCCTTTCGCGAGGAACCCAACGTTCAAATCGCTGTCCGGCAACGCCATTGAGTGTTTTCTGTTATTTTTGAAGACGGAGCCGAACACGAATACTTTTACATCGGAGCTTGTGCGTTGGACGGCACTCTCGATAATTTCGAACAGATGTTTTATGAATTCCGACGGAGGGTGCGTCTTCTGGAACATTCTATAGTTTTTAGGAGGCCTTGGAAACTCGAAGGCCACACCCTATTGATAGCTCTGGAGACCGTGTGGCCGAAGATTTTTCTCTACCACGGTCTCTTGCACTCACCCCGCGATACTTCTTCATTTCCTTCTTCAGAAGCGCATTCAATGCACTCAAATGCGCTTCGGTCGGATCGGGCAAGTCGCGAACGAGCGCTTCCCGTTCCTTCAATCTCTCCCATTCGTTCATGTGTTTTTTCGTTTCAATGTGGCTTGCCGTGCTTCCAGAGCCTGAAATCCAGGTGATTAGGAAACGCAACGACGTTTTCAGAAAATCGTTCATTGGAATTGTATTGGGTGCTCTCAGGTTAACTTACATACCTTTCAAGTACGCATCACAAACTGTGCAATAAAGATTGGCAGTCGGCCATTTCTCATTGCTATCTCTCAGTTTGTGAATGCTGTGCCACGCGAGGAACTCCATCGAACTCTCGATCCACGGCTCCTTTTGTTCCGGCTCGTAATTGAGCTGCTCCACTGAAAAAACCATCAGAATGTGCGTCAAGAAAAGCATTGTCTCACTTGTCTGGAACGTCGCGAGCGCATCTTTTGTCGCCTCTCTGATCTGCTTGTCGGTAGAATCCAAAAAAACGAGACAGATGATTTTGGGAGCCCATTCGTTTCGGATTTCCACCTGGATGCATGTTCCGCCACATCTAACGTGAGTATCTTCGATTCTGATCTGCAATCTTTTACGCACATTTGTACAATATTTAGTTTTTTGAAAATACGTATCACTGGGTCGAAAAGTTGCACGTCTAACTCACACCTATCCGCAAATCCACAGGTATCAGCACTTTTTTCTCAATCGGAAACGTGTCCGCATCGAACTCCGCGACGATTTCATCGGCAATCTCCTTCGCGAACTCGCTGAAAACTGTCGGAACTTTAGCAGAATGTTCTGAAACAACAAGACTTACTCTTTCGAAATTGATCAATGTCGATCTGATCGTCTGGCACGAGATGCCTTGGCGCGTGCTGGGGGCTGAATGGACGGGTCGTCGGAACTTCCGAACGTCGAAGTGCATTGGATCGGAAGCCGCCCCATTTTCTTCCTCTCCAATTAGAACTAGCCAGATTTCTGGGACGTGACGAGTTTTCTGCAAAAATTTGAAAAAAAAGTTAGGGGCACCGGACAGAAAGGGAGCGATGTTCGCAAGCTGGCCGAATTTCTAGGCCGCGGAGTAATTTTCCACTGAAAGCGTGGCCTAACTTTTCAAACTCGGCCCCGAGGTCGCTCAACTTGCACTACAAAAAGAGTTTCTCAACAGAGCGCTATTTCAGTGCGGTGCCCCTATAATACTCGAAAATTAGGCATTTCGAGTGAAAACTAAAGTGGTAAGTTGAGAAATCATCAAATGTTTATAAATGTACCTTGTCGACCGGAGGGGCTCGCTTGTTGTGCATCATTTCGGCCAGAAACGCCTATTTGAGCTGAAAATTTATATTTTATGAACATTAGGGCTTTCTACTAGGCTTTTGGATTAATTTCATTTGTCGATGCCTGGATGACCCGCATTTTGGTACTAAAATTTCAAAACATTGTTTATGTGATAAAAGTTGTTCCTAATTATGCTTTTTCGTGATTTTTAGTTCGCAAAATTAGGGACCGCAACGGGTTTCACGAAATTCCGAATTTTCATAAAATTTTTGTTGGAATGTGTTCCCCTACTCTATATGAGTACGCTCCCAATTTTTTTTTCCAAAATTTTCGGTACATCCCGAGTTACACCCATTCAAAGTTGGCCTGTTTTCTCCCCGGTCGGCGGCAGAGGAGGGGGCGGAGTCTCGCTGGCGGACGATTCGTGTCGCAGTTTGTTGGAAAACACCAAAGAGGCAACATATTAAGTGGTCAGAATTGATGTTTTAAGAAAGCAAAACAACTTTCGAGATCAAAAGTTTCGAACCCGACACCTCCAGACTGCCGAGTGAGCACTCTGCCACTGCGCCAACCGGGCGGAGGCGCGGCGAACGCCAATCGCAATGAGAAGCTCGGTGTTCGCCATTCATTTTTGATACGACTTTTGCGGAATTTCAGCGCAAAAATAAAAAATTTGAAGATGTTTGCCGGGCTAAAATTTTGAATAAATAGATGGATTTTGTAGAGAATTTCACGCTGAATCCGATTCCGGGGAGAAAAGCCGCGTGTTGGCTGTTTCCGACCTTCAAATTATCGAAAAACAAGAAATTCGGCCGAATGTGGTCTACTCAATCGAACACAAAATTTCTCCTAGGGGGTCTAGAGCTCTGAAATTTTATATTTGCGTTCTCAGAGAGTTTATCTATGCATTCCAAACATAAAAAAGTGGGGTCATCGCTGAAAATTTTTCGCTAACTTTTTTGGCACTTTGACGGTCTGAAAAACAATGTTTGCCGGAACGAAATTTGAATTTTATTTCAAAAACGGATTCCCCATCCCTTAAACTGTCAGAATCACTTCTCAGAAGCCGCGTGTTGCACAAACTCCGGCCACAGTGGCTCTCAGACTAACTTCCATTTTCGTTTTCTCCTTTTTTTGAGAAAACTGTGCGTTTTCATGGAAAACGGAGCTGCTCATTTGATTCAGCATGGCCGATTACATAAAGTAAACCTTTTTGAATATGGTACTTGGTTTGGGGACCTCGGTACAGGCCCTCAAACATGCGCGGGCGCGACCGGAGAGAAAATTCGGCAGGCCACGCCCCCTTTGTTGCGCCCCCTACGCAAAATACATTTATTAGCCAATTTGAATAAAAATAGCTGAGAAAAATCGATTTTCGACAAATCTGTTCAAACTCACGAAATTCGTTGTCCCATCCATTTCTCCCGTTTTCCCCCAAAAACTGTCCATAGTCTGCACATCTTCTGCTTCGAGACATTCCACGAATCTGAATAATATAATGGTAAAGTTGAAAATACAGTCCGTTTCAAAAGTATAGGGCCACCCCTGAAAATCACCGGCACGTCTTCCCCAGGTAGTATCATGCCTCCGCATCTTGAAAATCGGATTCAGCATGAAAAGTTAGCATGAAAAGCATGAAAAGTTGCACATGATTTCAAAAAGGCTTTTTGGACATCCTAAAGGTGCAAAAAACCCCATTCAAGATCATGTTTATCAGTTTAAAGGACCAGGGAACCCAAAAAATTTTTTATTTTTTTGTGAAATGTTTTTGTGACTGTTTGAATTGTCTCTTATTGCCTCATACACTGGTGAAATGCTGCTTCTCAAAAATGCCAATGAACGAAACGGCATGCAGTTGAAGTTGTGGCCGTGGCCTAGCGCCAATGGCCGAAAAATATATAAAAATATATGCGCTTCTCGGCCATTTTATTTTTTCCGCTTTTTTACCGGTTTTTTTCCAAAAATTCACGGTTTCTCCCACTTTGGCACTTCATATCGACTGAATGAAAAACAATTTTTTTAGCAGTGAAAAAAAGTAAGTGCCGAACAAATGTCAATCAACTGAAAAAAATGGTAGAAACCGTGAATTTTTTTGGAAAAACCGGTAAAAAAAGCGGAAAAAAATAAAATGGCCGAGAAGCGCATATTTTTTATATTTTTTTCGGCCATTGGCGCTAGGCCACGGCCACAACTTCAACTGCATGCCGTTTCGTTCATTGGCATTTTTTTGAGAGGCAGCATTTCACCAGTGTATGAGGCAATAAGAGATAATTCAAACAGTCACAAAAAAATTTCACAAAAAAATAAAAAAATTTTTGGGTTCCCTGGTCCTTTAAGAGGCTTCCAGAGTGTTTTCAGGGGTGGCCCTATACTTATGAAACGCCTGCAGAAGCCACTTTTTCAGATTTTCCAGCACCATGGCCTCAGCACCTAATGTACTGGCCCCAAAATTGTTTTCCAGAGGTAACTTTTCATGCTGAATCCGATTTTCAAGGTGCGGAGGCATGATACTACCTGGGGAAGACGTGCCGGTGATTTTCAGGGGTGGCCCTATACTTTTGAAACGGACTGTAGTCGAAAAGAGGGAAAATGAACGGAACGAGAGAGTGGTCATTGGGCGAGAGACGAGCGTTCGTTTCCGTCTGCGTTCTCTTCACAGACGTGACGTTTTCGATTGACTTTACTCTGCCACAAACGGCCGCCGCCGGCTCATTACTTATCAGAGAATGAAGGGAGTAGTATAAGAATTGGTTCTAAACGGGGGACGTGACAAATGACGAAGAAAGAGACGCGGAGAAAAACAGTGCGGAGACGCAGACACTCTGTATTTGGGTTTCGATTACTCGATTAGTAGGAATTCCTGCAGCTACGTCTCTCGCCTTAAGCATTTGTCTCGACCCCCGTTTAGAACCAATTCTTATACTACTGAAGGAAAAGGGGAGAAGGATTTTTGTGATTTTCAGGGCTTTTGGGCAACTTTCAATCATCCGATCGGGCCCAAACTTTGCACGATTGACGACTTGTAGTCTGCTGGGACAACCGGCTTCAGGCGATGAAGTCGACGGAGAAGTCGTCGCGCGGTTGCCATGGTGAAATCGCAGCTCGCAGTGTCCAAGTAAAAGGACGGAGATTTTGAGAAGCGAGTTTGATCAGATGAAAACGGAATTGTCGGAAGTGAAGAAAGTCATGGACAGAGAATCCGACAATCTTGAGAAGATGTACGAGTTCTCGGGAAAGCAATTCGTGTTGGATATCGGGCTACAATATGGCCTGTGACAGAAACGAAAAAATGACGGCGTTCAATTTTTACACGTAGAATAACGCAATTTTCGCCGAAAAATTATTAATTTTGAACTCCCGCGCGCGCGCTGCAAGTGCGCTCCAATGATAAACGTCCACGCTGTGACTCAGTGGCGACCGCCCGTCAATTTCTTTTACTGTTGAAAAAAAAAAGTTTCGACATTGGAATCGAAGCTGGCAGCGTGCCAAGGCCCGGCCTCCCAAACGCATATGCTGCGCGCCATTGTTGCAACATTCCCGCACGCTTTATTGTTCTTCGTTTTTGTCTTTATTTTTCGGCTAAAAATCAGCAGAAATTTGGTTTTTTCTCATTTGTCTTTCGATAGACCGATTTTATAGACTATTACGAATTTTTTAAGCGCAAGAGCGTTAAATTTGGTCAAGTCGCAAATCAAATTTATCCGTTTGAAGGTTTTGGCTAAGACTGCGTGCATTTCAGTTGCTTTCCGGTAATTTTCGCGGTTCGAGCGCTCATAATGCTTGTATTTACTTGATTTATCATTCTCAAAACCAATTCTGTCCGAAAACGATCAAGAAAGCGCAAAATGAGAAGTGCGGTTTTTAGGCGGCGATCGGCGGCGAAAGCAAAAAAGCGAAGAAGCGAAGTCCGCGAAAAATGCGCCAAAACGTCATTAATTCTGAGAATTAGTGTGTTTTCATGTCGAACAATCATTTTTCATCGCCTTTGACCACAAAAATCAGCGAAAACCTGCTCAATTCATGAAAACGCCATTTGGCCGAGGCTCTGGAGACCGTGTGAATGTTTTACGTACATTTCTCAAAGTCTTATCCCCAAGACACACAGGACTCAATCGATTGAGTAATAACTGATCCCCTGTTTCATTAGCGGTCACTCGGTTACTAACAAGAAGAGGAAGAAGAAGATCCGCAACGTAAAGTGCGACAATCCGGCGCTCCTGGCCGTCACCATCTTCAAACACGTGGCAATTCACCCCAAAACTCTGCTCGGCGGCGTCGAATTGTTCACGAATCTCTCTCGATTCATTCTTGACAAAATCGACAAAATGCTCGAAGGCCTACAAATTCGTACTCGGATACTAACAGTTCCGAAAGCGAATCGAGCCCAGCCTATCGTAGTTCGTTGTATGGGAAACGATCTGGTCGAGGTGCAGTTTGTGTTGAAATATGAAAATGAACCGGGGAGCCCCGTGCGGAGAGTCATAAGCACACTCGACGAACGCGATTTCGATGCTTTCCGCTGTATTTGTGCGTTGGTTTTGGATGATACTTTTTTTAAGGGTTAGATTACGAACGCTCATCTATAAGGAACAACAATAAGGCGCTTTGGATTGAACAATTTCGGGAAAAGGGTTTCGAGATCGAAAAGCTGTGAGTTTGCGAACCAACTGAAACCGACGATGCGATCTGCGTCAGGGGCTCAACGTACTAGCAATCATTTTTGGAGGGTTCTTTGTGGGTGGACAGTTCAGCTCGTGCGGAACAATGTATCACAGTTCGAAATTTGAGTTCGGACAAACACAAGTTTCAGTTGAACAAGTCCGCCGGCTCATCCGAATAATTTCAGTTTCTCGAAGGATGTTACATGCGAATGAGGTGCGCCGTGCACGCGGATACGTTCGAGTACTGGTATCATTGGCAGATGATGGACGACCACGGCGAATATAGCGAGATAATTTTTCCGATGACGAACGGAGAGTGCGCGCTGGGGTGCGTTCGCAGAAAATTCGATTCGGAGTACAAGCAGTGGAAAGAACCGGACCCTGTGCCGAACGAACCGTCGGCAGAACCGGATGAGAATTCGGCGAGTGTCGAAAAAGGTGAGGAAGGGGAAGAGGAGCCGAAAAGCGGACAGACACGTGGCACCTTTTTGTGGATTCTCATGTTCATTGTTTTCTTTCCCATTCGTTATTCTTATTTAAATCAATAAAATAGCAGGAGCTGAGCTGACGCAGTGAAAACCGAAAAGTTGTCCCGACTTGAATATGAAATGCAGATTGATTTGCAAGTATTATAATGTTTGAGATCACAAATATCAATGAATACAATCGGTCGTCTCGCCGCTGAACTGATTCGCGAGGTTCAGAGTGCCGATGTCGTAGGTGTTGCCGTTCGACGAGGATCCGGAGGTGATCGCGTAGTCCGGAATGTCGATTGTCAACTTTTTGTCGCACAACTGAACGAATTCACCATTAGAAGGGCACGAAAAGAAAGAAAAGGCTGACTCCGTGGTAGTTGCAGCTGTGATAAATGTTGATTTTCGGGTCGAGGTCCAAAATTTTAGTGTAAGTTCCGGAAAGGCTGAACGTTCCGTCGGTGCTCGAGCGAGTAGACGCCAGTTTCGAATCGTAGACTGCAAGAATGTTCCAGTTGTTTTGATTTTCGATAAAAAACGTACCGGTTCCATCCTCGTACATTTTGACAAGAATATCGGAAGCGGGCTGGCCTTCGCACACAAGTTTTCCGGTCACAGTCACAGTCTGATCACTGCCGAGCACGTCGAAAAGCGCGCCGACTGGAACCAGGACGGCGACGAGCAAAAGGGACCACGAGTGGGAGCTCATTTTTGAGGTTTACTGCTCCGACTCGACTCTATTTATACTGCCAACCAACGAATGGATGGCAAACAGAAAGTAGACGAGAACAGGGAAACAGAAAACCAACAAGTACAGTACAAATATATTTACAATCGAACGAATGACAAACTGTTACTTTGCTCGCCACGTTTTTACACTTATGACTCATTTCGTGAGCGGTTTGAGCTCTCGCCATTTGGGTCAGACGTGGACGGATATCCGACTTTCGACGAATCCTCCGCGACTCTTGTATTCCGACTTTTTCGGATTGACCAGACGACCATTCTATGCTTCTGATCATTCATAGACTGGTCACGGTTCAGGCCATTGATAATTATCATGTTGAAACTACAATTTACTCGTGAGCTCACATTCTTGATGCTGTGAGTCTTGGCACAAACTTTCTGTTCTCAATTTCCTCAAATTTCGGTAATTCAATTCATCCACAGGTGTCACCAATTTATCCCACTTCCGCTTTCCGTCATTCGTTCCGATGGACACCTCGACTTCAGAATCAGACCCGTCGTTCGTTTCGAATATTCTGGAAGATAAGGAGAACCTTCTGTGGCATGTTCTATTCTTTATTTATTTCCTGATGCTCATCGTCATGCTCCCATTTTACATACATGTCAATCGAGTTAACCGACTTCGAGATCAAGGGGTGATTGACTGTGATGGAAGAGAAACACAAAGTTCGTGTTTCTCTTCCATCATTTGTTCTCATTCAAATTGCCCGATAGTCCTGAAAGTGATTGTTCTGAAAAGATGTCAACAAAAAGTTCAGACCGCCGTGTACCCGATCACAAATCATTTCTACCGTGCAACGATTGCCATGTACATTGTATTCATTCTTCTGGTGTTCGAATTAGTGCTCAATCAAATTGCACTCCACTATTTTATCGATTCATTGTAAAAAGACACTTTGGTTGCATTGCAGGAACTTTGATCAGTTTCAGCTTCTCCCTGATCATGTTCTCCTACTATGCGTATCTATTGTCGGTTTCCCTCGTCAGTTCGTTCACTCAGGTCCATCACATTCTCATTTTCTGTCTGGCCCTTCAAAGATTCGTCCTCTATTTCTATCCAGACTCATTCAAACACATTCGGAGAGGAGCCATCAACTGGTTAATACTAATATTGTATGTTTTGGTGTCCGGTAAAGACGGCTGCCTTCTAATCTGGGCGGTTTCATTGGCATTGGAACCCTCGTTCACCACTCCCACTCTTATTTATATTGTGAGTACTGTTCCAAGCTTTAACCCAGGTAAATCATGTTTCAGGCCTCTTATGTGTCCCTCAATGTTCTTCTGCTCATCTCCGCATTGCTCTACATTCCCATCATCACAAATATCCATAAATCGAGCCGTTTGGCGTCGGCCGTTCACAATCAGCCTCAGAAACATATTCGTTATCAGACACTAACCATAGTTGCCTTCAAAACTGCATACTTTCTGTTCGCCGTCTTCTATGCTTATTATCTGAACAACCGTGAAGCACCCGCAGAAGCTTTGAGTACTGTGGGTTCGCTAAAACATTCACCAAGAACACACGCCTTCTTTTCAGATATTTCCGCACTGTGTAATGCTGGATCTGATCACAACCCCACTGGTCATTCAAATATCGTACTTGAGTTGTAACAAACGAAACGTGGCACGCGTGAAACTGGCCGTGTGCTGCAGAACCGGCGCTTACCAGGTCGAACCGGAGAATGATAGAGTCTCGAGGATTCACGCTGTCACATAAACATTCGGTGGAAAATGTTCCGAGTTTCGTGAAATTCCAACAAAATGCACGTGCCAAGTCTTCTGATTCTCGTTTCTAACGCAAGCAATTCCAACATCACCTCAAAACATGTGCACGTCGATCTTTTAGCAACTGCGCGCAGGTGCTAAAGCCATTGCTTAAAATTTAGAAAAACCTTGGAAATCTCTATTCTTTCATCTCGAATTCAGATGAAAAACGGCACGAATAACAACTGGGCTGAACTCAATCCCATCGAAAAAGTTCTCCAAGGGTCCTCATACGTCATATACACAACAATTTTAGTCATTTTCTCTGTTGCCTTCCTGGCCTTATTCCCATTTTACGTCTATCTTAACAAAGTCAATCGGAAGCGTGATGAACGAGTACTCTGTTCGAAAATAAAATAAAAAGTGATGGAGCATTTCAGACAGCGATATTCCCGATTACAAATCACTTTTACAAGGCCATTCTCGTGATTTATACTTCCATTTATACATTCGCTGTGTTCGCCTATCTGGTTTATTCTTACATTGTCCATAGCAAGTAAGTCTAAAATATCGAACCAAGATTCCGTATTTTTGCAGGTCTGTGGTTCTCGTCCCGTTATTCTTCCTCGCATACATCAGCGCTCTGGCGGTTTTCACATTCACAGAACTTCTCTATTTACTCACAATACTCCTAGCATTCCAACGCTTTTCTCTCTATTTTTATCCGCGGTCGGAGAAATATGTGACTGTGTCGCACACGACGTTGAACCGAATCATCAAGGTTTTGTGCGTGCTTATTGCCGTTAAAGATTTCATGTCACTCAAAATGGGAGCAGAGGATGAGGATAGTCAGAACATGACACTGAGCGAAGAAATGGGCGACGCTTTTCTCGTGTTTCTTGTAAGTCGAAGGCTTTTCAGGATGGCTTCGGAATTTCGTTTTTCGCACGACTCCAAGTCAACGTACGAAGTAATCACCTTGAAAAGCTGGTGATTCTTTACGAGGGTGACGAGGAAAATTCTAGTTCATTTGGCCCGTGGTCGCGAGCCGGGATACAAGGCCACGGAGTCAGTATTCGTCCGACGGCACGCATCTAAAGTTTTGGCGCGCGCGGAAAAAGGCTTGGAGAGCGCGCCAGCGCGCTCCTTATCTGTTCCGTGACTTCAGATGCGTGCCGTCGGACGAATACTGATTAATTTCACTTGATTTCTCGAGAACGAGTTTATTATGATGCAAACTAATAAAGAGACACAAAAAGCACGCACGTCGCAGTCATATTTCGAAAAAAAAGCTATTTTGGCAGTGATCCCAAGACATTTCAGCGAGTTTCTCGTTGCTGCTTGCGAGTTTCAATCATAATGAACTCGTTTCCAAAAAATTAGGAAAAATGAATCAGTATTCTTCGAACAGCACGGGCCAGAATAGACTTGGAGAGCGCGCCGCCGTCCGGACATACAAAAAGACAGACAGGCAGACGCCTCTTGTGTTTTATATGCGGCAATAGTGCAGGATTTGGGACCGTTTCGTCGAAAACATGAAACATCAGAAAAAACAGAATAGAGCGCCTTTTGAACCTTTCTCTAGAATAATCGTTTTCTAAAGTAAGATCATTTTAGAAGCTTAGACAACTGCTCGCTTTTAGAAACAAAATGCAATCGCTCTAAACCGAAAAAACTGTTTTTTTTTAAGGGAGTACCGCCTAAAAATGAGAATACTGCAGGCCTTTATCCTCAAAATAGTCCATTCAGATGTGGTACATCACCCTCAACGTATTACTTTTCATCTCAGCCGCCCTATATCTTCGAATCCAAAAGGACATTGGCACATTTTCGAATTTGAGATCGGTTGTCGATAATCAACCACAAAAATACATTTTTTATCAGACCTTCACAATTGTGTTCGTCAAAACGGTAACGGTTTTTTAGGTAAGACCGGACATTTCTTTTCATTTTCAGTGTACTTTTCTCTTCATTACGGCTGCTGCTTATCTCGGGAATGGTTCGTATAGTATAATGTGACAGGTCAGGGGTTACAATCTATGATTGGGACCACCCAGCTGTCACTCTCTCTCCCTCTCCTCTCTCGCAAGAGAGTGCGCGGAAAGCGAACGCACGGCAGTGTGTGCGGGACGCTCATGCGGAGCACCCGCTCCGTTCTCTCTCTCTCCCCTATTTCTACCCCCCTATTCTTAAGCCCCCTATAGTTTTCCCCCCCATATATTACTCTCTATATTATTGCATTGGATCTGCACCTAATCGTCATGCTTATATATATATATAATAAACAGGTATTTACTCAAACTCCCCCTGGTTCAATGTCTGACTCAAGAGTAGAAGGAAAAGGGCCCCGAACTCCATCAGGAGACGGGGTAACACCTATAAAACCCTTTTCATATGGAGGTCCCACTCTGAGCTCTAACAGAACCGCAAAGTTCGTGCCGAGCGTCTTCGAGTGCTAGGTCCTACTCTCAGGCATTAGAACCCTTTTGAAATAGGTTGAGAGAAAAGAATTCCCCTCACGCTACCGCTCTAGTAGATCTGGTGTACCCTTGCGACAGGTGAGCAAGTGAAAAAGGAGTAGTAGTTCAGAGATACACACCTGAATGGCGATGATACGGCGTCATGAACCGTACTTCCCCACACTTGCTACCGACCTTCTTGAATAAAGAAGGCAGCTCCAAGGTATCTGGGGTCAGTGTTGCTCCTGACCAACCAATTGACAACGACAGTTAGCTCAATGGCTATAAGTCCGGTATCAGTCTCCATTTTACCGCTACACCATGGAGAACATTGAAGTAAAAAGTAAAAAGAAGCATACGACACCTGGGGGAGTGACGCAAAATTCCACTCCGCATCCTATGTGAACTACAGGTCCCATACTGTTCACATCCAGGCAAGAGCTTATGTGTATGATTGATGATTTTTTTTTTGAGGGATCAGAACGCCTGGATACCGTGTCTGATCTCTGTATGTCCGGCAATTTGTTCCGACGTGAGTGAACCCGGGATGGTCAAGAACCCGGAAGAAAAACGTACTGCGTCACCTGAAGGCTATGGTGTAAGGGCCGTCTTCAGGCATGAACTTATCCCGTTGATTGCTCCGTCGTTTCTTTTAACCCGGCCGCCGAGCGTAACTAGGACTCTGAGTGATGTCGAGAGACTCCATGGGAGGTACACTCAATGACACAAAATTAATTTCTAGATGCATTTCAATTCCAAAATTCCCTTTCGCTGTTTTTTTTAAATAGTCCACGGTGAGATTAGTCAACTCCCGTCCAGATTCACCGACCATGAATCGTCATTTGGGATGGCTCAGGCTGTACAGCCACCAGCGCTGGATCCACCATAGTCCAGATGCAACAGAGACGTACACTAGGAGGATACTGTTAACTGTAACCACAACGAGGAATGCATTAGCCTCAGGTCAGGCCTACAGTATCCCGAAATCCAACAGATCTAAAGAGCAAGAATTAGCAAAAATTCTGACTGCTTTAATGCGGCCACAAAGGATGCTTTCGGAGTGAGCAATCACTCACGCGGAGGCACCAATGTGGAACAACCGATCGCACCAGATGATGCTAATTAAACATGAGCACACCAAGGAACGCCGCAGAGGCAACTGCCAATGCGGAGGACTACGGTAAGAATGATAAATTAGGGCCAAAGGGTCAACAATCCCTTCGGGATTATCAAGTGGTTGTAATATGCATAAAATCAGATAGCAGCTGCACCCAGATTACACAGATAGGATGGATCAAAGAGCAGATGGCCAACCGGCCAGACGCATATCAATCATACCCGTATGAGATAAACAACGATCCACCCAATGGGCCACGCCCATGAGGCTCCGCCCAGGGCACGCTGAGGAGACATCAGGAATGACCGCGACGGTCATTCGAGTTTCCTTTCACCCACCCCAACCAACCGCTCATCTGGTGTTTTTAGCAACCGCCGATTGGATCCGCGAAGTCAACGACGGTCAGCAGCTCCAGCGTTCAACAACCGATCAGACCTCAACCACCGTCAGCAACAACCGACCAAGTCGAACAGTCAGTGTTGACCAGACCCCTTTATCACTCACCGCACCAGATTGAGGCCAACCGGCATCGATCTGCACTGCACCGGCCTAAAAAGCACAGTAGTCACCACCCGCGTTATAGTGATTTTTTTTCTTCTCCATTCGATTCCCTTCCCAGCCCAGACCCTGACTGTGTAGGTTCCTGGCTAGATAAACGGGCTGGGAAGCTAGGTATTAACCGTAGGATTCGTAGATTTTGAATCAGTCGGGCCCAGCCCAGATTCAATTCAGAGAGAGAGAAGAAATAAGCAGCGGAATCTCCCCGACGTGCCGGGTCGAGCGACAAAGCAGAATCTCCCCGAATTGCCGGGTGGAGCAACAGGCCGAATCTCCCCTCCAGCTGGGTTGAGCATCGACGATCAAGGGACGTCACCGCAACGGGAACGCAGGAATTCGACACCGACGTCGACAACAGGCAGGGAGAACCCCGAGAGGAAGAACGAAGACCCGAGCGAGGAACTGCCGCTCAATCTCGACGACGTGTCTTCGGAAGACGAGTCGACGATCATCGAAACCCCAACGGGGAAAAGTCTTCTCCAAAAACCGATCTTTACCTCAACCCCATTACCGAAGTCAGTTCCGACGGGGTCGACAATGACGGAGGCGAAAGGAGTCATGACGCATTGCCGAGAACGATGGGATGCAACGAAGATCCTAAACGGCCAAGTGGAGAAATTTGCAACAGGAAGGAGCTCCGACCTACAGAAATGGCTCCGGGATTACTCCAAGGTGGTACACACAATGGGCATCCCGAAGGAAATCGGCACGGCCGTTATCTCGATGTACCTCAAAGGGCCTGCCCTACAGAAGTACAACAGTCTGTCAGAAGAAAAGACTAAGAACTGGGAGACCATGGTGACAAACCTGGTAGCGGCACACCACTGCCCAACGGACAAGGAAGTTGCCCTACAAGAATTCTCCATGATAAGCCAAGGACATCAATCACCAACCGAGTTCGCTGAGAGAATTCGCACAATGGGCGAATATACATTCGAGGATATCCCTGAACAGAGCCGGGAAGCATTTATGGCGGCTCAGTAATCATTTTACTGCCAGCAATCAGGACAAGATCGAATCGAATAAGTACACGGACCGTGCACAAGAACAACTGTAAAGTGTTCAAGGACGGAGCACCAGGAGGCGCTCACTCTCCGGAAAACCCGGGGAATGAGGACGCCTAATCAGCGCCTCAAGAAGGGAAAAAAACGAAAGGTGCGAAGTCTGCAACCAGGACTGACACGGAGAGTCTCTTGGACACAGCGGGCGAAACGGTCGCCCAGCTACACGCCGAGCAGAAGGAACAACGAGATCGGGAGCAGGAAAAGTTCCGGACCTCAGAGGCCCGCCGGCGAGAATCCCTTCGGAATGAACGCAACCAGAGGAAAGAGAAGATCCGGACGGCATTCCACCGCTCCGAAGGGGTCAAGGAGGCCAAACGGCGGCTCCAAAGTGCTGCACGCCAAGAGCGACGGTGGCAGAAACGACGAGCCGAGCCCTATTCCCCAGTGAGGAGAAGGGAACCCGACCGCCGGGGTCGGAGTCCAGGACTTGGTCGATCGAGACCAAGTACGATAACCGACGTGCTAATGAGCGCACTAACGGCCGAGCGGATCACCGAAGCTGTGAGCCGACATTTGGTCGCCGGATTCGAGGAGGAGCTCCGGGCTCGACGAAGCAGGGACCGACGTTAGGAGCCTGTCGAAGATCGACGTCAGCGACGCCACGATCGTCATCGTCCGTCACCATCCGACCGCCGCAAGAGAAGGACGTCGGGACGACGTCATAATTAATGAGGGGGGGATGTGACAGGTCAGGGGTTACAATCTATGATTGGGACCACCCAGCTGTCACTCTCTCTCCCTCGCCTCTCTCGCAAGAGAGTGCGCGGAAAGCGAACGCACGGCAGTGTGTGCGGGACGCTCATGCGGAGCACCCGCTCCGTTCTCTCTCTCTCCCCTATTTCTACCCCCTATTCTTAAGCCCCCTATAGTTTTATCCCCCCCATATATTACTCTCTATATTATTGTATTGGATCTGCACCTAATCGTCATGCTTATATATATATATAATAAACAGGTATTTACTCAAACTCCCCCTGGTTCAATGTCTGACTCAAGAGTAGAAGGAAAAGGGCCCCGAGCTCCATCAGGAGACGGGGTACCCATAAAAACCCTTTTCATAATAATTTCGTTCATTGAACAGGTGTGTGTGTCAACAGATTTCGTTCCAATTTTTTTTCAATTTTAGGCGACAGCGTTGTGCGCGCTGATGGACATTTTCTCGACGCCCGTCATCGTCCAAATATCGTACTTGAGCTGCAATAAACGAAACGTGGACGCGATCTTTCGGATTCTGAATGTATCAGTGTGCAAGCGGATGTGCAACCCGAGATGGAACACTTCACAAGTGCAGCCGTCTGTGAATGCACTTTCTGATTCGAACTTTCTTTCCGTTTAGAATCTGATAAATTTTTACCAGCCCTAGCAAAAAAACCCACCTCAAACAGCAGCAAAAGTTCAAATCACCAACCGGTTCTCATCGTCTGATTCTTCGTATCACCCGATAACCCTGATCTTCTTTCTTTGCAACTTTGCTGATGATCAAATTTAGACAACGGAAGCATTGAAAATGGGAACGATTAAATTGAGAGTGGGAGTGAGGAAAATAGAGAGTTGAGAGAAAGAGCAATCGTTTAGAGCTGTCCGCAATCGGCGATGACGCAGTCAGCCTTCGGCTTTCCAGAGTCGGTTCCGAAGGTCTCGACCTTGGAAACAACATCCAATCCTTGCACGACCTTTCCGAAGACGACGTGCTTGCCGTCCAACCAGGCGGTCTTCACGGTGCAGAGGAAGAACTGCGATCCGTTGGTGTTCGGGCCAGCGTTAGCCTAAAACAGTATTTTGTTTGAATATCACTTGACAAGACAGACGTCTCTCGTGTTTCATATATGAGCAAGATTTCTGTACGACTTACCATGGAGAGGACTCCTGGTCCGGTGTGCTTCTCATGGAAGTTCTCGTCCGGGAACTTTTCGCCGTAGATCGACTCGCCTCCGGTTCCGTTTCCGCGGGTGAAATCTCCTCCTTGGATCATGAAGTCCGGAATGATGCGGTGGAACTTGGATCCCTTGAAGTGAAGGGGCTTTCCGGACTTGCCGACTCCTTTCTCTCCGGTGCAGAGGGCGCGGAAGTTCTCGGCGGTCATCGGGACGATGTCGGAGTAAAGCTGAAAGGAAATCCGGATTAGAAGAGCTGAATGTGACGATGCAGTTAACAAACCTCCATGACAATGCGTCCCACGGCCTTTCCACCGATGAAGACAACATCTCTCCTCACCTTCCGACTCTCCTCACCTTCCGACTTCCTTTTCCTCGTCGTCGTCGACACTCTCCTCTTCTGGGCCTCACCGACCTTCTGCATCAGATGCCGAGCCATGGCTACACCTTCATCTCCTGCAACAACATCAAATGATGCCAGGCATCCAAGAAACTTCATTCGGTCCAGGACCGACGGAGCCGGGCTCCTCCTCAGCTCCTCCAGAGCACGCCGCCACGCGGTCATCCTTCTCTCAGTCCCACGGACTTCTCTCGCCAACAGATCGCCTCTGTATCCCAGCCATGTGAACACTGGCGATGGCGTCCAAACCGATTTCTCTTCGGCTACACACACTCCTGCCTCTTCCAGGTCCTTCCTCACCACTTCAACCGCCTCTTCCACTTCTCGTTCCGTTTCGCCTAGGATGAGACCGTCGTCCAGGTACAGTATCACTTTCATGCCCCCCGCTCTCCACTTATGCACTAGCGTTTTGAAAAGTTTCGTGAACAGCCACGGGGCGGTTGCCAACCCAAAGGGTAATCCTCTAAACATAAAATATGGAGCCTCGGGTGGATTAGATAACGAAAAAGCTAACAAGTCTTGCGACTCTTCATGAATCATGACATGGTGATACCCCGATTTGAAATCAAACGTTGCTGCGAAACTCGCTTTTTCTAGGAAAGGCCACGCCGTTTTCATGTTCTCTAACTTGAAGTGAGGAGGAGGAGCCAGGCACTTGTTCAATTCGCTCAGATCCAAGATCATTCTCTTCTTCTCACCTTGTTCCACCACGTGCAGTGGAGACACACATCTCGGCTCGATGTCCGACATGATGAGCACCTCCTGACCGATCAGCTTCTTAATTTCTGCAAAAACGAATTCGCTGTGTCTCATTACCGACGGCCTCATGCCCTGCGGCTCCGGCAAAATCACACTCTCGTCGAACTGAATCCTAAACCCGGATTCTATCACGCTCAGAATCCAATCTGTCCGGCAATTCCTCTCCCAGAAGTCGATGGCCCTGGATAACCTATCTGGGAATCCCTCACCTTTTCTGCTCACACTCGTTGGCGTAATGACCGAACGTGTTGCATCGAAAGCACTTGATCGACTTCTTTGGCTGCTCTCCACCTCTCTGCGCTCCTCGGCCTCCACTTCGACGGGCACCACCATGGCCTCTGGCGGTACCCTCATATCGAAACCACCGCCGCTTCTCCTCCTCGTCCGAGTCGAGCCTTCGCCTCTTCCCTTCCGACGAGCCACCGGCTTTGTTGGCGTTCATCTGCGACAGCAGCAGAAGCGACGTCATGTCCGCACTGTCCGCACCTCCGGCCATTGCCTTCAGCGAATCGAGTTTCTCCTTCTGCAGAAGCATTCCCGGATCCGCTGCGAGCATCACCAGTTCCGCGTTTCTGACCTTGATCATCTCCAGCACTTCCTTCCGAGCCTCCTTCCAATCGTCGTCGTCCGTCACTCTTGCGAGCACGTTCTTGAGCTTGAAGTTGAAGTCGAGGTTCCTCTGAACTCCCTTCGATGACACCTTCGGCGCTTTTTCTTCTTCCACTTTCTCCGCCTTCTTCTGCGATCCGATCATCGCCATCATCTTGGACATCTCCTCCTTCATCTCTCTTCCAAACTCTCTCATCCACTGACTCGGGTCCCGTTGCTCATCCTCATTGTCTCCCATCTTCGCACAACCTGATCCACGCGGAAAAGTACCTAAAAATTCTGATTTACCCTTCCGGGCGCACGAAGAATACGTAATTAGCGTAAAATTTCACGATTTTCGACGAATTTCTCGTCAAATACCCAATTTTCTAACACAAAACTTTCGAAAAAAGAACAAAACACAACAAAAATCTGTCAAAATCAAACGAAAAACGACCTTGCATTTTACATAAATGTCAATCGAGTTAACCGACTTCGAGATCAAGGGGTGATTGACTGTGATGGAAGAGAAACACAAAGTTCGTGTTTCTCTTCCATCATTTGATCTCATTCAAATTCCCCGATAGTCCTGAAAGTGATTGTTCTGAAAAGATGTCAACAAAAAGTTCAGACCGCCGTGTACCAGAGTTGAGCGGAAATAGAATTTTTGAAATCCGGAAGACGGCAGACGGCAGACGGAAGAAAAATTTTTTTACGGAACACGGAAAAACGGAAGACGGAAGAAAATTTTTCTCACGGAAGACGGCAGACGGAAGACGGAAGAAACATTTTTTTACGGAAGACGGCAGACGGAAGACGGAACAAAAAAATCTTCAATGCAGAACCTTTTTCTCCGGTTTTTTTGTTTGAAAAAAATAACTAAACAACAAAACATTTGGATCTGGGTCACTACCCGTGGAAATTCGCGTTCTTCGGGGCTAGTAAATGGCTTCTGAAAAGCTATTACTCTTTTACGGTAAGAAGAAAAAATCCCGGAAGACGGCAGACGGCAGACGGAACAAAAAAACCACGGAAGACGGAAGACGGAAGACGGCAAACGGAATTCCGCTCAACACTGCCTGGTGTCCTTGGCAGTTCACTTCGCCTATCTTCTTCCCGTCACGTGGCCGTTCGCCTTTTACACTTATAACTTGGATTTGGTCAAAAAGTACGTGAACCGGCCACGCAAGGTTTCGGTTCAATGTGTGCAGCAGAACCGGCGCTTACCAGGTCGAACCGGAGAATGAGTCGAGTGTCTCGAGAATTCACGCTGTCACATTAACATTCGGTGGAAAATGTTCCGAGTTTCGTGAAATTCCAACAAAATGCACGTGCCAAGTCTTCTGATTCTCGTTTCTAACGCAAGCAATTTCAACATCACCTCAAAACACGTGCACGTCGATCTTTTAGCAACTGCGCGCAGGTGCTAAAACCATTGCCTAAAATTCAGAAAAACCTTGGAAATCTCTATTCTGTCATCTCGAATTCAGATGAAAAACGGCACGGATAACAACTGGGCTGAACTCAATCCCATCGATCGATTTCTCGAAGGGTCCTCATTCGTCATATACACAACAATTTTAGTCATTTTCTCTGTAGCCTTCCTGGCCTTATTCCCATTTTACGTCCATCTTAACAAAGTCAATCGGAAGCGTGATGAACGAGTACTCTGTTCAAAAATAAAATTAAAAGGGATAGAGCATTTCAGACAGCGATATTCCCGATTACAAATCACTTTTACAAGGCCATTCTCGTGATTTATACTTCCATTTATACATTCGCTGTGTTCGCCTATCTGATTTATTATTACATTTACCTTACTATTAGCACGTAAGTCTAAAATATTGAACCAAGATTCCGTATTTTTGCAGCTCTGTGGTTTTGATCCCGTTATTCTTCCTCGCATACATCAGCGTTCTGGCGGCGTTAATATTCACAGAACTTCTCTATTTACTAACAATACTCCTAGCATTCCAACGCTTTTCTCTCTATTTCTATCCGCGGTCTGAGAAATATGTAACTGTGTCGCACAACACGTTGAACCGGATCATCAAGGTTTTGTGCGTGCTTATTGCCGTTAAAGATTTGATGTTACTCAAAATGGGAGCAGCGGATGAGGATAGTCACAACGTGACACTGGGCGAAGAAATGGGCGACGCTTTTCCCGTGATTTTTGTAAGTCTAAGGCTTTTCAGGATGGCTTCGGAATTTCGTTTTTCGCACGACTCCAAGTCAACGTACGAAGTAATCACCTTGAAAAGCTGGTGATTCTTTACGAGGGTGACGAGGAAAATTCTACGGAGTCAGTATTCGTCCGACGGCACGCATCTAAAGTTTTGGCGCGCGCGGAAAAAGGCTTGGAGAGCGCGCCAGCGCGCTCCTTATCTGTTCCGTGACTTCAGATGCGTGCCGTCGGACGAATACTGATTAATTTCACTTGATTTCTCGAGAACGAGTTTATTATGATGCAAACTAATAAAGAGACACAAAAAGCACGCACGTCGCAGTCATATTTCGAAAAAAGCTATTTTGGCAGTGATCCCAAGACATTTCAGCGAGTTTCTCGTTGCTGCTTGCGAGTTTCAATCATAATGAACTCGTTTCCAAAAAATTAGGAAAAATGAATGAGTATTCTTCGAACAGCACGCATCAGAAGTTTTGGCGCTCGGGCCAGAATAGACTTGGAGAGCGCTGAGTCCGCGGACATACAAAAAGACAGACAGGCAGACGCCTCACGGGCCGGCAATTCATACATTGGCCGAGAAAATTTTGCGCCTTGCGAAACTTCGGCCACGTGTGTTTTTTCAACACACGAACTGGTTTATCTGCTATAAAAGATTCTCTGGCAGTTTTAAGTGATTCATTCGTGTTTTGTCATTGAAGTTAATACACTTCTTTACTTTGACTTCCGTTTTTATTAATTTTCACAGGTTTTCCATCGAAGTTTTTGTAACATTCGCTAAACATTGAGATTTCCGCTCCGTGACGTTTTCAGAAACCTTACATCGATCGGAGTTCTGGCTCAAATTATCGAATACAATAGTGAGAAACTTTTGGCAAAAAATCAGAGCCCTCTGTGATCAAAATCTCAACTTTTTTTATCGAAGTTTTTGTAAAATTCACTAAAAGTCGATAATTCAGCTCCGTGACGTCTTCAGAAACCTTACATCGATCGGAGTCCTGGCTCAAATTATCGAATACAATAGTGAGAAACTTTTGGCAAAAAATCAGAGCCCTCTGTGATCAAAATCTCAACTTTTTTTCGGTTTTTCATAAATTTCCCGAGATATAAGGGTGTGAGGCCGAAAAGGCCGCAATGTTCGCAAAAATTCGGCTTTTCCAGCCTCTAAACTTGGATCAAAGATGTTTCAAGCCAAGTCCAAGAAGCCTGCACGGTATGGACCCGATCCGGTTATTGCGTGGAGTCAACACTCTCATCAACAAGTCAGAACGCTGATTATCGTCAATTCAGAACGCTGGCATGTGAATGCTCTACATCGAAAGGATATGCGCCGGAAACTCTCCTCTCAAATATAATAAAAAAATTGGAAGACACAATTCTCCACAAATTAATAAATTTAGGGCTAATTATGGCTAGGGGCACTCCGTTCATGAATTCGCCTCGAGTTCCGCCGGCGTTTCCAACGAATCTCCGCTAATATTTTGATGTCATTCGTAGTTTTTCATTCTTTTTATTATATACTTTTAACATTTTTTACACATAGAGCGTCTAGAGATACCGAAAAATGTATTTTTGGAAGTGTAACTGCCGAGAAATGAAAAAATCAATTCTAGTCGAAAATTTCTGCAATTACTGTCAAAATCACGTTTTCTTGTATACTTTCGACGTTTCCCTATACTTTCGATGAGATTAGCACATTCTTCCGTCTTTCTTCGGCTTTTTCTGTACTTTCAATAAATTTTTTTTAATTAGACGCATATTTTTGGGTTACGGTATGCAGAATCTGCATACACCGTTGTACGCAAGTCCACAGCAGCGAAATCGCTGGGCTGAGTATTTAATCCACGCATTTTTCTCGGCCACTGTATGAATTGCCGGGCCGTGGCCTCTTGTGTTTTATATGCGGCAATCGTGCAGGATTTGGGACCGTTTCGTCAAAAACATGAAACATCAGAAAAAACAGAATAGAGCGCCTTTTGAACCTTTCTCTGAAATAATCGTTTTCTAAAGTAAGATCATTTTAGAAGCTTAGACAACTGCTCACTTTTAGAAACAAAATGCGATCGCTCTAAACGGAAAAAACAGTTTTTTTAAGGGAGAAGCGCCTAAAAATGAGAATATTGCATGCCTTTATCCTCAAAATAGTCCATTCAGATGTGGTACATCACCCTCAACGTATTACTTTTCATCTCAGCCGCCCTATATCTTCGAATCCGAAAGGACATTGGCACATTTTCGAATTTGAGATCGGTTGTCGATAATCAACCACAAAAATACATTTTTTATCAGACCTTCACAATTGTGTTCGTCAAAACGGTAACGGTTTTTTAGGTAAGGCCGGACATTTCTTTTCATTTTCAGTGTTCTTTTCTCTTCATTACTGCTGCTGCTTATCTCGGGAATAGTTGGTATAGTATAATTTCGTTCATTGAACAGGTGTGTGTGTCAACAGATTTCGTTCCAATTTTTTCAATTTTAGGCGGCAGCGTTGTGCGCGCTGATGGACATTTTCTCGACGCCCGTCATCGTCCAAATATCGTACTTGAGCTGCAATAAACGAAACGTGGACGCGATCTTTCGGATTCTGAATGAATCAGTGTGCAAGCGGATGTGCAATCCTGAACGTAACACTTCACAAGTGCAGCCGTCTGTGAATGCACTTTCCGATTCGAACTTTCTTTCCGTTTAGAATCTGATAAATTTTTACCAGCCCTAGCAAAAAAACCCACCTCAAACAGCAGCAAAAGTTCAAATCACCAACCGGTTCTCATCGTCTGGTTCTTCGTATCACCCGATAACCTAAAAATTCTGATTTAGCCTTCCGGGCGCACGAAGAATACGTAATTAGCGTAAAATTTCACGATTTTCGACGAATTTCTCGTCAAATACCCAATTTTCTAACACAAAACTTTCGAAAAAAGAGCAAAACACAACAAAAATCTGTCAAAATCAAACGAAAAACGACCTTGCATTTTACATAAATGTCAATCGAGTTAACCGACTTCGAGATCAAGGGGTGATTGACTGTGATGGAAGAGAAACACAAAGTTCGTGTTTCTCTTCCATCATTTGATCTCATTCAAATTGCCCGATAGTCCTGAAAGTGATTGTTCTGAAAAGATGTCAACAAAAAGTTCAGACCGCCGTGTACCAGAGTTGAGCGGAAATGGAATTTTGAAATCCGGAAGACGGCAGACGGCAGACGGAAGAAAATTTTTTTTACGGAACACGGAAAACGGAAGACGGAAGAAAATTTTTCTCACGGAAGACGGCAGACGGAAGACGGAAGAAACATTTTTTTACGGAAGACGGCAGACGGAAGACGGAACAAAAAAATCTTCAATGCAGAACCTTTTTCTCCGGTTTTTTTGTTTGAAAAAAATAACTAAACAACAAAACATTTGGATCTGGGTCACTACCCGTGGAAATTCGCGTTCTTCGGGGCTAGTAAATGGCTTCTGAAAAGCTATTACTCTTTTACGGTAAGAAGAAAAAATTCCGGAAGACGGCAGACGGCAGACGGAACAAAAAAACCACGGAAGACGGAAGACGGAAGGCGGCAGACGGAATTCCGCTCAACACTGCCTGGTGTCCTTGGCAGTTCACTTCGCCTATCTTCTTCCCGTCACGTGGCCGTTCGCCTTTTACACTTGTAACTTGGATTGGGTCAAAAAGTACGTGAACCGGCCACGCAAGGTTTCGGTTCAATGTGTGCAGCAGAACCGGCGCTTACCAGGTCGAACCGGAGAATGATAGAGTCTCGAGAATTCACGCTGTCACATAAACATTCGGTGGAAAATGTTCCGAGTTTCGTGAAATTCCAACAAAATGCACGTGCCAAGTCTTCTGATTCTCGTTTCTAACGCAAGCAATTCCAACATCACCTCAAAACACGTGCACGTCGATCTTTTAGCAACTGCGCGCAGGTGCTAAAACCATTGCCTAAAATTCAGAAAAACCTTGGAAATCTCTATTCTGTCATCTCGAATTCAGATGAAAAACGGCACGGATAACAACTGGGCTGAACTCAATCCCATCGATCGATTTCTCGAAGGGTCCTCATACGTCATAGACACAACAATTTTAGTCATTTTCTCTGTTGCCTTCCTGGCCTTATTCCCATTTTACGTCTATCTTAACAGGGTCAATCGGCAGCGTGATGAACAAGTACTCTGTTCAAAAATAAAATAAAAAGTGATGGAGCATTTCAGACAGCGATATTCCCGATTACAAATCACTTTTACAAGGCCATTCTCGTGATTTATACTTCCATTTATACATTCGTAGTGTTCGCCTATCTGATTTATTCTTACATTGTCCATACTATTAGCACGTAAGTCTAAAATATTGAACCAAGATTCCGTATTTTTGCAGCTCTGCGGTTTTCCTCCTGTTTGTCTTCTTCGCATACATCAGCGTTCTGGCGGCTTTAATATTCACAGAACTTCTCTATTTACTCACAATACTCCTAGCATTCCAACGCTTTTCTCTCTATTTTATCCGCGGTCGGAGAAATATGTGACTGTGTCGCACAAGACGTTGAACCGAATCATCAAGGTTTTGTGCGTGCTTATTGCCGTTAAAGATTTCATGTTACTCAAAATGAGAGCAAAGGATAAGGATAGTCACAACGTGACACTGAGCGAAGAAATGAGCGACGCTTCTCTCGTGATGTTTGTAAGTCTTAGGCTTTTCAGGCAGTGGCTTCGGAATTTCGTTTTTCGCACGACTCCAAGTCAACGTACGAAGTAATCACCTTGAAAAGCTGGTGATTCTTTACGAGGGTGACATTATGATGCAAACTAATAAAGCGACACAAAAAGCACGCACGTCGCAGTCATATTTCGAAAAAAAGCTATTTTGGCAGTGATCCCAAGACATTTCTGCGAGTTTCTCGTTGCTGCTTGCGAGTTTCAATCATAATGAACTCGTTTCCAAAAAATTAGGAAAAATGAATGAGTATTCTTCGAACAGCACGGGCCAGAATAGACTTGGAGAGCGCGCCGCCGTCCGGACATACAAAAAGACAGACAGGCAGACGCCTCTTGTGTTTTATATGCGGCAATCGTGCAGGATTTGGGACCGTTCCGTCAAAAACATGAAACATCAGAAAAAAACAGAATAGAGCGCCTTTTGAACCTTTCTCTAGAATAATCGTTTTCTAAAGTAAGATCATTTTAGAAGCTTAGACAACTGCTCGCTTTTAGAAACAAAATGCAATCGCTCTAAACCGAAAAAACAGTTTTTTTAAGGGAGAACCGCCTAAAAATGAGAATATTGCAGGCCTTTATCCTAAAAATAGTCCATTCAGATGTGGTACATCACCCTCAACGTATTACTTTTCATCTCAGCCGCCCTATATCTTCGAATCCGAAAGGACATTGGCACATTTTCGAATTTGAGATCGGTTGTCGATAATCAACCACAAAAATACATTTTTTATCAGACCTTCACAATTGTGCTCGTCAAAACGGTAACGGTTTTTTAGGTAAGGCCGGACATTTCTTTTCATTTTCAGTGTTGTTTTCTCTTCACGCCGGCTGCTGTTTATCTCTTGAATAGTTGGTATAGTATAATTTCGTTCATTGAACAGGTGTGTGTGTCAACAGATTTCGTTCCAATTTTTTTTTTCAATTTTAGGCGGCAACGTTGTGCGCGCTGATGGACATTTTCTCGACGCCCGTCATCGTCCAAATATCGTACTTGACCTGCAATAAACGGAACGTGGACGCGATCTTTCGGATTCTGAATGAATCAGTGTGCAAGCGGATGTGCAACCCTGAGATGGAACACTTCACAAGTGCAGCCGTCTGTGAATGCACTTTCCGATTCGAACTTTCTTTGCGTTTAGAATCTGATAAATTTTTACCAGCCCTAGCAAAAAAACCCACCTCAAACAGCAGCAAAAGTTCAAATCACCAACCGGTTCTCATCGTCTGATTCTTCGTATCACCCGATAACCCTAATCTTCTTTCTTTGCAACTTTACTGATGATCAAATTTAGACAACGGAAGCATTGAAAATGGGAACGATTAAATTGAGAGTGGGAGTGAGGAAAATAGAGAGTTGAGAGAAAGAGCAATCGTTTAGAGCTGTCCGCAATCGGCGATGACGCAGTCAGCCTTCGGCTTTCCAGAGTCGGTTCCGAAGGTCTCGACCCTGGAAACAACATCCAATCCTTGCACGACCTTTCCGAAGACGACGTGCTTGCCGTCCAACCAGGCGGTCTTCACGGTGCAGAGGAAGAACTGCGATCCGTTGGTGTTCGGGCCAGCGTTAGCCTAAAACAGCATTTTGTTTGAATATCACTTGACAAGACAGACGTCTCTCGTGTTTCATATATGAGCAAGATTTCTGTACGACTTACCATGGAGAGGACTCCTGGTCCGGTGTGCTTCTCATGGAAGTTCTCGTCCGGGAACTTTTCGCCGTAGATCGACTCGCCTCCGGTTCCGTTTCCGCGGGTGAAATCTCCTCCCTGGATCATGAAGTCCGGAATGATGCGGTGGAACTTGGATCCCTTGAAGTGAAGGGGCTTTCCGGACTTGCCGACTCCCTTCTCTCCGGTGCAGAGAGCGCGGAAGTTCTCGGCGGTCATCGGGACGATGTCGGAGTAAAGCTGAAAGGAAATCCGGATTAGAAGAGCTGAATGTGACGATGCAGTAAACAAACCTCCATGACAATGCGTCCCACGGCCTTTCCACCGATGGAGATGTCGAAGAAGACGTTCGGGCGGCTCATTTTCGAAACTTTATTACTGAAAATCAGAAAATCAGCTAGGAGAAGTCGTACTAAAGTATATGACGCAAGAACAATACGGAAAAAATTGTATTTTTCGAGGATATTGGCCATAATTTTAGCAGCGTTTACATTTGTGAATCATTGAGAAAGCGGCAGAAGTACAGTCATCGGCAAGCGCGCTCTATTGCGAAACAATCGCGCTCAGCGATTTGAAGTGAGGAAACAGTGGCGAAAGAGGCGTTTTCATGGAACCGCGGATGACCGCTGTTTCGCCAAGCTCAAATCGTGGCGAGACCACAGCCGCGGCGCTTTTGTCGAAACGGCGGAGGAACGCAGTTTCAACGGAAAACAACGTAGTGTTCTGGCGGAGTTCTGGCGAAACAGCGGCGGCACTGTGGCGAAACACGGTTGTAAGTGTGTTCGACCCGCTTTCCGCCGCTGTTTCCTCACTTCAAATCGCTGAGCTATGGCGGAAATTGCAAAATCCGTTATGCCGCGTCCAAAGTTAAAAAAAGCGTACAAAGATCACAGAAATCCTAGCAAAATCCGGGTGATTTCCCGGTTTTTTAAAACTTTGGACGCGGCATTAATTTTTGAAAGTTTTTCGATGTAACGTTTTGGAAATGTACATTTTGTCCGATTTTTAAACACGAAAAGTGAAAAAACGAGCATTTTTTATGAAGTTCCGAGGAAAATCAGATAAATATATTTGGCGACGAACACTAACAGATAAAAAGGCAAAAACAACGGTCAAGTTAGTGTCGATGGGAAGGGGTGCCGGACAGAAACCGAAACCGCTGAATGACGGGCTGGCGCTTATATTCCCGCGGCCGAACGAGCGGCCGACGTTTCGCGGCGAATGGCGAGTCAAACATTGCCACGGGGTCGTCATGGGTACATCGAAAACTAAAATTTGAACTTTCGCCGACGGTCGATCGCGTAGCGCCCCTATCTTAAAGCATTAGGCCAAAGCAAAATTTTTGAAAATTTCAGTAGAGCGCACTTGCGCCAGTGTACCCCGCCACGACTCCGTGATTGCGAAATGCAAAATGCACAGAAAATCGTGAACGGCACTATAGTTTTAGGAAACTCTTGGAAAAAAAAGTTCTTTAAAAAGTCTTGCGCTTCACGTCAGAAATTTTAGCTGTGCGCGCCTGAAAGATGTGGTATTTTTCCGTCGGAATAATTCCGATTCTTTCCGCTCATCCCTGCGTGTGTTCTTTATATAAATCTGCATATTTCATTCAGTGAAAGTTTTATCGCTGAATGCGCAAAAAAACGAGAAAATATACAATGCATAAATGCATACTGCCCCCGAGTCTATTGATTATCGTTTCTAACGCAAGAAATTCTGAAACCACAACATGTCTCGTCGACATTTTACACCTGCGCGCAGGTGTAAATCATTGCTTAAAACTCAGAAAAACCTTGGAAATTGCAATTCTTTCTCGAATTCAAATGGAAAACGGCACACATATCAACTGGGCTGAACTCAATCCTATGGAAAAAGTTCTCCAAGGGTCCCTATGGATCGTTCACATTACAATTTTAGTCATTTTCTCTGTAGCCTTCCTGGCCTTATTCCCATTTTACGTCTATCTTAACAGGGTCAATCGGCAGCGTGATGAACAAGTACTCTGTTCAAAAATAAAATAAAAAGTGATGGAGCATTTCAGACAGCGATATTCCCGATTACAAATCACTTTTACAAGGCCATTCTCGTGATTTATACTTCCATTTATACATTCGCTGTGTTCGCCTATCTGATGTATTTTTACGCTTTCCTTAAAAAGTAAGTCTAAAATATTGAACCAAAATTCCGTATTTTTGAAGCCGTACGATTCTTTCCACGATAATCTTCCTCGCATTCACCAGCTTGTCGGCGGTTTTCATATTCACAGAACTTCTCTATTTACTCACAATACTCCTGGCATTCCAACGCTTTTCTCTTCATTTTTATCCGCGGTCGGAGAAATATGTGACTGTGTCGCACAAGACGGTGAACCGAATCATCGTGGTTTTGTGCGTGCTTATTGCCGCTAAAGATTTGATGTTACTCAAAATGGGAGAAGCGGATAAGGATAGTCAGAACATGACACTGAGCGAAAAAATGGGCGACGCTTTTCTCGTGTTTCTTGTAAGTCGAAGGCTTTTCAGGATGGCTTCGGAATTTCGTTTTTCGCAACTCAATGACTCAACGTACGGAGTAATCACCTTGAAAAGCTGTCGCGGGTTCGACCCCCACTCGCTTTTGTCCGGTCCGTCTTTCTCTCTGCTGCGCTGAGTCCGCGGACATACAAAAAGACAGACAGGCAGACGCCTCTTGTGTTTTATATGCGGCAATAGTGCAGGATTTGGGACCGTTTCGTCAAAAACATGAAAAATCGGCGGTAGTCCCTAATAGAACAGCGACAGAATAGAGCGCGCCTTTTGAGCCTTTCTCTGGAAAAATCGTTTTCTAAAGTAAGATCATTTTAGAAGTTTAGACAACTGCTCGCTTTTAGAAACAAAATGCAATCGCTCTAAACCGAAAAAAACAGTTTTTTTAAGGGAGAACCGCCTAAAAATGAGAATATTGCAGGCCTTTATCCTCAAAATAGTCCATTCAGATGTGGTACATCACCCTCAACGTATTACTTTTCATCTCAGCCGCCCTATATCTTCGAATCCGAAAGGACATTGGCACATTTTCGAATTTGAGATCGGTTGTCGATAATCAACCACAAAAATACATTTTTTATCAGACCTTCACAATTGTGCTCGTCAAAACGGTATCGGTTTTTAGGTAAGGCCGGACATTTCTTTTCATTTTCAGTGTTCTTTTCTCTTCATTACTGCTGCTGCTTATCTCTTGAATAGTTGGTATAGTATAATTTCGTTCATTGAACAGGTGTGTGTGTCAACAGATTTCATTCCAATTTTTTTCAATTTTAGGCGGCAGCGTTGTGCGTGCTGATGGACATTCTCTCGACGCCCGTCATCGTCCAAATATCGTACTTGACCTGCAATAAACGAAACGTGGACGCGATCTTTCGGATTCTGAATGAATCAGTGTGCAAGCGGATGTGCAATCCTGAACGTAACACTTCACAAGTGCAGCCGTCTGTGAATGCACTTTCCGATTCGAACTTTCTTTCCGTTTAGAATCTGATAAATTTTTACCAGCCCTAGCAAAAAAACCCACCTCAAACAACACACCTACATTACCAAAAAATTGCTCGCAACTAACAAGTTCAGGTTGGTTTAACCGGCAAGATCCTCAATCAAGTGATTTTCTGGAAGCCTCATGGTCCCAGCCCGACCACAATCCTGGTGTCCTTGCCAGTTCACTTCGCCTATCTTCTTCCCGTCACGTGGCCGTTCGCCTTTTACACTTGTAACTTGGATTGGGTCAAAAAGTACGTGAACCGGCCACGCAAGGCTTCGGTTCAATGTGTGCAGCAGACGCCGGTAAAAAAAACTTTCAAATCACCAACCGGTTCTCATCGTCTGATTCTTCGTATCACCCGATAACCCTAATCTTCTTTCTTTGCAACTTTACTGATGATCAAATTTAGACAACGGAAGCATTGAAAATGGGAACGATTAAATTGAGTGGGAGTGAGGAAAATAGAGAGTTGAGAGAAAGAGCAATCGTTTAGAGCTGTCCGCAATCGGCGATGACGCAGTCAGCCTTCGGCTTTCCAGAGTCGGTTCCGAAGGTCTCGACCTTGGAAACAACATCCAATCCTTGCACGACCTTTCCGAAGACGACGTGCTTGCCGTCCAACCAGGCGGTCTTCACGGTGCAGAGGAAGAACTGCGATCCGTTGGTGTTCGGGCCAGCGTTAGCCTAAAACAGTATTTTGCCTGAATATCACTTGACAAGACAGACGTCTCTCGTGTTTCATATATAAGAAAGAGTTATGTACGACTTACCATGGAGAGGACTCCTGGTCCGGTGTGCTTCTCCTGGAAGTTCTCGTCCGGGAACTTTTCGCCGTAGATCGACTCGCCTCCGGTTCCGTTTCCGCGGGTGAAATCTCCTCCTTGGATCATGAAGTCCGGAATGATGCGGTGGAACTTGGATCCCTTGAAGTGAAGGGGCTTTCCGGACTTGCCGACTCCCTTCTCTCCGGTGCAGAGAGCGCGGAAGTTCTCGGCGGTCTTCGGGACGATGTCGGAGTAAAGCTGAAAGGAAATCCGGATTAGAAGAGCTGAATGTGACGATGCAGTAAACAAACCTCCATGACAATGCGTCCCACGGCCTTTCCACCGATGGAGATGTCGAAGAAGACGTTCGGGCGGCCCATTTTTTTCTTAATTACTGAAAATCAGAAAATCAGCTAGGAGAAGTCGTACTAAAGTATATGACGCTAGAACAATACGGTAAAAATTGTACTTTTTCGAGGATATTTGCCATACTTTTAGCAGCGCTTACATTTGTGAATCATTCAGAAAGCGGCAGAAGTACAGTCATCGGCAAGCGCGCTCTATTGCGAAACAATCGATGGCGGGAAATCGGAAAAATCAAAACGCGATCATCATTCACGCATGACTCGGAATAACGGCTAGAAACCGTGTTAAGATGTCCACAAAAGAAACAAAGAAAGCAGAAACAGCGCAAATTTCAAAAATCGATGGAAAATTCGACTGGCCTAAAATTTTTGGAGCGAAAAGCTGCCCAAAATCATGAGTTTATGAGATCAAATTTACATCTTCTGCTTTGAAAACAGGCGTTTGAATTTTTGCAACAAAAATTTAGAGCGAAACATCCGAAAAATGTACGAGAACAAGCCCAAAACGACCTAAAATAACCGTTCGCTCTAGAAAATTCGACAACAAACAACGGCAAGTCCGCAGAGATGTTTGCGTACGCGGCACTCGACCCGACGACAATCACCACATTTGACGACACTTTTAATCGGCGCCCGACGTCGAGTAAACAACGCCATGGCCATTTCGATTCGGGAAAAAAGAGGAGGGGAAGAGAAGAAAAAAGAGAAAATGAGAGAAAAGGAGAGGAGAAGACGGCAGGAACCGGTCAAACATCAGACTTTACCAGCCAAACATCGATGTTGACTTGCAAAACAAAAATTTTCGAATTGATACGAGTCCATCGAATGTTCGAGTGTAATGACACCTTTTAGAAAGCAAAAATTTAGAAAAAGGACAAGCAATCAGCTGAATTAGCGCAAACGCTAAATTTTTCTGTTAATTCATTAAAATTATCAGAATCTGTATTGGAAAAGTCTGTAAATAAGTGAAAATACGAACGAAATTTTGAAAAATCTGTCTGATCGCAAATTTAAAAAAATTCTTTCCGGGCCTTCCCGGAAAGAATTTTTTGAAGAAAAAGAAAAAAAATGCGTGGCGAAAAGGATATAAAAGTGCGGTTTTAAACAAATTTTCGGAAATTTTTGAACCGGCCCGGAGAATTGCACATTTTGGCCTGGCGTGGACTGATATTTTGTGATTTTCCAGGACTCTCGGCGCTTACACGGATACCAACAATCAAACTCGCAACGCGAAGCATCTGGGCGTCTATCTGGAATGCAAGGAAACGAGTCGGAGCAACCTGTGGTCGGTCAACGCCTCCGTCCGAATTGTGTTGCTCAGATCGGATTCGGAATATCCGGAAGATGGGGTTTTTATGGATTTCGAGCGAAAATTTGATGTGAACTCAAAGAAAATCAAGTTCCCGCACTTCAAAAACTGGGGAGAAGCCATTTCTCCCGACAACAAGTTCGTTGAAAAAGACGGATGGGCCGTTCTCGAGGCCCACATCACTGTCAAAGACGACGTCGGAATCCACGAGAAGGTTCTGCGCACTTTCGACGCGCCGAGAGAGAGATGTGGTTCTTGTAGTCGAGGGAAAAAAGCTTCATGTCGGAAAACAGGTTAGTTTTCTAGCGATTTACAGCGAAATTGGTCGAAATGTAGATAAAGTTTAGTGTTCTCAATCGAAACTTTGAAATTTTCATTTCCGATCTAACTGCGCCCGTTTTGAGGCGGGGCCGGGCCGTAAAATCACACCTATTGTTCAGATCCTTGCCGAGAACTCCAAATTCTTCTACGCCCTCTTCTACTCGGATTTCGAGGAGAACGGCCAAGCGCAAATCGAGATCAAAGACGTCGTCCACTCGGAATTCGTCGACCTTCTCAACTTCATCTACCAAGCCAACATGGAAATCGAAAGTTCTTTTAAACGGCGTCTGCTGCGATATCCAGAAATTTCAGGCTACAATGTGGCGCATCTTCTGAAACTGGCGGACCAGTTCGGAGTGGCGACGGTGATCGAGAGGTGCGAGCAGTTTCTTCTTTACAGCACCGATCTTAGGGTGGTCGATTTGCTGAAATTCGCCGAAATGTACAAACTCTCTGACCTGCAGGTATTTTTCAAATGTTTCCGGTTTTTCTGCAGCTTTTTTAGGATCAATGTCTCAAAGAGCTGGAAACGACCAAAGAAGTGATCGAACTGTCCGAACACCCGAACTTTGGAAATCTCGGAGACGGTACCCACAACGTGCTGCTCAAAAGACTCATCGAGCTCATAAAAAAAGGCTAATGAATGCCATTTTAACGTTTATTTTTATTGTTCAACTCGCAAAATCAGTTAACATGTCGACTGGGAGAGCTCGATAACTCTTTGGAAGAGAACGGTTTGAGTGACGTCGCCGAGCGATGGGTAGCCGGAGTGCTGAGCCAATCTGAGCACCTCTTCGTTCGTTTTCAGCTCCTCTAAACACTGATTCTGCAAAATAATCTTCTTCTTGAAATTTCGATTAATGCTTCTTACCTGAAGCCTGGAGAGTCTGTACATCTCCGCGTACTTCAGCTTCTCGACCAGATGGATATTTCGGCAGGAAATCAAGAAGTTCTCGCACTTCTCGAGGACCATCGGAATTGCGAAGCGATCGGACAGTCTAAGAAGATGCGCCACGTTTCCAGCTGTAATAAGGGGGGGGGGAGGGAGGGGATAATCAAAGGACTGTTCGTCAAGTTTACTGTCGATTTCCTTGTGTGACGGGTAGATGACGTTGAGAAGATCGACGAATTCCGAGTGAACGACGTCGTCAATCGAAATTTCCGACGAACTCGAGTAGAGGAGATCGAGAAAGAGCTTGGAGTGTTGGGCGAGAATCTGAACGAAAAATGGCAAAAATTCATGTTTCCCCAGACAATTCCAGACCTGTTTGCTGACGTGGACCCTCTTTCCCTCGACGAGAAGCACTCCGTCGGTGAGATGACCGTTCGGCTGCTCGAAAGTCTCCAGAAGCGGCCTCATCTGAATGCCCTCGATGGATCGCACGTGCACGTGTGCCTCCACAACTGCCGTATTTGCCTCCACGTATCCGTTCTCCGGACACGTCACTTCTTGCCAATTCATAAAGTTCGGCACTTCCAATTTCCGCTTTCTCGCCGAGAATTCAACTTCGAATTCGTCGGAAGTGGCGCCGATGTCCGTGCCCGTTTTCACGATTTTGAACTGAATTCGTGCCGATACCCGCCACAAATTGCTCCGATTCGTCTTGTTGCAGTGGAGCAGGAGGCCGAGATTGCGGACATGGCCGGTACGCTCCGACGTCTCCGAAAACGCCCCGAACGTCCTGAAAAACAAACAATCTCATAGAAAACTGACAAAAATGATTCCCATTTGAGATTTCCCATCTCGACGGGTTGTTTCAGCTCGTCCACCGCTTGCAATCCTTCGATTTCGTCGATTTCCACTCGAATCACTCCGTTTTCAGCCATTTTCGCTGAAAGAGTATGAGAAAAATTATAATTTTAACGTTCAAGAAATTCCGTCGCGATTTCCGAGCGCTTTTTCCAAGAAAAAGAAGGAAACATTGAAACAGTTAACAAGTTTTTTTTTCTAAAGTAATTACACAATCAATTAGTGTTCGATTGATACAGGGTAATTACAACAACATAAGTTTAGACTCCAGAATCGTAGAGTTTGACGATGGTCTGGAGGAGCACGTTGTAGGTGACGTCGCCGAGATTTCCGTAATTTTCGTGGTTCGCCAGAGCAGTCACTTCCGAGCTCGCTTTCAGCGCCGCCAGACAGTGGTCCTGCAGCTTCGAGAGTTTGTAGCTCTCCGCGTACTTCAGCTTGTCGACCGTATGGATTTCGACGTTCGAAATCAGATAATTCTCGCACTTTTCGATCACAGTCAACACTCCGAAACGGTCGGCCAGCTTCAGAAGATGCGGAACTGTTTTGGCTGGAAAATGAGGAAAAATAAGAAGAAAATGGGATTTCAGACAAACCATCGACTATTTGGTGCGACGGATAGATAAGGTTAAGAAGATCGATGAATTCCGAGTGCACAACTTCTTTCAGCTCGATTTCGTCTTTTCCGTTCTCCACGAAGTTCGTGTAGAACAGGTTGGCGAAGAATTTCGAGTACAAGGCGAGGATCTGGAAAGCAAAGTTTAGCGGTATTTTTGAAAAATGCAGTAATTTTGAGCATAAAAGAAATGAAACAATTGTGAAGTTTTCGATCGAAAACACTAGAATTTCAGTCATTTTTCGAGCATCTTGCTGTAAATCGCTGGAAAACTGACCTGCATTCCGACATGCACCTTTTTTCCCTCGACGACGAGCACCACATCGGTCAGATGTTCCTTCGAGGCGTCGAACGTCTCCAGCAGCTTCTCGTGGATTCCAACGACGTCGCTGACAGTGATGTAGGCCTCCAGTACGGCGTGCGTGTCCAGAATGAATCGATTATCGTAGCAGATGGCTTCTTCCCAATTCTTAAAGTTGTCTATCGTGAAATTCTTTGATTTTCCGTCAAATTTCTGATTGAAATCCACCGAAAACGCGTCTTTCGGGTCGTTCGAGTTCAATTTCAAAAGCGAAAAACGGACGGACGCGTTGACGGACCAAAGATTGCTTCGATTCGAATTCTCGCATTTCAGGTAGACGCCCAGATGCTTCACGTTGTTCGTCTTGTCCGACGTCGTCGGAAATGCGCCCAGAATCCTGGAATTTATACGTTTTTTTGTTTGAAAAAAAAGAGAAAAAATGATTTTACCATTTGACATTTCCGATCTCAACTTCATTGTGCTCTTTTTTTTCGTTCAAGTCGGCGAAATTTTCGATTTGAAAGCGAATCACTCCGCTATTCGCCTTTCCGGACATTATTTCCACGATTTCTAAATTGAAAATAAGAAAAATTTCAGAAGTAAATAAAACTGAGCAATGATACCGTAACCCGCACTTTTCGTTGCGAGACTCATGGAAACAGTCTTTTGTTTGCAAAGTATCATTTTACACAGAATTTCTTTAAAGAAATTATTTTTTTTTATTTGAATATTTTTAAATTGAATGTGCCTTTTTAATAATCAAATTTCATTTTTCCGTCAATTTTATCTTGTTAGTGATGGATGTGCGCTGCTGAGAACTTCTCAAGTTGACCTCGACCGTCGTTATTTTATTTTACTGCACAGTTTGGTTCATGTCGGATTATCGCAATTCGGTGTGCCCTGACGGATATGTATCGTTGAGATCGATTGAAATTTAAACATATTTGGGCTAGGTCCTTTCCAGAATTTGATGCAGTTTCCCTATGGATTTCATCTTGTTCCGTTCAATTTTCCTCGCGTACTCTCCCAGTTTCTCCTCAATTCTTCTCTTGTCACCCAAAAGTCGGCGATTGTAGGCCCAAGTGGTATTCCTTAAAAACATTGGAGGTTTAGTAAAAGGAGGGATAATCAGACCCTGGATAACATTTCTGCAGGTCAATTGGCCCAGCCAGTGGATTGTACCAATGCGCGTAGTTCATAGGAATCGGACTGAAATGGCTCATTGAGCAGGGAAAGGGGGGATAAAAACCAAAAAACTACTCACCCGAATGTCCCATTTGGAGGTAACTGGCCATTCTTAGTTTTCCATCCGTGGAGTATGAAATCCCGTTCCGCATTCCACATCCCACTGGTCAGCCAATCGTCGCGAGACCATCCTGTCCCCTGCGACCCGATTAGGTTACTGTGTTCACAGTTATCTAATCCCACCTTCTTCATGATCCGAACTTTTCCGAAATCAGTTCTATCCCCGAAAATGTGCCGGATACACGCGATATAAGTGCCTATTTCCTCCGTGTTTTGTGCTTTGTAATAGGCTTCTCTGCACAATTCCACCTCGTCCGGATAGTTGGCGGAAAAGAGTTGTTCAGCGAGAATTAGCTGAAAATCAATGTGATCCCTGATTTTTTTGAGCGGGGAAGTTACGTGAAGAGCGGCATTGTCGGATCCGTGTTTGACGCGCGGCATTTTCGATTCGAAATCCGACCAATCTGCGAAGAACGGAAAGTGCAATTAAATTTGATATTCTGTTAACGTACACCGCAAAAAGTGCCTCGAAAACAGTGTATTTGCCACAATATAACTGCCGGCCATGACTTCCCAATCGAAGAATCGATCGTAAAAAGTGAGATCGACCGCCGGATCCATAAACTTTTCGATCCGAACTTTCGGGTTCACGACTCCGTGATCGGCGTCCAAAAACAGAATCGCATCGTATCGCGGCAGAATTTGAGCGACCACACAGTGGCGGAGAAAGAATTTCTGAGTTTGAAAACAAAATCACTTTGGCCTAAAAATGTTTTGGAAACTTTACATGTGTCTGGTGGCAAAACTGACTGTAATCCGAATCGATTAAAACGAGAAATTCGTAGTTTTGAGTCTGAGCGTAACATTTGACAGAATCTGAATTTGATACTACGGTAGAACCTAAAATAAAGTTACCTAAGGCAACTTGATAGTCCGTCACAGGTGTGCTGTTTGTTATAATTGTCACTATGGCGATTTTTTGGCACTTCTGAAGTTCTCAAACGTTTTTTCGTTTGAAAATACTGTGCACTAACTTGGAATTGACTCGAATCGAAAATGATGCAAATTGCGCAAACCGTGAAAAACGTCAAAAGTGGCCGGAAGACGGAAGACGTCGTTCTACGCATTTCTCGATGCGAACGGTGCAAATGTGCGATAATTTCGACGAGAGAATTTGCACAGCCGTCACTTGTTGAGACACACCTTCGAAGGACTCAAAACATCAAGTCCGCGACTATTAAAAATCTGTGTTTGATCTCATTTTGTTTGATCCAGTTGTGGACGATTCAGAGAACAGCACCAAACTCGCTATGATTCGGTCTTTCTGGATTCGCTGCCTGAAATAATTTAGGCCTCCGGGTGGGTTTGAAAGTTTTAAAAAACTCGGAAACATTCTGATCTGTCGCCCTGCTTGTTTTTGGATTTTCCCCCGAATTTTCTAGTTTTTATAGTGAGCAAATCTTATAGAAGCAATTTTCAGAAATCAGACAAAAAATCTAGTAAGAAAATGCTTCTAACACTACCGTTCGGCAATCTGTAACCTCAAAAACTGCAAAAACCAGCTCAGACATTGTGCAATTGTCCATCTTTTGGCGAAAGGCGCAACGTTGGGTCCCGCCTTCTCAGGCGACGTCGCATATCCAATCGCCTCGGCCGCTGCACAAGTCTTCGATCATCGCCGCGGCGGATTCGAACCCCTGCCGGCCGCCCGGCGGCCGAAAACGCAACAACTGAACTAGTCAGTCGCAATCGAGAACGGAGCGAGGAGGGCAATGAAAAGAGAGCGAGGAGGCGAGAGCGGAAGGCGGCCGGGGGCTAGTGAAAAATTGGAAGAGAGGAGGAAAATGAAGGGGAAAGAAGCTGGTTTTCTGCCGTTTTTGCAATCTCTCGCTGTAATCTTTATGAAAAGTGACACTCGAATCACTTCTTCTCCCGCTAATGCATAATTCCCTCATTTTATTACTGCTTTTCGCGAAAAGCGCTGAATTTCTGTTTTTATGGGGTTGGTTTCAGGTTTGACAAGGGGAAAATCTGAATTTTAGAGCCGCGCACGTTGAAATGCGAGAGATTCGATTGTTTTCTGCTGAAAAATGAGCAGGAAGGACTGAAAGAGGCGCAATGCCGAGAAGGTTCGGAAAAATTTGGGCAAACTCGCTCTACCATAGAGTGCGGTAGAGCGCGATTGCCAGACTTCTCCCAATATTGTCAAATCACTTTCTCTTTTTCAAGAACCTGATGGAAAACACATATGCAATTTGGAATGCGACGGAGCCGACCGAGACAGTGTCATCTCCAAGAAACCGACAGATTTCCGACACTGCAATCGGTAAGACAAAAGACCGAAAAAGTTCGATAGAGCGCGATTTGTTTGCAGATTTTTCACCTACAACACTCGGAAAACGTCGACCGGCGAATGGTGGCTCTGGCGGAATTCCACGTGTGCCGCGTCGAACATCACTTTGTCTGTTCATTGCGCTTTTCCGGTTAACGGACAATAAATATTTGGATTGTACTTTTCACCTGAAAAATTTCAAAAAAACAACAGTTCACACACGTGACATCGTGAACTGTCGACTTTTTCCACAATTATTTCTCTTTATTTTCTTCACACAAAACGGAAAACGATGGGCGATAATATGCACGATAAATGCGCTGCGGTGAGCTGAAAAACGGGGCCTCCGTTAAATCAGTCGGAGTCTTTCAGGAATTCGGCAAGTCGGCCGGCTGGGTGTGGTGGTTCTCGGCCGTTCCGATCGTCGTCAATCTCATCACGCTCGGCCTCATCGGCGCCTCGATTTACGGTGCGCAGAAGATGAACCAACTGTGCCGGACGATTTCGACGTCCGCGCAACGCCTCGCCTGCACCGCCGTCCGCATCGGAGTCGGCGAATCGGCGCGCGCCGCCCTCGCCGAGCACGCAAAGACCAAACCAGAACTGGAACCGCTCTCCAAATAAACTTTTTCGGCCGATAAATGTGTTTTTATCGATAATTGCTTCATTTCGACCTGGTCCACTTACTGTTAGCTCTGAAATATAGAACAAGTGAAGTGGGTTACATGCTTTTCCGTAAAACAGCTCCAATAAATATTCTTTTGCAACCTTTGAGTTCAAATTTCAAGGCCGGATCCTTCGATGCCGAAAATTGTTCCGTTCCGGTCCGGCCAGTTAATTTTCTCTCTGAATCCACAAAAAACAAAACGTTTTGATTGAAAAAAGTAAATCGACACGCGCGCGCGAAAGTGCGAGATCAAAAGAAAATCGATAAAATGTGTGCGCACACTCGCTGGCTGCCATTCCTCTCCGTTCACGTCGTTCGTGTCTGTAACTATATTCTTCTGTATTCGTTGCTCGAATTCTACTAAACAATGGAAAGACCACGAGCCAATCTGCTCGAAATGCCACTTCACGTCAAGGAAAGTATTCTGCAGCAACTGGATTTCAAGTCGAGGTTTCAGCGGCTTCTTTGTGACCCTTTTTGTAAACGAATTTCAGGTGTGCAATGCGAAAATGCGCCTACAATATTCAGAAAGCAGTCGATACTATGAAAGTGTACTTTGTTGAAATCATCGTCATCGTGCTGACCGACAAAATCTCGTGCATATTTGCGGACCGGCGGACCGTCGGAGTCTCGGTGGAGTACACGCACCTTCTACAAGGATGTTCCGTCAAATCGGAGCACTCCGACGGCACAAAAACCGAACACATACTCCACAACACTGATTTTGTGGTCCGGGCCGTCCAGGACCTCGAACAAGTGCTCAAGAACCAGAAAGTGAGAATCGGGCAGCTGTCGGTGCATCTGAAAAGTTACACGAGTTCGGAAGTCTTTGTGAGGCTCCTGCTGGACGGAAGGACCTGCGAGCACTTGAAAGTTGTGAAGCTGAAAATCGAGTTGGACTCGCAAAGGGACTACGCGATGCGGTTGATCGGACGGATGAGGGCGGACACTCTGAAAGTGATCAAACTGGTCGTCGACAGCCATTTGAGACATTTCGAGGAGATGAGCCGGCTGGAGCAGTGGCAAGCGGCCAAACGATTCAAGTTGAAGTGTCTGCGTACGATTCCGGACCTCGGGCCGATCGGGAACTTTTTGACGCTCCGGTTGGGAATGCAATCGATAACGGCCAATGAGCTGAAGCTCCTTATTATGGTGAGTTCACGCTGCACTTTTTGCTAAAAGTGCATTTGAAGACGAAAAAGAAAAAAGTGCAAAGTGCAGAGTGCGCCGAGCGGAATCTTTAACGTTTGCACTGTTCCAGACGTTCATACAATCGGAAGTGTTCATCAATTGCCGAATGACGTTCGAAAGGTACCCGCTAGCAGTTTTACGAGAATGCCTCGGCTCCGACACTGTCCAATTCCCGCCCTTCCACCGTGGATTCACTGTTCCAGAAACGGGGAACAAACTCAAAGTGACCGCCTACTGGGACCGTATCTATTTCGAACGTGTGAGCACCTTCTGACCGTCTTTGTTTTCAAAAAACGTGTTTATGTGTATTTGGTTTAAACGTGATATAAATTTGTTTGTGAAGCACTTCAAAGACTCTCCTCTTCTTCCTTTTTCACATGAGGCCTCGTCTCCAACTTGAGAGGGACCATACGTTTGTAAATAGAATAACGAGAAGGAATGCGGTGAAGAGGGTGGCGGATTGGAAGAGAATTACGTATTTGTAGCCGACGTGTTGGAAGAGATATCTGCAACGACGGAAGCGTGTAGATTCTTCATCGATTCAACGAACTTACGTGCAAATGATCGCAGCTAAGAAGGGAGTGATATTGCCGCCGACATTGAACCATCCTTGCATGTTGCCCTGCTTCCGGGGACCCAGAATTTCAGAGTAAAGAGCAGAAGCAGGAGCTTCCACGAACGGGAACGAGATGCCGAACAGAAAGACGAACGCGAAAATGTAGAGGTAGAGAGGGATGCGGGTCGTGTATTTGCACCACGTGTACGAATGGAGACAGCCTCCGATTTCGGTCGTGTTCGCGCCTGAATACATAAAAATACAGAATGATGAAGGGCGTATAACTGACCGGGAGGCAAGAAGTTCAGAGGTCCCGTGTAGAACCACCACGGATAGTTGATCAGGTTGAACGCGGCGAACACTCCGAGTCCGCACATGATCTGCAGCCGTCGGTCCCTAAACCTTTTCAGTATTGCTTGCCACGTCATCGAGTCGCATACCAGTTGCCAATCCAAGACTTTCCGAACGAAAGGTTAACGAGGACCGAGATGATGCACGCGAGAAATTCGAGGATTCCGTTGTAGGAGATCGATTCCGAGTCCTTCCAGTCGTACATGACAGTCGTCAGAGGAGTGGACATTCTGAACAAATTCCCAATTCCAGAGATTGCTGTCAAGTACCAAAAGGCTTACACTTCGATGATTGTGGCCATCATTGTGCACATCATGTTCAGATAAATGCAGATTAGCGCCGGGATCATGTCGTATTTGGGGACAATTGTCGTCGTGTTGGCTGCAATCAAAATGTTTGCTACGAACAGAGTTTCTACATAAAAATCTTCAAATGCAACTTTTTTCGAAGCATGCAATTGCCAATTGCTCAGAGGTTCGTTAAAATTTAAAAACGAACTTTTCTCATCGACCGTCTCCTTTTCCACAATTCCTGCGTAGTGTTCGGTGAAGAACATGTACATGACGAATGCGGAAGCGAGACAGGAAAAGGCCATGAGATAGGCGACTGCTGTGTACATGTTGATGTTCACCATCCCGAGGTCGAAACCCTTCTCGCCAAGCGGAGTGAACGCTGCCTGGAAAGTATTGCTTCATCTTTATATGGTGCCGTACTGTAAGCTTACAGAGATGACAGGTCCGAATGAGATGCCGAGCACGCTGGAGGCGATTCCGTACGAGATGGCCTTGAGTCGATCGTCGGGCGTGGAGGCAGTGGCCGCGTAGGCCCTCATCGCCGCCGTGTTGCCCACTCCGAAGCCCGTGATCACTCGGGCCGCCAGCATGTACCACTTCCCGTACTGCTCCACTTTACTGATCAACGCGTACATCACTTGCCCGGCGGCAGCAACGAATAAACCGGCGATTGTGGGCCATTTGCAGGAAAGTGTCTTCTGGTTCCAATATCCGAATAGGGGACTCGTCTGAAAGTTGGCTAGTCTTTTGAGTGTTCTCTTCAGATATCGCCCTTACCAAACAACATCCCAAGTTACACGCAGCCACCACCCATCCCAGGAATCCCATGTCGGCCGTCTTGTCCAAACCCGAAAGATACGGCCACATGGACATGTAGTAGACGGACATTTGAATTCCGCCGACGAATTGCATTCCAATGATGATCCACATCGGAAACCATTTCGTTTTTCGTTCGTCAAGTGATTTGACTGTGCTGAAAGATTTTAATTTCAATGCGACTTCTCTGATCACTTTTTTTCGAGACACAAAAATTCAAGAAAACTCACTTTCCAAACTCGGTCTCTGCCTTCTGAAGTTTAACGGAAGCGTCCGCGTCTGACGGCTCCACAATCATAGGCTGAAAATAAAAAGTAATAGTTTGAACTGATGAGTGAGAAAGAATGGACGTTTAACGAAACGAAACGACGCAAGACGGCGTTTGATTGACGGGCCAAGTGATCTTTTTAGGGCAGTCTATCTTTGAGACAAAGATTACATTTGAGAAGGTACGTGTGTCCTTCGGCTAACTATAAAACATTCTGTCTTTTGTACTTTTGATGGTCCCATAACAAAAAAAAAGCGAATGTGACTCATAATGTATCGTAAAGTTCAACATTTCTGACCAGAACGAATGAATGCTTTCACGGGGAAATCACTGACGAGAAGTTGAATAATGATAACTAATTTCAAAAACAGTGAAAATATAAAAACAGTCTACACCAGTAGAGTTAGAAAACTTGCAAGTCACATGAGCTCAGTGAGACATCACTTAAAGAGCCACTCAAATGAATGCATTCATTATCAAAACTAAAAAAAAAGATAGAAAGAACGGGTGTTCGCCTCGAAAGCTTTGCATTTCAACAAGGTTCCGTGTCTCGTCTGCCTCCTCTCTATCCCTTTTTTCTCTTTTTCGCTTTTCTGTTAGTTCTCTTTCTCGCTTCCTCGATATCATTCAATCGTTGTTTCTGAGTTTGATTGAATGCTAGACGCGCTTTTTAAGATAATCGGGACAACATAAAGGTTACTTTTAAAGTATAGAAGATCAAAAATCGCTTAGAAAACACAAGTGAAAGCCAAGGGAAAAAGATGATGAGGGGGGATGGCAATCGAGAGAAAGAGGGGGGAGACCAGAGTAAAAAGAGCACCAATGAGATGATAGAAAGTGGGAGAGAGAGAGAGAGACGGAGGAAACACATAAAGTTCAAACGTCTAGAGGATGGCAACCAAAAGAACGAGTTAGGGTCCATTCGGTCAATTAAAAATGAACTAAGATAACTTTTCCCTGAACTAACAAACACATTTATTCAGAGAACTTCAGAGCGTGCTCATAAATATCATGATTTTGATAAACGCGTTGCAAAACAAGACTAGTATTCATTTCTCCACTTTTCCGTAAACTTGTTTGCGCCGCGCACGTTAACATACAAAAAAGCCGAGCGTCTAGTGTTAGTTCTAAAGGTTTTATAATGATATTTCAGTGATATCTGACACGGCTCTCGTCACTTTACACTTGTTCCGTCAATCTGTGTTGCTCTCACGTTCTGTCTGTTTTCCTCATGCACACTTTGTCAACATTCGGAAGATTCCATGGGTTCGGCGACATTTCTTACCAACTTTCGGGCAATCTTTCTTATATATAAAACACAAGAGGCGTCTGTCTGTCTCTCTTTTTGAATGTCCGCTGAGGGCAGCAGAAAGAAAGACGGACAGGACAAAACCAAGACAAAATGCTAACACCGAGGAAACCTGTTATTCAAAACAATGTATCTAAGTTTCCTGTAGAGACATGAAAAAGTTGTCAACTAATATTTTGTTCATACAGACATCTTGCACATTTTGTCAGTTGACTACATTTTAATATCTCCCCAGGCAGCTGAGATACACACTCATTTACAGTACATTTTGAAAGGTAGCAATAACAAAATGTGGCAATTGAGGAATCGTTTCGCACATGTTTCATCGTAAATAGACGCACGAGTTGCATTAGCGTATTATCAAAACAAAAACAGAAAAAGAGACTGTTCTCGGTCCCCGACAGATTTCCATTTCAACTAGGTTCCGTCTCTCGCCTCCTTTTTACTACTATAATGGTTTTTTGATCCGTTCCTCTTTTCCATCTTCTTTATTCAAGTGTAACAGGGGTTTTTGGTGTTTGACGTCTTCCGGAATGACAATCATGTTCATTTTAAAATCACTTTTCCACAATATCAGAGAGTATTTTCCTCCGTCGTGACACCATTTTCTTGTGCAATTTCAACGGGACCAGACGTTTGTAGAAGATGGCAATGAGTAGAAATGCGAGGAGAATGGTGCCGGATTGCAGAAGGATCAAGTATTTGTAGCCAGTGTGTTGGAAGAGATATCTGCAAAGGGACCATTTGAGATCAGGAACTCTTTCAATTGGATCTTACGTGATTGTGATGGAAGCGACGAACGGTGTGAAACTTCCGCCGAACGAGAACCATCCTTGCATGTTACCCTGCTTCCGGGGACCCAGAATTTCAGAGTAAAGAGCAGTAGCAGGAGCTTCCACAGTTAGGAAGGCGATTCCGAAAAAGAAGACGAATGCACCACGTGTACGAATCGAGACAGCCTCCCACTTCGGTCGTGTTCGCGCCAGAAGTACTGCTGTTAGCTATTGTACGATCCTGTGACTAACCTGGCGGCAAGTAGTTGAGCGATCCCGAGTAGAACCACCACGGATAGTTGACGAGGTTGAAGGCGACGAAAACGGCGAGGCCGAACATGATTTGCAGGCGACGGTCCCTGAAAGTGATCACTTTCAGACAACTCTATTCACTCATCCGATGTTACACGCAGCCACCACCCATCCCAGAAAATCCATGTCCGCCGTCTTGTCCAAACCCGAAAGATACGGCCACATGGACATGTAGTAGACGGATATCTGGACTCCGACCACAAATTGCATTCCTACGGCGATCCACATCGCCCGCCATTTTGTCGTTCGGTCGTGTAATGGGGAACGGTTGCTGTAAAATGAGATCTAATTTCGGGAGGTTTTGTTAAACTTTCATAAGTTTGTATTTCCCCCTACGTTACTGTTCATTCAAGATTCAGAGTCATCTCCCGAATAAATGTATATCAAAGCTCAGACTCTATTATTTTTGATAAGCGACTTCTCACCAAGTTTCAGCTACTACTCAATTCAATGTTCATTATTATAGGGGCACCGCACAGAAATAGCGCTCTGTTGAGAAACTCTTTTTGTAGTGCAAGTTGAGCGACCTCGGGGCCGAGTTTGAAAAGGTAGGCCACGTTTTCAGTGGAAAATTACTTCGTGGCCTAGAAATTCGGCCAGATTGGAAACAGCGCGCCCTTTCTGTCCGGTGCCCCAATAATACATGTTAACGCGATTTCAAAGTCGTAGTAAGCTCAAATTCTCTATTCAAGTTTAAATCGAATCTTGAAAGTAACTTGAATTTGTCTTGATCTAAAATCAGTTTGCGCTAAATTTACACTTTTTCTGTCTTAACAAGAACGACCTTGACAGCACTGCCTCGTGTTCCTTTTCAAACTGCTTAGTGATATCTGTGTCATTCATTTCCCTTTTCAGAATCAAGGGATCATATTGTTGCGAAGTACCGTAATCATTGAATAAGAAGGGCAAGATGAAATTTTCGAAAGACTGTTGAACGAACCAATCCAACGAGATGTCCGACTCTTGTTTTATGACTGCCTGGTCAGAATCTGCAGGAGCAACGCCCATTGTCTGAGAGAAACTTTGCAAAAAGGTAAACAAATTCGAGTAAGGAGATGTGACCCATTGAAAAGTGATTGACGACAGGGGAAAGGGGGGTTTAATGCTGTTTGGAAAGGAAAGAACACACCTCGTTCTTGGCGGTCTTCTTCAAACTGGTTTCCCTTTTTTTGGTTTTAAGAACGGTTTGTTTGAAAACTTTGATTTTCGGTTTACATCGTTTGATTGATGTTGATAGAGAAGAATGCCCTGTGCTCTGTAACACTGAACATCTCAAGTACTCATATTTGCAAAATCTCAGTCTCCTCCCGGCCCGGCCCTGTCTCCTTAAACAATCACTTCAAAAAGGGAGTTTAGGACAGTTGGAACCTGAAGAATAAAGATTCAGTTCAGATTTACCTCACTTTTCCGGATGTTTCGGCTCTTGAAACTTTCCATTTGGGCCGGCCCATTGCAAGTCTGCAGATGTGGGGCACAAAACGTTGAGGCTGCATGCTGTTATGGTCCTGGTCATGTGAAGAGGCCCTACAATTGAACTAACATTCCGGCACGGCGAACATTTGTGAACACGGCTTGAATTTCACGCCCGTATTTTATCGCCGCTAAAGGGGTACGGTTTGAGATACGGAGCGGCCCGAGCATGTTCACAAATGTTCGCCGTGTCCGGGTTTAAAAAAAAACTTTTTTCAGAGTTTACCAGTTCGATGTCTTCATGGATGAGCTCGTTCCTGGTCGGGTGAAAGATTGATTGAGATCACACGATAGTTTCGAATGAACCTTCTTTGCATTCACATTTTTCACAGCAATCATCTCGACACTCTGGCAAAAAACAAATTCCCTCCCGTCAAATTGAGTTAAAACTTCCAGAAAAAAATGGCGGGTAGTCGATGAAGTTCCGGCTCACACGTCTCCCATTAAGTAGATCAAACACCTCATGACGTCATTGACAATGCGTTGACATTCAGTGTTATCAGTTATCAATCAGGGGTCTGCACACACAGCCAAAAAAAGCGTCGTCTGCGTCTTCTCAGTGACTCACACCCTCGCGATTTGTTTGGGAAAAGGACGAAGACGAAAACGAAATCGAGCCACTTTCTTCTCGACTTTTTTCTGACTGAAAAGGAGAATGGCGTCGAAAAAAGCGATTCCGAGTTGTCTAACCGACGGAGAGCTTCGCTTTTTCAAGTACGAGGATGGCACCGTGAGTCCCCATCCTAGTATTTTAGATTAATTCAAACTTTAGAACTCTATGAGCCGTTTGGACAAACTCGTTCGTCTGCAAATCGACCCGAAACCGTACATTCTCTACTGGCGCTACAAGGACAAAATGGTGTTCAAAGCCAAAGAGGTCATTGTTGAAACGTTTTTCGTCTAAAACTTTGAACCCCGAATATTTCAGTTGTCAAACGAGAAAAACTATTTGTATTTGGAGCGAATCTACGATGTCCGTGTCGGAAAACCGACCGATTTCGAGTTGGGACCCAACGAGAAAAGTTACGAGCGAAACTTTTTGACCGTCGTCAGCGGGTCCAGCATCACGAATCTCAAGTTCACACATTTCGTGTACTTGGGCAAGGAGGAAGTGAGTTTTTATTGAAAAGATACAAAAAAGATGACGTTTTTGTTTTGTGCAGAAGAGTCTGCATGCTTTCTCCGATGCGCTGTTCAATTTGGTGCAACGGACGAAGCGAGAAGAGCACGGACTATTGTACCATTTCAAAAAGAAGTTGGCGCCCAAGATGTACGCGGCATTCACTCCGAGATGCATCGAAGAAGAGTTAGTTTATTTTAGAGTCTTTTCCAGGCTAAACACGGCGCGACGTACTCAAAACGAAAGAGAACGAATGAGAATTTTGGCTTTGGTCTCGTTGGAAAGATCCATGAAAAGGGCGTTTTTCGAGAGATTCTTCACGTCGTCATGACACGTGATCTCTCCCACGCACTGCTTCAGAAGTTTCTCCATGTTGTACTTATCAGCCATTGAAATCTTCAGCCCAAATTCGAGATCGTAATTCGAGACATAGTCAGCATCCACAATCTTGGAGACAGACGGCAGAATGAAACGGTCGGCGAGAACAAGAATACTGCCGACGACATTCGCTGAAAATTTTACTGTTTTTTTTGTTGAATTAGCTTTGACTATTCACCGTTCGGGAAAACTGGGCTCGGATAGACGAGGCTCAGAAGGGTTGCGAAATCCTCGTAATCCACATCCTCGATCGGAATTTCGGTCGCCGACTTTTCCTTGAAATCTGAAGAGAAAAGAGCACGGAAGTAGTTGGAGTGGACGGAGAGAAGCTGAAAATTGGGTTTACGTTTGATATATTTTTGATTGGACGACTAAATAACCCCTTTGTTGACGTGAATCTTCTTTCCTTCGACCACGAGAGCCACGTCGGAGAACTCGGAAGGCGCGAAAATTCTATCGAAACGACCGAATTGCTCGATTTGGTCAATGGTTCCAGAGTGAAGTCATTGTAAAAACGGTAGATGTTGCTATACTTGCAGCTGGTAACAGGTAAATAACGTCGACGGACCCATTCAGTTGAACGTGTAATTTCAACGTCGAACGTTTGCGGGCTCACACTCGATTCGTAAGAGGGATTGCCCAACTTGACAGTGATTGTTCCCTTGAAACTTTCGATTTCTTTCCGATTTTTGAGCTCATCCCAGTCGAATTGCCACATCATATACACATATTCCTCGAGTTTAGATGCGGTGGCGTTCCAAGACATTCCAGTTGATACACTCCACTTCCTGAAAACATCAGAGATCTTAAAATCAGACTCGCAACGGCCCGGGCTCAAATGTGAAATTTTCCGACAGCCCGGCAAGCCATTTCGGTCCCAAAGTTACGAAATGTTCGTTCAAAAGTGGGCGGAGCGATAAATTGCAACCACTTTTAACTGCACAGCCATTTCAAACCGTTCTTTGAGACTTCTTCTAGAGTGCCTGAGTCGAGATTCGCAATCACTTTCTCATCGCTTTTATGAATGATAAAACTTCCAGGCATTTCACTCGGAGCTCTTTGAGCTGAAAAACGGCGAAACTTTGAAATTTCAAATGTAAAAAGATAAAATGCTCGGTGAGAACCGGCAAAAATCAACGAAAAAAGCAAGTCGACATAAGTTTGGATTTATTAATAAGAAGGATTAACAAAAAACAAAAACAAAGAATTGAGCATCATACAACTATTGAATATCTCTTCTTCATCGAGCGATCAGATTCCCATGATTCGATCGAAAATCTCGAGTTTCGTCGCGTCGGAAAGTTCTTTGTACTCGAAAACGGACGCTTTTCGGAAGTCTTCCGCCGATCTCACTTCGTATATACACTTCTGGAGCGTGCTCCTCAGTTTGTACTTGTCGGCGAGCATCAGTTTCTCCGGAAATGCCATTTCTTGCTCCAAGACCAGAAATTGGTCGAGCAAATTGAGCACGGAGGGCATCATAAAGAAATCGGCCAATTTCAGCAGTCTCGGAGCCATTAGCGCTAAACAATGAGAGATTTTAGGGGGAAAACAGTCATTTTCACCTGTTACTGTGACCGGTTTCGGCGAAACGAGGCTCAGAAGACGTGCCAAATCCTCGTACTTTACGTCTTTTATCGGAATTTCGCTCATCGACTTTTCCATGAAATTTGAGGAGAACAGGGTGCGGAAGTAGTCGGAATGCGTCGAGAGAACCTGGAATTTCGGGAAAATGACTGAAATCTATAGCATTTCGGGGGATTTACCGCTCTATTGACATGCATCCGCTTGTCTCCGACCACCAAAACGGCGTCCCGCAACTCTTCGGCCACAAAATTGCACTCCAAATCGGAAACGTCGTCCGTGCATCGGATCGGCGTCAAATCCAACTCGAACTTGAAAAAACACCGACACTCCTCATTAATGTACAATATAAGCTCGAGTTTATTCATGATTTTCTCAATCCGGCAGTCCGATCGATCCAATTTCACCTCGAACTTTGTCGGGACGTACGCGTGCCGCACTTGGCTGTAGTACGAGGCGGTGATGTGTCCTTTGAAGCCGCCGATTCCCTCTTTTTGCAGTTCGTCCCAATTGAAAAACCACGACATTTCGACCGAGTTCTCCGGCGTGAAATCGTCCGTCAGCATTGCAATCGTCGCGATTCGCCACGTCCTGAACCGCTTTTCTGAGGATCTTCTCTCTGTAGAATCGAGCACAAACCAGTTCAATTTGCCGCTGCGACCCACTTCGATCGCCGTGTTCCCGAACCAGTCGACCGCTTTTCCCGGGTGCTCGTACCTGATTTCCCAGTCGCCCATTTTCGGCGGTCGACCGCTGCAAATGCCGAATTTCCGCCTGTTTGGCAAATTTTCCATCGTCTTAAAATTAAGACAAACAACAATTGCGTTTTCGCGGGTTCGGAACATGTGTGCGAACACCGCTGACGACCGTACTTTGAAGATTTTCAAATTTGAATGAATTCTCGAAAAAAAGATATTTGATGTGATGAATGAACACATTCGGTATAAAAAACAAGTGAAAACGTTGTTGTTAACAAATTTATGCTCCCCAAAGTTAGAGAAGACATCTCAGAATGACATTCTTCATAAACGGCGAGAGACTTTCGAAGAGAACATCGTTCGCAATCTTCTTCACCTCGGCCGACGAGTTCAATTTAGCAATACATGCATCCATCAACTTTTCCAGTCCGAACTTTTCTGCCCACAAAAACTTGTACATGGCGTTCTCTGAATATTTCAGAAGTTCTTGTTCGATGGACTTGGTAACTGCGCGAATTCCGAAACGATCGGCCAGCTCGAGAAGAGTCAAGAATTCAGTCTCTGAAATTTTTGTAACAATATTGAAGAATGTTTTTGATGAGATCTCACTTTCCGGAACGACAGCGTCCGGGTGAATAAGACTGAGAAATCGCAAGAAATCCTCGTACTTCACTTCTTCGATCGGAATTTCGGTCATTGACTTCTCTTTGAAATCCGAATTGAAAAGAGCGCGGAAGAAGTCGGAATGCACAGAAAGAAGCTGTAAACAAATTACTTTCGCATTCTTTCAATATTACAATTGTTTCAAGAAGTGTATTTTCAAGATTCCGCAACGTTTCCTACCAAAGTAACTTATTACCAAAATTTAGGATCTTATCGGCTCATTCAGAAAGTGTCGAATGAGCCAATTACTATTATCCGAGTGCGGAGCACATCCATGTTATTACATAGATCGTCTAATCTTTGAGTTTTGTGAAACACTGCGATTTCTACCAGTACGATATCATGTACATACCGCTTTGTTAACATGCAATTTCTTTCCCTCGACCACCAGAACAGCATCGGTCAGATCGGAATTCAAAAAGTTGGCCTCGACAGGAAAGTATAAATTCGACATGATTGGGGTCAGTTTGAAAATGATAAATACCGCCGTCTGGATGTAGGAAAATGCAGTACCGAATTTGCCCAAATTCAAAAATACTTTCTGCCGATAACGGGACACTTCCACTTTGTTCGTATACTTTTGTATTCCTTGGACGAAAGTAATTTCGCCCTTGAATCCTTGCACTGTTTTATCGGTCCAAGTGGGTGTAATACATGAGTACACAAATGTGTCCAATCCCTTATTTCTAGAAAACTGGAAGAACCTGAAAGCTTTAATGAAGATAATGTCTAACCCGTTTCATACAATGTCAGTCCGTATTTCGGTCCATCCACCGATCCGGAAAATGCGTCATTCATATTTACAAAGTCCACACTCTTGGAAATGCAAATCTCTTCGCCACATTCGGTCATCTGCGAATTATGGGTAGACATTAACAAAAAAAAACATGCAAGATACGATTGAGTCCGAAACTCAAGAGTCAAGAGACAAAAGCATTTCGAAACGAACAAAATTTAATAGTAAGGCCTTATAAGGCACACGGATAAAAAGAGAATTTTAAATTAGAATTCCAAAAAACGGGTGAGAACGGCATCTCGGGTGACGATAGACAGCTTCTTGAACTTTGCGTCCTTCATGATTGCGCGCACTTCCTCGCCGTACTTGAAGCTCTCCAGACACGTACTCATGAGCCGTTGCATTCCGTACTTGTCGGCCAAGGTGAATTTGGTGAGTCGGTCCACTTTCGGATCGATCTGAAGATGCGATTCGATGATGTTGATGACGGCGCGTATTCCGAATCGATCTGCGAGCTCCAGAATAGGAATGTAGTTTTTGTCTGTAAAACCGGAATTCGTGACGTGGATAGATGACGAATGAACCGTTCAAAATGACAGAATGCGGATGGATCAGACTGAGCATTCGCGCGAATTCCTCGTATTTCACGTCTTCGATCGGAATTTCGACCATCGATTTCTCTTTGAAATTGGACGAAAAAAGGGCGCGGAAGAAGTCGGAATGGATGGAAAGAAGCTGAAATTAAACCTTTAAAACATTTTTAATTCAAAGTATTACAACCGTTTTGTTGACGTGCAACTGCTTTCCTCCGACCTGCAGAACCGCGTCGGTCCACTCGGATTGTGTGAAATTGTCGAGGAACGAATAGTAAATTTTCGCGAAGACCGGCGTCATTTTTATTTTGATATTCACGTTATAACCCTTCTTTTTAGTGACGAAATCCAGAAGTCGTGCGATTTTCTGTCCGTTCTCGGTCACCTCGAACTTTTCCGTGATTCCGACGGTTCCCTCCTCTCCGATCGTCATTTCTCCGACGAATCCTTCGACGCTCGCGTCTTTCCACGCGAGTTTCACACTCGACCACACTGAGTTCGCCGTCGGAAGCGCTTCGGTTCCGATCTTAACTTCCCAACGCCTGAAAACGTTTGCAAATTACGTTTTCCGACGTGTAATATTATAGGGGCACCGCACAGAAATGGCGCTCTGTTGAGAAACTCTTTTTTCAGTGCAAATTGAGCGACCTCGGGGCCGAGTTTGAAAAGTTAGGCCACGTTTTCAGTGGAAAATTACTTCGCGGCCTAGAAATTCGGCCAGATTGGAAACAGCGAGCCCTTTCTGTCCGGTGCCCCTATAATAGCTAATTTCAATGAAAAATCAATCGTTTTTCCAAACATTTTGAGCCGATTTTCGACAACTGTCTTAAGTCTGTCTTACCATTGCAATTTGTGACTTTCGACGCTTTTGTCGGCCAGGTCCGTTCCATTTCGGTCCAGCCATTCATATGCGAAAAATTGGGTATCCACGATCTCGATTCCCTCCTCGGAATCCGCCATTCTTCTCTGGAAAAAGTGTAGATGAGCACTCGAACCCGCCGTATTCCACGTGGAAACCCAACGTAGCCTACACGCCTACGGCCTACAAATCATTGTATTTTTTCGAATAAAAATTAGAAAAATGAACACCGTCGAAAAAAGCGACTCGCAAATGTGCATAACCAAAAAAAAAGGTAATTATTTAGACTTCAACATTCAATCAAAACTAATCACAACGTCTCTGAAAGACGTGGAAGCTTGACATGTTCATTAGGAAAAGCGTACGTTTATAAAACATTTCTGGTTGAAAAAAAAGACCGTTTTGTACTTTAGAAGAAGCGTAGGAACGAGAGGAAGCAGTGGAGAACGGCGTCACGCGTGTCATTGGAGAGCTGGTCGAACTGTCCGTGATTCATAGTGTTTCACGTCGCTGGGCGTCTTGAAGCTCTCCACGTACTTGGCCATCAGTCCTTTCAGTCCGAACTGCTCCGCCACCAACATTTTCTCCATTTTTCCGACCGATTCGTCGAGAATCAGATGCGATTCGACGATTTTCGGCACCGCCGGGATTTGAAAGCGATCCGCGAGTCGGAGAAGGTAGTTGTCCGCTGAAAATGTTCGCATTTTTGAGGTTTTTGAAGCACAAAGTTTTCGCTCTCAAATCCGTCGATGTTCAGCTCGTTTCACTCGAGAGTTACTCGCGCGCACGCACATTTTCATGGCGACGGAATAGTCTCATCCACGTAGTACATCTCCCAATGACTGCAATTTTTTTTCAAAAAATTGCATCACTCACACTTTCAGGCCGTATTTGTGAATGTGATCGGTGATTCGAGGCAAACTAGTGGAGCAGGGCGTCATGTGTCTGTCGAGCTCGATAATATTCTCGATGTTGGCCATTTTGCTGGAAAAATGCGAAACATTTGCGAAATTCTTGAATCTCGCTCGGAGACGAGAAGTACGGTGCGCAAACTTGTGCAAACACGTTGCGTACTTTGTCGTCTACAGTAACCAAATTTAAAAAAGATAATTTGCGAAAAAAGAAACCGAGAAGAGCCTAAACAGTTGAAAAATTAGTGCAATTTATATCAAAGTAAAACAATTAGCAATCTTCCGGAAAGATGCATCGCTTCATAATCACCTTTTTTGTGGCTGGGGATAGACGCTCTAACCAAACGCATTTCATCGCCGTTTCGATGTCCTCCACCTTGCGCAGTCCGTTCACAGTGTACGCTAAAAGACTTTTGAGTCCGTATTTCTCCGCTAAAACCAATTTTTCGAGTGGATACGTGTTTGTCTTCCTTAAGGTACGCTTCGACGATTTTCATGACGATGCGCGAGCTCCAGAAGCGTCGGAATGTGCTCTACTGGAAATTGGAGGCTTTTAAATAGGTTGTAGTATTGTTTTACTTTTCAAACGATCCGGATGGGGGCGAATGAAGCTGTGCATTCGCGCGAAATCCACGTATTTCACCTCTTTGATTCGAATTTCGGACATTGACTTTTCGGCGAAGTCGGAGGTGAAAAGAGCGCGGAAAGTCGGAATGGAGGAGAGTAGCCGGAAAAATACAATTTTTCGTTAGAAAGAAGTGATCTTGAAGATTTTATAACCGTCTTACTGACGTGCATCCTCCTCCCCTCAACCAGCAGAACCGCATCGGTCAAATCGGTGTGCGCAAAGTTGTCATCCATGGAAAAGTACAAATTCGAGAAGATGGGCGTCAACTTGAACTCGATGGTCAGCTTTCTGTCCTTGACGACGTCTTTCTCCGTTCTCAGCACAAACTGCTGTCCGGAACGGGTTATTTCGAGCTTTTGAGCGGTGATCTGCTCGATTTCCCTGGACTTCACACTGATTTCCCCGCGGAACACATTTAAACCACTTTTAAATATTTCCATTGAAAACGATGCGGGCCCACTGGCATTCGTCGCTGTGTCGGTTCGGATTGTTCTGCAGAATCGAGTGCGCTCTCCACTCCCTGAAAAATTGGCAAAAATAGATTATTTTTGAGAAAATTGAGTGTTTTACCAGTAAAACGCGAATTTCCCCAAAAATTCTTTCACGAGTGGCTCACAATTGCCGTCGGTGCACGTCGCCTCTCTATTGACGTGAATCTCGTCTTCCGAAACGATCATTTCTGCTGAAAATCTGAAAATTGCTTGAAAAATTGAAAAAAGAATTCAAAATGCGATACGGTAGGTAAAGTTTGCCAACACTTTGCGTTTTCTCAATATAAATAGAGAAGGGAGTCATTTTCTACTCGGCAAGTGACAACAAAATTCGTGTCGAAGACTAAAGATGAGCAATGGAACGGTGTTTGCGTACTTTCTTGGCTACAGTAGTACGAAATCGATTAAATCCCATTGCAATCATCGATTTTGTATTCGTTTATCCAAATAGAAAACAAATAAAAAGTAAAATGCGCCAAGATTATTGTCTGAATTCCAAAAACTTCTGGAAGATAATTTCCTTCGTGTTTGCCGAGAGCAAATCGAATCTCGAGTCGCCCAACAGCTTCTCAATCCGTTCCAACCCCGACAGTCTTCCGAAACTCTTGCGCATCAGTGTCTGCAGTCCGTATTTGTCGGCCAACACAATCTTCAGAGTCCCATCGATCGGCTCGCTCAGAAGCAACGTCTCCAGGTACTTTATGGCCGCCGGGATCTTGAACGAGGAAGCCAGTCTCAGAAGGATGTCGATGTTGAATGCGTCTGAAATGTCTCCTTTTTATGGGAAAGAAGATGCAATTCACTCACTGATTTCGAGTGCCGGGAACGGGTGAATCAGGCTGAGCACTTGAGCGAAATGGAACTTTTCCGCCGGATTTATATTGATCGGCAAGGCCTTGACAGTCGGAGACATCGAAGCGAACACTAGTCGAAACCATTCGGAGTGAACCGAAAGAAGCTAGAAGCACAATATTCGAGAGTACCTCGGACGGTCCCTCCAACCTGTTTATTGACGTGCAAATGGTATCCGCCGACGTTCAAAATCACATCGGTCAGGTGCGTCTTCAAAAAGTTCGTCGTCATCGGAGCCGTCATCTTCGATGGGATCGGAGTCAGACACAAATCCAGATGACACATCCACGGACCATTTTCCGCTTCCGTTTCCATTTCCACAACGACAATTTGTCCGGAATGGGTCAGCTCAAACCATTTTGTCGCATTTTTCGCTCCGCTCACACCGATGAACATTTGTCCCGTGTACTTTTGAACGAACGGATTGTCCCAGGTGAATGTGACACGTGGATACACGTGGCACGCGAGAGGAAGCTGTCTTTCGGTAGAGTTCATGCTCAGCGACCTGAAAGACTGAGCCTAAAATAGCGTGAAACTTGTAATAGAGCGACACCCCGAATACCGTTCATTCAAAGCAATATATCTCAGCCGTCTGTGGAGATATCGAAAAGTTGTCAACTAGTAAGTTGATAATAAAGATATTTTGTACATTTTATCAGTTGATCACTTTTTGATATCTATACAGGCCGCTGAGATACAGCGCTTTGAATGTATCGCTCACCAATGCAAATTGTGATTCATCTCGAATCCGTCTCCAACCAGTCCTTCGGAAGGGAACGAATCGTAGTGGAAGTTCTTGGAAATGCGGATTCCCATTAGAGCGGACGAATCCATTTCCGGACACGAATTGAATGGGAAAAATGGCAATTCGACCGTTTTTATCTCCGACGCTCTCGAGCCCATCAATGATATTGTACGATTCGAATGATTTTGTTTTGATATTGCCTAAAACATGATATGTTTTGTTTCGATTCGATTCTTTTGTGAGGCACTCTTTCTATTATAAAACATTCGCGTTGGTTTTGCGGGGCGTGGCTTCAAAAAAGAATCCGCATGGCTCAATGGATCTTTATTCTTACAGCATCATCCGAGTGTTCGACAAGCACAAGAAGCATACGACGAAAATCGAATGGAACGAAATCGGAAAACTGCTTTCTGTGGTAGGCAACTTGAGAAGGCCTTGTATGGAAAAATAGTTGATGCCATTGAATAGAGCGTCGAAAATTACATAAAATTGGAGGACCTGAATTCTCCTGACTTTGTAGGCGTGTATCTTGAGAATTATTGATTGGTACAAAATGTGATCTACTGAAAAGTTGTTGCAAATTTCATGCTAAACAACTTTGTAACAGACTATTTTATCACAAAACTCCTAGTTTTTGAGTTATGACCCAGTTTCTAAATAGCATTTACCTACATAGTGCTAATAAGCCCAAATTAGCAAACGCTCTATATTTTCACCGTCCAGTCTGTACAAAATACAGTGTTTTGTTCAGAAATCCCGTCAAAATGTGGAAATAGACGATCAAAAGCTCACCAAGATTATAATGATTCTGACAAAGTTCGAGGGATCGAGACTCGAAGCGATATTTCGGAAAATGTAAGCAACCGCTCTGACCTCGTGAAAAGTGCATTCTTTTGTGTTTGAGAAGTGAAGAAGAGCCGGTGGCGACAAAGTTGGAATTCGGTGATTGGCTGAGAAAAAGTCAGCACGATCATCGACTGAACGACGCCCGTTACAATCAGATGACGGACAAGAAGATCGAGTCGATCATCGAGAATTGGGATTATTCTGGAGGTCGGTTTCAACCGTCCTTAGAATCAACTGCGAGGGGCATTCTCATAGGGTTCTCAACTGCCTGTAAAGATAGTGTTGTTGAGTACCCCTTTGGTACCAGTTTGGTTCTCTGTGTCTCTACGCGCACACACTCTCTCTTTCTCAGTGTCGCAAGCACCTGACTTGACGACACTTTCTTTTCTTGCTTGTACACCGCGCTTCCGTTCAACGCCACTATCATCCGGGTTGAGTACCCGTTAAAACATATCAGATAGCAAAAAGTGGTCAACTAATAAAATGTGCACAATTTCTCATTGAGCAATTTGTTAGTTGACAACTTTGTTATATCTCAACCGGCAGCGGAGATATATCAGTTTAAATGAGCGTATATCCACGATAATCTTGCAAGTTTTGTGCTGTGCTCACAGTGTTTTCACTTTCGATATCGATATCAGCGTCGATTCTTTTTAAAAAGTCGTTACTTTCAGACTCGGCCATAACCCCTCAAATCTTCGCGCATTGGATGGCTTCGGACGAGTGCGGAGTGGCGATCACTGGATCCCGAATGAAGTTGGATATTGCGAGTATGAGAGAACCCGTAAACCGATATTTCATCGACTCTTCTCATAACACTTATTGCTCAGGTGAGCACAAGGCTTTCGGTCCCAAAAGTTGCAATTATTCGATGTCATTTCAGGAAACCAACTGGTCTATGCGATTGGCCATTGCGCGGCCGACGTGGAAATGTATCGCCAGGCGCTGCTGGCCGGCTGCCGATGCATTGAACTGGACGTGTGGGACAACAAGGACAAGGACGGCGATCCGGTGATCACGCACGGACCGACGGCCGTGATGGGAATGAACGAGATCGGACTGGTCGAGGTGTGCGAGGCGATCCGCGAGTGCGCCTTCAAATCATCGCCCTACCCGCTGATTCTGTCGATCGAGAACCATTTGGGACGGCGGCAGCAGGAGAAAATGGTGCAGATCTTCCGGCACGTCTTCGGCGAGATGATGTTGACGACGACTCTGCCCGACTATCCGTTGTACGCGAAAGAGGGACAGGATGTGGTGTACCCGAGCCCCGAAGCGCTCAAGTACAAGATTCTGATCAAGGCGAAGAAGAAGCGGTTCGAGAAGCAGGACTCGAGAAGTCGAGAGGATTCCAGTCTGGATTTACAGCAAGCCTCGTTGGATTTGACCGAGGACGAAGCCATCGAAAACGAGGGATTCAACGAGCTGACGGAGGAGCAGAAGAAGGCGCAGCTCGCGCAGCTTCCCGAAGAGATCTCGTGCTCCGAACTGTCGGCCATCATCAACTATATGCAGGCGTACGAGTCGAGCCGCGGTCTCTCGACGGCCGCCAATCTCGAGAACGCCGCCCAGGACCCCGTGCATTGCATCGTGTCGGCCGACGAGAATACCGTGTGGAACTGCCTGCGCCAGAACTCGGTCGACAAGGTGCAGACGCTGAACAAATCAAAGATTATGAGAATCTATCCGAAAGCGTCGCGCATCTACTCGACCAATTATAATCCGATGGTAGCGCCAGCCAGCTCATCGCATCCCCCCCACACAATGACTCTATTCAGATGCACTGGCTGACCGGTGCTCAAATGGTTGCTCTCAACATTCAAACGAATTGTTCGAACATGCAGCTGAATCGCGCAATGTTCGAGAGAAATGGAGGGTGTGGGTGAGTCTTTTGGGTTACTGTACTTTTTTGTGAAGAAACAAAAGTATACTGTAGGTTTGTACGGAAGCCCGACTGGTTACGGTCGAGAGACGTGCAACTGAGACCGTTCTTGTCAATTCCGTTCACCATCGCGTTCACAGTTGAAGTCGAGGTACGGAATATCGGGTCACTGACTTATTGTATTTCAAAGGATCGTTTGCAGGTGATAGCCGCCTACTTCCTCTCCTCAATGGACACTGAAAAGTACCGACGCCGAAGTACAGTGTCCGTTCGGCTCTTCGACGTTCCCGATCAGATCGCAAAAGAAGAGAGCCTGACGCCGTCGACGGTGGTGCCGGCCAAGTTCGAGACGAGTTGCAGAAGACGTGCGAGAGAGGAGATCTCGTTTGTGACCAACTACGAACGACACGTCTACTCGTTCGACAAGGTGATGCTCAACGATCTGTCGTTCATCCAGTTCAATGTGCACAGCGAGTCGGGAAGCGTCTTCGCGCAACGCATTCTTCACGTCGACACTATGAACAACGGTGAGCTGCGCGCGTTCGGCACTCCTCAAACTTGCACGTTTTCACTTATGTACAGGCTATCGATTTGTCACTCTGCGAACACCGTCAAACCAGTGCGCGGGACCCGCTTCTCTTCTCGTCCGATTCGATCTTTTTATGCATTCCGATAGAAAGAACCTACGTGAGCTTCAGAATCATTTTTAGAATCGTGTTAGCTGTCTGATTTCAGACGATCACAAACAAATGTACAATCCGCACGCGTTCGAGAAGGAATCCGACAAGTGGGAGCGTCGTTTCAGCAATCCATTTGCGGATTTGGACGAATTGGAGGTAAAAAATTGGAGGGGAGGTCCTCAGTGAACTGTGTAAACGGAATTGTTCCAGGGAAATGAGTTCCTGCTCGTGGAAGGGACGAGAAGAGGATCGGTCGAGCCGGAACCGACCACTCCGACCACACCGACCAAACCGAGATTCCCGCTCGGCAAAGAGCTTCTCGAGAAGATTCAGTTCTGGAAGAAGAAATAGAGAGAGATAATCTCATCATGTTTCTGCTTTTGCTTCAACAACTTTCAAATCTCCGCGTGTGTAGCCTTCTCATGTGATTCAGAAGGCGTGCCCTACTTCTAACTATATAATTAAGTGACGAGTGACAAAACTTATATGAAAAAAGACTTTAGTTCTCATTCGTCTGAAGCGCCCATGAGCAGCAACCTCTCATTGTCGGAACAATTGAGCCAGTTGGGCGCGTACCTCGATGTCCTCTCCACCCTCATGTACTATGACTCGTTGTCGCAGAAAGTGAACACGGTTGTGTGTACTCTCGGCATTCTCCTCAACCTCTTCCATTTCTCCGTTCTCTGTCGCAAGGAACTGCGCTCCACCGCACTCTTCACGCTGCTCGCCGTCCTCTGCATCTGCGACGTCTTCTTGTTATCGCTGACACTCAGAGAGCAGTTGCAGAAGATTCTGAAGCCGAAAACTTCCGACGAGTTCTGTTACGGATACGATAGTCTTGTACAGACTATGACAAGCCTTTTGAGTAACTACCTGAAGACGTGCGCGGTGTGTATAGGCTCTGCCGTCCTGATTGCGATGGGGTTCGTTCAAGTGATATGCTCCTACTTCCCGCAAGGATCGTGGACCGCTTCTTTCTCGAAAACCAGTACATCGGCCGTCGATTGCACTCTGACGATAACTCTATCCACTGCCGTTTATCAGTTTATACACTTTCTCTTCAACAACTCGATCGCGTTGAAATCCGCCGAAACTGCGTGTGAAGGAGTGGCCAATTTATCGGCCATAACTGAGAATCAGTACATCATTGAGAGTAATCTCGAGTATCCCCGAGTTTTATTCGTTATCAAAAGTCTTGATACAGTATTTGCCATGATCGAGCCGACTTTGCACATTGGTTCGATTCTATTTCTGATCAAAAGTTGGAAAGTTAACAATGGAAGAGTTTCGAGCAACATCATCAAATCGGACAATCGAAAGTGAGTGTGTATCTGAGCAGTCTGTGGAGATATCAAAAAGTGGTCAACTGATGAAATGTACAAAATGTCTCAACGAACAATTTACTAGTTGACAACTTTTTGATATCTCTTTCGACGGCTGAGATATAGCGTCTTGAATAATCGGATTTTGGCGTAAGAATTTAAATTTTCAGATCTGAAAACCTGTCAGCCCTCATACTTATAATGATTTTCTCATATTTCCTCGCGGACACTCCATTAACGGTTTTTGCTCTGATCACCCAATACTTTCCCGATTTGAGAGTATACCAACTCGAGTGAGAAATCTTCTAAACTTGACCATTTTTCCAAATTTCTCCTCAGAAAGTACGCTATAATCGGCTCCACGTACATTTTCTGGATCAAACTCGTCGTCGCCTCCACTCATTTCCTCGTTTGCCTCGCTTTTTCGTCTCACTATCGTTCGGCAGTCAGAAATGCGTTTGGGCCAAAGAGAGAGATTACGGTATGTACAGATTTTGGACAGCTTGTGCACAACATCACTTTTTCAGCTTCACACTATCGAGCCTTTGAGTTGATGCTCTTCTCACAATCTTCCATTTTTGATGTCTAATTTTCTGTACCTATCAATTTGTGATCACAAGTTTTGCATGAATAAATTAATGTTTTCGACGAGTGCTCAATGATGTTTGAATTGTATTGTAAACTTTATTTAAAGGGGATCACAAGTGTTCGGACTATAAAATTCTGATTTTCAGTTATTTGCAGGTATCTGTAAAACAAAAGGACACTAGAAAAAGTGCAATTTATACCGAATGGCTGTGACGACAAAATATCAGTTTGACAATAGCTCGATAGTCTGTGAAGAGACAAAAACAGACGATCGGTTGTAAAACTTGATTGACAATAATTCCGACTGTTGAATAAGTAGCTATCATGTTTGTAGTTGTTCTGAAATTATAGTGAATATCTATTTCGAGTGCACGTAACGTCATTTGAGCTTAAAGTTAACGTGGCAATGGAGAAAACGCAATGAAACATTTGAAAGACGTACTTTACATCTCTTGCCTCGACAAAGCTCGGAACCCATAAAATAACAGCGTCCAAGACATCGGATTGCAGAAAAATGACAGCGAAACAGAGACAGGAAACAAGTGAGGATGTGGTCGATCTGAAAAGTGTATAGTATCTCTAGTAGCATTTCAATTTAAGACTAACTCCTTATTGTCCGATGATTTCCAGACGCAGCTGATCACCAATGCAATGAGGATCGACAATATCACAAATGGATACACAAAAGTGGGCGTGGCCTTGATGTACCGGTTTGCTTCCACTGTGATATTATACATTTGAAAGGATTCCTGAGGAACGGCGGCCGTGTAACGGAAATCGTTTGTGATTTTGAAGTTATTCGCACAACTGGAAGAAGCTTTTGAAAATCAGATCTACAGTAATCCAGACCCACTCCATTTCAATCTTGACACTATAAATGTGATGTCTCGGCCATAGGGTCAAGCACCAAAAAGACGCCAGGAGAGTTACGGTGACAGTAACCCAGAAAACGGCTCGAGGCCTGAACTTTGTAAAAGCTCTCAAAAAGCCGATCGAAATGACAATCCAGGAGGAGGCGCGGAGAGCAATGTCTCGCAGAGCATTCCCGATCATTTGGACGATGATGTCGGAATAGACGAAACTTCGGAAACACTCTTGTCCGGACGGTCTCAGCCAGTGCAAAAGTACGGACGTCCAGGAGCACGAGAGATAGACCAGGTTGCACAGCGAAACGACGAGGAGCCAGACGAAATTGGCGTTGGAGCGCAGATGCTTTCTGCTCAGCACCGCGAAATGGATCGAGTTTAGCAGAATGGCGATGGGAATCAGGTTCAGATTGAGGGTTTCCACGTTTTTCGAGTAGATGGACTGCCAATCGAGGCCAGGCGACGGAGAAGTCAACCAGGAAATGTTGACGACCGTCGTGTTGCTAGACATGTTTGCGAATGTGGAGAGCAAGTCGGAGCACCACGGGACGATAATTATAGGGGAGAGTTGTCGGAATCAGAAATGGGCAGGTTTAGAGATGAAAGTTTGGCCGCTTTCGGAGAGCTCAGCCTAAACTTGTTCAAGCTCCGATGGCCCTGAACTTTTCCGATTTCGTTTTGGTATTCTACCCGGATAAATCAGTTCCATGGGACGATTCTCCGTTATTGTCGGACAACGAGCAGCTGGACAGAGTGTTGGAACCGGTGCATTACACGGAAAATCTCGTCCGGAAGTTCAACATTATCAATTCGATTCTCGGCTTTCTAGTGAACGTCCTTCACTTTGCCGTTCTGACGCGGAAAGAGTTGCGATCCAGTGCCATCTACATTCTGTTGATCGGAATTTGTGTCTTCGATATCATCAGAATCACGGCTTCGCTTTCATTGGATATCAAGTTTGTGCTGGGATACGGTAGGACCGAGTACTGCCACCACTTTGACACCTATCAAAACGTGCTCTTCAATATCATCGCCTCACTTTTCTACTCCACAACCAACCGAATCTCTTCCTGGCTGATCATCTGGATGGCTCTCTTTCGAACCTTATCCATCATATTCCCCATGAGCTCTCTGACCCAAAAACTATCGGAACCGGCCCCGGCACTCAAGACTCTTGTGGTTACGGTAGCTGCCACCGTCTACTACAGCATCCTCAACACTTCTTTCATGATCATTCCGCGAAATCCGGCCCAATACTGTCTTCTGAATGCGAATTCGACGTGGCACGCCGATGAACAGTACAGACAGGCGGAGATGGAGCCGACCAAATCGGCGAGAGCCTGGGAAATGATTCTGACGGTCAGCAAGCCGATCACACACATTCTACTCACTTCTTTTCTGATCAATGCGGTCATTGAGGCCGCCAAACTGAGGAAGAATGTGAGGAAAACGGAGGCGGACAAGTGAGTTTTGAAGCATTTGGATGGACTCTTGGATTACGGTACTTTTCAGGAGTGACACCACCACCAAACTGATCGCCCTCATGGCCGTGCTTTATGATTTCGCAGAAATCACCAGTACTCTCGTTGATTTTCTCGTCGATTTCAGTCGCGACGACGACCGATACATGTGAGTAGCAAATTTGAAAATCCATCCCATTCCCGTTCAGGTTCGTCCTAGCCGCCCTCAAAATTCCCATCGTGACACTGTTCACGATCAACTCGAGTTCCCACTTTTTCGTCTGTTTTTTCATGTCTTCCCAGTATCGGGACACTGTCAAAAACTTGATGGGATCGGGAAAAAGCGGCACTACTGTGAGTTTGAAGAGACTGAAAGATGAGGTGAAAAAGACGTTATTTGAAGGTGTGGTCTGCTGAGGAACAGACGGGAACACTGAAGAACAGTTTGACTGGCTGACCGATTCAATTGATAATCAAGTGGTTTTCTAAGTTTTGCACTCAAAATCTAATAAAAACGTTCGTTCCGGTGGGTGTCGAGAAGAGAGAGAGAGAGAGAGAGAGAGAGAGAGAGAGAGAGAGAGAGAGAGAGAGAGAGAGAGAGAGAGACTAGAGTGTATGCGAATTCACCAAACTATACTCTACACACACTCTCCGAATCCTTATCACGTGCCGATTCTCATCAGTCCGCTCCTCCTGTCTGCAGTCCGAAATAATGACATCAAGCGACCTTCAATCGAATCTGATCTCGCCGAATTCGTTTTTGCTGACATTCTGCTGTGCTGCCGGTTTCCAAGTTTGACCGAGAAAAGACACGGAGTACTATCGATCCGCCTCCTCCATTCGCCGATTTCTTCGGGCTTTTCGGTGATATAAAAGCTGGATTTGGGTAGCGAATTCCATTTAAAATGAACAACGCGCTTTTTCTGGCTGTTCTCGCGATTCTCACGATTTTCGGTAAGATTTTTCTGGAAATTGAGAGCTTTAAATAGTGTTTCAGCCATCTCCTCACAAGCTGCTCATCACGACGGTGGAGGAGGTCACCACGAAGGCGGTGGAGGCGGTGGAGGCGGTGGAGGTGGAGAACATCACCATCATGAGCATCACGGAGGCGGCGGCGGCGGCGGCGGGGGACTTAATTATCACCATCATCACAGCTGGCATCCTTCCTCGAGCTACGGATGGAGCGCACCGAGCTACAGGTACCTACAATAGTCCTGACGGCGAAAAACTATTTTTGCAGTTACAGCGGAGGCGGCGGCGGCGGCGGACTCTTCGGATGGCTTTTCAGAAGACCCTACAACTATTATGGGTATAATAACTATGGCAACTACTACGGGAACTACTACCGCGGAGGATACTGTAGAGGTACAGTGTGCTTGTCCGGCCCAGCAGTAATCCGACCCGTTTTGCAGTTGCTCAATTCGTGGACTACGTCGGCCAAACGCCCCGCTTCTATTGCGACTGCCCGCCAGAGTTGAGCGGAAGTGGAATTTTGAAATACGGAAGACGGCAGACGGCAGACGGAAGAAAATTTTTCTTACGGAACACGGAAAACGGAAGACGGAAGAAAATTTTTCTCACGGAAGATGGCAGACGGAAGACGGAAGAAAACTTTTTTCCCGGAAGACGGCAGACGGAATACGGAACAAAAAAATCGTCAATTCAGAGCCTTTTTTTCCGGTTTTTTTGAAAAAAATAACTAATGCAACAAAAACTTTTGGATCTGGGTACTGCCCGTGGAAATTCGCGTTCTTCGGGACTAGTAAATGGCTCTTGAAAAGCTATTACTCTTTTACGGTAAGAAAAAAAAATCCCGGAAGACGGCAGACGGCAGACGGAAGAAACATTCTTTTACGGAAGACGGCAGACGGAAGACGGAAGAAAACTTTTCTCACGGAAGATGGCAGACGGAAGACGGAACAAAAAAAACCACGGAAGACGGAAGACGGAAGACGGCAGACGGAATTCCGCTCAACACTGCTGCCCGCCGTACCCGCCCAACTACCAGTGGAATCAGTGCGTGCCGATGCCCGTCTACGGAAAATAGGCTCAATTTTGTTGAAAATAAGATGACGACGTGGCAGAATCGATATTCTGACCGATAATGACTTTTTTCGGCGACAGTACAATTTTTCAATAAAAAAGCTTTTCACGTGACCTTCCAACGCGAAATTCAAATCCACGCAATCCCATTCTATTTTCCTGTTTTCGCACTTGCAAACATGGGCGGTTGGGACGATTTGTCCGATGAATTGAAGCAAAAAGTAATCGAATATTTGGAATTTCGCTCACGGTACGGTTTCCCGAACATTTTATCGATTTTCAACCGCGAATTGCTTTTCAGATTTCGTTTCCGTCTCGCCGCGAAATCTGTGCAAAGCGTCGTCGATTCGACGCCACTCCACATTCCGCGCATCAATTTTATTGTGAAAAGCGACAGCGACATTCAGATGACCGTTTTTCCGGGAATCGACAAACGGATCAGGATCGAGTTGAGCAGGAAGCTGAAGGGCGGAGGAGGCGCCGAATTGAGAGTGTAAGCGATTGTTCGAAACATTTTTGTGAAAAATCGGCTTCATTGACCGAAAACTGCGTGTTTCTTTTCGTAAAAATGTCGAAAAATGTGCTGAAAATCAGTCAGTTCCGATAATTGTCAAAAATCGATATTTAGAGTGATTTTAGAGTCGAATTTGTGTTTTTTCAGAATGTTTTTAATGGAGTTATTCAGGCTGTGAAAAAAATGATTGTTTTCCGTTTTTTTCGGTTTTTTACGTCAAAAAATCCAATTCAGCGATGTAAAAAAAAACGAAAAACAAACATACGCTGAATAGCTTCATAACGGAAAGTTCAAGAAACTTTACAGAAAAAGGTTATTTTGTGAGCAAGAAAACAAACTGAAAACGCGAAACCCGATTCTTCCAATTGACTCGTTTAACGCGCGCGAAAATAAATTTCGTGTAAAAGACGATAATTTGTCGAAAGAAATGTTCTTCAGAACCGGAAACACGGGAGCTGGCTTGAAGAAAAACCGCGAAAAGACGAAAGAAGTGTCGCTGAACCCGTACTCGATGGCCCTTGTCACTTTCAAACAAATGACGATGCATCCGCAAACGCTCGTCCGATTCGTCGAACTGCAAACGGAAACGCCGTGCGCCGTTTGGTACCGAACCGACGAGATTCTCGGCGATTCGTTCGAGTTTCGCGCCCACATCCTCCGGGTGAATTGGAAGTGCGACGTGGCACTGCAACACCACGTGGCTCGTTCCGATCTGGTCGAGGTGCAGAGACTGATCGATCCGAAGATGTTCACAGAAGTCCGCAACCCGATCTCACTCGATTCGCCGAAAAAGATGCGATTGTCCACGTTGACGAAGCTCATAAAGTACAGAAGTGACAGATCTCTCAACGAGAAACTCCTCGGACTCAGTGAGTTGGTTTAGGCCGAAGGCAGATTAAAACTGGGCTTTCAGATCAAGCGTACCACACGGGCAGAGTGCTCATAATTCAGTCGGGCGACTTTACGGTGACACCGAACTCGCAATTGTGAGGATTACGGTAGAACCGACTAGTACGGTAATCGTTTTGCAGCGGAACCAACGACGAGATTGTCTCTATGAGGTTGTCCGAAACGATCAGTGTTCGCATCCGGAAAAGTCCGTGCGGAATCACGAACAAATATACGCTCAATTGTTGGACGGAAGAGGGAACAGAAAAGTGCGACAAACGATGGACCTGCAGGGAACACGCCCATCCCTTCGACTACTGGTACTACAAACATGTGGACGAGGTGAGGTGCGCCGTGGCCTAGGATCCGACAGTCTCTCGTTCAGAATTTGAACTTTGCAATGAACAAGAGCATTGTCGTCGAGCAGATCGTGCCGGTCTTCAACGGCCACTGCCCGATCGACAATTACTTCCACGCCACGGACAAGACGTACAAACTGTGGAAGAGTGGAGAACTGTCAAAGTTGGCGGACATTTGGAAATCGATGAACAAGAGACACATGGACACGGGAGGTTGGACAAATATGATATTTATGGTCCTTGCAGTCGTCTCCCTCATTGCTGCTTTTCTGTTTACTCGATACTAACTGACTTGAGATGGTTTTTATAAAGTTTTCGTTTTTAGGCTACCACGGGATCTTAAGAAGATCACTCCATCCGACCATTTTAGAGCGGCGCAAAGCAGAAAAGTGATGTGCCCTCACTTTTTCGCACTTTCGGCAATTTTTTGATCGGGAAATGCGTGGGCGCCATTCCACCTGAAAAAAGACCAAACCTGGTCAGTACTCGATTTCAAACAATAGGAATTGGTTCAACAATGATCAACAAACAAACAAACAAAAACAACAGTAACATCAAAAAAGAAACAATTATAGGCCTCATTCGTGGCTGTTTTCGGCGCTCGGCTCCTGTTTCATTCCTCGTTCATTCCTCTTTCGGACACGAGCTTGATTGCTGAATGATAATAATGAAAAATGAAAGTGAGATTCGAGTAAAAGTACAATAGTGATCCGATGTGATCGCGGAAGAGAGTATAGATCGTGTCGGCGAGCCTCGGAGTGTTCTCAGCGTCTTCGACCACAATCACATCCACGATCAGAGCTGAAATTTGAAAAAGTTTCATCTAGAAACGGATGGGAAAACGAACAGCACGGGGCATTTGTGAGATGCGGCGGGAACTTGCGGTGGCCTCTCTGCGGGAACAGGGAGGTACTGTAGAGTTTCCATTGGTTTGGATCTTCGATGGCCTGAAATATCATCAATTTGTACGCGGTGCTCTTTCACTTGTAGCTCACCACTTTCAGCCATTGACGGGCGATTCCCTTGATGAGCGATTGGAGAGTGTTTCCTTGATATCCGAAAGAAGCCATCGCTTGATTGACGTTAATCGAGCCGGAATTGTCAAGATTTCTGATGATTTTCGGCGGGAACTTTTGGAGATCACTCGGATTGATCATGGCGCGACAGATTTTCTACAAAAGAACCTTCTGGAAAAGCCGTTTTGATCTTCTTACCGGATCGATCTGCTTTCTTTCGTCGACAGGTCTCGCCGGAATCATCTCAATCTGAAAACATTTAGATTTAAAAAATAAAATTACAAGCAAGACAACTTACTATACTCATAAGCGCAGAAATGCAATACAAATAGATCTTTGGATCGACTTCGGCGTTTCCGAGGAAAGTTTCGTTGATTAACGAATAATCGAACTTGATGCCGAGAAGACTTGTGTCTTCCAGCTCTTTCTGAAAAAATTCATCCATTATCCACAAAAAAACTAGATTTTGTTTTCGCTCCTTACTTTGATATTGACGCGATCTTCAGGCGATGCCATGGCAATACGATATCCGAACTGAATCGGACACACTTGACCAGCCTGAAACACGAAAAATAGGTGAATTTGAAATAAATTTTCACTGACCGCGTTGATTCGCTCATTTGCTCGGCAGTCGGCGGCTCCCAATCCATTTCGGGCTCTCTTTGCAAGTTTCCATCAAAAGCGGCAAAGTTTTCTCGCACAGACCCTTCAATTTCAGCTTCTGGCTCTGTGAAACTCATGACCATTAGAGAAAATGCGCAAAAAACTTTACCACTCGGCCTTGCATTCTCCGAAGATGCTTAATTTTCTTCAGCTGGTCGGCAATCACCTCTTTTCTCGCACTGCCATACTTTTTCAGCGGCATGGTTCACTAGCGAATTCACTGAAAAAAATGAAAAAAATTCGATGCGATTTGAGTGACTTGTAATAAAATTACGCAAAATGACGCAATTCGGCCTAAAAATTTCAAAATTTCGAGAAAAAAAGTTACACTTCTTTTAGCATTCGGAAGATTCGTTGACTTCTTGCATCAATTTAAATTGTTATTTTGCGCGTGAAGTGTGGTGTATTTTGTGTACACTACGACGGCAAAATGCACAACAATTTTTCGTTTGTTTTTGTGCAATTTTCTGAGTGAATCTTGAAAGTTTAAAAAATTCATAATACTTTTCAAAATACATCATTTCGTTCCTCATGCCTCCCGAGCCTCAATTGAGATTAATTCGTAGTAAAAAGAGCAGAAGCTCCTTTGCCCCTGTAACTTTGTCAAACTGTACACCCTTTTCAAATTTTCGGTTCAACTTCCCTCAATTCTTTTTGAGCCTTCTGTTTCTTCCTTTTTTTTCGTTGGTAATTAACTTTTCAGTGAATGCAAGTGAATAGCGAGGACATTACGGTCGCCTGGGGACAGCAGCCGCACCCGCTGGACTCGCAGTACGGAAAATGGCGATTAGCGGTGTTCCAGGACGTTCAGGAATCGATCGACGGCAGAAAACTCTACTTTTTGTACGACCCGGAAGCTGACGAGCAGAGTGGAACCAGCGGACAAGAAAAGGGATATCCGGGACTGATAATTTTCGACATAAACTTAAGATGTTTCGCCGGCGAGATTCCCATTCACTGTCCAGGTGCACTTCCCGAGACTTCTCAATAGTTTTCAATTAATTTCAGGCAGAATGCAGTTCCTGTTCTCTCTGAAATGCCCTTCTCCGCAGGGCGGTTCTGCGTTCGTTCTTATCACAGAAGAAAACGTTTACGGTCAGGTCCGTCTAAACGTGTCCCGTGTGGATCTTGCGCGGGACGGTCTCTCGATCGTCAATATTCGCCCGCTCATCCCTCAAGCTCTCGTTATCGGCGGAGAATACATTTGTTCGATGCGCGAGGATACTCCGGAAGTTGTCGTCATGGCAAACCCCGGATTACAGGTGCAACTTCCTCGAAATACCTGAAAAATTAAAGGAAAAAGCTTTCAGATCTGGCGCATCGACTGCATGACGGAGCAGCCACAGGCTCCTATCGCCGATTTCACAGTCCCCGGAGCAGAACTCGATCACTTCTACGACGGATTTCTGAACAACGGCAACATTGTCTTTTTGTCGGCGACTCCTGATGGACATTTCGACGAAAGCCGTGTTCATCTTCTGAATCTGAATAATCCTCCTTTTGTACGCTTTTATTCCCTGTTTTCATTGTCTGTTCATTTCTCACAAATTGCTTGCAGATCAGCACGAAACAGTGCAGCGGAGATCCGTCTCGCGGAATGCCGATCCCCAGAAAACAGTGCGGATTCGATTCGATTCCCAGTAGAATACTCATTGATTTTATTCAAGCTAAATTTCACTTTCAGATGTCATTCTGATGGCCGGCGGAGAAGTGGACCGTGGCGGTCGCGGGAACTTCGAGCGCCTTCTCGACTACTGGATGCTGGATACCCGCTCGTTCCAATGGACCCAGCTCCCCGCTCAAATGCCGTATCCTCTGATTGAGCCCCGTCTGACGGCTTGCAGTTCTGGAAATGTCTACGTTTGGGGCGATTACGACGAGCCGCTGCCCGGGATGCCGCCGCAAGGAACGCATTTGCGCATTATTCGCGTTTCCGGGATAGAGAAGGGCGGCAGTTCCTCGAATTTTGCTTCAGTTACTCCTACACAACCTCCGTATCCGTCGATTCCCTTTGGTGAGTTTTGGGAAGAAAAAGCGCTTTTTGGGTTGTTTTTCAGCCGAGTTGAAGAATCTTTGAATAGCAAACTCAATCTTTGCTCGACTATCAGTCCCCAAAGTTAGGGTCAAATAGAATAGATGAAGTCCTCGAAAAGATGAAAAACAGTAAATTTCAGATGGGCAGCCGTCGTACCCCAATTTCCAGTCATCGACTCGAAATCAGCCGTATGAGAAAAAGTCTTCCGATTCTTCCGATGACGAAGATGACGATGAGAAAACGAAGAAGAAGAAAAAGAAGAGCTGTTGTATTCAGTGAAGATACATAACTCTAATTTTATCAAGCTGTAAAAAAACATGTTCTTCGTGGCTTTTGTGCAAAAACACCTTCATTTTTCTTTGTTGTCTGGTAGATTTCTCACCACACAGGTGAAATGCGGTTTAGCAATTATACAATTGCGCTAATTCTGAGTAAATTCTCGGCAAATCTAAACAAAAATTCCCAAATATTTGTTCGGGATTTGTCTAGAATTGGCGCAATTGTATAATTGCTAAACCGCTTTTCACCTGTGGCAGAACCATCTCGACTTTCATTTTCCTTCTATTTTTTTTTCGAAAAAAACTATTTGCAGCAAAAACTAATGGGTGGTCTTCAGCTGAAGCTTCAGATCTTCTGACAACGACGCTTCGTGAATTGTCGTCATTGTGGCCGAGGTACCGTGGCCGAGCCCAATTAGTCATCTGAACGCGCTGCGGCTCGCTTGCGTTTTCGGAGTTGATTGATTATTCGGTCCCATCGTTTTTTGCGGACCATTCCAGTGTTCATGCCATTCATTTACTGCGTAACAAACCTTCAACCTTCAAATTTTTCCAAGTTTTTTTATTTTTTCCTTTCTTTTTTTATACTACGTTTTCCTTTGGAAAACAATTGATTGTTTTCCAGAAAGCGACCATGGCGAACGAGGATACGATCCTCTTCAAATCGTCCGACAACGTCGAGCTCCGATTGTCCCGCGAGGCGGTGAAACACTCGACGAATCTGCGGATGATGTTCGAAGACGTCGGAGCGACGACGAGTCCGTTGCCGGTCACGGTTGCCGACGGAAAGACCCTCCTCAAGATTTTCCAGTGGATGGAGCACTACAAAAACGAGCCCTTCCTGGTGAGGGCGATTTCTTCGAAAATTCGCTGAAAAGTGCGAGAATTCCTACTTTTAAGTCGAAAACCTACCAAACCCTTCTTATAGCTATTGACTGTAAACCGCTTCTTGCAGGAAAAAGACGACCAAGACGATCAGTTCGAAATTCCGGCGTGGGACAAATGCTTCTTCGCGAATATCACCCGACAGGAGCTGTTCGACCTCACGACCGCATCGCACGACCTCGGGATGCACCAGTTGATGGTCGTTCTCTGCAAAATGGTGGCGGATTCGATCATCTAGATGAGAGAGCTCTTCGGCACCCTGGCGAACAGTGGAGCGTAATCGGAGGAAGACGGATAAATTTTTTATTGCAAACATGACTTTTATCTCAATTTTTCTAATAAATGTAACATTTTGTCCCTTTTTGAAATGTGCGAGCTCGGTTTCATCATCCGATAATTATCGCGGCCGTGGCCGTAGCCTAGAAGTTCCCAGAAATTGGGAGGCCGCGTCAAAACGGCGGAAACGCGTTTTCTGCGTGTGCTTTTAATTTTCAAGGGAAAATTGCCTATTTGCACTCACCATTTTGTCATGAAAAAAATCGAGTCTACAGCCGAAAATCGATAAAATTGCAGGATGTCCTCGGGGACGTCGTCCTCCACGCCCAGTTTCTCGGGATTCCGACTGCAGGCGACCGACGGGACCGTCGTTCCGATCAGTTTGACGGCGATGAGACAGTCCACTCTGCTCGCGTCGGTCGTCGACAACTGCGACGGCTCCGACGCCTTCAACGAGCCGATTCAGTGCCCGAACGTGACGCAGGGGGACATCCTCCGACTCGTGGTCACCTGGTGCGAACGCCATCAAAACGACGGCCCGATGAGCGACGCCGAACAGAGATTGGCGGTGAGTTCAGCAAAAAATGTGAAAATTCCATGTTTTCTGTCCAAAAATTCAAAAATACACTGAAAATTCCTTGAAATTGCCGTTGTCTTGGAGTTTTCACCGTTTTCGCTTCGAAATTTTGTTCTAAAACGCTTTTAAGCACAAAAAGCTTCAGGTGAAAGAGCTTCCGACGTGGGACCGCCAATTCCTGGATCCACTGGACAACCGCCAGCTGTTCTCGCTGATCTGCGCCGCCAACTACCTGCACATCGCCCGTCTCCTCCACTACTCGTGCAAAATGGCCGCTCAGCAATCGGAAGGACTGACGCCGAACGGAATGCGCAAATTGTACTTTGGAATGGACGAGAACGGAACGCCCACTGGATAAATGTAGCAAAATGTAGGAATTATTGTCATGTCACATGCTTATCCACTTGTTAATTTTAATATCTGTTCAATTTTGACATCAAATGGAATATATTAGTTTTTTTAACAGTTTTTTTTCATTTTCACAATGACTGGGTCAATCCAGCGATTGCTTCTCTTTTCAGTGAATTGAAACCCTAAGAAAGAAGGAATTTATCGGTTTTTCGTTGTGAAAACTGAAAATTTACAGATACTATCAATGTGCTCTCGATTTTTAAAATGTCCTAAAGGTGAGCCGTCCGGTTCCTCTGAAAATGCGTACGTTTGCGTGACTTTGGTTGCCTGGGCAACCAAATCCTTATCGATCTTTCAGCATTTCTCACTTTTCCTTTTTTTTTGAGTTTTCCGCTATCACATTCTTTTCGAAAAACGCGCTTTTCGTCAAAAGTGCGAGAAATTTCGAATGATTCGATAACATTTCCAAATTTTCCTAAGATCTACTGTAATTTTTGAAATTTACTGTCCCAATCGCGGCGAGACCTTCTGACCTACCAAGCGCCGCGGAAATCTGGCACATCCAAACAGAAAGAGTGTTTTTCGTCGGCAATTGCGCATTTCCGTCCTTTCCCGTTGTTTTTCGTCACAAAACGCGCAAGTTCCCAGAATTTCTTTCGTTTTCCGTAGTCTTTCCGCCTCAAACAACGCGCAATTTTTCAGCAGAATGTTCAAGTCACTGAGCGCTCCGGCGGCTCCCCGATTCGCACGGCTCTCTTCGAAAGAGGGGCACATCAAGCACATCACACTGCCGGCGATGGCCCAATCGGCGATTCTGGGTCCGTTCGCCGAGTGCTCGGGGCGGATGAACGTGCCGTTGGAGATGAACGCGTCGACAAGAACACTCGACAACCTCGTCTCGTGGTGCTACAATCACAGGGACGACGGGCCGTTGACGGCCGACGAGGAGCGCGGAAGGATCGGAGAGATGCCCGAGTGGGATCGGAGGTTCCTCGAGTCGGTGGGCGGCGACGAACAACTCGAAGAGCTCATTTACATCGCCGACTATTTGGACGTCCGGAAACTTGTGTTCTACGGCCATAAATTCAGGGTGAAACCTTTCTAAAAATCCCCTGAAATTTAATACAATTTTGTTGCAGGCAGAGAAATTGGCGAAGAAACACGAAAAGACGTCGGCCGAGAAGCGAAAGTGCGTCGAAACGCAATCAGACAGCTGCAAGCGGTTCCGAGGGGACTAATGAATTGCTCCTCTTTAATTTAATAATTTTCTCACTTATTACTACTCGCTACCCAATGAATCTCACTTATTAATTTGTTTTCTTCTGTATTCTTTCAGACTACCCGGTTTTTCCGGCTTTTTCTCTTTTTTTCCTTGAAAAATTGCAAAATGATCTACACGAGCCGAGGCCGTGGCCGTCTCCAAGAGTTTTTTCGGTCATATCCAAAACGTTAAAAATTTCAGCAAGTTTCCGCTGTTTCGTTTCTTTTTGCTATATGAACTTATTAAAAATTTTCAGTCTCGAGAATGCGCCCCCGAAACAGATGTCGTCGTTGTTTCCGTCCGAACCGATTCATCGAGGCGTACCGCGCATATCTCGGAAAACAGCAGCCCATAGAGGTTTTGGAGCAAAAGCTGAACGCGTGTGACCGATCGATTGTGGAGAACGATCCGACGGAGCAGCCGGCGAACCTCGAGCATTCGGAAGACTTCAAAATGGCCGTCTGGGCCATCACCGACACCCAATGCCAATTTTTTCTCGAGCGCTCGAGCCACCGACTTTCCGGAGCTCTCAATGCTCTCCGCGACTTGCTAGAGGTATCACGGAGCGCAGAGGCCGAACACAATTTGAGTTTTTCCAGGCATTTCCAGAATATCGAGACTATCAAAATTACCAGCTCTGTTTCCAATTCCACACTGGTCAAATTTATCAACTGGTCCGCTGGCTCACGCTTCGATCGGCCGTTCCGCCGGTTCCGAAGGACCTGAAACTGAGCGACCGGCTCTTCCACCAGAGTCTGAAGAAGGGCGAGCACGTCATCTGGTGGGCGGACGCCGCCCGTGACTTCCACATCCCCGAACTGCTCGACTACTTGCGCGAGAAGGTGGTCAACCGATGGGAGTACAAGGGAAGAGGGTGGTCGCCGTACAAAGATACCGTCGAGAAGTTGAGCCGACGAAGCCTCGAGGACGGTTATGAAGATCAGAAGATGGTCTTGGGGACTGGACCGTTCTGGACGGACTATTCCATCTTCAAGTGGCACGATCGGATGAAAGTGCTCGGGCTGGATCTGTACGGAGACCCACTCGAGTGGAATCGTCAAATCCTGCTCCCTCCGCTCGTCCGTGCTCATTATGTGACACCTCCGCCGACGCCATCGACCGACTCTTCCACGTCTCCGCCGCCCCCGTACAAAGCGGAATAAATATTGTACAAATAACGTATTGTATCTGCTTAACGATGCTAATTTATTCATTAATTGCTCCAAGCTGTCCTAATAAACCTCACTCGCTCTTATTAGCCCTTTTCTTGTGCAGAAGCTGTGAAAATCCGAATGGTTTTAAATGATTTGTTACTTTTTTCATTGTTTCCTAACATTATCTTCTAATTGTAAATTTTCACGCTTATTTTAAAAGACATTTTTAAAACAGGAATTCGTTAAAATTGGTAACAGACTTGTAAGAAATCAGTTAAAAATATGTTTACCTAAAAAAATCAGAGTTTCATTGATTTTTTAGAACCACGGTTTATCCGACTGATAAATGGTTGTTCCAGATATGGATTCATTGTTCGACGATGACGTGCTCGACCCGCTTCCAGTCTTCTTCAAACTGCAGACAAAAGACGGAAAAGTGTTGGAGATGTCGCTTCCGGCACTTCGTCTCTCCACAACTTTGGGCGATCTGCTCGATTGTCGCGCCCACGACACTCCGATGGACGTGCCGATCCAGGTGCAGTGCGTCAAGTGGCCGATGCTCTCGCTGATCGCACAATGGTGCGAGCATCACAAAGACGAGGTACGGAGAGCCAGGCTTGCGAACGGGCCGACCGAAAACTCGCTTCAAAATCAAAGTTGTGAGTGGAACGACGTATCACATTGAAGATATCGATGAGTTCTCAATGTGTGACAACAAACGGGCCGGTTTTAGAGCCGGTATTGCGGAAAAAAAAATCATTCTAGGCCGGCCCGTTCTTAATACCGGCTCTAAAACCGGCTCGTATGTTGTCAAACATTAAGAACTCATCGGGATCTACCATTTGATACGTCGTTCTACTCACAATTTTGATTTTGAAGCAAGTCTGCAGGGAGCGTATTAATACACAAAATCCATTTTTTAGGTTACCTTCAAACTTACCTACGAAATGTCCGAGTGGGACCGCGATTTTCTGGACCTTGATGACGGGGAGCTGTTCGACTTGATAAACTGCTCGTACTATTTGGACATCCAGGGACTGATGCATATCGGGTGCATACAGGTGATGGACAATGTGAACGGCAAAACCACCCAACGCGCAATGTTCAAGTTGTGCCGCATGAGCGAGGAGGAGGCGAAGGAGCGCAGAACGTACTCGCTGGTCGACGCGAAGGCCGTGATCGAGCTGATCAAGGCGAACGAGCTCAAGTACGCCGATATGACGGGGGCCGTGTAGTCGAAGAAGGTGCTGATCAAATTGCAATTTGATTGACAATTGTTAACATTTGTTGTTTTCTTCGTTTCCTTTGAAGTTCTTGTCATTTTCTTTAAAATTTCCGCTCGAAATCGCCAAAAGCGACAATTTGCTACAATTCCCGTCACTTGCAGAAGCAGCGGCACAAAATACTTGATAATTTGGTTTTCGCTGGCCACTGATCGTCAGAAGCGCGGACGCAGGTGTCTCTCGTTCGCCTCACCACCGAAAGTTTGGCCATTCGCTCGCAGACACACCACTTGCCCCCTTATTTGTCACTTTTCGCCGCTTTTTCTTTCAGTTTTGTTTGGTTCTTGACGTGAGCAGGGTGTTGTCAATTATTCGAGCCAACATTGAAAGTTGGCACGACGCGTGTGATTCGATCTGAAGGTGTACTGGAGCTGGTGCCGTGAAAATTGAAAAGCAGAGTTTTGGGTCCAGTTTCAATAAATCTCCAGGTCAGTTAATCGAATCGTGCTGAAGATTTTTGCCGAAGACGCTGTGTGCCACGACAATGTCGAAATTTCCATATTGTCGCGGCATTTAAAAGTGAATGCGCTCTGTGCTTGGTTTTTCAGCCGCGGAGCGAATTTCAATTGTCTTTCGATTAAATTCTGGAAGAACTTTCTGTTTTTGATTGACGCTTTGAGCAGAGTGCATTTTCTTTGAAAATGTCTTAATTTTCCGTATTCTCCTTACAGCTAAAGTGGTAATCGATGGTTGTGATAACCAGGAAAATAGAGAGCACTCTTTGCAATTCGTGCTCTTGAATAGAACTCGTAACGAACAAGTTTGAGACGGAAGCGCTTTTCGAGCTTTTTTTTTCTTGTTTTACACAAACTCAGGTAGAAATTCGTTTTCGTGAGATCACAATTTCACAGAACTGCCCCTGCCCACGTGTTGTCGGTTCTGGCAATACTCGTTGCTGCCGGCCGCCAATTATGTTCTCGTGTGAGTGTGTGTGTGTGTGTGTGTGAGTAAAACCGAGAAAGAGACACGGGAGAGACCGAAATGGAATTAATACATATCAGCCGGGGACACTGGCAGCCTTCCTTCTCCTCGATTCGATTAGAAGCGTGCTCGCGCGCGACGACAAAGCAAAACAACGGGCTTGGCGCGAGTCGGCGAGCCGGGCAGAGCGAGAGGTAACCGTGACAACCCACGGAGCTCCGCGGCGCCACCTCTCCTCAGATTCCGGCGGATACAAAGTGATTCTCATTTCTGAATCGTCTTCTGACTGACTTTACACCAGAATCTACTTCCTCGCACGTTTTTTTCTGCATTCAACCCATGGATCTAATCTGCTTTTTTTACTTGTTTTATGCATGTCTCCCGGATAATCTACTTATCGAAAACGTATTTTTTATAACTAGTGTTGTCGCTAAATGATGTCAGTTTCGGCGAAAGTTAGAACAGAGATCACTGCGTAACCCTTCGGATACAAACAGACTAAATAATGATTTCTCTAGAGAATCGACTCAAGTATTAAAATGCATACGGTTTGAACATTTGGCGGAAAAAACGTTTGTGACAAAAGTTGCAAAATATATAGTGTCGAAACCAAATCATGGAGTTCAAATTTTGAACAATAATATAACATAAGGTGACACTATTTTGCAACTTTTGACAGCACGTTTCGATTCAGCATAGCCTACTCTATGATTTTGTACAGAATTCTCCAAGGTACCGACCTAGTGAGAAAAATTTACTGACATGCGCAGCCAGATCGGCCTTTTTTTCTGTGAAACAGCTCTTTTGTTAAAATATCTATCAAAAATGAACTACAGCGAAGTAAGAGTTTCCTCCGGTATGCACCAATCTTCTTCACAAAAACTAAGAGTCCTAGACAGTAATCAGAGTTGTCAAGAGCCAAAAATAGTCGCTTTTACCAATGCGATAGCAAGAAATGCGATTTGTCGTGACGATGATATGACGCGAGAAAGGAGAATGGGCCACAATTGGCCGGGATTAGCCACACACACACTTCAATAGAATACACGTGTCTTCTTCGAAAGTCGGGGGGTTTTTTCTCTATTTATCTAATTGAAGGATCAGCGCCCTTTTAAGCTCTTCTCTCGTCCAAATTTTTGGCCGCAACGTCATCCAGTTGATGTATTTAATCACACACACACACAAAAAAAAAGAATTATATTAGGGTAGACAGGTGGAAAAGAAAGAAAAGGCTTGTTTTTAGGACATTCATTAAATGGACAAATATGTTCATTTACATTTGGAATCCTCACTTGTTTTTCAGCCGAATTCGTCTATAATTGTATGGCTGTTATTGTTATTCGAGAAAGAAACGATGGTCTCGCCAATTAGTGTTCTCTCAAATCTTCTTCACTATAATCAGCAGCTTCTCTCTCTCTCTCTCTCTCTCTCTCTCTCTCTCTCTCTCTCTCTCTCTCTCTCTCTCTCTTTCTCTCTCTCTCTCTCTCTATCTCAGCTCTCAGCGCATAATCACAAGCCGTCGTTGTTTCAGACCAAGAAAAGAGAGACGTGCGGGCGTCCCGTCTTGTGCTCGCCTGGTGATGTTCAGATGGACATGTCCCATGTCCTCGTCATCGCTCCGCTCGTCGTCTTTGCTCTTTTCTTCCTCACCGTCCTCCTCCTACGCTCCTTTTTCATTATGAGGTGAGTGATTCGACATTTGTACATGGTTAGTTTAGCAGAAATGAAGTGGGAAGACAGATTGCTGAAATCAGAACCAAATAGTAGTGTAAATAGGTATGACGATGGCTGATATTTGTGAAAACACCAAAACACGAGACGTTCTTCTAAAATTTGTGTTTTAGTTATACTAAACATTTTAAAATACCGTATTAAAAGGGTACCCTGAAATTTCATGCAACACCGAAGGAATTCGGGACCACCCCCGTCCCGAACTTTTTGGATAAGACGATTCTTTTCTTGGAATGAGTGGAATTGCTTGAAAACTAACGCTTGCTTGGGAACGGCTTCTTATAGAGAACTGTGAAAATCTCTTGTATTTCAGCAAAGAAGAACAACGCCGAGATCGATTACGGAGGGGCTGTCCGGCTGGAGGCAACAGCAGGGAGACGGCCCTTGAGATCTCGTGCCACAATCACTGCAATGCTCACTCGCAGAACACTTCGAATCCGAGCCCGCCGAGCTACTACGCCGAAGTGATGGCCACGAGCTCGTCGGCGCTCTATCCCGTCTACGTGCCTCCGTACGCCGCTCCACTCATGTCTCTCCGTGATCCACGACAGTTTAATGTAAGTCTCTGAACTACAAATAACAGCATTTGAGATCATCCACTTCAGGGACTTCCCGGATTGGCGGCCCCGCCCCCTTATCCTCCGCCGCCTAGCTACAATCAAATTAGCAGTTTTCCCGAACTGCCAAGTGGTAAGAGACTTTAGGCGTCTCGAAAATTCGAAATTAACCCCGATTTCAGCGCCCCATGCAATTGTCGATGTTGCTCAACAGCCGAGAATAACGAAAAAGCGGTTGGAAGTGATGACGCCGGTGGAGGGCTGAAAAGCGAGCATATCAGATTGTGTACATACTTTGTAATATCCTATTTCTCTTTCTCACTCTCTCTCTCTCTCATCTCTCGTTCCCCGATGCCAATAATGATAATGTTGCAAGTGCGCTCCGATGCCAAACTCCAAGAAACTCCACTTCAACGTTCCACCAAAACGGGATTCTGTCTTCTGTCGCTGTGTCCAACTTTTTCCGCCCCAACTTTTACTTTCTCTCAATCGACAATAGCAAAATCTTTATCTTTATCACATAAAAATATCCACTCTTTCACTCGGCCTTCACGATATAATCGACTTTGAGCGTATGGAACCAGGCGTGCTGATTTCCGAACCAAATGCGATACGTGGCTGCAGAAGTGAGATTGGGAAGAGGAAAAGGTAAGAAATGGAGTACCTGTGGACGGGCACACGAGTTTGTCGATGCACGGAACCATCGTCGGACCCGGAATCTTCTGCAAGTACACACGGCTAGTTTGGAGAGCGATTGTTCGGTTGCGAAATGTACAGTTGCGAAAGAGAGGGCTGAAATACTTACACTGAAAAGTGGGTAGACTCTCGTGTAATTGGAGATGTCGTCCGAGTTGTTGGGCACCAGTGGCAACTCGTAAATGGCGAATGCGAAGTGGCCGTTCGTGTGAATCTCCCACGAGAGCGTTTGGCCCTGCAAAAAGAGACATTTTGCAACTGTTTCGCAACTGAGCACAGAAATGAATGATGGATCAGCAGGGACTGTGACAAACTGTGTTACGGTGAGCACACAACATCTTTTGAACAATTTTTATTCTCACTGATAAATTGCACGTCACGTCGCCCTAGACCTTAAGAAACTAGGCCATAACTCAAGAAAGACGGGTTTTGGAATCAAATGCTCAACTAAAAAGTTGTTGGGCTCAACAATTACAACAACTCTTCAGTTGATCATTTTTTGAAATAATTGCTGGATCTCGAGATATAAGTGCCCAAAGATAATGTCTGGCGGACCACCAGGCAAAAAAAAGACCCACCGTCTTGACCTCGATCTCTACAAATCCGCTCTTTCCGGCCGAGACCGTCAGGTGATCCGCGTTCTCGGGCGCCTTTCCCTTGTAATAATTATCCTCCGGGAACGGCACGCACTTTTCGATGGGCGCCGTGAACGGTCCGTCGTCGTCGGGATCGTTCCAGTAGGCGGGAAGACAAGCCCCGTCGGCCATCTTCAGCACCTCCACGCGCCAATTCGACCCCATAATATTGCATTTGTTGCGAGTCCGCTCGGGCAACAGCGGCTTCGCAATGCTCCAAATGGCCGAGATGAAGCCGGGCACGTTGACGAGCACGAAGCTGTGCACGAGTTCCACGTAGTGCTCGGCCATGAACGCCGAGATGGCCGAGAGGCCGCCCGTCAGCAGGGTCATCGTGCGCTTGTCCATCTTGATGCCCGTCAGATCCATAATATAGACGACCGAGCACTGTTGATTCGTCTTCTGCTCCAGCTCCATCACCGCCTTCAGCATGCTCTCCAGGTCGTGCACTCGGGCCCTCAGGATCTCGTTCGTCGGGTACGAGTTCAGCATTCCCCAGTAGTCGTTGGACCCCGTCTGCTCAATGTTCACGATCGTGTTCGGGATCAGTCCCGACTCTCCAGTCAGACCAGTCTAAAGAGCTTTTCCTTTTTCATCAAACGCCCAGGGACCAACCTTCCAATGATGATGCACCGGATGATCTCTGGGTCTCTCCGCCAACTCATCGAGATTCCAATCGGATTTTCGGAACAGCAAGTGATTTATGAGTTTCGGTTTGATAATATCCAACTTGTAATCGTGTCCTTTCAGCCAGCGCAGCAAATTGAAATCCGTGTCATAGTAGGGGGTCAGCTGAACAAATTTGAGTTGAAATTCATTCGAAAAAAACGGAAACTTCGGACTCACATGGTCCTTGACCGCTGCTCTGAGCTCTTCGATCGCAGCCCGGTCCGACTCGGAAATTGACATTTTGCAGAGAAGAAAACAATCAATTCGGAACCGGAATCGTCTTCTTCTTCGTCTTCGTCGTCACTGTGTTTTGGATGACCAACAGGAAGAGCGGTGGAGAGGAAGAGAGAGAGAGAGAGAGAGAGAGAGAGAGAGAGAGAGAGAGAGAAGGATGCGCGGGATATGATTTAGGTCAGTTGGTACGGAATGATGACACAGGGAAAGGGGTGGAAAGTGTTCACGGACGGATTCGGAAACGATGCTAACTGGTTGGCGGAACTGTCAGCTGATGAAGGCCTCATTTAGCAGTGAAAAAACAGTACATCTCAAGTTACCCTCTCGGCTGTTTTTTGAAGCAAAGTTTAATCACACCTTTTACGCAGTGTGCCTTGATAATTTGGGACTCCGACGTTTCGATACCCAAATGAACTTTTACAGTGCAAATTGCAGATCACGTTTGTATCGAAACGCCGCCGTTTCGAAATCCTAAACTTTCCCAAACGACGTTTCTTCGTTCAAACTCCAGAGAAGTGCAAGCAATGATTTCGTTATCTTTGAAAGTTAAAATCCATAAAAAATCGTATTAAATACTTTTTTTGTGCCTCAAAGAATGCCTCGATATTTTCTATTCCTCTTCTATTCACTACTTCCGACACTCCTAGCCGTTGATCTGATATGTCACTAACTGATGGTGTTTCGGCTATCAGGCTAAATAAGGGCCTGAGTGACAGAATAAGGGCCTCAATGGCTAAATGAGGGCCCGAATGACAGAATAAGGGCCGCAACTGCCAAGATAATACCTGCATATTTAGAAAACGACAGAAGAACAATATTAGAAATTTAGATGAAAAAGGCAAAAGCTTACAACATCCAGGATTCCCAGGCCGTCTCCGATCCAAGTACTAACTGGACTCAACGTTGCTTAACTTGCCAGATCGGACGGGATGGCGTGTATTCAACGTGATATGGTCGTAAGCGAAATCATCGCTGTGCCGCCGCCACCATATTCTCGCAGCCACTGCCTCTTTTTCCGCCTCGTCTCCTTCGAAAAATCGCTTGGCGGCGGCCGCACTAAATGTTGTGTGCTGTGGTGAGGCCTCGCTCTCGCCGTCCCTCGGACATGTCGGCTGCGCGCATTGTTGAAGAGCGGCGACGCAGCGTTAGCGTCGGTTTAATTACCCAAGTTTGAGGTACGCCCGACTTGACATGACCTAAAGAAATTTAGCGTCAGCTTTCTAATTTTGGAAAGTCTCCTTTAGGGGAGACAAAAGAAATGACACTTAATGAAATGGGATGCGTGTTAATGCAGTTATGCTCAGCGCAAGAAATTATGACAATTCAGTAGTGTGCCGATTATCATCATTTAGTCGTATCTGAGTCAATCAGGGCTGGGATTTTACGTTTACGGTCTTTTTTTACTCTTTTTGTGATAAAAGTGATTTAATCAAAGTGATCGAATCTATTACTTTTTCACTATTTGTCTAAAATAAGAAATGCCTGATTTGATCAGTAAGAACAAGATTAGGCATCAAAAGACACCAAAACGTTCAAAAAACGATAGGGACTATAGAAAAGTTAGAATTCTATTGAATTGTATGCTAGTTTTCATTTCCTGACAAAAACAGTACGCTTTATGATTGAATCACTTTTATCACAAAAAGAGTAAAAAAAGACCGTAAACGTAAAATCCCAGCCCTGATTGACTCAGATACGACTAAATGATGATAATCGGCACACTACTGAATTGTCATAATTTCTTGCGCTGAGCATAACTGCATTAACAAGCATCCCATTTCATTAAGTGTCATTTCTTTTGTCTCCCCTAAAGGAGACTTTCCAAAATTAGAAAGCTGACGCTAAATTTCTTTAGGTCATGTCAAGTCGGGCGTACCTCAAACTTGGGTAATTAAACCGACGCTAACGCGTCGTCGCCGCTCTTCAACAATGCGCGCAGCCGACATGTCCGAGGGACGGCGAGAGCGAGGCCTCACCACAGCACACAACATTTAGTGCGGCCGCCGCCAAGCGATTTTTCGAAGGAGACGAGGCGGAAAAAGAGGCAGTGGCTGCGAGAATATGGTGGCGGCGGCACAGCGATAATTTCGCTTACGACCATATCACGTTGAATACACGCCATCCCGTCCGATCTGGCAAGTTAAGCAACGTTGAGTCCAGTTAGTACTTGGATCGGAGACGGCCTGGGAATCCTGGATGTTGTAAGCTTTTGCCTTTTTCATCTAAATTTCTAATATTGTTCTTCTGTCGTTTTCTAAATATGCAGGTATTATCTTGGCAGTTGCGGCCCTTATTCTGTCATTCGGGCCCTCATTTAGCCATTGAGGCCCTTATTCTGTCACTCAGGCCCTTATTTAGCCTGATAGCCGAAACACCAGAAAGATGCCGGTTTTTCACAGTTCTTCTGGAAAATCACGATAAAAAATTACCACTTCTGGCACAAATCCGTTGCAGAAATGCAAATTGTCCGTCGGAGAACAAATTCCGAAAAGATTTCATTAATCGTGCAAGTCGAGTGGGTACGAACGCCGAGCAGCTTCCACATTTCGTCTAAAATTCCGACCTTTTCGACGTCGCCAACGCGGCAAAAAGCGCCGGGAGCGGGAAAAGAAGGACGAGATTTCGCCGTCTGCGTCTCTCTCCCTCTCTCTCGCCGGACAAAAAGGAGCATCGTCCTGAATGGGCGCGGCACGGAAGAAGAAGAAAAGAAAAACGGCAGCAGGGAAATAGGAAAGTCCTCTATCGTTTTCTGCTCCTGACCTCCACGAACGGACTCGGAATGTCGACGTTCAGCCGTTGACGCCCACTCACAGACACATTCCGTTTCTGAGTGACGAGTGAGTTATGATATATGTTGAACATTTTACAAACAATTGAGTTTCAGCGGAAACGGCAATGTTTCGCAGAGAATGCCGCAGCAAATCCTCTCAAATGTGTTCACAATTCGTTTCCGGACCGTTTCCCGGTTCGTCCGATGGTTATCCGGGGAGAAGTGGCTGGATTCTCTCTCCTTCCGTCCGGAATCCGAATTCATCATCTGCCTATGCTACCAACATCAGTTAGTGACCAAATTTCTAAGCCGACAATATTTTCTTCAAAATTCCAGCTTCCTCATCCCCTCTGACATTCATTTTCGACGTGCAATCCGTGAAAATCACAAATCCAGCTACAGTAATCCGGTATCTGTGGAATTTTAGAAAAGTGCAAACGATGTTGGGACACGGGCGGCCAACTGAACTTGCATGTCCACCACGTTCACTGGAACCGCATCGGCGTCCGCGGCGTTCAGCCTCGCTTTCCAGATTGAGGTATTATAGGTTCAGTCTTTTGACGCACTTGCAATATACAAACTATGCAGATGTCTAGGAATTGGGTCCAAGTTTCAGAGCGATCAGATTATCTGATCTTTTTCGGCTTTGGGTCCACATATCTCGGGACCAGATGATCCAATCGGTCTGAAACTTGGACCCAAAATGCTTCAAGGCAAGTTCAAAAAGCTTGCAAAGTTTGGGGGGTTCGATTGAATTATTGATTATCGCAAAAGGGTCAAGCAATTCCAGAGTCCCACTACTACAACACCGCAAAGTTTGCAGACGACAACGAAAGAATCGAGGGAGACTTCCAGAATAGTTTCGAGGATTTTCACTGCAAATTGAATAATAATGACGAGTTCTTTTCATTTCGAAACATTTATTTACACACACACACACCCTCTCTGATAACTCGTTATCATCCCTTTTTACCCTCAAACATTGTCATCTCGGAGACCGTCTGGCTTGTATAAAAGCCGAGTGCAAACCAAATCATTGGCGGACAGAAATGACCTTCTATTCCAACCATCTTTTCCTTCTCACCACTTTCTGTATACTGATTGCAACCGAAGGCGCTGTGGACATAACTTGTCCCAATTCGCCGATCGACGCAAGCACCAAATCGACACAGTTTCCCGCCGACGGATTGGCCGCTTTCCCGGCCGGATACTCGTGTAATATCGATGTAAGATTCTTGAAAGTTTGCCAAAAAGCATAATGGGTTCAGTTCAACATTCCCGATGGATGCGTGCTGAAGTTTATCGTTCAAAGCAGTGCCAATGTCTATTCGGGCGACTCGTTCATTATTGTCGATTCGATTTCCACGCTTAATGTGTGAGTTTTGACGTGAACCAAGTTCCTGCTCCTGTTCCAAAGTATTGTGAAACGTGGCAAGTATTGTGACAGCTAATCGAAACAACACCTCAAAGATCTTAAAAGGCAATGTCTGAGAACCTCGAAATTCGCTAATTACACCAGGTCACTAAAAATTCAGAATGTTTCAATTTGTCCCATATTATACCCAATGGGTACTTACATAACAGTAATACATCAGACAAGTTTTGGTCTGGCTTCGTGGTCCCTAGTCCGATCACGGTCACAAAATAGGTCAAACCTGTAACTAATTTCAAAAAAATGCTAGCGTCTCAGACTCCACGCTATTGGATTCCTCGCATCTTTTTGAGTATATTTCACGTTGGGACCAAAAATTTAGCACCTCTCCTTCATGGAGAAAAATATTGTTTTGTGACATTTTTCAGAAAATTTTTCAGTTTTCTGCTCATCCTAAAAAATTTTAACACTGCATAGCCATGATTTTATTGCTGATTCTGAAGCTAGACGTTATTGTGCTTTGGCAAAAAAAAAGTTTACCCCGATCCCGATTGACATCAAGGGTTTTTTTGGCCGAAATTCACAAAATTTAGAGTACTTTTGCATGGAAAAATGTTCGCGAACTTGAGAAAAGTGCGTTTTCTCAATTTGCTAAAGGGTCTGATCGCGATTTTTGTTGTTTTCGTATACTTTTAGGCATTCTCGATTTTTTGGAAGCATTTCGAGAATTAAAAAAAATTAGACCAAGTTGTCGAAAATTAGACCTTGTTGTCGGGGTCATGACAACATTTTCGAGAAAAAATTAATTTTCGAAATGCTTCAAAAAAAATCAAGAATGCCTAAAAGTATACAAAAACAACAAATATCGCGATCAGACCCCTTTGAAAATTTAGAAAACGCACTTTTCTCAAGTTCGCGAACATTTTTCCATGCAAAAGTACTCTAAATTTTGTGAATTTCGGCCAAAAAACCCCTTGATGTCAATCGGGATCGGGGTGAACTTTTTTTTGCAGTAGCACAATAATGTCTAGATTCAGAATCAGCAATAAAATCATGGCTATGTAATGCTAAAATTTTTCAAGACGATCAGAAAACTGAAAAGTTTTCTGAAAAATGTCACAAACCAATTTTTTTCTCCATAAAGGAGGGGTGCAAAATTTTTGGTCCCAACGTGAAATATACTCAAAAAGATGCGAGGAATCCAATAGCGTGGAGTCTGAGACGCTAGCATTTTTTTGAAATTAGTTACAGGTTTGACCTATTTTGTGACCGTGATCGGACTAGGGACCACGAAGCCGGACCAAAACTTGTCTGATGTATTACTGTTATGTAAGTACTAGTGTGTCGTCTCGTCGAGACTCGTCTCGCAAAAATGCGAGAAATCTCGGTGTCTCGCCCTTGTGTCGTCTCGGTTTTTTCTCGTCTCGGTCTCGTCTCGTTCCATTATCATCTCGGTCTCGCCCTTTCTCGGTTCTGTCTCGGTCTCGTCCAGTCTCGTCTCGCCGTGTCTCGGTCGTCTCGCCGTCTCGCCCTTTCTCGTCTCGCCCTTTCTCGGTTCTGTCTCGGTCTCGTCCAGTCTCGTCTCGCCGTGTCTCGGTCGTCTCGCCGTCTCGCCCTTTCTCGTCTCGCCGTGTCTCGGTTCTGTCTCGGTCTCGCCCTTTCTCGTCTCGCCCTTTCTCGGTCGTCTCGCCGTCTCGCCCTGTCTCGTCTCGCCCTTTCTCGGTCGTCTCGCCGTCTCGCCCTTTCTCGTCTCGCCCTTTCTCGGTCGTCTCGCCGTCTCGCCGTCTCGCCCTTTCTCGGTCGTCTCGCCGTCTCGCCCTTTCTCGTCTCGCCCTTTCTCGGTCGTCTCGCCGTCTCGCCCTTTCTCGTCTCGCCGTGTCTCGGTTCTGTCTCGGTCTCGCCCTTTCTCGTCTCGCCCTTTCTCGGTCGTCTCGCCGTCTCGCCCTTTCTCGTCTCGCCCTTTCTCGGTCGTCTCGCCGTCTCGCCCTTTCTCGTCTCGCCCTTTCTCGGTCGTCTCGCCGTCTCGCCCTTTCTCGTCTCGCCCTTTCTCGGTCGTCTCGCCGTCTCGCCCTTTCTCGTCTCGCCCTTTCTCGGTCGTCTCGCCGTCTCGCCCTTTCTCGTCTCGCCCTTTCTCGGTCGTCTCGCCGTCTCGCCCTTTCTCGTCTCGCCCTTTCTCGGTCGTCTCGCCGTCTCGCCCTTTCTCGTCTCGCCCTTTCTCGGTCGTCTCGCCGTCTCGCCCTGTCTCGTCTCGCCGTGTCTCGGTCGTCTCGCCGTCTCGCCCTTTCTCGTCTCGCCCTTTCTCGGTCGTCTCGCTGTCTCGCCCTTTCTCGTCTCGCCCTTTCTCGGTCGTCTCGCTGTCTCGCCCTTTCTCGTCTCGCCCTTTCTCGCACCTCCAAAATGTCTCGTTCTTTTCTCGGTGTCTCGGTGTCTCGTCCGATTAGAAAGTTCATTTCATTTTTGAAAGAGTACTTCCATTTCTTCGCAGAAAATACACGTATCCAATGCATATTTTCTGATACATTTTCATTAAAAAAGTACACCGCGTACAGTGTCCACTGTCTGATTCAGCCACACAGGTGGGCTGAACGAACGAACCGGGTTTTGGAATAGAGGGAAAGAACAAAATCTTTTTCCAGCATTCCAATGCGCAAGCGAGTTGTCTTTTTTTCTTTTTTCAATTGAAAACCGGAATTCTTTCGTTTTTCTCTTAATAAACACTCAAATTTTGTTCTTTGCGAACCGTAGGGGCGATTGTCCAAGTTAAAAGCATCGATTTAAGCGCGAAACGGAGCAGATTCGTTCAGAATTGACCAAATTGAGGGATTTCGTCGAACGTTTCGAAATTGATGACGAAGCAGTTAACATTTTATAACGAACAAGAGGGAACATTGAAAGGGAATATTTCATAGGGCTTTCATAGGGAAGAACTGACCTTTTTGTACTTTTTTAATGAAAATGTATCAGAAAATATGCATTGGATACGTGTATTTTCTGCGAAGAAATGGAAGTACTCTTTCAAAAATGAAATGAACTTTCTAATCGGACGAGACACCGAGACACCGAGAAAAGAACGAGACATTTTGGAGGTGCGAGAAAGGGCGAGACAGCGAGACGACCGAGAAAGGGCGAGACGAGAAAGGGCGAGACGGCGAGACGACCGAGAAAGGGCGAGACGAGAAAGGGCGAGACGGCGAGACGACCGAGAAAGGGCGAGACGAGAAAGGGCGAGACGGCGAGACGACCGAGACACGGCGAGACGAGACAGGGCGAGACGGCGAGACGACCGAGAAAGGGCGAGACGAGAAAGGGCGAGACGGCGAGACGACCGAGAAAGGGCGAGACGAGAAAGGGCGAGACAGCGAGACGACCGAGAAAGGGCGAGACGAGAAAGGGCGAGACGGCGAGACGACCGAGAAAGGGCGAGACGAGAAAGGGCGAGACGGCGAGACGACCGAGAAAGGGCGAGACGAGAAAGGGCGAGACAGCGAGACGACCGAGAAAGGGCGAGACGAGAAAGGGCGAGACGGCGAGACGACCGAGAAAGGGCGAGACGAGAAAGGGCGAGACGGCGAGACGACCGAGAAAGGGCGAGACGAGAAAGGGCGAGACGGCGAGACGACCGAGAAAGGGCGAGACGAGAAAGGGCGAGACGGCGAGACGACCGAGAAAGGGCGAGACGAGAAAGGGCGAGACAGCGAGACGACCGAGAAAGGGCGAGACGAGAAAGGGCGAGACGGCGAGACGACCGAGAAAGGGCGAGACGAGAAAGGGCGAGACGGCGAGACGACCGAGAAAGGGCGAGACGAGAAAGGGCGAGACGGCGAGACGACCGAGAAAGGGCGAGACGAGAAAGGGCGAGACGGCGAGACGACCGAGAAAGGGCGAGACGAGAAAGGGCGAGACGGCGAGACGACCGAGAAAGGGCGAGACGAGAAAGGGCGAGACGGCGAGACGACCGAGAAAGGGCGAGACGAGAAAGGGCGAGACAGCGAGACGACCGAGAAAGGGCGAGACGAGAAAGGGCGAGACAGCGAGACGACCGAGAAAGGGCGAGACGAGAAAGGGCGAGACGGCGAGACGACCGAGAAAGGGCGAGACGAGAAAGGGCGAGACCGAGACAGAACCGAGACACGGCGAGACGAGAAAGGGCGAGACGGCGAGACGACCGAGAAAGGGCGAGACGGCGAGACGACCGAGAAAGGGCGAGACGAGAAAGGGCGAGACCGAGACAGAACCGAGACACGGCGAGACGAGAAAGGGCGAGACGGCGAGACGACCGAGACACGGCGAGACGAGACTGGACGAGACCGAGACAGAACCGAGAAAGGGCGAGACCGAGATGATAATGGAACGAGACGAGACCGAGACGAGAAAAAACCGAGACGACACAAGGGCGAGACACCGAGATTTTTCAAAAATTTCTCGCCGAGACGACACACTAGTAAGTACCCATTGGGTATAATATGGGACAAATTGAAACATTCTGAATTTTTAGTGACCTGCAGTTTTTGAACTTCTCAGACATTGCCTTTTAATGAGAAAACCGTGAAACTCGAAAAATTTGCCTACTTTTTGCACTTTTCGTCGCTCTCATGGATGCTGTTTAGAAACTGGACCGTAACTCAGGAATGAAGAGTTTTGGGATCAAATGATCAACTACAAAGTTGTTAAGCACAAAAAATACTGCAACTTTTCAGTTGACCACTTTTTGGAATAATCATTGAATCTCTAGATATGACTGTCCAAACACGCGTTGAAAAGTACCAGATCAGGCCCTAAATATGATTTTTGAGAAAAATGATGTACTGCAACCAGATGTAACTTTAGCGTTCCTAAACCAAAAGAGCGCCAATGCCGTTTTTTTTCCAGAATCGGAGAAGGACAATCTCTATTCATTTCGCCGGCGAACAAGTCGCAAGTCTTGATCTCGACCGTCACCAATTCGAGCAGTTTCTTCGTTTCCTGGCAGTACGTCGACGTCACCCAATTCACAAGAGTTCTCCAATCGACTGGATCCGTCATGAGCTTGGCATTGGCCTCAAACAGTTACTACACGTTCAAAAGTACGAACGATCAAGTGGTTTTGCATCCGGCGAACGTCAAACGAAACTTTGATTTGGTGCTGTCGCAAATTTACGTGTACGACGGAGAGGATCTGAAAACGGGCAAGTTCCTCGGCAACTTCATCACGGCCATGAGCGAGACGCCGTACCTGAGCTCATCGGGAAAGTCTCTGACTATTGTCAACTTCTACGGAACCGCCTCCAACTCGTACGTGCTCGCCAACGATTTGTCGACAGTGTCCGGCTACGCATCCTACGGATTCTACCTGCTGACGACTGCGAACGTGGACTGGTTCGAGCACCACGTGGATGCTTCCGCCGCGAAGACCCTGGCGTTCACCTATTTTTGTGTGGATTGCAATGAGAATTACGTCGCCAATTTGGGCTTTGTGAATCGACAAATCGACGGACAGACTGTGCAATTTCAGCCGTTGACGCCCACGCACAAGATGACAAAGATGCTGAGTTACGAGTGAGTTTTGTTTGTGAGTGTTAGAACCTTGTCCCTAATTCAATCATGGTGCATCCATTTCTTTCAGTGCTCAAGACCAAGTGTGGCTCAGCCTGCCCCAACAAGTCCCTTCGAACCTGTTCACAATGACAGTATCAAACGTGGAAGTGACCGTCGAACTAGCGTCCGGACCGCTTGCCACGTGGAATTTCCCGTACGCCGGAAGACGTGGATGGATGTTCTCGCCGAGCGTCTGGGATCCATCCGTTGCCGCCGCCTACACGACGAACATTAGTAGGCTTGTACGAAAACCGGATTCCTGAAGACTCATAGTTCAGGTTCCGCCGCCACGTACACCTTCAACTTCAACCTCCAATCCATTCGGATAACCGACGCCGGAAAGAAGATTCGGATTGAAGTGGGCGCTCCGAATGCGAATCCGGCGGCTGTGGAATTTGGGCAAAGTGCGGAAAATGTCGGGGCGCGGGCGGCCAACGGCACTTACATGGCCACCACTTTCGATGAGATTTCACCGGATTCCAACTTTGTTCTCTCGTTTCAGATTGATGTGAGTGAAAACGCTTCAATGCCGTACAATACTGCAATGTATCTCAGTTGCCCGTAGAGATATCAAAAAGTGGTCAACTGAGAAAATGTACAAAATATTCGAATGAGTAACTCGTTAGTTGACAACTTTTTGATATCTCCACCGACAGCTGAGATATACTCTTTTCAATATACGATACTGGGGTACGCTTCTATTACAGTATATTTTCAGAGTCCTGTACCGATTTCCACAACTTTGCCGACTACGACGACACCAAACAGTATCCAGACAACTACAAAAGCTTCATGCGGCATTTCTAGGCTACTTTTGCCAATTTTCGTTATTCTCATTTGTTTCATGAACTAACTTTTGTATAATATAACACTGAAAATCCACTCCTCCCTCCTAATCAAACAACTTTCGCTTTTCCTTGTCAGCAGACACTTTTCGATGCGTCTTCGGATGCTTTTTTGAATAATGTGCTGGCTTCTGAGAAACATTTGAAGTGCAGTTTGGAACTGATCTTGAAGTGAGTCACTGCGATTTTGGATAAGCAAACGTGTGAAATGACGTTTCAAAAATGTTCATTGCGAGTGTTTCTTCTTGATAAACTGCTGATAGGCGGCCTGATCCTCGTCACTCAGGCTCTCAATGTAATCGTTGAACTCCGTGTGCAACTGCTCAATCGCTTTTTTCGCCGCTTCCGGGTCGCTTTTCTCGAGCTCAAATGGCTCCTGAAATGGGAATCAGCGTATCATTTATTCGAGGCGATGTATCTCAACTGTCGGTTGGGATAACAGAAAGTGGCCAACTAGTAAAATGTGTTCAAAATGTCATATTGAGCTTTTTATTAGTTGAAAACTTTTTGATATCTCTACCGGCAGCTGAGTTACATCCTTTTGAGTAGACGGTGGTTATGAACGGCCTTGTGAGTGGCCTATTTCTAAGCCGACGCCTTGTTAGTCATCGGTTCGAATCTCCCACTAATAAAGTACACAATTAGTGTAAAAGGGAGACACTGGGGAAATAATGAATGAACTAATGATTCAGAGGAAGGAAAAAGGGAAAGGTGATGGGAAATTTTCCGTTTGACTGAAAATTTGCAAACGTTTTGTACTTTTTAGATCGGTTGAATTACTAGCTAATAAATTTTGATATGAGAAACTCATTTTTGAAGCCAGAAATGAACACATTTTTGTGTATTTCGACACAGTCCCACGGAACACGTTGCACCCCAATACCGTTTATTCAACGCGATATATCTCGGCTTCTGGTAAAGATAGCAAAAAGTGGTCAACTAATAAAATGCTCCTTAGGAAATTGTGCACATTTTATTAGTCGACCACTTTTTGATATCTCTACGGGCAACTAAGATACATTGCTCAGAAAATAAGCTCACCTGAAACTTGGCGTCGAACTTTACAATTCCCACGGCGGCCGTCTCGGAAACGCCGGCATCCACCAGCTCCTCAATTGACTCTTCCGCTTAAATATTCACATTTTTTCTACATTTTCAGCACTCTGCCCCCAAAAAACGGTGCTCACCGGTCGGAATCTCGAACTGACAGGCGGCAAAACCGAAAACAAGGCTGAAAAAGAGGCAAGCACGCAAGTTCGGCATATTGCGGGCGGAAAATCACGTACAATATTGTGGCCGGCCGAAAAATGGACGAAAACGATGATAGAGATGCGGTTTTTGGGGGATTACCGAGCGGATTTGCGTGTCGAGCAAAGATTGTGAAGGGAAAAGTGCGGGAAGTACTCATTGGTGAGCTAGAAAGTGATGTGGGCGAAAGTCAGAAATCGGAAAACGGAAGGCGGAAGTCGGAATTCGGATTCAGAAATTGTGAAGTGTCCGAGTGTCCCCGAGTCCAATTTCTATTGTACATTTCCGTGTTCGTAGCCACACCCGCACTCAAAATGTTCTCACCAAATCATGTACTTTTGTGTTTTTTCGATTCTTCGAACATGGTTCATTCTCAATAATTAATGCATAACACATCTATGTATACAAACCCGTGGGCCAAAAAAGAGTTACCGGAATGTTGAAATGAGGGCATCAAATTTTCAGTGGTCAGGGACATCTATGGGTATAAACTAGCGGAATATGATATGAAGTGGTATTTCTGATGGCTCGGGGGGAGGACTAGCAAATGTCATCGCGGTGATAGACAATCGGGTCCAATGGCGGAGGTCCTTTCTCGAGTCCCGGGTACGGTGGCGGCGGTTCCGACGGCGGCGCGATAAAGTTCGGAGGATAGCACTCGTCGACGTATTGGAAGTTGTAGTAGCGGGAGAGGTCAGGCTCTGCAAACGGATAATATTCGGGTTTTGAGTCTCTTTTACAAGCCTGAGCCTAAGTCTAAGCTGAAGCTTAATCCTAAGTCTAATCTGGACAAGTGCGTTTCATACATTCATAAGTGTAATGTTTCTGAGGGAAGTTATAGCTTCAAAATTTCCAGTCCCCCGTAGACTTTTCCGTCCTCTGGTAAAGCTCTAACAAGATTAAAGGTCTCGAACTTTGCACTGACTCATTTTCGCAGACACCCAATAATCATCATCCAGACAATCAGTACCTGTGATGGCGAAAATATTATCAGTCCGACACGTGACCGCCTCTCCGTACGGCGGCGCTTCTTCGTCAACCGGCGCCGTTGGAATCGGTCCTGAAACGATGTTTTGTGTTGTTTTTACCTCAAACGACTAAATTGAATGTACCTCTCTGCGGGGGCGGGTACGGATAGCCAATGTTCATCGCACTTCGATGTCTTCGCTTCAAAATGTAGAAAATGTAGACGAGAAGGCTGAAGCTAATGATCGGCACGGCGATGTAGAGGAGCGCGTGTTCTAGGAGCATCTGAAAGTGGAAGAGAGTATGAGGATAAGTCGGAAATTGAGAATGAGATCAGCAAAGGTGACGAAAACAGAGGAAGAAGCCTGATAAGAAACGTTGTGATTCATTAGAGCACTTCTGGGAATGACATCATTTTGTGAGGCCCGGGGGGACCCTCCTCACTTCCTCATAACTGACACAGGAAAGAGAAAGAAGAAGCTCTTAGAGGACCGGCAAATTGAATTGGGGCACTCACTCACTCTAGAGATTTTTCCATGAGAGCTTGAGCTCTTATATAATCCGACCACACAACTACAATTGTTCCCTTTTGTGGTCTCCGCCCCCATTCGGTTTTGCCGCACAACGGAGGTGTGCGCGTACCTTCCACGCGCCGATTCCGCGGAGATCAATTTGCCGCGCGGAACCGTTACCCTGTTTTGAACTGAAGGTCTCTGGTCTTGTCGCCGCCAAGGTTGACGTGGAATGGAAGGGAGGACGGGGAGACGGACGGTAATCGAGTTTGGGACTTGGAAAGTGGAGGGGAAGTGACGGCGAAGAAGTGGGGGCAAAAGGAGGCGGAGGTCATCAAAGAACTCGCGGGGTTCTAGACTGGAAAGTGAGAAGGCAGCAGAATATATGGGGCGTTCATTAGTGGAATGGCAAGGGATCTATTCAAGGATCAAGAGATCGGCTCTGTTCTGGATGAGTGGTGTCAAAACGGATCTGTTCATCCCTTCATTGTACCTGAGAACAGAACCAGGAATCCCATGTTCTATGAATTGAAGTTATAGGGATCTAACGCACATCATTTTATGGAATACGGATAGCGGATCTCACCTCACTTCCTTTATAGACATTCTAGTTGTTTATATGCTTCACGCGCATAGTACAGTGTTTGTACTGCCAACTGAATCCTAATGAGTCAAACTTTACAGATAACTTACAGATTTCGACCAGGCTCATAGTCAGATGAAACGTGTGAAATAGTACCGTTTGAAGACCCAAGAAGCTCTAACCGGAACCGGAGAAGCGCGTAGAAAAAAAAGAAGTGGAATGTGAAAAAGTGACAATGAAAAGCAGGGATTCGTCACGGAAGCAGCAGGTGTTCTTCGACTTTGACTCAATGACGCACACGTCAATCAGCCGGTGAGTGCACGCTAACGAACGCATTCTTGTATTCGTTTCTCTCAGTCAGTCAGTCAGTCAGTCGGCTAATCAAGAGGAGGAGCGGAACAAAGGATTCTCGGTATTTCAGATAGAGACATTGAGCAGACATGTTTTCGTCTTTGTTCTTCTCTCAATTTTCCTTCCCTTTTCAGTATCTAGTTCCTTTTCTCAGCCAGCCCCCCCTGGGGTCTTGGGCACTGAATTGCGGGTTGATTGTAGGCGAGCTGCCTTGAAAATATTTGCACACACAAATCATGAAATATGAGTAATTTGATTTGGAACGCGGTTTTAGGCTGACAAGGTCTAGACGAACTTTGTATGTTCGATGGAAATATACTTTGGGCACGAACCTTTTTTTCAAGAATCAAATAGTCTCGGGCACAAGACACACACACACACACACACGTTATAATTAGCCCTCTTTTCTAGAATCGGGGTGGGAAAATGAATGAAAAAGTGCGCGGGAGTCAATTTCCAGTCGTTTTCCTTTCCCATGACTATTTCGGGAAATGGAGTTGATCTGATGAACCGAAGCGAAAGGATTAAAGGATTGAGCTCTAACGGATGCGGAGCCGAGCATACAGAAAGGACGTGCGGACTTTTGTGCGGACAAAGAGAGCCAAGAACATGGATGGAGCCGCCCGGAAAAGGAGCACAATTGCGTGCTCCCGAGCAGCCGAATGACTCAGTCGCTCTCCAACCAGACACCAATGTGTTATTGTCGAGTGAAAAAGGGAAATTAGCATCAGCAGTAGCATGTTGTGAGCGCATTATCAGGCTATTATCCCAGGTGAAATTTCATTTGGTCCACACAAATCACACAGAAAAACAAACTAAATGGGAGGGAAGCAGGAATGGTGACGTGGCCTCGTGGCCTAGAAAACGCCAGAACAAAGCTAGCGCGCTCTACTGCAATCGCTTTTCCATTTTTCTCAAATTCTAGGCCAACGACGTGAGAATTAGGTGTTTTCGACGATTTTTCCGGTACAAATCAGCAAAATGTTAATTTTTCTGAAAATTCTCGAAAAAACCGCGTTATTAACTCTGTTATTGGCGACGTTCACAAAAAGTCCCTGGAAATTTGAAAAAATTGCCAGTTCCCCGAACGGTTTGAGAAAATTGCGCACAAACTGACGAAAATTCGAAGTTGCCGAAATTTCCGCAATTCGAATGCTGCGCCTTTAATGTTACCGTACGAAAAACGGCGAAAATCCGTCACGCGGCGTTTTTTCAAGAAAATTGGGGCAAAAATCGCGCAAAATCAGATTAAATCAAGTTTTAATTTGTAGGCCTAATGCCCTCATTTTCTCAATTTTCTGCGAATTTTCAGGAATGTTGTAGGCTCCAAAGTTCCGGAAAACAATGACAAAAAGAGATGAAGAGCTCAAAGTAAATTGTGGGGTTGATGCAAGTTGTGCAGAAAAAGCAAAAATGTGCGCTTGGGAGAGTTTGCGTGTGTGTGTGTGTGTGTGGAAAATATTGAACTGGCGTGACTGAAGTCTGAGCCAAGAGTCCAAAAATTGTTCACCTGCCCCTCAGACTCGAGATTTTCAGCGCAAATGTGTGATTTCTGACGAGCGCGGAGAAGATTTCAGAAAATTTCTGTTATTTCCGAGAAAACTAAGAAATTTGCTTGAAAATGGCGGTTTGGAGACGAAAAATTGCGTATTTTGAGCGTTTGAACAGTCGGAATGATCAAACATTACTAAAATCCCAAATGTTTCGCATTTCTTCACTCAAAATACGGGAAATTTTGATAATTTCACCTATAAAGAAGCATGTCACTGAAATTGAAAAGTAATTCACCGATTCATTGCCAATTTTCACTGGTTACTACCGGATTTTCACTTGAAAACCGATAAAACCGGTACTGATCAGAAAGAGGCGCATAACTTGAGAATGGAGCATTTTGGTACAAAACTGTCTGTTAGAAAAATGTTCAGCGGGAAATTTTAAACAACTTTTTAGTTGACCGTTTTTGGAAATGATCATTGGTTCTTGAGATATGGGTCTTAGAAGTTGGAAGAACACAAAATGTGTGATTCTTACCTGCTCACAAAGGAGTTTGCGTGAAAATCAGTGAAGCTGGCTAAAAATAATTCAGACGGAAAAAGTTTGTCTCTCCAATGAACCATAGAACTCGGAAGTCTGTAGGTTTGCAAGAAGAAGTTTGCAAGAACGAACAAACAAAAATTCTTCTGCTGATAAAATGTGACAAATGGGGGGGGGGGGACTAATCAAAACGGCTTTTGCGCCGCGTGATCAAAAAACCGACAATGTAGACTATTATATAGTGGTTTGAGCTGATTGACCGGATACGGAGGGAGCAGAATCCAATCTCCCGCGCAGAGTCTGGCCGAGTTTGGCGAAAATTGAAAAAAAGTGTGAGAATTGTTTCCGGCCGCAAATTTCAGCTGTTTTCGTCGTCTGAAACCCTCCATCCACGCACATTCGCATAATCTGATCGTTTTGAGCGACATTTGAAGTGAAACGTTCGAAATGAGAGAAAAAATAAGGGAAATTTATGGTCGAAGCAAAAAAGTCCGACACACATGTACGCACAAAATGAGGAGAACAACGGATAATTGGGATTCGAAGCGTACAGACGAAAGATTCGAGCGTGAAAGAGATTGCAGCGGTTTCTGTGAAATGGTGATAGGAATAGATTGACACAAAATGACTTCTGCAGTGCTTGTCAGAACTGTGAACAACTCAAGAATAGCCAGAAGGCTCCTCGAACCTCGTGACCAATGTGTGAGCTTTAAGCGGCTTAGCTCACACACATTCCACACAAATTACAGCCTCTGTTGATCTTTGACAACTTGTGAATAATCAAGTTTGTAGTTATTTATTCGCTTCCTCGTCACCTTGTTTCAATTTGATACTGACCTGATTCGATCGGAATTACATTATTGGGCAAGTGCAGTTATGATTCATTGAACTCGTGTCCTAAGAAATTTCCAAGCATGTCTACTAAACAACTATAACGCGTATTCCTTTCATGACAGGAAATTGGAATAAATGTAGAACACAATCGGATATCGGAGCAAGCCTGGCAGATAAAAACAAATAATACTACTACTACGAGAGGTGTTTAGACGTCAGAGAACAGTTGGAGACGAAAACGAAGCCAAACATGTAATTAGAGGGGGGGAAGCCCTGAATTAAAGGCGCATACGTACCTCAGTTTCCTCCGCATCCTCGTCGATCCCAACTCGATCGTCTTTATCGAAGCGACGGAAGTAGATCGAGTTCCACACGCCCAACATCTGTAAACACACAAAAATATGTTACCGGAAGGAGCAAGTGTGCAAATGAAATCAGCGAATGATGTGCAAAAAGAGGAGTTGGTCAGCCCGCAAATTACGGTCTTTTGTGTGCTCGAGCATCGACCGATCACCAATTCTCTGCTAATTGTTCGCCAGGTGATGATGCATCAGTTTTCGCACCAAAACCATTGGTCTAGACCGGAAAATTGGGCTGTGACCACAAAGTTCATTCTAAGGCCAAGCAAGAGAACTTTAGCGGAATGGGCGGTTAGGGGAATGACCTTGTTGTTATTATCAATTATCAAATGTTTTGCGGTCCTGAAGTAGTTCTTAATTCACAATTCTGTTGTTCCACTACTCCTGAGGCTAGGAAAGTTCGTCAAAGTGAAGAAAAGTCAGTGCGAACCTGAGAAATACGATTGAAACTCCGTATCATCTGAGTCGCTACGCAGCCAAGTTGCTTTCGTGCCTTTGAGAGTTCTCGTATAAAAAAAGTTGTTCGGAATTCGAATTATATTTCAATTGGAGGCGTGCTGAAGACAGATGAACGTGTCAAGCTGGCAAACAACGAAGCAATGGGGCATCGAAGAAGCCAACAATAACAGAAAGCTTACAAGTTAATCCAGCCGACCTTTAAGCCAACGCTGCTTTTCTAACTCTCCTGTACAACAAAAAAAAGTACTAATGGAGCAGATATCTCAAAAAAAAGGGGAAATGTTTGTTGTCCGCAACGTCACCTCTGAATCCTTACGAGCCCTATTCTTGTTCGCACAACAAAATAATGACGGACTTCCTGCCGTTTCTGACGGGAAATAAGGACGGACGGAAGGCGTCAAACGTCTTCTTTCTCCCCGTTTTTTCCATTTTTCGTCCCGTTTCCCTAATGAAGTGTCAATCCATTTGTCTTTTCGAAGAGCAAAGATGACAAGTGACTGATTGGTGGTGCGAAGGGGGGAAGGAGACGAAGAACAATGATCGAACATAAATTTGACTCGATTTGTTCTCTCAAACATCGAAAATTCACGCGTTTCCGCCAATAGTGCAGTAGAGCGCACTTGCACACCACACAAACAGCGGCGCCATGGCGTAAAGCCGGTTTTTTTAGCGATAAGAAAAATGATTTTAACAATGAAAAAGCTGGTTTTTATCGCGACTAAACTGACTTGAATAGAACTTTTGTGCGATTAAAAACCGATTCTTCACCTCGACTGAATAGAGGCGTGAGAAAAAGCAAAAAGCAGAGATCGCCGACGTCTTTTCCGTTTTCACATCGTCTTAATCACATGAATATTTCACGGAATTAGGGGGACCATCCGGCGTTCTGCCGCTCATTTCCAATACTGCAAACCTACGCGCATCTTCATTGCCAATTTCGGTTTTTCGACTCTTCGGAACGCATGCAATTATCTTCTTTTGCGTGCGCGATATCTTAATGAAACGTATGCAATTTGGAAAATTGTTATTCGTCATTTTTCACACAGTGAATCATTTGAAAATGGTAAAAATAAATATTGTAGTGTTCGGAATCATTGTTCCTGCCAATCGAACTTCTCGCCGGTCCGTACTCCGTTATTCCGCATCGCCAATTGGACCATCTCCGAAATGAACGTGTAATCGACCGTATTCTGATATTTCAGTCCCATCAGATAGGCCTGAATTCGATGGAATTCGACCTGAAAATCAGAGATTTGGCAGTGTTTATCACGGCCTTGGTGACCAGCGCCCGCCACGCGCCTCATTGGCTCAGTGGCAGAGCGTCTGTCTAGTAAACAGAAGGTCGCTGGTTCGATTCCAGCATGAGGCACCGAAACTTTTTCGCTTTTTGCAGCTTACCCTCGGACAATATTTCATCATTATCAGTGAGCCGTCTGTAGTTCTACACGCCTCCTTCATCGCCGCCACTTCTTTGTTTTGATCGCGATGCATGTATGACCAGGGTAGATTTCCTAGAAAAAAAAAGTTTATTCAAGACAATGTATCTCAGTTTCCGGTAGAGATATCAAAAAGTGATCAACTAACAAAATACTAACTAAGATATTGTGTACATTTTCTCAGTTGACCTCATTTTGATATCTTCACTGTCAGCTGTGATAAACCCAGTATCCCATTAACTAACCCGAAATCAACTCGATCATCATGTAAAACCACGATTCCATGTCGTCTTTCGGCGACTGTTCCTCCCCGTAATGGGCCGCCAACGAGGCGTATCGATTGGTGCCTCTGAACTTGATTTCCGTGCGCGGCGTCTTCAATTCTCCGCTTTTGTCTTTGAAAGACCGACAGATTCCGAAGTCGACGAGGAAGAGTTTCAAGTCTTCGGGCCGCGTCTGAGTCTGACTGTGCGGGGAGGCCAGACAGAAGTTGGAGGCCTGAAAGATCGGATGAAACGAGGAAATTTGAATTCAGATATTTAGTCCCTACCTTGATATCTCTGTGAACGTATCCGAGTTGATGGAGAGTCTGAATGGGTTGAATGGCCAAAAGGGCCAGCCGGAGCCCCGTGGACAGGGAGAATCGGCCGTCTTCGAACAGAAATCGAAGGTTCATCAGGTTTTCTCCGAGCTGAAACTGACTGGACAATCCCCATCTGAGTAATGGAACTCACCAGTGGCATGATGATAAACTTGAAATGTTCCTCGATCTTTCCCCGATCGATCATCCGCACCAGATGCTCGGCGCCCCGCTTCGCCGCCTTATTCATCACACTGTAGTCCTGGTCCAGGCCGTGCGAGTGCGCCTCGCAGATTTCCAATTTGCACGCGAACGCCTTTCCGTCGGCCCTTCGCAGCACTTCGTAAACTGCTCCGTATCGGCCCTGAGCAATCTTCCGTCCGACCGCATAAACGCCCTCTTTGCCACGTATCAAACAGTTTTTCGTCGGCAGTTTGTCTTCGATTGAGCATCCGGACGCCTCGGAGTTTTCACAACTTTCCAGATCGAATGACATTGCTGGATTTGGGCCTGGAACAGAGATCGAATGAGATTCAGAGTGAGAAAAACAACGAATCGCGAAAGCTTCAATTATCATTTTCCCAATTTCTCACACAACAAACGTTCGCGTCTATTTTTGATTTTCAAGCCTATGATTACCTTCTCAATTCTCGAAATGCAAAATAATTACAGACACCAGTTGCCGCAAATAACGCACTCGGCAGTGTTCTCAAGTGTAAACTCCCGCGGACATTCAGAAATGGTGCAATCGCGCTCTACTGCACACTTTTGCAATCGATCTTTCAATGGTGTCAAAAATGCCATTTTCCACGCTTTCCGACACGTTTTTGGCGAAATTTAGCATAAATTTTTGCCTAGAATATTCCACAGTGGAGCAACAGAGCGCGTTCAGTGATTTCAGTGATAAAAAGAGAGAGAGAGCTCAAAAAAGAAGCAGTGAGATCAATGCACACAAACAAAAGAGAACTTGAAAGTCATGCCAGAGTCACAGGATCTCCGTCACTAACACTTTCTCTCTCTCTCTCTATGACCTTTGTGCCGGAGGAAATGGAGAGTTTTGAGCAAGATTCTCGTGAAAATAAAACAAGTCAGGTGTTGTTGTGCTCTCTTTTCGTGAAAGTGATAAAATGAAACGAGTTGGCACCCGGCCAACACTATGAAATCTGGGAAATAATCTGTGTCTCGAGAGAGAGAGAGATGATAATAACGAATCAGAGATCTTTCGCAAAAAATGAAGAAAATGCAATTGTGTCGGCCGGGGGGTTGTGCACAGAGAATGGATGCAAGCGGGCGGATATGTTGACAGAAAACTGACATGTTTCCCGTGCCGGGAGAGCCCAAACAGACAGAGAGCTCACAAGTACTATTTCAGATAACATTCTCAATTTTAGTAGATTCTTGCCTTGAATGGATATGATCAGGCAACCGGCTCACTGCAACAGTTTAGTTACTTTTTGAATGTCAAATTTCTCTTCGAAATTACATTAGATTTCTGTGAGCTTCCCGGACTTATTTAAAAACGACAAGTAGAGCTTTGAAATGAACACACGAGCGAGAAGTATGTTTTCTTTCAAAATGACCTGGTTGCGGAATGTTCGGCACAGCTTTCTCATAAATACATGCTAATTGCTTACGACTACGTTCCGGCTGTTTTTTGAGTTTTCACTCACAAGAAAACATGTGTCGGCCCCGAGAAAATGCAGATGTGCTCGTTCTGAGAATACCTAATTTATGGAACGTTCGAATGTTCTGGTGCTTCTCGAAAAGACGTATGAAAAAGAGGGAAAAGAGGGAATTGTGTTGTGTTTCGAGAGAAACAAACAAAAGTAAAAGTTGTGTGCTCCGGAGAGAACTCGAGTGGTTATGGCTTCACGGTCAAGAAGAAGAAGAAGAAGAGGAAGAAGAGCTCAAGAGGGAGCACAAAAAACACGCGAAATTGATGGACCATGTGCATTGATTGTGATTGAGAGTGGTTAGGCGGCACGCGGCAAAACAACAACTGTCCCCGTTTTTTTCGGTAAACGATTCCCCCTCAAGGTTTCCGATTTTCCTAGCTCAAAATCGATAAAATTCGTCATTTTTTCAAGAAAAATTTGAGAGAGAGAATTCCAGGTCAGGTACGGGGCAGAGTCGAATTTTTCACTATTTTCTGTTAATTTTTGGAAGAATAGCGCGAAAATCGAACCAAAATCGGTAAATATTCGAGCTTTGCGGCCTGAAATTGCAGAGGTCGAACGCATTTGCACCATTCTCGAAACCCGAACAAAAGAAAGAATTTATTGCAAAAAATGTTACAGACAAAAAGAGCGATTTCATAATTTATTTTTCCAGAAAAGGCACAAATGGGTGGAAGACTAGCAGTACCAGAAAAGAAAGCAAGTTGTTTTTGTGTTTATGTTTGGGCGATTGATAACAGTTTTATCCGGAAGCGTTCAGATTCTCTGGTTGGACATCAGATCGCTCTTCACCGACTTTTCGTCGAGGTCCGACAGCTCGGAAGCCTGAACCTGGAACAGCGACTCGAGGCCGAGCGACGCCTTCAGGGCACGCACCGACGAGGCGTACAGCATGCGTCTGCGCACCGGCGCGTTGTCCGGGCAGCTGCAAGTATAGACCCATTTGATTTGTGAAAAATCTTTGCGAGTTTTTGATGAGACTCCCGCGTCACAGAAATCTGGGTGGTATAAAGAATGAGAACTGCAAATTTAGAAATGATGAGCTCTCATTTGCAGCAGTTCCTATTATTTTTACCATCGCATTCTGACAATTTGCCTGTGTAAATCGATAATTACGGATTTATTTCTGAGTGTATTTTGCCTGTTTTTGGCTCAGTTGAGTGAAAATCTGGAAAGGATAGTGGAAACTGGGTCAAAATTTATTGTGACCAGGTCTAGTTCTTAAAGAATTTTTCTGTACTCGGTCCGAAAAAAAGACTCACTATTGGACGAAAATGACCTTGTTGAGCGTGCTGGACCCCTCGGCTCCCTGTCGTTGAATGGTCACTTCCACGTCGACCGCAGCGTATCTTCAAAATGTTTCCGTTTTTTTCTCTCAAAACCGTTGCAACTTTTTCGGTTCTAAATTGAACAAAACCAGACTTGCCAGATTTCGGGCCGGCCATGCGGGCCGGTAAAGTGCCGGCCCGGTTCAAAAGGCGGGAATTCAAATTTTCGCGGAAATTTTTTTTTTTCGTTATTACAAAAAAAATTTTCGAACTAAAGTTTTAGTGTTTCTTCTTTGTTTTTTTTGCTATTATGAATTTTTTATGAGAAATACATTTGTTTTTCAATGTTCGATGCTTGCAAAAAAACCCTAATTCTACAAAAAATGGCTTCATGCGATCAATAATTCAAATTTTTAATTCCCGCTTTTTGAACCGGGCCGGGCCGGGCCGGAGTTTTGGAAATTTCGGCCCGGCCCGGCCCGTGGCAACTATGAACAAAACTGGCTTTGTTTCATGAATTTTCACCGCCTGTCCGAGTTTTGTTAAATTTCAAGGAGAATTACAGATGCTCTTCAATTTTCGCACTTGCAAACTCGTTTTTTGTCGAAAATTGGAAAATCGATCTTTTTCACTCGAAATTTTGCATACTTACCTGCACTCCTTTCCATCCTCGACGACCTTCTTCATTTCGTCGACGAACTCAGCGTACGGCGCGTTCTTCTCTCCGACCTTTTCCACGACGATCGCAGTGTCGTTCTTGTCGATCTGAACGGGACAGCTCAGGCATCGGACCGATTAGGCCGAGAGGGGCTCACCTTGAAGATGATGTAGCTGTGCTGGTGCTTGTTGTGCAACAGATCGTAGGCGTTCTTGCAGGACGGATCGACCTTCACACCGGAAGCCTGCATCCCAACTGGTTATTCCCCACCAACATTTGAGGGCCCACATTTTCAGGAAAATGTTTCCACACATTATCAAGGACAGGAAAAAAGGTTAGCGAGATAGAAATATCACAACAATCAATTTCAACTCCGATTTTTATTGTGGTGGTGGTGGTAGTGATGATGATGTTGAAGTGAATCAATCGATCAATCAAATTCAATTCAACGAGCACAACACGGAAAGGAATGAAAAATTGGTTTAAGGTTCTGAATTGGGAGGGGACGGGGCGGTGTGGGATTGGAAAAGTGAAAAAAGAGAGAATAAATAGCAATAAAAGATTGATTGAAATTTCCGGGGGAGAACGAGAGGAGGGGCAGAAGAGTTACAATCAAGACAGACAGAAAATTAGAAGGGTTTTACCACGCATTTCAGGACAAAAAAAGACGATTCGAGAAAACTGAGTGACATCAGAATCTAGGCTGAAAATCTCAATTTTGGAATCTTCCGAACCAGGCTCGCAAAGATCATTCGAAATTCTGAGAATTCAGAATCTGCGGACACCAGAAGCTTTCAGCGAACGTCTTCTCAGCACGAAGGGTACCCGAAGGTTGTATTAATTAGTGGGCGCGCGCGTCCCCATAAAATAATCAATCGATCAATCAGGAAAAAATGGATAAAAAAGAGAGCATAAAAGATAAATTAGGTGGGGTTAAGATGTGATAGTGTGGGTTCGTCGAGAGGTCATCGTCATCACCACCAGACAAATCAGTGAAGATATTATACAAGTGAGAAAGAATTATGCTATTCATAGAGTAATAAAGTGAGTGAATGAGAGGAAAACCACAGGAATTCAATCAAGTACACTGCACACACACTTTGCATAGCACAATCGACGAGACAATGACCGACAGATGACACGACGTTCGAGCACGGAGATCCCTAATGATCTCCGTATTTCTCGGAGAGCTTGTTGAGCAGTTCCTTGTGGCTCATCTCCGACTCGTCGGACACCTGAAACAAATCAGATGATCTTAATAGGGAAACTAGAGGAAATGAGAGTTCATCGATGCTCTGAACACCAAAATCTACACCAAGCTCACCTGGAACTGAAGGATCTTGCCGGTTCCGAGCGAGGCCTTGATGGCAGAGGCCGAAGAGGCGTACACCATCTTCTTCTTGATGGAAGCACCGTCAGGGCAGCTGAAAAGATGCGTCATTTATATATGCCAGAAAGAAGAAAGCTCTTACATCTGGAGGAAGATGATCTTGTCCATCTTCGAGGTTCCGGCTCCGACACGCGAGCACGTGAACTTGAAGTCGAACACGGCGTAGCGACAGTCGGTCAGGTTGTCGGTACGGTTCTTGACGTCCTCCACGAACTTGTCGAAGGCGGCCTTCGACGAGTCATCGTAGTCGTCTCCGGAGATGTCGAGCTCCTCCTGCGAGACCGCGGCCTCGACGATCACATCTCTCTCCTGGAATCAAAATAAACATTCATTTGAAAAAAGGAAGACGTTACTAACCTGGATTTTGAAGATGATGTATCTGTACTCCTTGCGGCCCTCGCTGAGCTTTTGGAAGGTGGTCTGGACGTCCGGGTGGACCATGACTCCCGAGGTCGACTAAAAACAGGCACACATAGGGGTTAGGTTAGAGGAAACAAGAAAACCGTTACTTTCATCTCAGTGAAGAAAATTTCGCATTCACTTTTAGGCACACTTCAAATCCATTCCACAGAAACATTTTTCAAGTTTTTTTTCTCACATTGAGATCCCAGATAATAAAACGAGTAGTGGCTTACCATTTTGATAGTTTGAAGTTGTTGGAGTTTGACGAAGAAACAAACCAAGTGAGTCGCCTGCAATTTTTGAATATTTCGCAACGTCGTCGATCAATAAATACGGTCACAAGAGCAGAGAGCTCGGCGAGTGAACAAAAACATAACAGTGAGAGGCGAGAAAAAAGATAACGATGGAAAAGCACGAGGGGAGAAGGAGCGGCAGGAAGAGATAAGTGTGAGGTATATTGGCCGAGGAGACTGGGCCACACTGAGGGCGAATAGCCCAATGGGAGAAGGAAACAGAGATAGAGCGAGGAAGACCAAAGAGACGCCAGTCCGACAACGAGCGGGGTGACAGAAGCAGCAGAGCGGCGACGGCGGGGCAACGAAAAACGGGCCGGCCGTCCGTCCGTCCTCTACTAGCCACCCAACTACCAGCCACAGAGTGCTTGCCTTGCTGCTTGCCTGTGCGCGCGCCTCCGCCGACGGCCAATGTATGAAGAAGAAGAGGACCGAGGCAAAACGAGGGACGGCGGAAGAAGGAGAGACACGGCCACCAACCCGAATGGTCATCTCTCCAATGGATTGGGCGATCAGAAGAGCTGACAGAGATGCGAGACGAGCCCGAACCGAGCAAACATTCACCATGTGCAACACTCACACCATTGTCCATCGCATCTCTCTCTCTATCTTTAGCCTTTTCTTCCCCGAAAAAAGACTAACCCAGTCGTCACCTCCAACTATGGCTACTGACCGCAAAGAACAATGAAAACCTTCTGATTAAATTAAGAATGAGAAGCGAGAAGGCAAGTACGAAGGCAATACGATACTAAGCGGGCGAATAGCGAAAAAATGTATTGGAAATCGATGCGTCACCTCGAGTGGTACGTATCTGTATATCGATATTTTATATATACACTCAGCACCTCACTGGTATCATTCAACTGAGTGGGAAGAGGCAGAAAGCGAGAGGCGCGAGATTAGAAAACCACCCGTTTTGTGTTGTACACAACGTCGACGGTGAGTCATCATCGGCAAAGATGACGGCACAATTCGGAACTGTATCACATCGAAAAGCTCGAAATGATGACTAGCAGGGAGAAAGCGTATTTTAGCATCTTCAATTTTATTTATATGAGTGCGACATTGAGAGAAAAAATTGATGCATTTAAAAACACCATCGATTTCGGGTTTTGAGTGTTGTATTGGTGGAAAACTAAAAGGACGGGCGGAGGCACACACACACGAAACAATAGTTGATGAGAGTAATTAGCGAAGGGAACTCGGTGCTGCGACAGTCGAAGCGTATAATCTCTACTTAGCGTACGCGCAGACAACTACACTCTCTCAATCGGCAATCGTCCCTCGTACCTCACGGCGAAAGTTCAGATGTCTTTTTTGCTGTTTCTTTTTTCGTCGAAACGTACAGCTCAAACGGGAAAGCGAATCGATGATTCTGATGTTTTTCTTTCGTTTGCAAACAGAAAGTGCTACTCTTGCGGTGAAGCCTGGCGAACATCAAAACTGGCTACAGATTTGAAAAGCGGAATGAACGTAATTTCAAGGCAAAAGCATCACTACGATGCATAACTGATAACGAATCCACTACTAGAAAGTTTCTGAAGGCCACTTAACTAAAATAATCTAGAATCGTGGGAGTGCGGAAAGGGAAGCGGATAGGCGAACTGCCGGACGAACGATTGTGAAAATCGTTCAAGGACGATTGTGTGTGTATGTGTGTGCGGTGTGTCACTCACTCTCTCACACACATAGACACACAACTATTGATTCGAGGGCTCATCCGACGGATGGACGTACTGGAGGACGGTGGTTGAACGGATGAACTCAGAAGCATACGACGAATCGTCAATCGAATAGGCATTCGGGCAGCGAAAGCAGAAGTGCCAGATGTTGTAATGTGCGAGACGGGGATGAGGGGATCGTGGCCGCGTCTCCTCCGCCCGGCGCAGCAGCAAGCAGCAGCAGTGTCCTCTACACTCGGGCCGTCGCCGCCGACCCCACTTCTCAAGAGTGTCCATCCGGCTGTTGTCCGGCCCAGTCAATCAATAGGAAGAGGGAGAATTTGAATGTAAAAGTAGTCCAGAGGAGATGATTAGGGAGAACGAGAAGCAGACGCCTGTTCTTCAAAAAAAATCATCGGAATTTGAGAAAGAAACGATGACTAATCACATGGTCCCCCCCCTCCACCCTTCTATTAGAAAATTCGAGAAACAAAGCGGTGCGATGATTCATCTTTTTCAGAAGGCGATCCTAACGCGGAGCGGCAGACCAAAAAACGGCCCGAAAGAACGGGAATCGGGCGCGGGCCGCCCATCTGATTCATTCAAAATGACCCAGTGCGGAGAAGAAGCGGGGAGTGAGCGCGCGCGCCGCGCCTGTCCGCTTTCCGATCGATTGACACAATGGGCCGTCACTGCGGGCCGCTGCGCCCTTCTTCTTTGAATTTATCCTGGAAAGTGTGCAGGGGCGAAGGTTCCAGAACGATTTCGCAATAAGAAAAGGGACAGCTGGGGCTCCGGAAGTGGAGGAATCCGAAATGAGAAACGTCTTGGGATGATTGCGAAATTGGACAGAGGAAATGAATCATCTTGACGTTGACGACAGGCAATTAAGATGTTCGGCTATGTTTAGAGCGAGAAAGATGAGAAAAGTATCGAACAAATTATGAATATTCTGGTTTTCTATCGATAGGACGGTTTACAGTGTTATCGAACAACAATTAAGCCCGAAAACCGATGAGTACAGCCCGTGAGCTCTAGAAATCTGTCAAATAGCAATAAGGAATTAAGAAAAGAAGAAAACAATGAGAAAACGGTTTTGGTGACCAGTTTTCAGCGAAATTTCCCGCCAAAAAACCTGGAAAAACGTCGAGAACTGACAGAAAGACGGTGACAAATCGTCCATCGCGCCGCGATTGAATTTGAAATCCGCCGTTCGTGGCGAGACCCGTTGCGTCACGTTGGCGGTAATTCAAATTTGTGCAGCGGGGCGCACTTGCTCATCCCTATTCGGAATTATTAGAATTCGACGGAAACATTGAAAATTAAGCGATCAGCGGCGAGAACTGATCGCCAGGAGCCCAAACGAATAACAACAATGATTTCTTCGCTTTACACAAAATCTTTGAAATGCTCCTGGGCTCTCGGATGGCTGCTGCGGGGGAGCACTGAACACGTGAGCCGCGGGGGGCTCGGCGAAAGAGATAAATGTTGCGAAATCGAAATCGAATCCGAAAGTAAATCGCATAGAATCGGAACCAGTTCTAATTTACACTTTCCCTCCGCCGCCGCCGCCGCCGTCATAAATGTGTAAAAAGTAGTAACCCGCGGGCCGAAGAGTATGCAAATCGAACGGCAATGTGTGCTCTCCGAGCTTCTAGAGCTCACATTAAGACGAGAAAGATCGTGTCGACTACGGAGGATCCAGTGGCGGTGGGGCAGCTGTTTGTGTGCAGAAATCCTTTGTGTACAGTGGGGGCGACGAGTCGTGGGGGTGGAAAGAGTCGGGGGAATCTTCAGAGCGATGAGCAACAAGAAAACACGAACTTATTCGACAAAGATTCATTTCATTTCAATCTAGACGGCAAAACATTGAAGAAATTCGGTTTGACAGACCATGGGATTGCAAAACGATTGATTGTGAGAGTATTTTAATGATAAATAAATGCGTGGCAAATGTTGCGTTGGCGGCAAATCAGCAAAAGTCCTGAGTGAGGTCCAACGGTTCCTTTGCGGCCAAATCGATCATTTCTTGGCTGCAATAATGCGGGGGTGAAATTATTGAAACACATTTTTAGGCCGGATTGGAATTCCGATAACACGGAGTGTCAAGCGCGATTTTTTGTTCTGAAAAGTTATGAACTTCTTGACATGAGCACCGTTTGCTAGGCGACTGGTCTTCTCGCGATTTACTTGGCAAAGCATTTTTTGAAAAAAATGTTAGACACTTACAATCCGTAGGGCTCGCCAAAGAATTTGGCTGCCCATTCCTTGGTGGTCGTCTTCGGGTCGGCCGGCGGCAAAAGCGTTCCCGAATTTTCCATCTCGGTTTTGGCGTAGGCCATCGCCTTGGCGAGCATCTCGACTCGCGACGACTTGGGCCTTCCCATCGCTCCCAAAAGAGCCTTGTTCACTGCGTAGGCGGTCTGAAAATCGATAAAGTTAAAAAAAAAAATTAATTTCTCAGCAAAGCACCTTCTCTCGCTCGGCTTGATCGTAATAGCATTTGAACTCGTTGTGCTCATCCTCCTCCTGGTATACGAGCAGACAAAAGATCCGTTCGATAATCTCCATGCGCTCGTCGATCGGCCGTTTCCCGTCGATCATCAGTTTCTCGCGGAAGTACATCACCGGCTCCATCTCCTGTTTCGCGCGGATCATCTCGATGATGTGCTGCTTGCGCACCTCGAAATTGACGCCCTCGTCTTTCAAAAGATTCTCCGAGATGGCCTCGATCTTCTCGATCGCCAACTCCATATTTCCCTGCAGAATGATCTCGCGGATCTCGTTGCGGATGTTCATCTCTTTGATTTCATCCTCCGGCTTCACGAGTCCAGTCTCCTTGCAGAACGTTTCAATGACTTCCGCGTGTCCGTGATGGATGAAGTAGTCGAGAGCAATCTGGCACATTTCCTGACGATTCGGGTTCGGACGCATGAAGTCGGCGTCGAATTCTTCCTCTTTTTCGATTTCGTACTTTACGTAATTCATCGGCTCGACTCTCGTGTTGTCCGTGTTCTGCGAAATGCCCAAACGCGCGTGCTCCCGTGCTCTCGTGCTTTCCATGACCGTAGTTTCCTCCAAGAACGGCTCATGGTTGGCAGAGTCGGCGAGGATCTGCTGGAGAGTGCACAGTGCCATGCGTCTGAAATGGATAATCGATTACACGGACTAATTGAGGCAATTCCAACTCCCTTACGTTGTGGTCGGAAGAGCAAAGTTCGGTAGCTGGGTGACCCTTTTGTTCAGCGGATACCACTCGTCCGTCTCCGGCTCCAAATCGCCTTCGCTGATTGTGGAGCGTGACTCCCAGGTCATCGCATCCTCGTCGAACACTTCCACGGCGAACGGGTACGGATTGACCGGGTTGCGATTGTACCCGTGATTGGCGTCGTCCTGCACTGAATTCACCGTTCCCGCATCCGACGCGCCGTCGTCATTGTCGTCTTCGATGTTGGCGTCGTCCTCATCGGGACTGTCGTCCACCTGAATCACGTCGTCGTCGTGCTCCTCTTCCTCTTCCTCGTCGTCTTCGTCGTCGTTTCGGTTCGGATCGTCTTCGATAAGGAAGCGAAAGTGTCTTTGAGCCATTTTGCTGCAATTTTAGAAGTGGGAAAAGAGGGAAACTGTGGAGAAAGCTTTGCTATTCGGACATGCAAATCAATAAACGGACGGAGAAGAGAGGGGAGAGACGAGAGAAAAGCGAGTCACACGACAACACAACGCGCTGCCGCCCTCCCTCCTTTGCCTCCTCCACACGTTCGCGCCACCATTGCTGGAAAGATATACTAACAAAAACAGTTGAACAAGCAAGGCAATACGTGTTTATTAATTGTGTGAAACTTGACGGTTTCAGTATGTACAAAAAACGGAAGAAAAGTTCGGGGAGAGGATCTACTTTCTGCGGCAGCACTGTCCGTTTCCGCACGGAGAGTAGTTGGCCTGACAGGAGCACGAGTTGGAAGAAGAAGTGGTGCTCTGCTGGCAGGCAGTGGTGGCCGGTTGAGAAGCCTGGCAGGAGTTGGAGCAGGAGGACTGGCAGGCAGTCTGGCACTGAGAAGCGGGCTGTTGCTGCTGGACGCACTGCTGCTGGCACGACTGCTCGCATTGCGGAGTGCACTGGGCCGACTGGGCGACGGAAGTCTGCAGCACGATCTGGATGACCGCCTGCGCCGGCGCTTCGCTCGTCGTGTCGTACGGGTTGTTGTACATCAGGGGCGACGGCGGTCTGTTGGGAGGAGGAGGTGCACGAGGAGTCGCAGGCTGGCTGGCAGGCAGCCGCACAGTTCGACGATCCTTGGTTGTTCTGGTTGCTGTACGCATCGTAGTACTGCGTGTTCGAGACGACTTGCTGGGTGGCCTGGGCGGACTGCTGGCACATGTTGGAGCACTGGGAGTTGCAGGCAGAGTCGCACTGGCTCGACGGCTGCTGCTGTTGGGCACACGAAGACTGGCACTGTTGCTGGCATTGTGGCTGGCATTGAATGTCGAGCTGGATCTGGATGACTTGGGGGGCCTGGGTGGTGGTGGTGGACGGAGAGTCGCACGCCGCGTTGCACTGTTGCTGGCACACTGGCTGGCATTGCGACACCGACGGGCTCGACTGGCACTGTTGGGAACAGCTCTGTTGGCAAGCGGGCGCGCACTGCGAGGATTGTACCTGTAACTTGCACCCATTCATTCCTTCGTCTGCACTCACGAGTCTTCTACCTGCACCGTCTGAGTCTGTTGTGGCTGAGCGCAAGAGCACGACGATGATTGCTGTTGGACTGGAGTCGATTGGCACGAGCACGACTGAGTCTGTTGGGCCTGTTGGCACGAGCACTGGCTCTGTTGTGGCTGAGCACATCCACACTGTCTCTTCTCACGGATCACGCTGCCCTACACACAACACAGATAGATGATGAAATGCAATTTTAGGATGGAAGAGTACTTACAGTGGCTACGAGAGCACAAGCGAACAAGATGGCAAGCGTCGAGAAGCGCATTTCAGTAGAAGCCGAATGGATCGGATGGCGATTCGCACTCCTTCTTCTTCTTCTTTTATACTCCCGCCTCTCCTGCAACTTCTTGATTTCCGCTCTTCCGCATGTTCTTTCCGCGTCTCGGTCTCACGCCGGGCAAACAGTTTATCGCGTGAAAAAGTGTTCGATTGTGGAGGAGCAGGGTGAGCCTCCCTTTGAACAAATAAAATTCCAAAGTTGCAAAAAGAGAATAACTGGTATTTTGGTCTGGTGTTCGAGAAGAACAAAGTGAAAAAGAGAGAGAAATGAGTACAAATCAGGGATATAGGACACTCGGCACCCGCCTGGAAACGAAAAACAAAAAACGACATTTGTGGTGCTATCCTTAACCTATCAACAGTGAAAATCAAAGCGATCGTAGTGAAATTAGTGAGGAAAATGAGTGGTATGATTACTTTGATTAGACGAGTACTGAACATGATTATATGATTCTTAATTAGTGTTCCTGAAACGTGCCTTGGCCGCGGAACTGCTTACAACAATAATAATAAACGCGGCGGCTCCGAAATCGAATTTCAGAATCAGCCAGGTGAGCATTACGATTGACCAATTGGTGCACAAAGTGTCGTTTCAGTAGTAATTTCTTGTAGTCAATGCTGTAAAAAAATGATGATTTCTGAATGTGGTCAACCTAAATCAAAGCGGAAGTTTTGGTCAGGCCCCGAGAGAGTAGAAGTTGGCCAGACTCTCATTAAGAAATGGGAAATGCAGAATACGCTAACAAAAATACTTTATTAACATTCTCGTTTGTGTACTTACATGTACATATTTGGTGCGGTCGATTTCAGTGTAAACTCCTCGCGACACCGACAAACGACCGTGAACCCCGGAAGCCAGTTGCCTTCTCATTTCGCTGTTGAACAAGTTGCACCCTTTGAATATTATCAAATTATGAGCAGTTACCCATCAAAAGAATGGACTGATAACCAGATAATAGAAGAGAGAACGAACTTTGACCTGATTAGCTCATCACAGAACGGAATAATACATTTGAATGCCTAGTCTCTCTTACCTGAGTCCGTTGTGGTACAAAATAAGGTAAAAATTGTATGTCAATGTGAACAAAAGTTAGTTGCGAATATGTATCATCATTAAACTGACAATATAACATGGGTGTTGCATAGAAAAGGTAGAATGTTGAAAAAGTTGCATCGAAGGAAGCCAATCTGAATGAGAATCTAAAATGGTTTCCGTAAGCGGGCCACGTTTTTGAATTCCATCTGAAGACCTATGAGAAATTCGGGGAACATTGCACTCGACACGTGTGGGTTATGTGGATGTTGTCACTTTTGTTTGCAGATTGATTTTTTATAATCATAAATTGCATTCTTGGTCGGAATGACTTCTTCATGGTTGTGTTTTTCCCCTGAAATATGCTGGCGGAGGCCTCGCAGTCATTACTCGAGCCAGAACCAGTCATTTTCCGCCGAGCAAAGTTCAGCCGCCCATTGATGCTCCCTGAAATAAGCTCCAATAACCAGCTTCACCCCCAGCGAGAACAAGGTCATAGACAAAAAGCAAACTGAGACAGGCTCGCCCAGTTATTTGAGATTGTGCACAATTACGCCGCAGGTTATTCTTGCGCACGCACGGAAGTTTTTTGGTTGCTTGGTTGCCTGTGCCTCACAGCTCATGGATGAACGTTCCGCGCGGAAGAGAAAGATAGAGAGAGAGAGAGAGAGAGTGCGAAGAGGACGGAGAGTTGGAGCCGATGGTTGCAACCGGTTCGGTAGGGTGATGAGGCGGAGGTAGAAAGTAATATAAAAGGAAGGGAGGCGGCGGCATTATCATCCAACTCGCTTGGTTCTATTCATTGAAATGCGCTTCTCGACGCTTGCCATCTTGTTCGCTTGTGCTCTCGTAGCCACTGTAAGTACTCTTCCATCCTAAAATTGCATTTCATCATCTATCTGTGTTGTGTGTAGGGCAGCGTGATCCGTGAGAAGAGACAGTGTGGATGTGCTCAGCCACAACAGAGTCAGTGCTCGTGCCAACAGGCCCAACAGACTCAGTCGTGCTCGTGCCAATCGACTCCAGTCCAACAGCAATCATCGTCGTGCTCTTGCGCTCAGCCACAACAGACTCAGACGGTGCAGGTAGAAGACTCGTGAGTGCAGACGAAGGAATGAATGGGTGCAAGTTACAGGTACAATCCTCGCAGTGCGCGCCCGCTTGCCAACAGAGCTGTTCCCAACAGTGCCAGTCGAGCCCGTCGGTGTCGCAATGCCAGCCAGTGTGCCAGCAACAGTGCAACGCGGCGTGCGACTCTCCGTCCACCACCACCACCACCCAGGCGCCCCAAGTCATCCAGATCCAGCTCGACATCCAATGCCAGCCACAATGCCAGCAACAGTGCCAGTCTTCGTGTGCCCAACAGCAGCAGCCGTCGAGCCAGTGCGACTCTGCGTGCAACTCCCAGTGCTCCAACATGTGCCAGCAGTCCGCCCAGGCCACCCAGCAAGTCGTCTCGAACACGCAGTACTACGATGCGTACAGCAACCAGAACAACCAAGGATCGTCGAACTGTGCGGCTGCCTGCCAGCCAGCCTGCGACTCCTCGTGCACCTCCTCCTCCCAACAGACCGCCGTCGCCCCGATGTACAACAACCCGTACGACACGACGAGCGAAGCGCCGGCGCAGGCGGTCATCCAGATCGTGCTGCAGACTTCCGTCGCCCAGTCGGCCCAGTGCACTCCGCAATGCGAGCAGTCGTGCCAGCAGCAGTGCGTCCAGCAGCAACAGCCCGCTTCTCAGTGCCAGACTGCCTGCCAGTCCTCCTGCTCCAACTCCTGCCAGGCTTCTCAACCGGCCACCACTGCCTGCCAGCAGAGCACCACTTCTTCTTCCAACTCGTGCTCCTGTCAGGCCAACTACTCTCCGTGCGGAAACGGACAGTGCTGCCGCAGAAAGTAGATCCTCTCCCCCAACTTTTCTTCCGTTTTTTGTACATACTGAAACCGTCAAGTTTCCTCAATAAACGTATCCCGATCTTTATTGTCAATCTTCAAAACATATTCAAAGTGTTGCGTCGAGTGCGCACGGACCACATTGACCAACGGTCGCGGTGGCAACGGTTTCCGTTTTTTATTGTCAGCTGTGTGCGATGGCTGGCGACCATCGATTCATTCCTACAGCATGCAACTGTGATTCTTACGGGGTTGCAATATTGATGCCTTCTGATGGTCGATGCTCCATTGAATTATTCTATACTACTATTTTACTGCAAACGAACGAGGCAGCATTCTACACACTTCCGAGGAAGGCAGCACACGCGAGTCTTATCCATATCTAACTAAAGTTCCATTTTATGAAATCAGCGACGGTAATTCAACGTGAAAGGAGCAAGTTAATGCAATTAGCAAACTGTGTCAAGTAACGAGCTATTAATAGAAATAGTAGAGAGTTGTCCCGTGTACTTCTCATCGAGGATTTAAGCAAGGATAGAACACTGACCATGCCACATATTGAGAAAACTTCCTACATTTCGAGCTTAATCTGGAGTCTGTAGCATTTTTTAGAAAACATTTATGCTTTTTCAAACATTTCCTTTTTTTCAGGACCACAAAGACTCGGTGTGCGCGTTGCTCTTCAAACTTCAATCGGAAGCGAAATGGTGTGACCTCCTGTAAATATTCGTTCGTTTAATATCACTATTTATTGTATGATTATTGTATGATTATCCTCTAGAACCTAGAATCCTCGAACACGTCAAGATCATCTGAACTTTGAATCACTTTTAACCAATAGATTTATTTACTACTATTATTGTTAGCGACTCAGATTCTCTAAATTAAAACAAGTTCTTCTCACATTTCCTTTTTGTATGTGTTCGTTTCGCGCACTCAAAATCGGTCTTTATCCGATTGCCGCTCCGCATTTTCACCGACAACTCGAATAAATAGAACTCACGCTTGATCGGAGAGCAAATATAATAATAGACTGGAATAGAATAAAGATCGGGATACGTTTATTGAGGAAACTTGACGGTTTCAGTATGTACAAAAAACGGAAAAAAAGTTCGGGGAGAGGATCTACTTTCTGCGGCAGCACTGTCCGTTTCCGCACGGATAGTAGTTGGCCTGACAGGAGCACGAGTTGGAAGAAGAAGTGGTGCTCTGCTGGCAGGCAGTGGTGGCCGGTTGAGAAGCCTGGCAGGAGTTGGAGCAGGAGGACTGGCAGGCAGTCTGGCACTGAGAAGCGGGCTGTTGCTGCTGGACGCACTGCTGCTGGCACGACTGCTCGCATTGAGGAGTGCACTGGGCCGACTGGGCGACGGAAGTCTGCAGCACGATCTGGATGACCGCCTGCGCCGGCGCTTCGCTCGTCGTGTCGTACGGGTTGTTGTACATCGGGGCGACGGCGGTCTGTTGGGAGGAGGAGGTGCACGAGGAGTCGCAGGCTGGCTGGCAGGCAGCCGCACAGTTCGACGATCCTTGGTTGTTCTGGTTGCTGTACGCATCGTAGTACTGCGTGTTCGAGACGACTTGCTGCGTGGCCTGGGCGGACTGCTCGCACATGTTGGAGCACTGGGAGTTGCACGCAGAGTCGCACTGGCTCGACGGCTGCTGCTGTTGGGCACACGAAGACTGGCACTGTTGCTGGCATTGTGGCTGGCATTGGATGTCGAGCTGGATCTGGATGACTTGGGGCGCCTGGGTGGTGGTGGTGGTGGACGGAGAGTCGCACGCCGCGTTGCACTGTTGCTGGCACACTGGCTGGCATTGCGACACCGACGGGCTCGACTGGCACTGTTGGGAACAGCTCTGTTGGCAAGCGGGCGCGCACTGCGAGGATTGTACCTGTAACTTGCACCCATTCATTCCTTCCTCTGCACTCACGAGTCTTCTACCTGCACCGTCTGAGTCTGTTGTGGCTGAGCGCAAGAGCACGACGATGATTGCTGTTGGACTGGAGTCGATTGGCACGAGCACGACTGAGTCTGTTGGGCCTGTTGGCACGAGCACTGACTCTGTTGTGGCTGAGCACATCCACACTGTCTCTTCTCACGGATCACGCTGCCCTACACACAACACAGATAGATGATGAAATGCAATTTTAGGATGGAAGAGTACTTACAGTGGCTACGAGAGCACAAGCGAACAAGATGGCAAGCGTCGAGAAGCGCATTTCAGTGAATAGAACCAAGCGAGTCGGATGCTCTAACCCCTTTCCCTCTCTCTTTTATACCCGATTCTTTGCAGTTTTTGTTCCAGTTTCCTCATTCGTCAATCTCTTCCGCACTCTTTCCGCGTGCAAACACACTATGAGCGTTCCCGCGCAAAAAACTATATTAAAACACTTGAGTAAACGGGAATGTGTCTGGCCGCATTGACACTTTTTGTCCAAATTCTTTCATTGTGTGCATCGAGGGCATTCATAATGTGCTCAATTCTTGATCATTGTGCTTTGAGGGTCTGTTTCTGTGCTCATAACTTTATTATTTTGCCAGTTGCAAGTTTGAGCTAACACGCGATAAAGGAGAGAGTCGGGAGGTGTGCCTGGACAGATGGTTCCTGCAAATGAGCTTCAGAATCTGACGTCGGACGCCGCTGTTCACGGTGACGAGCAGCAAAGCATTGAGATGGGAGAACAGGATCCAGACGCCGTTCAGAGTGGCCAACGTCACATTTGTCATTTTGAACCAAACATCTGGAAAGAGGGCGAAATCAGAGGCACATAGTCTCACACCCACCCGCGTTGTGCCACAATGTGATCAGAATGGCCATGTATGCCGTGAGAACCGTCGCCTGAATCAGAATTCCCATCTCCATTCGAATCGAGGAGGCACTGTGGGCATCGCGTTTTTTCTGGAAAGCATTGCTGATAATCAAACGCCGTTTTTCGGGTTATATCACGTGCCAGCCAAATACTGTAGATGATGAGCACGTAGGAGGAGAAGCTGAGAATCATGGTCGGGAAGCAGAGGACGAGTTCGAGTTGTGCAAAAACTTCGGCAAATGGAACGGCCATGTCGTACGACCAACTGGGGCCGACCAATTGGAAATTCTGCGTCACACACCCGACCGCCCACACGAAAAATATGTAAGAGCCGCCGAAAACCAGCGAAATAATCATCCACGGCGACCATTTTGTTGGCTTCGTTTTGAAGAAGGCGATACCGATTCGCGTGGACGCTAGAATAGCCATTATTACGAAAGAGGCGAGCCAGAGGCTGTTGGCAGTACATCCGACTATCTGAAAACGTAAATTTGCTATTGGGGTAATACAAAAATCCAGATTACCCTCACAAAAACATCAATTCGATCCGTGAAAACTGGGAAGATCAGGAAGAATCCGGTTAAACAGTGGCAGACGGCTTGAGAAAGGTCGCAATAGTTGAGGAGGTTTATCAGTTTGTACGAAATATTCTCGCGGAGGTCTATTCTCACGTGCAGAGCCTGAAAAACAACCACGAAGAATTCATGGAGCATTTCAGCTTTTGCGGTTTTTTCAGAATATACTCGTCTTTTCAAAACAGTGTATCTCAGCTGCTTGTGAAGATATCAAAAAGTGGTCAACTAATTAAATGTGCAAAATGATTTGTTTAACAATTTGTTAGTTGATAACTTGTTGATATCTCTTCAGGCAGCTGAGATATTTTGCCTTGAAAATTGGTTATGGCTTTACGACTTCCAGAACCTATTCCTAAGGACCAGACTCACATAGATAATCAAAGCGCAAACCGGAAAAATGACAACTGTCATCGCCACATAAATGACGCCAATGCACAGAATTTGCGGATCCGAATTCAGTCGGAACACACTGACGGACGGCATTGTCAAAGGGGCGAAAAGGGAAAAAAATAAAGAAAGAATTGGTGGGAGCCGAGTAGTAAGTGATTGTGTCCGATGGAAGGAAAGTCACACGGTGCAACGCAGTACATTGTCCTTTTCGATCGTTCAGTGAACTGGAAGAAGAATTGGAGACGTTGTCATCTTTTTTGGGCGCTTCTGACTCATTCAAAAAACGACCAGCCGACAGAAAATGTGGACGAAATTTATTGCAAAAATAAATCATCCGACAGCGGCCACAGACACTGTGATTTTCGAAGAGAATCTGCTCTTCAAAGATTCCTTTCTGCTCACAATCATCAGAAATTGACGACGAACGGCACTGAAATCATTGGGTACGAGTACAAATTATAGTTAAGGTACCTGTTGACAGCGAGAAGAAGGAATATGTTGAGATATGAGAAAAGGATCCACACACTGTTCAGAGCCGCCAATGTTATGTTGTTCATGTCGAACCAGTCTTCTGGAAAAATATATATTAAGAGTTCTTCAAAGTGTATGTTTATTCCGCGTTCCGTATTCCGCAAAATTCATGAGATGCACGAATTACCTGCGTTATGCCAGAGAGCTATGAGGCCGGCCATGTACACCGTCAGAATGGTGGCCTGAATCAGAATTCCGAGTTCGACGCGACGCGACAAATGCGATTGGGACGAACGACGTTTCTGGACAGAAAAAATGAGCATGATAATAGGGAACTTTTTAGGCGAAACCCACCCGATAAATGCTCAAACTGATGAGAGCGTAAGAGCAGAAGCTGAGCAAGAGCACGGGGTAACAGAGGACGAGCTCGAGTTGGGCGAAGACGTCGGCAAATGGAACGGTCATGTCGTAGGACCAACTGGCGGCGGTGAGTTGGAAATTCTGAGTGACGCATCCGGCGATCCACACGAAAAGGATGTAGATGGCGCCGACGGACAGCGCGCTCTTCATCCACCCACCCCATTTCGTGGCTTTCAGATTGAAGAAAGCGATTCGGATCCGCGCGGTCGCCAGTACGGCCAGAACTACAAAAGTGGCCAGCCAGAGGGTGTTGGCGGTGCATCCGACTATCTGGAGACGTTGAGAAGAGTGCAATATCCGTGAGGATCCACTTACCCTCACAAATACATCAATTCTAGCAGCTAGAACCGGAAAAATCACAAAGGATCCGGTGAAAACGTGACAGATCGACTGGAACACGTCACAATAGTTGAGGAGATTTATCAATTTGTACGAGACGTTCTCGCGCAGCTCATTTCTGATGTGAAGGGTCTGAAAGAGGCAGTTGCAGTGGCGATGACGTGGCAAAACACTCACATAAATGACGATCGCATAAATGGGAATGATAGAAACGCCCAGGAGCGAGTAGATGACGCCGATCCAGAAGAGCCGAGCATCCGGGTTGGTTTGCAGCAGAAGTAGTTTGGAAGAAGTTGTCAGCATGTTCTCTGTAAGAATGGCATGGGAAAAAGAAAAAAGAAAAAGGGAAGGTCGAAAAGTGTGACACAAGTCATGCGAAAACATCACCGGAGCAACTAGAATCTTGGTTTACACTTAAAGGGGAAGAGTTTTCCCATCTGAACAACTGTAATAGAAGTTCACTCTAATGGGGGACAGTATATCTCAGCTGCCCAAAAAGATTTCAAAAAGTTGTCAACTGATAAATTGTTAATTGAAATAAGTTGCACATTTTTTTAGTTGACAACATTTTGATATCTCCATCGACCGCTGAGATATATTTCCTTGAATGAGCGGTATTTGGGTGCCCTTATCCATCAGTGTTTACAGTATTCAGGTCCGGTTCCAAAAGACCAACTCACGTCTTTGGTTACTAATGTTCTCATGCTTTCAGCAAAAATGATTTATTTCAGATTTCCTTGGGAAAACAACCAAAAGACAGGATTCTATGGGAAAAGACGGATTGCTTTGCTAAAAGTGAATCGAATTCCAAGAACTCTATTCCATTGAAATTCTGAATTTGAAAAGGAGAAAGAGAAGAGAAGCTCGAATTGAATACACTTTAATTAAATGTGCACTCACTTCCGAAATATCATTCATTTATATTCTCCCTTCTTTCTCTGCAATCCGAACAAATCAATGAACAAAAGAAAACTTGAAACTTTGAACATTAAAAAGACAAATACGACAGTGACTAGGGTGACGTATAAAACGGCGTCGACGCAAAAGTATTCGATCATTCCCATTCTGGCGCCGGGCAGCTCGAATACCCTGTGCAGTCCCGGGTTGGCGGCGGAGTACTCGACCCACTGAACGAAGCGGTCCTTCGGCTGCGACGGCTTCTCGATCAGCATTTTCTGAAGCATCTGCGCGTTTGCCGTGAACGATTTGTCGAAGAGCACCGCGCGCAGTCCCTGCTCGATGCTCTTCTCGCTCAGTTTCGTCTTGTCCAAACGTACAGTTGTACCGCGGAGCACACCTGGAGCACAAAGTAAAGAGAGTTCAGAGTACATGTGTACATGTATGTACGTACCGTTATCAGTGTTATGGGGTTGATCGGCAAACAGCGGAATGGCAAGGATCGGTTTGCCGGCGAACGAGGCCTCGTTGAACGAGTTGAGACCGCAGTGGGAGATGAAGGCGACGACGCGTGGATCATCTGAATCAGTAATAATCATAAGACATGCCATACAGCACAAAAACTCACAAAGTAAATCAGTCTGTGGAAGCCAGTCGAGTGGGAACACATTCGGAGCCGCCTCGAACAGTTGCTCCTCGTCCTCCTGCACATCGTACTTCCACAGAAACGTGTACTCGGGGAACCGCTTGAACACGTTCACAAAGTTTCTGACCGCATACCTCGGGTACTTATTTCCGGCCACTTGTGTTCCGAAACTGAATATCACCGTCTTCTCCGACAACAGTCTATCGAAGACCGCATCCAACGGCTTCGGATCCGGCAGATTGATGCCTCCAATGTACTGTACTCTGTGCGAAAGGGGGCGTGGCTTCTCCATGATTTCATTTGAGTTTATGAAGGACACATCGATCCTCGAAACGACTTCTTTCAGACTGAATTGAATCGTTTTTCCGAATCGCCTTTTGAAAATGTCCTCTTGAATCCTAAAAACTTCCGGAATTTGAACGTGGTGAATGTACGCCCAGTTGACCACATTCCAGAACTTTCCGAAGAGCGTTGTGAGGTCCGCGGATTGGAAAAGTGCTGAAAATGGATTGTGAATCGTTGAAATACGAGAAACAAAAAGGCGTACGGATGGTCGTGGAAGGAACAGTCGGAAGACCGATAATTATCGATTGGAGCGGGGTGAGCGGGACTGCGCTCGTAGTGACGACGGCAGGAATCTCGAAGAGGGCAACCATTCCCACCGCACAGAAATCGAAAGTCGACGTCACCGCAATGTCGTACCTCTTTTCAGCGATAAAGTGAAGGAGACTGTCGTCGTTTACGGCAACTGCAAGTACGGCTCATTCAAAACAATGTATTTCAGCTGCATGTTGAGATACTGAAAACAACGAAAATCATTGGGATTTTGAACATCCGAAGAAGTTTGCTCAGGAAATTTTCGGCAAGGGTAGGGCATGGATAGGGCACGCAAGAAGCACGTTGCCGCCATGGGTTCAGCATGTGTCGCGCACAAATTGGGAATTGATCCAGCATGCCTCCGGCGTGCGACAGAAATCAGCAGCCAGAAAAGGGAAAAACTACCCGAAACCTGTTGCCGGTGGGCTTAGTGGAATCTTTTTGAGTTTTTGTGTTATTTTCCTCAATGGAGCCTTAAGAAACCTATTAGTTTTGCTGTTATTCAAATCGATACAATACACAGAGACACATGCAAAGTTTCATGGTCCCAGCGGTTGACTCACTTTCACACAGTGCATGTCCGATACTGTTCCATTCTCTGAAATCCCCGTAGTAGAACGGGCAGTCCTCGAACGGATCGACGAGATGAGAGGCGTTTCCCCAGAGACTTCCGTTCGTGAACTCCACAGAATACACCCTTTCCGCTGTGTTCCGCCCGTTTCCAACGACCTTGTCGTTTATTCGAGCTATCACCAGATCCTGAGATAACCGCGGTAAGGACCGAAAGGGAAAAAGGAGAACTCACAACGGTGTGCCCTTTTTCCGTGAGCACATTGATCAGCGAATCCGAGTAGTCCAAATGGCTCTTCCCAAAAATGCTCACATAGAATAAGATTCGAAGGCCAAGGACCGCATTCAGATTCAAAAATATTATCAGTCCTCGGAGGAGCAACATTGAAAATAATGAAAAACAGAGACTGGGGGTTGGGGGGCAATGGACTAATCAGACGATGGTTTGTAGTCGGCAGGGAAAACGATAATAATAGTCTTTGCTTTTTAATACTACAAAAATACGGTTCTCGGTGCGTTGACGTCTTCTGAAAGCGAATTCGAAACGGTGAGATGGATCATTGGCGTGATTTTAGCCAATGAGACTTTGGTACGGATCCAGAATGTGAAAACAAAGTTTAGTTACGCAAAGAGTCTTCAGTTTTCACTAGAAAACCGCTGGTCATAGAATGATGACGTGTCAATTCGATACTGTATATCACAGCTGTTTGCGAAGATATCAAAACGTAGTCAACTGATAAAATGTAAACAATTTCTTAGTGAACAATTTGTTTGTTGATAACTTTTTGATACCTCCACAGGCAGCCGAGATATTTTGTCTTGAATGAATGGTATTTTGGGGTGACGCGTTCGAGTGCAGGTTTCAGCGTGTGTCAAGTCAACAATACATATTTTTGAAATCGCTTCATTATACACGTTGATAAGAATTCTAAAACATTGAAATACAACCCGAGAACATGGAAAGTAAAGCTAAACGAGTCCTAGGCACTTTTGATCTTTCTAGAAAAGCGGATGCTCGAAGCCACAAACTTTGCAGCCTTGACAATCGGAACCGCGGCCAAAACAGCCGCGAAAATCATATAGAGCATGGCGTCGACACAATAATACTCAAAAATGCTCATTCTGGCGCCGGGCAGCTCGAATACCCTGTGCAGTCCCGGGTTGGCGGCGGAGTACTCGACCCACTGCACGAAGCGGTCCTTCGGCTGCGACGGCTTCTCGATCAGCATTTTCTGAAGCATCCGCGCGTTGTCCGTGAACGATTTGTCGAAGAGCACCGTGCGCAGTCCCTGCTCGATGCTCTCCTCGCTCAGTTTCGTCTTGTCCAAACGTACAGTTGTGCCACGAGCGACGCCTGAAAAACAATGTCTGATGTGATCCGTCTGCTTAATTCTCTTACCATTTTGAGCGTTATGGGGTTGATCGCCAAACAGCGGAATGGCAAGGATCGGTTTGCCGGCGAACGAGGCCTCGTTGAACGAGTTGAGGCCGCAGTGGGAGATGAAGGCGACGACACGTGGATCATCTGAATCGGTAATGATCATAGGACATACAATATGAAAACTCACAAAGCAAATCAGTCTGTGGAAGCCAGTCGAGTGGGAACACATTCGGAGCCGCCTCGAACAGTTGCTCCTCGTCCTCCTGCACATCGTACTTCCACAGAAACGTGTACTCGGGGAACCGCTTGAACACGTTCACAAAGTTTCTGACCGCATACCTCGGGTACTTATTCCCGGCCACTTGTGTTCCGAAACTGAAGATGACGGTCCCGTTGCCCGGCCGGGACAACAGTCTGTCCATGTGATGGTTCACCGGATTCGGCGCTCTCAGATTGATTCCTCCAATGTACTGGAATCTGTGATGGATTGGGCGTGGCTTCTCCATCACTTCGTTCGAATTGATGAAGGCCAGATCGATCTTACTGAGAACCTCTTCCAAATCGAATGATTTTCCGTATCTCTTCTTGAGCAGTTCCGTCTGTTCGTGCCGGAGCGTCGGCAATTCGATGAGGTTGATGAATCCCCAGCTGAGAAGGTTCCAGAATCTTCCCTCGAGGGTCGTGAGGTCGTACGAATGGAACAGCGGAACCACTTGAGAGTTGGGCAGTCCCGCCGTAATCGCTTGAACGGGGAAGATCGGCAGTGCGCTGAAAGTGGAGACCGACGGAATTCCCGACTTCACCAGAATTCCAACTCCACAAAAGTCAAAGTAGGAGACCATTCCCACGTCGTATTTCCGTTCAGAAATGAATCGAAACAGCTCCTCATCCTCCAGAGCACCTGAAAAACGGAAATATTTCATTTTTTTTCGATATTGTCGGCTCACTCACTTTCACAAATGTCGTTTCCAATGAGTGTGTACTGTCGGAATCCGTTAAATCCCAACTTTTGATCTTCAAACGGATCCAGCAAATGCGCAGTTTTACCCCATCGACCCGCATCTTTCAGGCCGAACGAGTAGATTCTTTCGGCTCGGCTTTTCCCGTTTCCGGACACTCGATCGTTCATCCGCGCTATTATCAAATCCTGAAAAAAATATATCGTTTATTCATGTCAATATATCTCAGCTGTCCGTAAAGATATCAAATAGTTGTCAACTGATAAAATGTACAAAATTCCTAAATGAACAATTTGTTACTTGAAAACTTTACGATATCTCCACAGACGGCTGAGATATAAAAGTTTCCTCGAACCCACCACAGTATGTCCTCTTTCCACAAGGCTGTCAATGAGCGAATCGGTAAAGTCGACGTGTGACTTTCCGATTGCATTCACATAAAACAGAATATTGGCCGCTTCGGAGACGGCTGTCATTTGAAAGAGACTCAGGACGACACAAAGCGCTAACCTCGTCATGATTTTCTGCAAAACATTGACGAATCTTCATATTTATAGCAGACGTCTTCACATGGCCAATACAAACTACAGGCGGCCGCTATTATCAATCTGTGATGTTTTGAAGTGATTCACGTGAACCACACTAGCCTCCAATGTTCCCTTTCGCCCAAGAAGACGACGTTGTGTAGTTTGTGAGGAGTCATTTATCATTTTTGTCATTTAGAGACCAAAATTTGTTGGCGTCGTCGCTGATAACAGCTTGTAGTGCGAATGTTCTATGGCTTGTAAATAATAATATTAGAGCTGCATTTGATTGTAATCGCGCTCTACCGCACGCCACGTGAATTCTGTGCTGAATTGGAAAAGGTCGCGGTTGCGGCCGGGTTTTGAGCGCGATTGCTGAGAAATGCAGCAATAATATGCAAAATATTACAGAAATTGTAAAAAGGACAAGGCAGTGAAAGAGAAACGACGTAAAAATGTGGAGAAGGGTCGTTCAATGTCTGTCAAACTAACCGACGAGCGTGTCGTTGGGCTCGGCTATCAGTTGATTGGCTCGTAAAATAATTGTACATTGAGCATGTGATAAGAGGCGAATTATTTGGCCACGGGACACTCGACAATACACTTGCACTCTCATGTTCGGTGATGTTCGGAATGAGAAGGATTTTCAGGATTCATTAGAGCCAGAAACAATTCGGTGTCGGCAATGTAAAAACAGAACAAAATACTTTTTGTATGTGTGTGTGTGTCAGCGGCTAAAAGTGTGAGCAGGAAGAGCAGAGAGAAAAACATTAACCGACAATACAAAACGGAGAAGGAGTGTCCGATCAGTGGGGGGCGAAATTGAATCCGATCGAGCGGAACGGCTGCATCCGTCTCTTCGGGATGTAGCGCATCGCAATCGGTCGAACGGGCTCACCGAAGCTCACGCGCGAATCGGTTACTGTAGGGAGCATGGTTCTTCCTGACGAGACACTGTACACTGCGGACAGTCCCAAACGATAGAGAATCGAACGGGCGAACTGGGGACGGACGTTGCTTTGTACCTGAAGTTGCATTTGGGGAGGGGGGGTCTCGCCGAGAACACGATGCGTACTTCGCTATTGAAACCGAGATAGACGAGCGCGTTGGAGGTGCAATTGATGGTGTAGCAGATGGGAACGAGAATGAACCATTCCACGTGTCGATCCTTCAAAAGCACGGGAAGCACTCGGAAGAGCACCCAGACGAAGATGTAGAAGGCGAGAATCAGACTGAACTGCATCGCGTATCTGAACTTTTGTTTCAGTAGACAATGACGAAGTTGAACTCTTATTACTTGATGTCTCTGAGCCGTCGAGAACGTTGAGCGTCATTGACTGACGAGTTTGCGGGAGTCGACTTATGAACGGTCCAGTAGATCTGCAGACTTTTTATGCTCATTTCAAAACCAAAGATTGTCAACAGATACCAAGATGTAGCAAATGGCGGATATTGTAGAGCTAGTAGCGTTCAACGGAAGATCAAATTGATTCGAGTAGTTGGGAATTCCTTCGATTGGATAATATGAGTACGAAAGGAACTCCTGATCGAACAGGAAACTGAAAGTGCGTTTGAACGCTCGAAGGATCCAATGGGACTCACGTGCAGCAAGGACTGACGTATTGGGCGAGGTACATACTGAGCAGACAGAATGGGATCAGGAAAACAAAGATGAACGTTGTGGAAGTGAACGTGAATACATTGTGCTTTTGCAGACAAATGACAATGAATCTGGAAATAGAAAGTGATCAGATTACTTGTTTATTTCGAATTTTATTTTCACCTGTTGAGCGCCATGATCATTTGAGTGATCGTCTCGAAATGCCAGAGAAACAAGAAGCAGGAGCCGAGCAAAAGAGTCCATTCGTCCTTTTTCTGCTTACTTATCAGGAAAGACTGAAACAAACTGCGGATGATATATTTTAGGCTTTATCAGTGCATTTTCTAGGCCACGTTAGTTGCGAAACGTCGGGGTTGCATATTTTAAAGTATTAATTTGTCACTTACACTTGTCACAATGGAGGGCGCCAGATAGAAAGTGGAGAAGGACATCTGAAGCACGTCGGACCAAATGTTGAAGAAGGCGATGATGTAGACCTGGTTCTTTCTGAGAACGAACGCCAATCGGAAGACGGCGACGAGAGCGAGCACGTTCAGAAAGAGACTGAGGCCCGAGAGGGCTCCGAAGAGAACGCCGAGCAACTGCTTCAAGGTGAACAACATTTTTTGAGTGACGGAACGAGTAGGCGGAGACGAGCGACCGGCGGTTCGACGGAAATGAGATGGCAAACGAAGACCGAATGAGTTCTCTGCATTCGAAGTAATGAGTGATCAGAAAAAAACGAGAGAGAGAGGGTTCGAGCACAGTTCATTTCAAAATGTATTATGGAGACGAGCACTTGGAATCGGAATCGCGTGCACTTTCGAGTGGGTGTTGTTATCGCCGGACCGCGCCGTCGCTTCAGAGGGGACAATTCCGGAGAATCGAAAGAATTTGTTCGAAGACAAACGGCTCCGAATCTAAAAATGAAAGTGAAGTCTGGTTGGGATGAAGTGCTAAAGATCAAACTGACTTCTTTGTTGAACATTATGTAGACGAATGCGTTGGCGCTGCAGTTGAACACGTGGCAGAGAGAAGTGAGAATGAACCATTCGATCTGTCTTCCTCCGAAAATGAGCGGGAAAACGCGGAACATGATCCAGGAGAAGGTGTAGAACATGGAGATGAGACAGAATTGCATCGCGTACGAGAGTTCCTGATGGCCCCGCTTCTTCTGGAGCTCCGTGCGCACACCTGGGTTGATTGACTGCGACGCACCACGAATTGTGTAAAAGATCTGGAAAAGGGTAAGAAAATAGGGCGAGGGAGAGAGATTACCCAAGAATAACAAATGACAGGGACAATAGAGCTGAGGGCATTCAGAGGAATGTCACTCTGGTCCGTGTAGTTGGGAACGTCTTCGATTAGAAAGTAGGAATAAGAGAGGACAGTTTGATCCACAAGGAATCTGAAGGCAACAAACTTGAGAGGATCTCTGGGGCCGCAACTCACTTGCAGCAAGGGAACACATACTGGATGATGTAACTTTTGATGATTGCGAACAAAGTTGTTATTAGGAAAAATATGATCAGATGCCTTTTGGTGAACATCGACGAGTTCCGAAGACAAATCACCGCCCATCTGAAATAGCATAAACGTTTTTTTTCAATAAATGTCGTCTAAGTTCAAGCGATGATAATTGACCATTCACTTTTTCTCCATCTTTTCTTTTGCCTACTATTTACATACATTGTTCTAAATCGTAACGATCAATAAATAAGACCTCAGACCTGTTGACAGCCATCACAATCTGCGTCACGTTACCGATATACCAGCAGAACATGAAAATGAACGAAATGAAGACTGTGAAGTGGCCATTTCGCTCTTCGGTAAACCAAAAACTCTGGAATCCTGTGTGCTGTGAGTACATTTCAGTCGCTCGCTCGGTCTCACATTCGTTATGATGGTGGTGCCAGATAGAAAGTTGTGATCATCAAGTGTACAATATCATTGAATATATTGAAAGACGAAATCACATAAACTGTACTTTTATCCTTCGAGAATGCCAGTCGGAACACTGGGATCACTATGGAAATGTTGAGGAAAAGGCCGACAGAGCCAGCAAGTAATAATACACTTCCAAGCCATGACTTGAGGTCCAACTCGATCATATCGAATCGCCGTGGGTCCGACTGGTTGGCGGCTGAGCTGTGATCAGGATTATATAAGCGCGTTAAGTTAGAGCTTTGGATTAGACAGGCTCTAGGACAAACTCCAAAGGAATTGTTATCTTTTTTGTCTTATAGGCTGTCTGAGAGGTATTAGGATCTAAGCGGGTGGTCAAAAGTGTGCGTGTGAATAATCACTTTAAAGGCGAAGTGTCGTGAAAACAAATAATTCTCTGAAAATTCAATTAGGACTGCAAAAAGTGCAAAACAGTGAACAATTCGCTGGCCGAGCGCTCAGTTTCTCTTCCATCGTTGCGTGCGCACGGCCGAGCGACCAAAAAAGCCTTTAGCTAAACTTTGACTGTGTTTTTCAGACGTAAATGGATACAATTTGCAACTCAGTTTGAAAACTGGGAGCATTATAGACTTTTCAGAGAATTACTTTGCTTTCACGACACTTCACCTTAAATAATGGAAAAGTGAGAGAAGAAAGGAAGTCAGGTGTTTTATGCGAATTGGAAAGGCCGCCTAAAACACGCGCATAATTCACGTGGTTCTTCTTGCGTTTGTGTACAGATAGAGAGGTATTAAGACCAGAAGATGTGAGCACATAGTCGCCGCCTAAGCCTGATCTAGATGAACTCGAAAACATTCCATGACTGATCATTGATATATTGCTTGATGAGTTCAAAGTTTATTCAATTTAGCGGTAGCTCATAATTCAGATGATCCATTTGGACAGTTGCACGCTCGGCGGCACAAGAAAAGACATAATAAAAGATAAGAGAAGAGCGTAGTCTCCAGTTTCGTTGCTCTAATTTTCATTCCGTCAGAATGCGTTTGCTATTTGCATTCATAGGTTAGCGGCCAGAAAACGTTGTGAGTGGGTTGGATCACAGTTCATTTTAAGACGTGCTATGGGGACGAGCACTTGGAATCTGAATCTGAATCGCGTGTACTCTCGACTGGATGTTGTTCTCAAAAGATCCGCCCGCTTCAGAGGCGACAATTCCGGAGAATCGGAAGAATTTGTTCGAAGACAAACGACTCCGAATCTGAAATTGGGAGTGGAGTCCGGTTGGGATGAAGTGCTATAAAGATCGAACGGACGGACCTCTTTGTTGAACATTATGTAGACGAATGCGTTGGCGCTGCAGTTGAACACGTGGCAGAGAGAAGTGAGAATGGACCATTCGACTTGCCTTCCTCCGAAAATGATTGAAAAAACGCGGAACAGGATCCAGACGAAGGTGTAGAACATGGAGATGAGACTGAATTGCATCGCGTACGCGAGTTCCTGATGTCCTCTCTGCTTTTGCAGTTCTGTACGCATACTTGGGCTGATAGACTGAGAAGCGCTACGGATTGTGTAATAGATCTAAAGCAATGGATAGATAATAGAGTGACGGAGAGAGATTACCCAAGAATAACAAATGACAGGGACAATAGAGCTGAGGGCATTCAGAGGAATGTCACTTTGGTCCGTGTAGTTGGGAACGTCTTCGATTAGAAAGTAGGAATAAGAGAGGGTTGTGTGATCCACGAGAAACCTGAAAATGAACACTTGGCGGCCAAGTGTATCAATCGAAGAACTCACACGCAGCAAGGGAACACATACTGGATGATGTAACTTTTGATGGCTGCGAACAGAACGGTTGCAATAAAAAAGACAACGAGATTTTGTTTACTAAAGATTGACGAGTTCCGAAGACAAATCACCGCCCACCTGAAATGACACAAACTTGCTTCACCAAGTTTGTCCGGGCAAAGCTTTAAGTTAAAAGCCTTCAACTAACAGTTCATTTTAAGTTCAAGCTTTCCTTTTTCCTAGTACATACATTGTTCTAATTCGTAACGATCAATAAATAAGACCTCAGACCTGTTGACAGCCATCACAATCTGCGTCACGTTTCCGATATACCAGCAGAACATGAAAATGAACGAAATGAAGACTGTGAAGTGGCCATTTCGCTCTTCGGTAAACCAAAAACTCTGGAATCCTGTGTGCTGTGAGTACATTTCACTCGGTCGCTCAGTCTCACATTCGTTATGATGGTGGGTGCCAGATAGAAAGTTGTGATCATCAAGTGTACAATATCATTGAGTATATTGAAAGATGAGATCACATAAACTGTACTTTTTTCTTTCGAGAATGCCAGTCGGAACACCGGGACCACTATGGAAATGTTGAGGAAAAGGCCGATAAGAGAAGTGAGTAATAATACAAGTCCAAGCCAACATTTGAGCCCAAAGTCGATCATCTTGAAACAAGCTGTTATCTAGGGGTTCAACGAGCAGTCGAGAAATGTTGTTAATTAGAAGAAGTATGAGATTCGAAGAAAGAGGTGTGCCAGGTGTTTCTGCCGAATCGGATAGGCATTACTAAGAACACGCGCCACTAGTTGTTCATTTGGACTCGACTGTTGCCTACCAAGTTATTTTTACTTGTTCAGAGCAGACAGTGGTACAAGTTGAGTGTTCTGTCTACTCGCTTAAGCAGTCTTGGTCTCGTTGGTCTCGAGAACATTCGCTTACTAATAATTGTTTGAGCAGAAAGATTGAGTTCAAAGTTTATTTGAATGTTATTGATGTGCAACAGGTTTATTCATTGGTATTAACGGTATAGAGTCTAGTGGAGCGTGTTTGCAGTCGCTATATTAAGTTTACAATCAAATGATTTATCGCTCATTCGGAACGTTTGCTTCGCCCGATCTTCAGAAGCGATTGACAGTCTGCCAGATGACCCATTTTGGCAGTTTCACTCTTGGCGGCACGTATTTCGCCACTTCTGGCTTGCCCATAGTCTCCAGAATCGTTCGAACACTTCTGATGTTTTGTGGCTCCATTCCTAAACGTTTCTTTTTGTTCAATACTGTCTCACTGGTCTCTCACCCTGTTTATCCGAAAAATCGTACTTCTGAGCAAGGTCCTCCGTGAACAGGGTCTTTCCGGACTTTTTCAATCTGCCCGGATCCATCGCCAAACGGGCCAGCGCCTTTCCGGTAAACTCGGGGGACTCTCCCTTCTCATGAACTTCCTGTAAGATGGATTCGCGTACCGAATGAACATTATTGGCTCACCATGATTTCTTTGCTCGGCTGTACTCTGTCCCCCACAGCCGATCTTCTGGAAGACTCTGTCTTCACGGGTCCAGGCATCAGAGTGATGACGCAAACATTGTACGCCTAGAAGGAAGGATCGACTGTTCTCTACTCAAACTGTCGGTTGCTCACGTTCAACTCGACGGCCATATCAGTCGACATGCGTGCCAACGCCTCTTTTCCGGCTCCGTAGGCCACATTGAACACGTACCTGAACACAAACTGTCAAAATGGAGAAAGTGAAATTAGGAAGCGGACAGACTTGAGTCCGCCGAGCGATGCCACGTTCACAATGAGCCCGCTCCTTCTCTCCACCATCATTCGAGCCGCGTAAACGGAGCAGTAATAGTGATTTCTAAACACGTTTTAATGGTTTTTGACGAGAAAGGAACATACCTGAGACCGACGTCGTTTATAGAGTCCCACATTGAAGGATCTTGATCGAAGAAAGGTTTGCCGATCATTTCGGTGGCCTTTCCCAGCGAATTGTAGACGTTGTTCACCAGAATGTCCAGCCTTCCGTTCTGATCTTCTTTTATCTTTTCGAACAGGAACTTCACTTCTGTCATGTTCGAATGATCCACGTACAAGGCGATTCCTTTCCCTCCGCGCTTTGTGATTTCTGAAGAGAAATTGGTTGTGAGAGAGTGCTTCAATTGTGATGAATACCTTTGGCAACATGCTCCAACGACGGGAGTCCCATTTTGAAGTTGTCGCTGAGTTCGGGCCGTCTCCCTGTGATATAAACTGTTGCTCCGGCTTCTCCCAGCTGGAGAGCTATCCCTCGACCTTCAAAAAGCAAATGTTAAATCTCAAATGAGCCGCGTCGAGTTACCGATTCCTCGAGAAGCTCCGGTGACGAGGGCGACCTGATCTTGCAGAATGACACCCATCGGAGGGGAAAAAGTAGTAGTTGTGTGATGGAAATGGAAAAGTGAATATACAATATCGAACACGGATTATACATACACTTCCCCCGCGCGATTATGAGCGATTTGGCCGTTGTGTTGTCTGTTTTCAGCTCGTCCTCTCATAATTGGATGTACTCGTCGTGTCAGAATGCTGCCGATGACCTGTTCGACGGCACAAATCTGCATCGAACACATTTGCATATTGCCGTTTGGGCGATATATGACTTACACACGAAACGGCTTTCTCAGTTTACGATTAAAACTATAAAATGTCGATATTCGGGAAACGTGACAATCATTACGATGACTGGAAATCAGCATGAAACAGTGGCCCGACAATACTGAACATCAATACTTGTTCATGAAATTTCCAGAATTTTACAGTCACCATGAGCGTTTCCATATTCTAAAACGATTGTGAGAAGAATCGGGAATCAGTCCGATACTTAAAAAGTGGAAGACCAAAAAAGGGCTGGGTAGTTGCGAGAACGAGACTGAACAGTGCACTTCTATGCCCTGGCAGTGAGTTCTTCGACAGTTTGGACCTGCACCTCATGAGTATTATGACCACGAAGAAGAGCACGGAAAAAACGGTTAGAAGTGCTCCGAGAATACCAAAGTGTTAATGTGACTATGAGTGCACTGTTCATCTCGAACAATTCAAACTCCCTCGCTGCTCTGAACTTTTGCTCAAGTTCCGCGTATCGCTGAAAAATGCATTATTGATTGAATGAGCGAATGACAATGTCAATGTTTGTACAATTAGCCATTGTCTCTGCTTGTCAATTCGACAAAATAGGAAAACGGCGGCAGTTGTGATTCCATAGGTGTACGTGAGAAGAATGGAAATCCAGAAGAAGGAGGAAGAAGCGATGAAGTGGCTCCTCCGATCTTCATGATCGCCTGATGCTTTCGGAAGAAACAAGAAATGACCGAATCCACCTGCATACACATGAAAATACCATTAATCCAATCAGAATTCCGGTGGGACAATCGAACATTTTTTTATTTAATTTAACGACAATGCTACCGATTTGATAGAATACAATCAGAAAAGTGGGAGAAAAGGGACATCAGGCATTGATTTTTACCACTACCACCAATACAAACGCGCAAATTCCGAGAATCGACGAGCATTTCACCTGTTTCCGAAACCAGCAGACTTCATTACATTGACATCGAGCGGACTGGGTGTTGAGAATTTTGAGTGACGCTCACACTGAAAACGATCAGAAATCTATGAGATGAGTGTGAACTCGTGCTCTTTTTCAACCTTATAGTCGTTGTCGCATCCGGTTGTTTCCAGAATTTCGCATGTTTCCGCAGCTCTGGATAGGTTATCAACATGACAATCACGTTGACTGTCGAGTGAACAGTGACTACCATTGTCAGATTGTACGATACGACTGTAGCGAATCAAAAATCATGTGAGCTTTTTGTGAACTGTGCTCACCTTGCGAGTACTTTGTCGGTATCAACACTACAAATGCAATGGAGACGGCGGGAAGAATACCGACTAACGAACTTTGAAACTGAATTATCAGATTGCGAACGGCCACTTTGTGTTTGTTCCACGTGGCCTTCGATATGAGCGTCTTCAATTCGTGCAGTGTTCGAATCATTTGAAGCACGGATATTCCGATCGTGAATCCCGATTGAATACAGCCGAACATTGCGAGAAAAAAGTAAACGGACATCCAAAAATTCATAATGTACAGCTGGAAGTCTTTCAGAGAACGGAAATTTTGCTCGAGCGTCGGGTACTCCTGCAAACCTATGACATTTGATTGGAATAGAGGGACCGAAATGAAAAGAGCTCTTACTGTCTGAATGATTCGGTATTGATCGGATTTCGGGATGGCACTCATGAAGAATGCGGCTGAGAATGTGATCGGATAACATCCGAGCAGTGCTGCGCAGACCTTATACGCTGGACCGGGAAGACGGAAACGGATGCTCATCTCGGAGATTGTTTTGTATTTTCGAAGGAAACAAATGTTGAGACTGTTGACTTGGCAACTCGCCAGGAATGATAAAATCGCCTGAAATTGCTGTTTTTGCTGTGAAACACAAGCGTTTTCACAGATTTTTACATAAACTGTAAGTACTGTAACGACTATTCAAGACGATGTATCTCAGCTTCCGGTAGAGACATCAAAACGTTGTCAAGTGTTAAAATGTACACAAGTTCTTAATGAACATTTTATTAGTTGACAACTTTTTGATAGATTGTCAGGCAGCTGAGATAAATTGTAATGAATATGAACAGACCATTTGAAGATCCACTGGCACCGAAAATGCCGAGCTGAGAATTCCGTTTGAAAAGCCGGCGCAAATGGGAAAAAGGCCAACGGGCTGCATCAGAATGGACAAATGAAAGTCTCCAATCGCACAAGAAACCTGAGAATTTGTCTGTTTTTCATGAGAAAACCCGATTATTGATTGAGAAACCTGATAAAACAACAAATAGTATCGGAACGTTTCGAGTTTCCGACCTTTCAGAACGAGAAGATAGCTTATGAAGACGTTGCAGACGACGGCGATGGAGCCAGACACGTAAAAGTGATCGATTAGATAGCTGGGAGGTTGGAACGAAATGGCAGAGACGGTGGCCATGCGCGGGTAGATTGGCCGATTCTTTTCGTTACGACTTCTCGGCTTTGCACCTGTCCTGGAGAGATCTGTAATCGTTGAGAACAAGTTTTCGACAAACATTTCAACAAACTTTCAAACAACAACTGAAGCAACAACGATGGTGGAGATTCTGTAATAATAGTTGCACAGAAGAAGGGGAATGGGAATGCGGGCACAAAAACCTGGATGTACTATTGCTGCAGAAGGAGAATGCGGTCTTTCTGAACTCGGGAGTGGAATCCATTAGTTGAGAAAGTGAAATGTCCCAGCGAACATTCAACAATCGGTACGGGCAGCAGAAAGAAGGAAAATTGAGAATCAATTGATCCAGTCGTTTTCGCAGTTGTTGAGATGTTTGGCGCTGTGCAGTACATTTCAAACTACGGGTCTCGCAGCGATTGGACAAAATATGTAGTCCAATAATAGATGCGCTTTTAAAGTAAGCCTGCGGCATTCTGGGGAAACAGGTTTGAGTGAGTGTAGAGACCCTTTTTGATGACAGTCAGCTGTGCGGTTCTCCAGGGACCGTTCAAGAATTTTGCACCTGGCACAGAGATCAAAGGGTGTGTTGATGTATGACTTCTAAATTTGATTTTTAGGACGTGACGCCTTGATTTTTCAAAAGTTAAAATTTCATGTCATGAAAGTTTGAGTTTGATTTGAATGTTGTCGCGTGGCACTCGACAAATCCCAAACGACTTGAGGTCCTCGTCCGCTCGCAGTGAGCCTTCTGAAAACTACACTTGCCCGAAATAGCTAGCTATTGCTTTCATACGTTTTTGATCCGTTTCTGTTCCAGAAAATGACAATAGCCCGAAACTCGGGAAACGTGAAAATGACGACGAGCGAGTTGATGATCGAGTGCGTCGTCATTACCATCAGACCGAACCAGGTGAAAACTGAAACTCCCGGACACTTTCAAAGGGTTTCGAGGTGCACACTCACTTTGCGCGTACTTAAACTCGATCACCACCGTCAGAATTATCAACATTTCGGGCAGGACTCCGATGGGAGCCACGAAGAACTGGACGATCAGACTCCAAAGTGCAACTCGATGCTTCTCAAGAGTGCTTTTGGACAGATGAAGTCGTTGTTCCAGAAGGATCGAAAACATTTGGAAGACGAGAACGGAGACAGTGATGCCTGTCTGCAGACACCCGAGAATAGCCATCGAGAACCAGGCGATGAGCATCGGGTTCAACTTGTAGAGGGCAAACTCGCGAATGTGCATGAACTGAGACAGAAACTGTGGATAGTCCTGCAATTGAAAGACGTGAATAGACTTGAACGACTTCTCATCTCATTTGCACAACCTGTAATATAATATTGTAGATTTCGTCTTCTCGCACTCCGGCCAGATTGAAAACAACTGCAAAAGTGACGGCGAATGCATAGAACGCGAACATGAAAAAGGCGTAAACTTGTGGAGACAGTTCGTACTTGTGGCCGAGTCTCGCTAGAACCTGATGTTTTCGAAGGAAGCACACACTGAGAGTGTTGATTTGAAAGCTGAACAGAAATGAGAGCACAGTCTGAAATTAAAGAGAGCTTTAAGCAGATGTTCCGAGCGAAAAAACCATCAGTTGATGGGAAGTGAACCCAAAATAAGTGGCGAGAACTCCGACCGAGTAGCCGCTTCGAAGAGGGAACAGAGTGATGGGTTGCATGAGAAAAGCCATGTGAATATCACACAATAGGCAAGAAATCTGGAAAGAAATTATATTTTAACCATTCGATCAAAGATCTTTTAATGAAACATCATTCCTTTCGCCTGAAAACTCACTTGAAACGTGAGCACATAAAAGCGGAAAGAGTCTAGTTTTCCTTTGCGAAAAATGATCAGATAACAAACAAAATAGTCGAGAATCAGTGCGACAGATCCACTGATATAATAGTGATGAACCACGAACTGGGGCGTTTCGAAACTGACGTCCGACACTTCAATCATCTCGTAGCAAAAAGTAATCCTACTGGAACCAGCGGACGGGCGGTTTCACCTGTTTTTGTTTTTTACACGTAGCCTGACAATTTCAGGTTTACTCGGAGTTTGATTCATTCCGTCATCTCCGTATGAACAATTAAAGATCTGTTTGGGTCCAATCTTTCTTCGTAGACTTGCAAACAACAAAAAGAAAGGCATGGCAATGTTTCATTCTGACAAGGTTACATCGCTTGCAAATGTGTCGAGATATCCTACGGAATAGTGACAACAATCATGACTAGTACCGGTCAATTATAAGGAAAGGGATCGAAATACAGTTCGAAGATCTTTGTGTCGTCGTCGTCGCTCGTCAATTGTCGACAGTCTCGTGCGATCCGAGCGTGATTCGACGGTCCTCCTCGCAGTAAATACTGTTCGCCTTTTTGGATTTCTGCAGACATACGTGTGATTTGTGTTGTGGTGGACATCTTCAACTCACGTCTTCCCATTTGAACTGGAGGATTCCGAGACGATCTTCACACTCGCTTCTGATCGCCTCTCTGACGCACGGAGTGATCGCTTTCCATTCGTTGCACGACTCCTTCGCACTCTGAACACTTCTTTCCGTTTTTCCATACTCAGCCGTCACTTACCCTCTTTTTCTCATTGAAAACGTCTCCGAGGCACGGAATCTCGTTCCTCTTCTCGTAAAGAGTGTTGGCGCACTGCGAGAACTCTCTTGTGTAGTAATAGATGAAGCCGCAGATGCTGATGTCATTCAGGATGTTTCGAATGGCTCGGCACTTGATTTCCCGCGCACATTCCTAAAGTTAAAAGAGTTGCAAAGCGTCAAAAACCTTTCGTAATTACCAGAGTGACGTGGCAGAGTCCGGCCAGTGGTTCGTAGTCTTTCGGCGGTCGGAGCAGCAGTTGGGTGTGATTGAGACTGGCGGCCGCTGCTCCGAGTTCGTCGTCTTTCTGGAACATTCTTACGTCTTCTCCATCTCCTACAGATTGCCTGCGTACCTTTGCACACTCCATCGCCTGAGCCGCATGAGTTCTCGAACAGAATCCGGGATCCGGTTTGCTGGATTGCAATCCGAGCGTGTAGACGGCGACGATGGAGCCGACGATGAGCAGGATGCAGGAGCAGCACGAAAAGTTGAGAATCAGACACAGTTTACTTGATCTTTTCATGGTGTACCTGGAATGTGAGTGTGGTGAATGGGCTGGACCAAATGGAGAGAAGGCAGGCGAATGTGTAGATGGAAATTGGAAGTAACTGGTCTTTTGAAAGTGCAAACGGACTTTATGTTCCAGCGAAATCAGGCAGCTAAGTAGAGAACTTCCAATTTCGGTTCCGTTTCGCGCAAAACCAAAGACTAGTTGGGGGGCAAAATAAAGACGGATAGGAAAACGATATCAATCAAATCAGGAAAAGGTCATTTCGGCTGCAGTTAGGAGGGGGGGGCGATGAAAGTGAAAAAGTGAAGGGCGACTTGATTCAAGTATTGTGGAGACGACACAATAACACGTGACTGAAATTGTTGACTGCAGGACACCACTGAAATGGCCTTCCTCTCATTGGCTTCTGAAACACTGTTCTGGGACACAGACACTGCTGCCGGCAGTCTCAACCACACCAAACTGCTGCTCCGACCGCCGAAAGACTACGAACCACTGGCCGGACTGTGCCACTTCACTCTGGCAATTATGGAAACTTTTTGACGCTTTGCAACTTTTATAACTTTAAGAATGTGCGCGGGAAATCAAAGCCGAGCCATTCGAAACATCCTGAATGACATCAGCATCTGCGGCTTCATCTATTACTACACAAGAGAGTTCTCGCAGTGCGCCAACACTCTTTACGAGAAGAGGAACGAGATTCCGTGCCTCGGAGACGTTTTCAATGAGAAAAAGAGAGTAGGACACAGTTTCAGTTGCAGTCCAAGTGTATCATCTGATACGAATCAATCTATCAATCAATCGGAACAGAAACGAAAAGAATCGGGTATGATTTCTGACTTCCTAATTGTCTCGAGAGAACACCTTTTTATAAGCGGGTCGGCTGACTCGGTTCGACCCGAACCCCGCCCTTTCAAATCATCATGAGATAAGATTCTGTATCTTTTCGCAAGTTTACGTCACATGACAAGGAATTCAATTCACTACTTCTTCACTCGAAATGACGCTAATTTACGCCAACTTTAGAGCGAAGATTGCGGAAAAACGGGAAACAGTCGGAATGAATGAAAGAATGAAAGAATGAATGAATGAATGGGCGAGAACAGTTTCAGAGGGAAAGAAGACCATCATCATGATCATCGTCACTTTGGAGTCAGATGACGGCGACCGATCAGCTAATTGAACTGTCTTCGGTCGCATTCAGAAGAACCATTTCGAGACCAGTGGGAAGAAAGGATGGCAGAAAAAAACAAAGTTCAACTGTTGACAAAAACGTAAGTGAACGAGAGAGGGACCGCCTAACGAGCTAATTCGATCAGATCGATACAGTGTTTTTTCATTTACGATGTCGCCATTAAAGTGAACAAAACATGGAATAACAATTTATTATGGAGATTGACTTTTTCGGCAAACAGGCCTGGTTGACCCTAAGTTCAACCAGGAAAGAACTTTAAATTAGGTATAACATACAAACAATGCGTACAAACACTTTTCAGACGAGAACACTATTGTCCACTGACTAAACCGACAATCTCGTAGTCGATCTCGCCGGAGCTGACTCTCGGAAACGACGGAACACAGTTCATTGCGCGGTAGAAGTCGGCGGTCACCTGGAACTCACATTCCAATCACAGCTTCATCACTCACTCATTCGACCGCTTACTTCTCCGAATCGAAACGCCAATTGGGTGGAATTTCCGTCACACTCGTCCCTGATCGCATCATGCACACATGGCTGAATGTCCCTCCATTGTTGGCAGCGATTGTACTTGATCTGAAAGTGAGTGGTTGCGACTGGAGATCCGATACCATCGAATACCCCGTATTTCGCATCGAACAACGATTTGAGGCACGAGTAATTGGAGGTCTTGGTGCGGAGCTGAAAGAATGACAAGTGGGGAATGCACTCTGCCGATTGTACGCACTGTGTTCGCACACTCCTCAAACTCGCCGGCGTACAACTTGTAAAAGTCGCACGCCGGAAACGTATCCTTCACGTCCATCACGAAATCGTGGCCGTCTTCGCAAGTGATTTGGTTGAGACAAATCTAGAACAAGGAGTAATTTAATTTCGACTTGTCCGTGATGTTTGAACACCGAAAGATACCTCGGCCTTTTCACAAAGTTCAATCACTTCTTTGTACTCGGACGGCGGGCGAAGGAAGCGAACTGTTCGATTGATTCGCAGAAGGGAGTCTTCCAATTGACGCGTCTTCTGAATCAAACTTCTTTTGAACTTGACTTTAGCAACTTTTGGACAGACTGACCGTTGCGCACTCTGCGCCGATTAAAAGTTGTGATCGAGAGCAAAAGGTGCTCTCGGTGAGCATCGCTTCCGAGATGGAGAGCACGAATCCGATGAAGATGAGCGCGGCGAAGAGGAGACAAATCCAACAGAACAGTTGGATTGCACACCCACATCCGAAAGCCATTCTGTGTCAAAATGTTTGAAGTTGGAAGGAAGGTGAAGGTGAAGGACAAAGGAAGCAAGGAAGCGTTCAAGGTTTTATACAATTCCAAAAGTTGTCATGATTCTCAGATAGGCAAAAAAAGGAGGAGAGGGAAAATAAATTATTCGAACTTTTGTTCCGATCATCTTCATAAGCTTCACACTTTTTAGGTGTCTCCGCAGATGGACGGTCGCAGATTGGCGGCCTCCTGAAAAGAAAAAGACTGTGAGAACTGTCGGAAGATGATGGATTCGCAGAGGAATCACCTTCTCGTAGCCCGCTTTTATTCCGCCGCTACAAGTGTTTTCGATCTGTGTTTTTATGCACTCCTGGAGACTGTCCCACTGTTCACACTCGTCCACATCCGGCTGCAAGTCAAGGAGATTTCAGATTAAAAGTTAGGTGGCTCTCACTTCATAAATATCATTGAACAGAGTGTTCAGGCAGGCGATTCCGTCGTCTTTCTTCGCAATCAGCAGATCAGCGCATGCGGAGAAGTCACGATTGTAGTAAATGTAAAAGTGGCAAGGACTGAACGAATGGAGAACATCGGCGGAGATCGGAGAATCCATAACAGTGACACACTTCTGAAACATCAAAACTTTTGGGAAACTTGAATAGACTTACTTACAATTGCTTCTTCACACTTTTCAGCTAATTGCCTGTACGCACTGGGTGTCCTCAAGAACCTCTGGGTCACATTTAGATCATTTTCAAGTCTGGTCACCGATTCAATCATCTGAAATCTCATAGTCAATCTCTGTCAATTAACTTTGCGTCAAACTAACGGGCACACAATGCTTCAACTGTCCGTGCTCCGCATTCCGCTCCATAACCAAATGAACGTAAATGACAATGAATGTAATTATGAGAAGAATGAGAATGATTGTGACGGCGACACCGACTCCGATCAGCGCCTTTCTCGTCGATCCTTTCATTCTGAGCGACGAAAAATGGATGGGATTACGATTTACAGGTGTGGACGGACAAATAAAACGGTTTGCAAGATGACATTTGAAGGACACAAAAAGAGGTTTTCGGCGAACAGAGAGAGGTCAGTCGTATGACTTGTAAGTCAGCGGAACAATTTGAATGCGAGAAAACGAGTTGACAATAATATCGATTCACTGTTCGGCCAGAATTAATGCTGTTCAGAAGCCTCACAGTTGTAGCAGAGAATTGTGAAAATGCGGAAGTGAAGAAAGGCTGAAAGATCAGTGTCAATGAGTGGAAGGCGACGGAGAGCGAAGACGTTGGGCGAAGATGGATGATGAACCGGAAGACGTGAACTGTGTTGCCATTCTGGAGTGTGTTGGAACTGCTGCAACGGTCCCGGAAGTCCGCTTGATCTGAAACTTGGTCTAACTTGTTAGCAAAGAAATTATTTGGATATTAACATTTTCAGAGAACGGTACATTTGTACGGTACTTTCCAATTCCTAACTACTTTCTTCATTTCCATTCCCAGACTGGAATACCGATCGTTTTTCCATTGTTTTTCCACTCACTTTGCCCGATGCTTGGAATTAGATTAGGTGTTTACGGGAACGTAACGACGACGGCCTGTCTAGCCATGAATTCCCGGTTGGATCAGCTTGCCTACGTCTTTTGTGATTTCAACGGGCTTAGCATAGAGATCATTGGATGTATCCTGAGGTGTCCTGAGTAAGAGGAAGCATTGAAATGAAGACTACGGTATCAATGAATGGTGAACTAAACACTGAAACCTCTTCGAATTAGTCGAATGGCGTGAGAAGAAGTGCAGGTTAACGTACGTGGGGTTTCAGACACCACAGCCCAAAACACAAATATTTTTCATAAGAAGTATACTCTAGAGAGCCTGTTTCTCAATCAGTAGACCATCTATAGATAATCAGAAACGTACCTTCCCTCCTCGTGAGCAGTGAAATCGTTCATTCGGCTCGCGAGATGAGTGCGAGATGGTTGATGAATCTGTCGTTCCGCGCCGAAAAGTTCGGTGTGCTGCTCGCTTCCGTGTCCAACTCCACCCTCCTGTACATGCTCTTCTTCAAAGCGAGCACTTCGTTCGGCGCCTATAAACACCTGATGATCTGCTACACAATCATTGAGATGCTCTACTCGCTCATCAGTTTAGGCGCAGGAATGGCGGCTCACAGCACCGACTTTGCGTACGTCGTCTTCCAAATGAATTCAGGATTCTGGGGTCGTTCGATTGCTCCGATATTTCTCGGTGAGTTCGGATCTCTGCTCTGCAATCTGTAAACTATTTCAGTCGACTTTTGCGGAATATATTTCGTGCTTCTTCTCATTCTTGCCGTTCACTTCATCTATCGTTATTTCGTTGTTTGCGAGTAAGCAAAAAAGGATAACTTCAAAAAACATTTCTCGAAATCGTTTCCAGTTCCAAGAAGGTGGAGTTGTTTGACGGCTGCTACCTCGTCTTCTGGATTGTCGTTCCGATTGTTTTCGGTTGCGCCCAGGCCGCTCTGAAGATGATCATGTTTGCGGAGAACGAGTATCTGACGGACGCTTTACGGTGATTTACATACCCGGAAACTAGAACGTTCTTGTTTTAGAGAACCGTTTCTTCTCAACTACAACTTGACAATGGAGCAGATTGTCTACAATGGACCCATCTATTACGTGTGCAACTCTGTCGACGAATGCGAAAAACCTTTGGCGCCCTGGATAACAATGATATGGATCACGTTTTCATTGGTGAGAAGATCACATCATTGGAGAGTTCATCCAATGGCTTTCAGGCGGTTTGCCTTTGCATCATGTCGTTCTGTTGTCACCGGACCCTCGTGAAACTCGGACGAAAGGAGCCGCACGCCAGTATCCGGACCGTCGAGCTTCAGAAACAGCTGATGACAGCACTCGTCATCCAGTCGGTCATCCCGATCTGCCTCATGTACATCCCGATCGTCTTCCTCTTCACTTCTCCGATGTTTGGAGTGTCGTTCGGTCCCTACGTCAACCTCACGATGGCCACTCTCGCCATCTACCCGCCCGTCGACCAGTTCGCCATTCTTTATGTCATTAAAGATTTCAGAACGGCAATCAGAAGTCAGTGTTATTTGTTATCTTCCATAACACTTTGTGATATTGCAGAATTCTTCTGCAGAAGCGCGGACATGTCCAGTCCACAGTCATCCGTCGCGGTTTTCTCCTCAAAGTTCAGCATCTGACTTGTACTGTTATTGATAATAATACTAATAAAACGTATTAAAATAGTCTCCAGCGAATTCTGAGTCTATCTTTCACCGCATGTATCTCGAAAACCATAGATTATTTGGAATACTGTACAACTGAAAACTTGTTTCAAGTTTTGTGATAAACACTTTTGTAGTTGACAACTTTAATCGAAAAATGCCTATTCTAGAGTTATGAGCAAGTTTCTTAACAGTGAGAGAGTATGAAAGCTCGGACACATTTTCTAAAGTGATTTGTATGATCTATGATATAATTTTATTGAATTTTGTTATTTTTAAGTGATACGAGGAAGCGGATGTGTTCTGGTGTTTTCATTGTGGGCTATTCTGTGAACACACACACGATAAATTCAAGAGTGAAATTCGTAGCATTGTTTTCTGTTAGCAGTCGTCTTTTCGGCAGTATATATTCCGTGACTATGCAATTCTGCTGCATAAATCCTCATTGCCAAGTGTCCTTTGCTCTTGATTATCTTTGATCGCTACGCTACGCTCGCTCACATAACAAATGCAATCTCGTTTCGTTTCGCTCGAGTAATCGCACCTGTCCTCCACGTTTTCTTTCAGTGTCGAAAGTTGGCAACGATGAGCTCGCAAACGCTTCTGGACATGGCGCTCCGCACTTCCGGAGTCGGATTCGTTGTCTCTCTGCTCTCCGAGATCCTTCTCCTTCTACTCATCGTTTACAAGTCACGGCCGAGTTTCGGTTATTATAAATATCTAATGATAGTGTACAACGTTGTGCTCATTATGTATTCACTGGCTACCGCAAATGCTAATTTGGTAAGCGTCTGCCTACCCAATTCAAGAACGGAAATGATTTTTAAGGCCGCGCACAGTACGGAAACCGCGTACGTTTTGTTCCGAATGTATCATGGACCCAACCGAACCGTCGGACCTCTTTTTATCCGTTAGTTCACAAAACGCAATGCTGGTTTACTTGTTTCTTTCAGTTCAATTCTGCACAATGTACGTGACTATGCTCATAATTCTGTCGGTCCACTTCATCTACCGCTACACGGCCATCTTCTATCACCGACATTTGTGGCTGTTCCAGAAGTCTTACCTGATGTTCTGGGTGCTCGGATCCTTCTCTCTCGGCCTGTTTCTCATCGCTCTCAAGTACTTCTTTCTCGGCGAATTCGACTATTTGACGGAGAAGTTGAGGTAGTGCCGGCAGACTAATTTCAGCTTTATTCTAAAGTTCAGAGATGAATTCATGACCAACTATAATCTGACAATGGAAGAAATCGTCTACAACGGCCCCATCTATTATGTGCGTGCAAACCGACTTCCAGCTGTACGAGAAGAGTTTCAGGTGTGCGACGCGAGTGGAGAATGCACAAAACCGCTCGGAATCTGGCTCACAATGGCCGCTCTCTGCTCGTGTTTCGTCATTTGTCTCGGGATCATGACCTTTTTCGGCACTCGATGCTACTATAAACTGGCGGCGATGAAGTCCGATCTGAGCAATAACACGAAGAAGATGCAGAAGCAGCTATTGTACGCTCTGATGATCCAGGCCGGCATTCCGATCATCATCATGTACACCCCGACCGCACTTCTGCTCGTCTCCCCGGTCGTCGGCGTCTCTTTCGGAGCCTACTCGAACATTGCCATTTCCATGGTGGCCGTGTACCCTCCACTCGATCAGATCGCAATCATTTATATCATTCGCGACTATCGGAATGCTATCAAAAGTATGGAAGGAAAACAAACGAATTTCTTATTATCATTTTCAGTGGTTTTCTGCCGGAAAGTCGCGCATTTGGAAGCCACGAGCCTTTATTCGAAAGCAAGATCTTCAAATACGATTCCACAATGATTGTTTTCCAATTCCATTCAATGATTAGTAAACGGTTTGAATTAGACTTGAAGTTTGCTCTATTAGTGATCTCCGTCAGCAACGGAAACAAACCCGAAACATCGAGAAGGCTAATTCAGTTTTAGACAGCTGAAATTGAATAATCTGAATGAACGATTGAAGATCGGACGGGAACTGATCAAAATGTTAGGAAGTCACAAAGTGCAAGTGCACTTGAAACAAAATTGGAATGAGCATACTCGATGTGTCTAGTTCAGAAAAAAGACATCAGTCAAGATTAGAGCTCCTTAGAACATTTCCAGAAAGTTCTTTCCAGCCGGAACATGACAGCGCTGTCTAGACAGAAAACTGCCTTGAAACTCTAGCCGCCGCCACACTTCCTGGCGGTCAAACTCAATCGATTGCCGAGAAATTGCAAGACATTCTCGCGGACTGTCTCCACAATTCCTACATCGAAAAAGGAGGGCTTTCGAGATATGCGCACCGGCTGACCACCAAACTATTGTCCATCTCCAATGACTTCTTTCACGTTCTCCCATTCTTTCTCTGTTTCCCTCCCTCCGTTTCAACTATTTCACCAGCCGAATGAATCAGTCTACGCAAACATTCCGCCTCTCTTTCTCTATTTCTCCTACGGGACAAGACCATCAAACTTTCTAGCTTGTTCTACAAACTTTTGTTACATTTTGTGCTTGTCAAATGAATTCTTGAGCATATGAAAGGGACCGAGTCGTATCCATGGAGATCCGTCGTCTAGCTTTGAGAGAGGGTCTCTCTCTCTCTCTCTCTCTCTCTCTCTCTCTCTCTCTCTCTCTCTCTCTTTGCTCGGCAACCGACAGCTCAGCTTCGTTCCCGTTCGTTCCCCCACACAATTCACTCATTTCACAGATGGACTCGTCCAACCCTTCGACGTCTTCCTCCAACAACACAACTCCATCTCTCAAGTGTCAAGTGTGTTTCCAAGCGGCTCACGGCAATCACTTTGGCGTCGAAAGTTGCAGAGCGTGTGCCGCTTTTTTCAGGTTCTTTTACTTTATTCCTTTTTCGTTTCCATTCCGAATGATCTTTGTAGGAGAGTCTTTGTTACGCACAAGCAACATTTTAAATGTCGTGTGGGCGATCAAAAGTGCACACCTGACATATATGGACGGTTTGTCGAGGGGAAGGTCGGTCACAAAAGAAGATAAAAAATGGTTTAGATGGAACTGTAAACGATGCCGAACCGACAGATGTTTCGCGCTGGGAATGAAGCCGGACAGTCTGTTTTTGGCATGATGTTCTTTGGAAATTCTGGAATTCCAGATATTCAACACAACCGAGATCTCTTTTTCTGTTCCGAGAACTTTTCAAAGCGAAACAAGCCGATGTTCTCTTTGCCTCCGACCGTGACCGATGAGTTCATTTCGTACGTCGACCTGAGTCCGTTGATCGAAACTTCAACGAGAATGCTTCAACATGTAATCTTTGCTCAAACTTTTCTTTCTTTCTTCAATTCCATAGCAATTATTACTTCAGAGCCCTCGACTCGAAACGCGGCACGAATCGTTGAGTTCTCTAAGGAAACTTGCGCTTGGATTGAAGGAAATGCGAAAAGCACAGTTGTGGGACGATATAAAGGTTGGCCACGAGTCTCGGGGACATACAAAGTATCACGAAGTTTCAGGAGATTGATGTGATCGGCCGAACGGAATCCATCAATTACATGCGAACAGAAGTCGGCAGATCCGCCCAGTGGCTCATGTACTTTGACGAGTTTAGAAATCTCGAGTTAGAGGACAGAGTCAGTTATTCATAAGATGTGAAAGTGCACACAAGGTTATGTTTCAGTTGCTCATCACAAAATGCATGTGGATACTGTTCACGAGAGTTGAGCGAAGTGCAATGACTGCTGAAATGAGACGACAGAACAAGTTGAGAGACAATGTACGATTGTATCTAAAATAATCCGAATGAAATGGTTTCAGGAGTTTTCCTTCAAGACAGACGTCAAAGTGAATTTGGATACAGTCCAATGGAATTATGACTGGCTCTCGCCCTTTTCGACGGAACAGATGCAAGCGTGAGGAGTTCATAAAGTCTAACGGGTCCATTTATAGATACATTTCAGATTTCTCGGAACGCCGTCCGTTGTTTTTTATGGAAAATTGGTGGATTGTATGTTGGAGATTCGGCCGACCGACGAGGAACTCTGCTATCTCGTCTGCACGCTTTGCTTCCACCACCTCGGAAGCAGATTAGGAGGTCGGATTCAGGAAATGACGGAACGGCTTCAAGCGGTTCTGGCTGATGATTTGCACAAGTATTACTTGGAGACTGACAAAACGTCCCGCTACCTGCATAGACTGAACAAAGTGCTGAAGATCAATCAGCAGTACAAGGTAACATTATCATTATTCTTATTCTCCACGTACCCAACACTTTTCAGACTTTGACCGTCGAGCGAAGACGATCTGTTTTCCTGGGAACCGTGTTCGGCGCCTTCAAAGTTCAGTGGTCTCATCAAGATTGGTTCAGCGACGCTAGTTGAATAATGAATTCATACAACTTTCATACATTCACACCAAATTCAAAGGTGTAAAGAGCTACTTGAAAGTCTGTTATTCGGCACACGTCCTCCATTACAATCAGATATTCTGCTTCGTTTTGTCCAGACGCGGGAACTGACGTCTGTCCACGCGCAAACAGGACACATAATGAGTCAGAAAGTGATGGCAGTTTTCGCCGACGACCGTTGATCTTCCGCTTGTCGAATTCGAGTTGTCATTCCAAACGCTCCAACATCAGATTCCCAAGATGACGAACTCGTTGAAGAAGACGGGCTCACTTGAACAGCTAGCCTTCGGTTTGCAAGAAGTGAGAAAGTTTCAGATCTGGGACGGACTTCCGGTGATGAGAAGGATCGGGAAGGCGGAGACGTGGGATCACTGGGTGCAAGAGATGCGGCGAACCGGCACGTGGATCATGCACTTTGAACAGTCGCAATGACAGCAGAGATGAAGAGACTGAAACTATGTGATGAGCGGGTTGGAAAAGACTGAAGGAGACAGTACCTGAAATAATCTTAGGGGGTTCGTGTTTGGAATCCAGCAGCGGATAAACTATGAGAATGGTTTTTAGAATCCAGCGACAAGAAAGTCAGACAGTAGGTGCTCAACATTGAAGTGGAACTCATAATATCTATACTTCACTTAAGGCAAATGAATTCATGTTTTACCCGTTTTCGGAGGAACAAGACAAAGACAGAGGAGAAGTGAAACAATCAAACGACTTGGGCACAAAAATGGAAGAGGCAAGATGATAACTATCAACATGAATGGAACAGAAAAATTAAAACTCAAAATCTTTGCCAGCGTGGCAATAAATCGAACGGATTCTGTCCTTTGCCGGTTGGAAGTTCGACTGAAGTGACAGTGTGGAGTAGTAGAAGTTGAGAGCTCTCTGGTAGTCTCCGCTCGACGCGTAAATGTTGCCGAGGGTGAAGTGGATGGCGACGAGGCGGGGAGACGAGCTGAGGGCGGCACCGGCGGCGATGAGCGCCGAGTTGAGAAGACCGGCTTGATGGCAGATGTTGGCCAGCGAGACGAGTCCGACGTCGCGCATCTGTGGCGGCGCGGTGTGGAGGGCGCATCGGAGGCAGCTCATTGCGTTCTCCGCATTCCCGGTCACTCGCCAATACAGTGAGGAGAGCACACAGAGCACCCAGCTGACGTGACCGTCTTCTGAAATCAAACACCGTTTAATTACCAAAAAGACCTTGCCTTAAATATCTCTTTCTACACGTGAAACCCTCCTTATTCTATTCATTTCTGCCTTAATTTGAAGTATTTGACTGAAGCTCACGAAGAAAAACTCACTGGCATTGCTGTGGAGCATGGCGGCGTGAAGACGGGCGGCGACGTGCTCGATAGTGTCCCGTTCGTTTCCCAACGACTTCAACGCCTCGGAGAGCGCCTTTTCGGGCTGATAGAACAGAAATTGATCGCTGAGCGCAAACGCGGGAATGTGATCGAGACCGAGAATCGGCGAGTTCTTGTATTTTTCCATGCTCGGACACACCGGCTGAAGAGACGCCATGGCGGGCATCGGTCCCCGCAGATCCACGTACTTCTCGATGTCCTCTCCTTTGGCGGTCAGCGAAACCCACGTGGAGGGGGCGTTATCGAACATGACATCCAGTTTGGAGACTCCGTTGCACGACATTGTGGCGACACGTGGCGGCGGGAAGATGGCGATTCCGCGACGGATTTGATGAACGGAAGGGGTCGGCAGCTGATCGGGCAATTGGGCATCGTACTGCATCATCATAGACTTCTCGCGGATCCACAAGAATGAGAGAGGTTTCTGAATGAGTTACGGGATGAGAAGAAATTAGAAAGAAAAAGAAACCTCGGGAATGGCGGCCAGAACTGACGATCCCTCCTCTTCCCACTCGTCCATCTGCTCGTCGTCCTTCATCGGAAGCACGTACTTCATCTCGTTCTTTGCGCCGTCCCACCATTCCGCGGGTCTTTCGGCAAAGAAATTGTTCCATCCGCCGTAGTCGAGCGGCATCTCGCTGCTCTCGATCGTCTGAATTCCCTCGGCCTGATTGACCCAATTGGCGACGTCATTCCGCGGAACGACAGTGTTGAAAACGAGGAGGAACGGGGAGATAATGCTCGCGTAGTCGGACGTCTTCTTGCTGAATCCGTCGTATATTCCGTTGCAACGATGGTAAACGAGTTGGGGTGGCGCGTTCAGAATCGGCGACGGTTCGACGACGTAACACTGTTCCTCTGCGTCTTTTCGGGGCTAAAATTCTTAAAATACGGACAGAATGAATGTCTGTGAACTGACTCGTATGCACACTGCATTCTGAGTGACCATCGAGCAGCAGACGGTCGGGAATTTGGAGGAAATGGCCGCTTTCGTCGACTTTCCGCTGCACGCAATCTTCAGCAGATCTTCTCCGATGACGTCGTTCTCCGGATCCTTGTCCATCGCGTCTTTCAGATGTTGAATCGCCTTGTCCACGTCGTGCAGCAGCAGCTTCATTCTGCCTTGCACATAATGGAAGAGCGGCTCCTTATAGCCGAGAAGGTTCAGCTGTTGCATCAGAAATCCGTGCGCGTCGTTCACCATTCGCGTCGTTCTCAACATCACTTGAGTGAGTTGCACAATCGCGATGAATGATTCTTCTGGCTGAAATTCAGTTTTATATTTTATCAAATAAAGGCCTACTGCTTACCTTATCCAGAAAAGCGCCGAGCAGACATTTGGCGGCCTGGTGCGGGTTTCCCTGAACTCTCCAGTACAGACCGGCCAAGTTCATGGACACCCATTTGGGACCGATGTTCTAAAAGTGTTCAGTTAAGGTCTTGACGCAAATCTTCAGATAACTCACATGTTTTATGAGAAGATGTATTCTCGCGCCCATCTCGTGCTCTTCCATCGCTCTGTCTCCCAATCGAACAAGGTCAGTCTTCAGCGTTTTCTCAGCGAATTCTTCCGATCTCCGATCAAATCTCGGGTTGAGAAGGCGTTCGATTCCTTCGAACTGAAAATGAGAAGTATGAAACAATAACGGTAAACTAAACTGGAGTACCCCAGTGAAAACGCGAAGATCGTCTCGCTTCACAAAATCGCATCGTGGCTCGAACCACGGCAGCGGGAGAATCTCTTGTGGCGTCAGCCCGAGATGGGTCGTCAGCAGTTCGGAGACTCTGAAACGTACGTGTAAAATCTGAAAATAGTTTGCAGGTCACTAACATCCATCCTCTGTTTTCCGGCGAGATGAACACTTGCGGGAATGTGTTGATTCGGAACGGATTGGACGAGGAGACGACCGCCTGGCAGTCGACAGAATTCGGCCAATCGGCCCGTCTCCAGAAACGGTCGATACTTTCGTCTATTCTGAAATTCCGTTGTCTTCTGTTTTTTTTCGAAAACATCCAAATCTTACTCTTTATTCGTAAACTTTGGTTCAATCATCCGAAAATATCCGCTTTGCTGACTATTTTTCGCAATATCCAGAAGGACTTTATCGAACGCCCGATTCCTGGGGAACACTTCGGTCACTTTCCACGACGTCTCGTTGACAGGCGGACGGTTTCGAAGCGTCTTCTGACGGATCAGCGTCATCGCTTCGTCATACTTTTCCGACGTTGTCGTCAGGTGGCAAGATATCGTGGGAACTACGTTCATCGGATGGTTCGACGAAGGGAACCGATTCACGTGCGCTCTCGTGCATTTCCGATCTGAAAAGCAGTTGATACCCCAGACCGATTACACGAAAAAAGGCTCACATGGATGCGGTCCATACTTGACTTGATCGTAGAACAATATCTGATTCGCGCGAATTTCCCGCGTTGGAATCAAAGAAACGACGTTCGCGTTCATGTCGATTCGTTTGTTGTACGACCTCTGGAAGTTGTTCTTCTCGTTCACCAGCTCCTCGAGGTTCTCCTTCTGCTGTTCGAGCGCTTCGTAGAGCCTCATGTGGCACGAGAGCACGTAGGCTTTCGACTCGCCGAGGTCAAAGAACTGATCGAGAATCTCACCGTCCGGCTGATTCTGCTCGACCTTCGCCTCCTAAAACTTGCGAAACTTCTCCAACAATATGAGTTGGCCGTTCAAACCTGGAAGAAGTGAGCCGCCGTCGCGTAGTTCTCAAATGTCTTGCTGAAAATGCCGTTCCGCTCTTTCTGCGTCAACTTCAGATGAATCGTCGGCTGCTCTTTCTCGGGATCGGCGCCCGCTTCGGGCCCTGTCAGCACTGACGCGTCGGCCGTCGCGGCGTACATCATTCCGAGATAGCACGGAGACAAATGAGTCTTCGTTAGTTGCTGAAACAGATTTTTTGAGTTGAAACAACACATTTTCCGTTTACCTTAAGAATAATGTACGCTTCGACAGAATAGCCGCCCCTGTTCAATAGCGTGGCTATCGAGAGTCGTACAGTCTGCTCCGCGTGAGCCGGATGGTACGCATCGATCTGAGGGTTCCGTATTTCGTCGTTACTGAAACATGACACACATTTGATAGAAAATGGGGAAATACGTACACGAAATTGATACCGGTCGCATAACAAGTCAGCGCGTACGAGATCTTTCCTTGGGCTCTCCAGTAGGCGGCAGCGGCCATGTGCAGGTACGCATTCCGGGATACTCTCTGAAAATCATTCCCAGTTCGACAAAGAGCGCTTGTTAAACCTCGTCAGCGTGGGAGAGCATGCTGGAGAGCATGTTTCCGAAGCGAGACATTCCTTCCGAGCCGCGTGTGAACTTTGCAAAGTCCGGGAAGTACATGTCGAGTACTTTCAGATACAGCTCGTCCTCGGCGCCCACTTTCTCGTTCAAACTCTTGCCGAGATCCACGTTGTTCTGCCCCTTCATTTTGACCGCCTCGAACCAATAATTGCACCGCGGCGGTCGTTTATCGTTGTCGGGCGGCGTTCCGAAGAACTCTTTCACGAAGGCGGTGTACTGTTGGTACGACTCGTGGAATTCCGGACAGAGCTCCGCGGAGAACGATGTGTGGAAACTCTCCGGCTCCAGTTTTATTCCGCGCGACTTTCTGAAAGAATGTATTGGTTCTTACTGAAAATTCCGATGAATTACTCACACGCACGCTTCTTCCTTTTCCCGGAAGTCGTCCTCGAACTTTGGATTGTCGACTTTTTCGTATTTCGAGATTTTCTGCAGCATTCCCTGCATCTCGTCCACGTGCTCTCCGATCATTTTCACATTGTCCACCTGCTTCAGAAAGTCGGTCAGTGATCCGGACATTTTCAGTTGATACGGTGTGTCTATCTGTAGACGATTTTTCGAATTTAAAGTATTTACATTATAATAGCTCACCACAGCCTCGATCTTCTTTCCGTCGTCGCTGATCCTCCAGTGATAGGCCGAGAGAACGACGTCATTGTGGAGTATGAGCAGGGTGAACAGCCAGGCGAACCATTTCCGATTCATTGGTTCGGCTCGACCCGGAGGATTTGATTACTGAAAGCAAAAAACTCTTTGAACTAGGTGTTATTAAGACAAGGAACATGGAAAACGCATGTATCTCTGCGTCTCACTTTCTCGCCGCCGTTCAATTCAATCAATAATATTCTGGAGATATCGGGGCGTGAGGCGGCCGAAGAAACCTGTACTTCTTCTTCTTCTTCTTCTCGGCGGCCAACGCGAAACGGAACACGCGTCGTTTTAACGGCGGCGAAGAGTGGAAAAGCATAAGAAGCGGTTGCGTTTCGGACAAAGAAAACGGGAGGAGGCGAACTACCAGGAATGCGAGAGAGCATGCGAAGAGCGGAGGGCGCATATAAACAATGGCGTTCGGTCCAGCTCGCGGATGTCTACTTTTCAGAAGGTGTCACTTCCAAGAGGCACTTTCGATTGGAGAGAGAGAAAGAGAGAGAAAGAGCGGAGAAAGAAGAAGGGGACGGAGAAGAAGACGTGGCGAAACGGAGGAATAACTAAAAAACGGAGGTGAATCGGGACAAGGCCATTGGCCGCGCATCCCATTACGCGCATTCACTAGCCAACTACATCAAATGCGTTGCATACCGTTTTTCAAAATTACAATAACCTAATCATTGGATTTTTTAGGTAAAACAAATTGAGAAGCCAACAGGGACGATCATATTCAAACGTCAATGCTGAATAGTTTATTCACACAACGGCATGTTCATTATTATTAACTCTGGACACTGCCAATACAATACTAATCATCGGACTATTTAAGAAAAGAGCAAAAAAATCAAGTCTGGCGACTTTTGGTTTGGGGAAAGGAGCAAAAGGAAGGTAGAGATGACCGCGTTTCAATTAAAGAGAAAATGATAAAGACGGGGCTCGTAATAATCATAATCAATCATACTAGGAACTAGGCGGAAAACATGGAAATAAAAGGGACAAGTGGTCGACCTAGTGGGGGCGAAAATGAGACCGGCGATCATCAAAAATGGGGAAAGGGAAAACGGATGGAACATTTGAGCGATGGGATTCACTCGGAAGCTAGGGATGAGAAAGGATGAGAGGGAATTCGAAAAAAGATGAGCAAATCGAATCGACTTCTAATTTATTTACAAGTGATGATCGAATCGGGAGGGACGCGGAGACAAAGTGCTCCGAAAATGAAGGGGGAGTGTTTGAATTAGGGATGTGGAAGTGGAGTTGCATGAGAGACTTTTTCCAAGTGAAAAAGAGAACATAAAGAGGATGAGAACCGCGTGGAGAAAAAGACGAAGAAAAAAAGAAGTAGGATAACACAGAGATGGTTTCGATAAGAGAGTCAATGCATGGAGGGAGGAGAAACCAAGTGAAATGGAACACACGACAACTGAATCACAGACCAACGTGGTCGGAAATGGGGAAATTATACAAATACAATGAGAAACGGGAAAAGAAATTGTGAAAAAAAGGGATTGCAAAGGGAAACTGAGACATCGTACAGTGTGGAAAGCTTTTTGACGATAGTACATGCTGAGATACAGAAGTAGTTGTAGGAGATTCAAGACGGCGGAGTTGTCAGTCGACGGATTGCTCCGTCCAAATCGCTTTGACTAACCTGCAAGCGGAGAATGAAGATGAAAGCAGAGCAAGTGCGAAACTTACTTGTGGAACGGCGATTCTCTTCAGCAGCTCCTCGACCAATTCGTTGCAAATTCCAGGACACGAGTCCTCGACCTCTCGGAAGACGTGTCTCAGTTGGTCGAGCGCCGCAGTTGCATGCCGAGTTCGGGATAAGTGCTCGAGTGCCGGCAGAAGACTGAAGTCCAGGGCTCCTTTCACTCTCGGAGCAGCAACGGTGTGGGACTCGCGGGATGGCGGCGGAGCACCGTATCCATACATTCTTCCGTGATTTAGGTTCTCTTGCGAAGACGTCGGAACGTGACTGTCACGGTAATCGTGTCGTCCGCCCGAGCCTCCGGGGCCACGCTGTCTCGTGGCGTCCGAGTACTCGGTATGATTGAGGTGCGAACCTTGTCCGTTCATACCGGCCGATCCGTTGACGTACTCACGACGACCGCCACTTCCTCCTTGAACACCTGAAACAAAGTTCAACCAGCGCTCTTTTTCTCTTTCTCACCATTATTATTGTTTCCACTCGTTCTGTGCTGGTTGTACCGCGACGGTGAAGCTTGCGAGGACAGTCTCTCACTGGACGGACGTGAACCCCTCTCCAGCTCCCACGAATTGGCCGATCCTGCTCTTTGTCCGTTCGGAGAAACCATGGACTGAGTTCTGGCCAAAGAAGACGTGGGACTTCCGTTCGGACTACCTAATGTGATCGTTGTGGCTCCGGCGCCGAAGCAGCGTGTGTTTGTGGAGCTGATGACGCTGCCGACGATGAGTATTGAGAGGATGCGATGTTTCCACCCGACCCATAGCCAGAAGAACCCACAGAAGCGTTCCGAAGTTGTTCTGCGACTGCGGCCACTTGGGGACTTCCCTAGAATAAGATTCCGTTAGGAACAGTCTCGGAAATTTCAATCCGACCGCCAAGTCGGAAAAATGTCTTGGCGTTTCTCAAACATCCCGCACCTATGCGGTTGACTCACTCTGACAATGGTCCCTCCGGGAGAATGACTGGGTGACCTCCGTCCGACTGGAGCTCTCGGTCGGTCGGTTCTTTGCCGAACTGTTCCGTCGTCTTCTGCCGGTCCACGCGGTCCTCGCACTGTCGGATAGTCCCAATTGCTTGTGCCACCTCCTCCGTCAGAATCTTCGTCCAAATCGCTGTCACTTGACACTCCGGTCCTTGAGCGATACTCGGCAGCTCTTTCAATCAACTCCACGAGAATGCTGTTTTTCTTCGCTCGCTTTATGAATTGATGCTTGAGAAGTGTGCTTGCGGACGGTCTCTGCAGGAAAATTGTAAGATTAGCTCAAGAAAAATATTAAAAACTCACATTTTCGGGATCTTTGTTCAAACATAGTTCGACAAAATCTTTGAACGGTTTCGACCATTGTGCTCCAGTTAATACGGGCGGTGGATTCTTGGGGATCAGAAAGAGAACGCGCATCGGATGGAGATCGGAGTGCGGTGGTTCGCCGTTCGCCAATTCGATCGCCGTGATGCCCAGCGACCAGATATCAGCCTGAGAGAAAAGAAGTTCATGAATGGAGTTGTTCCGTGATAATTTAAAACACAGGAAGCTATAAGGGAACACAAAGGGAACCAGAAGCAATACCTTGTAGTCGTAGCTGGACTGCTTGATGAGCTCTGGTGCCATCCAAAACGGAGAACCCACGAATGTGATACGCTTTTTGACGGTTTCGGTGAGCTGTCCGGCTACTCCGAAGTCTGCCACTTTCACATCTCCATGTTCGCTGACAAGCACGTTTGCAGCTGAAACAACGGACAAAACGGTACGGGAGGCGGGGAACGGAAAAAGTGGGGAAGGAACCGCCAAAAGCAAAACATTGGGAGGGAAACGGCACGGGAGGAGAGAACAGCGACGGCGTGTACCTCGATACCGTAGTCGCCCTGTATCACTTCGGGAGCCATGAAAAACGGCGTTCCCACAAAAGTGTTGGCTTTGAGGACGGTGGCAAGCGACTTGGCCACTCCATAGTCACAAATTTTAACAGCCGCCGTTTGACGATCCAACAGAATATTGGCTCCTAAACATTTCCGCTTCCCAATTGAGTCAAAATCAGGGGAATCGAGGGAGACCCAGAGCATCCTTTGAAACGCTTCTAACCTTTTATGTCTCGATGAATCTTCCTTTCGCTGTGCAAATATTCGAGTCCCTTTAGAATTTCTCGAAGGATCACTGCAATGTGGCTCTCGTCTAGTTTCCCGCTCTGAAACATTTGAATAAATATATGAGCACAATCAAAAAATACTCACTTTTGTCAAATCGAGTGCTGATCCGCCACCGAGATATTCCATTATAATCCATAATTTCGAACCCTTGAGGAAACTGCCAAAATACTTGGTCACGTACTGTGAGTCGCACTGACTGAGCACTTGAATCTCCTGCTGAATGTCTTCGATCTCATCTTCCGCTTGCTCAAGGTCGATGATCTTTATGGCGACGACCCGTCCGGTTCGGTTGTCGATACCCTTGTAGACCTCACCGAAAGAGCCGCGTCCGATGCGCTCTTGCTTCGTGAAAATGACCTCCGGATCCAGCTTCTGCAAATTAACAGTTTTCCATTTTTTAAACAAATCGATGTGTTCGTCAGAAAACATCGTCAAAACCGATTTGTTGTCCCCGAACATGAATCAGAGTTACGACCGCCTGTACACAAAACCCCCCGAATGAGTCAGCGTGCATTAAAATTGATGGTGACAGACATAGACAAATAGCCAAATCAGAATTCGAATACGGACCACGGAGGTGACATCATACCTCGTGCTTAGGATTGGGTTCTAGGCGCACTAGGGTCATTCTAGAAAGAAAACAGAATCAAGAGGACGTTATATTAAGTAGGCAAGAGTCAGAAGAAAACAAACACAGTTATAGTTATGAAAAAGAAAATTCCGTAACGACAGATGCTTTTGCTTTAATTTTTTTCAGTGCAGTTTTGAACGTAAAAATCATTATAGTATAGGAGTGTTCGTTTTTAATAAGAACAGCACAGAAACCGAGAAGAAATGAGTGTGCGAGTGTGACCAGTTGCTGATTAGACACGAGACACTCCTACGCCTAACTATATTTGCGCCTAATGGTGAATCAAACACTCAACCAGCTCGGCTAGCCTCTTATCACTGGTTTATGCATTCCTCCAGGTGAAAGAACAAAAGTGCACTAGTGTTGACGGGAAATCGACTAAACGACTGAAACGTGGCAAGTCCGAATGCTCATGGAAACGCAGTGTAAAAGCGTTAAGCGGTCCTAAAAGGCATATAGGCACATTTCGAATATAATACACGCGGTGGGACTACAAACACAACTAGCCAGCCGTCCGATTCCTGCGCCCTCTCGCCATCGAACCGTACACACTCGTCTCGACCGATTCCACCCCGATCCCTGCCTCCTCTCTTTCGCCCCGTCCTGTAGCCCGCTGTCACACCGGCAGCAGCACACCGTGTTGTTCAAACATTCCGAACCCAGTGGTGGTCGCAGAGGAAGGAAGCAAGGGATAGGCAACGAAACCGCGACGCGACGAGACGCGAGCCCCTCCGGAGAGCAGCAGAATGCTGATCAACACTCAATCTTCTTCTCGACCTCTCGCGGAATTAGAAAGAGTGACGCTGCGGCGAGAACACGCCCTAACCGTGGACGTGTCGATTCCGTGAAGACAGACTACGAGCACAAAGAGTCATGAAATGAAACTTTTGGAGATAACTTTGACAAAAGGTCCTGTTTGGTTTGCAAATGGCAATAAAGAGACAAACGTCATAAAAATTGGTGTGCACAAACCATACACAGTCACGGTGAGAGGAGGTCTCGAAGAAAGGAAACGAAGAAAAGGTGCTAATCACTGAGAGAAGCCTGATCAAAAACCGTCAGATTTTGCGTTCCGAGCAGAAAAAAAAAACGGGCCGGGGAAATGGGAAGGAGGATACTAAACGTTTTGAGCAAACACACCGCATTCCAACGTAGCGATTTCGAAAGGCGGCGCGGAAGAAGTATGATTAATTCGCACTTTTTGACCGAATTCGTTCAGTTTTGAGTATAAGATCGATCATCCTTAGACGACGAATGGATGAACTATTCGCTGACTGTCAGTAGCCTGTTCGAGGAAAGTTTCGGATTAGAAGCCAGATAAAACGCATTGAAAACGAGGAGGGACAGATTAGTGTGTGGCAGACGGGCGTACAGTCGTCATTCAGTCGAACGAGAGGCGACGTTTCGCTTCGGTTGGCCACTCTCTCCCATCGCGCAGTACGCGTCCGCCGGATACAAATTCATCGGGCGGGGGGACGGAAGACACTTCAGGAAGAGGAAAAAAGGAGGAAGAAGACACAGTGAGGCGTCAGATTGAGGCCACATTCTGAATCGGAATCCGCAAAACATTTGTGTTCGATGTGATTGGCAATGCGACTTTCAATGAGCGTATCACTGCAAAAACGGACCGTCGCGCCGCACATTCCTCAATTTCTCTTTCGTTCTCTCTGCCTAATTGTCAGTTAGAGTGCAATTCAAAACCAGTATTTGGCGAGCTACAACTACTAGAAAACACGGGAAGTGCACGGCAAACAGCTTTCTACTGTAACTCTGGGTAAACACGCATTTTCGCATGGAGTCAAAAGAGCGCCAAGAAAAGGAGAAACACTTACCTCGACATCTGATCCGAAAGAGGTAAAATCCATCAGAAATACCCGGAATATTATGCGACGGCCGCGCCGCAAACGATAAAAACTGAGCTAACAGAAGGGGGCGTCAGCTCGAGGCGCGAGTTCGAAAGTGGTCGCAAGCAGCGGAACCGACGGCCTATTGCGGACTTTGCGGCGGCAGTGAGCGGTCGAATGAGGAGTGGCAAACGATTGGAGCCGCCGCGGCTGATAACGAATGTTTAGTAACACAATACTCTGTTTTACCCACCCACAGATATCTGTATTTCTTTCCATTTAATAAAAACATTTAGCGTACGCAAGAAACTACCAAACTATACTTTATTTGTCAATTTCTCCAGAGTTCTTCTGCTCACTGATTACAAGATGGTTTTTGAAAACAAAAACAAAAACAAATCGTTTTTTTTTTTCGGAAAAATGACTCACGCTGTTATCCTCTCGCGTTTTCTCAACGTTCCGTCGTTCCGCAGGTTTCGGAGGCGACTCTTCCGGCGACATTACGTTCAAATTGACGGACAAACTAACGGGAGAGAAGACGTCGGCGGTCGGTTGAGGTGCCTCCATCGAGTTGTAGATGCCTTGGATAGTTTTTCCAAAGTGGGTAGGTTTGAAGCCCGAATCGAACCGATTCAAAGTCATATTCTCCATGGGAACATCCATCGCCGACTCATTCGCCATTCCGTAAATGACATGCTCACGTGGAGGCGTGATTTGAGGGAAATACGTGCTTTCTTCGACTGGATAGACGATGTTTGTGTTGACGAAGAGCGGTTCAACTGGGTCCGGTGCTCGGAAAGGCGGAGGCGGAGCGGGTGCTCGTTTCTCGAATCTTTGGATCGCCGACTGCACATTCGTTGCCCGAAGTATAGTGTCGGTGAACCGATGATCTTCCATTTAGGCACTGAATTCAGACAGATTGTGGGGTAAGTCGAGCGACGAACGGCGACGAGGAATGACGAAGAGGAAGAGGTAGCCGCACTGCAGTCACGGCGGTGAAACGAAAAGGAAAGACGGATGGGGCAATCGATAAGGAGAGAATTATGCCATAAAAATTCTTGACGCGTGATGCATTTCATTTCGATAACACGAGTAAAGGGAGTGTCGTCGGGAAGAGAGGCCATGCGCGAGGAACTGATGACAGCTCGACAAACACATCTACTGACCGTTCGGAGCAAAAAGCGAGATGAAATGAGAGTGATCCAACGATCTTTTACTTCGTCTGATCTGACACAAATTTAGGCGGGAGTTGAAAAACGGTGTGTTCGACACGAAGAAAATGCGCAAAAAATGCGTCGGTTCGCGGACAGACGGTGCACTCGAAATGAGTGAAATCTGATACGGAAAAGGCGCGGGTTTTTTCTGTTCAAAGAGGTCATTTTTCGGAGACGACACACTGGCGGCCGACAGAAAGGGTGTACGACTCGGGATTATTCATATTTGTTGTGTCGACGACGCAAGAGTTTCCATAATCGCAACGGTCAACACGGTGTTACAATTACTTGCAGAACGGCCGCCCGTCTACTCTCTCGCTCACCTGAATATAAATTCGATCCCATTTGACCGAGTCATCCGGAATCTGCGGCGGCGGCGGCGGCGCTTCTGTCATTTTTCGTCGGTGGCTGAAATGTGACGATAAAAAGGAGGCGAAGAAAAAACGGGCGCAACGGACAGAGGAAACGTCTCACGCGAGCGTTGAAAAAAACGTTTTTGGACGCTGGAGGTAGCCAATGGACAGTGCACAGTTTACAAGATACCGTACACACGTGGCAAATCGCAGTCTGTCGCTCAAGTAACAGTTTTCTAGGCCACCGGTCACACAAATATTTGAAAAAGTGTACCGAAAAGTGTAGTATACTGTTTTACTGCAAATATGTTCAAAATAATACGAATTTCGTGGGTTTCTAAAAGCACAGCAAGAAATTTCAACGCAGGAGTTTTTTCAACTGGCTACGGCGACAAAGAGTCTCGGAATAAACGGGAACGACGCTCCGTTCATTGCGTTGCGGCGTTCGTAAGATTGGCCTTTGGGAAGACAGTGGTTGGGCAAAGAAAAAAAAGACGATCGTCCTGGCCAAATGGTCCGTCTGACTGGAGAGGACCGCAGAACGCGGCACCAAACTACGAATACGTGTTTCGATGATCTATTTACGTGAAGAGCTGTCAATCAAACAGTCGTAACAAGTCTTTGATCTCTGCGACAGGTGTGAACGGTCCCTGACCCGGTCATTAATGTTCTCGGGACTACCGCAACGCTGGCTGTCTCCAACGAGATTTCTCGGCAGAACGGTCCTCTTCTTTTTTCTCCCAGCCCGGCCGTTCTTCCCAAAACGCCGCACGACGCATCGATATTGTGGAATCGCTGCGAGACCCGTTGTCGGTTTTGACCTACGCGCGCAACGCGAATCATGCGGTCCTTGACTGTTCTTCTCGTTTCTTGGACCATTTTTTCAAGAGGCAAGCAGAACGTCTTGTCAACGAGAGTTTTTGCAGTTTTTTGTCAAAAGCGTTTGAAGGTATTATGAGAAATCGATAGTTTTTGCGTAAGTCAAACATTTGAAAACAATTTCAGTTCGTGTTTTTCAAAATATATTGTTTTTTTAGTTCAAAACTCAAAAACCGAATCGCAAGAACTATCGATTTTTTCAAGGAATTACAGAAAAACTAGCGAAATTTTTTCGAAATTTGTTTCCGAAATGCGGAATTCGAAAATGTGGCGGATTCCGCGGATCTCTGATGTTCAGTGTACCCAAGAAAGCAAACTTGAACATCAATAAAATTCTCGACCGTTTCCTGCGGACATCCGGATTCCATTCGTCGCTTCTTCTTCAACGTCTAGTTATTCAAATGCTCACAGCAGGAGGACACTCTCGATCCGTTTGTGAAAATGCGCGCATTCTCTGCTTCATTTCGAATCGAAAGCACCATAAAACGGCGTCAGATCCTTCCTTCCCCTTCTTCTTCTTCTTCCACTTCTTCTCTCATCACCTCCAGCGCCTTCTTCATATCTCCGCCGTTATCATATCACATTTTATCCAGTCGACCTCGCCCACACACAACAAAGCTGAAAACCCGCTTGTGATAAACTTAGGCCTGTTACGTAACACAGTGTGTACACTGCCATTGGCCGACCGAAGGCTCCCTAATTGGCGCGATCTCTTCACATCCGCACTTCCTGCCGAACGTCGCCATCATTAACTCGTTTTTCTGGCCTGCCCTTCTTCACTTTGCCTTTTCACTTTCGCTACGTACCTCATCCAAAAAGTCTCTTCTCAACTTCTTTTTTCGCCCCTCATTTAGTGTGTGAAAGTTGTCGATGGAATCTGGCGATATGCAAAGGCGATGGCAGTCATCGTCAGTCTTCCGCCAGAGGAGGACCTTCGGTGCGGAAGATGCCGCAATTAGTGGAAAAGTCACTCATTTATTAGCCGAAATTGGCTCGTAAATCATAATGCTGAATTCAAACGAAGCGAATTCGGTGGTGCGCGGTGTCATCTATCAGAGCGGTGTCGGCGGCGGTACTACGCTGATTGTCCCTCTCTTTCTCCCTTTCGGTCACTTTCTCTCTTTCGCTCCCGAATAATTGATCTGTTTCGCGAGATAGTCCACATTTTCAACGTCTTCCGCCCGCTTCACAGTGTTGCTTTTCCCCTCGGCCGATCTGGTAACCAGTCCCTTGTCCCCTTATCACTTGGCAGTCTGCCAACCGCCGTTCCACCTCCATCCAGGACCCTCCGAAGTGTGCGTCTTCTCGTGGACCCCCAAGTCGTGAATCGGCCTTCATCTCTTCTCACCGTAATCCTGTCTTCGCGTTCGCCACCCGTCTGCGTCTCGCGGCTTCTCAGTCCGTCCGACAGGCTGGCTTCTTCTTCTTCGGCTTCTCCGTCTTCTTGGCGGTCGCGGCGCTTCATTCGTCCTCTCCGGACGGCCACCTTCTCCTTCCTCTCTTTCTTCTTCTTCTTCTTCTTCTCCTTCTTCTTCTTCTTCTTCTTCTTCTTCTAGTGTGTACACGATGATTCTGAGACCCATTCTCTTTTTGAAACCAATAGAAACTTTTACCGCGCAACACAATCCGCTCCGTGTGAGAACACGATCTGGGTCACAGCATTAAGCTTCTCCTCTCACTTTTTATTACTCGCCCCCAGCAGCACTCTTCAATTCAAGCCTGCCTGCCACGTCATCCTCCTCGTTTCCAGAAGTCACCAAACGTCGTCGGCTGCCGTGTCCCGTCGTCGCCGAGACACGATGCCCATTCGGTTACTGTCTCTCTCGCTGCCCATTCTATTGCTGGCGACGTCTGCTGCGTTCGCGGTAAGTTCCCTCCATTCTTCATAATTACATTGCTATGTTCGTTCGTTCGTTCATTCCGGCTAGGCTATCCACGGCAAATTATTATGTTTATTTATTACCCAATCGCCAAAACAACAACAATAACGCGAAAGCGCGCCATAGATTGTCCGAATAGATCAGAAAGCTAGAGAGAGAGAGAGAGAGAGCGCGTCGATTGAAACACAAAAACGTTCACACACTCTAGGATTTATACGATTTTCAGCAACTCAACGATGGCGCCGCGTCCTTCGGAGACGCTCCCCACTCCCACCGACGGCTCTACGGCATCAGAAGACTGAGGGTAACCGCCCAGGAGGCTTGGAATGTCTCATCTGAATTCTGAAAGCGCTTACAGATGTTGCGTCCGATCCCACAGACAGTCGAGCACTCGCCGACCCATCAGTTCGTCGACCGCCGCCGTCAACCGGCTCGCTTCTCATCCGAAGACTCCGAACAGGTCAGTCACCCTCACAAGGGCAAAAACGTGTTCCTGACTCATTGTCCTTCATGCCCATTCTGACGTAATCGTGTGTGGAGGAGGGCCGGGCCGAACGGAAGAATCATCATAAAGATTGCCAACCGATACCATACGATTTGTTGAAAGAAGCGACCGAAAAACGACATGTGTGTGTGTGTGTGTATTCCGACGTGTTCGAAAGGGTGTGTGTGTCTGGGAGACAATGTGTGGCATCGCATCCACGCAGAGTTTCGGAATGTGTCCCTCCTCACACATGTATCTCGAAATCGAAACCGCAAATTCTGGTTTGCAAGCCTGAATGCCCTCGGTCACGCACGCAAAAGGGAATCGAGACACAATCAATTTCGGGAGCGGCTAGCGGCGGAAAACGAAAGTGCTGCAAAGCCGGCGGCGACCTCTCGCTCGCTCGCTCTCGCTTATCTCGCTTTTGTTTCAAAGTCGGCCTCCGAAAAGAGAAAGCAACATTCCAGGATCAGGCGTTTGTGCCTCGTGCCGTCGCACCGCCGAGAGCCGCCCGTCCCGCAGTCACGTCCGTCGAATCGGCCGAAACCGAGAGCGTGCCGACCACGTACATTGTGCAGACGCCGACGCGATTCGGGAAAAGTCTGGACGACGCGCGGAGGAAGAGAATTGAGGCGAGATGGAAGAGACTGGGCATCAACTTCAAGAATATCAACCATCCGCTTCTCAGCAATGTATGACATCACTCTGGCCTTTGATTGTATTGAAAACAATTGCAGGAAGCGGAAGAGACTGCCCCGCACTCTGGCCACCACTACACCATCCGTCAGTTGAACGCGCCGAAGAAGACGGAAAAGATGGTGGAAGTGCACAGACCGACGATTCAAGAGCCGATCCTGCACGTGGTGAACCCAGTGGATCAAGGTGAGTTGTCTGCAGTGCCAGTCAGATTCCTATGTGATTGTGTTCGATGTCTGATCGCTTCCTTTCTTTCTCTCTCTCTGTCGCTTCTTTGTACCCGTCAATGCTTTAGGGTTTGAAGTTCCTCCGGAGCCCCAGCCCCAACCGATTCCTGCCGAGTTGCCGCCTTCCGGAGACTACCATTCGCGCACGAAACCGATTTTGAAAGGAGTCAAGTTTGTGCAAGAGAAGTTGTCCGTCCGCCCTCGGTTGAGGATCCGTCGTCCTGGTTGGTGTCTCTCTTTCCGCTTGGGTTCTATCTCGCTCTTTCTGTTTCTTTCCGTCTACTTACACACCCTTCTCTTTCAGGAGAGAAGGTCGAACTCCCACTGCCCGAAGATCCGAACCTGACACCGTTCATGAACAGTGCTCGCGCCAAGTTCGGATACGGTACTGTGCCGACAGTACCTCCGCCGGTCACCTCGACCGTCTACGTGCCGCCAACGACGGCGTCTCGTCGCCCAACGACCACCACAACCACGGCTGAGCCAGTAATCGAAGAGTCATTCGGAATCAGCCCGGGAGAAGATTCTGGAATCATTGAGACCGGAGACTCGGGAGTCGCGCCACCAGACTCTGGCGATTCTGGAGCTGGCTTCGGATTCGGCCCATCTGAGCTGCCGCCAGAGTTCCAGAACGTTGGATTCGGAGTCGGAGGCGGAGACAATGGGTTCAACTTCAATGTGCCAGCGGACAAGATGGAAGCGAAAAAGGAGGAGACCACCGCCGCTCCGACTACCACGGCAACCACTCCGAAGCCGAAGCGTGCTGTTCAAAGGTTCGTTCACACGCTCTGAATCTTTTCATTATCCTCATCATTTATCATTCTAGAAAGCAGCCAAACGCAGCCATTGATAAGGACGATCCAGTTGTGATCCCCCAGAACTCTGGTCTTCGTCCAGTTGCTCCACCAAAGGAGTTCGATGGAGCCGGAGGATTTGGAAGTGAGATTCTGTTTTCTAGACGCATCATGCATGATATCTATTTGTAGGTGGAAGCGGTGGAGGATTCGGTGGAGGAGGCGGAGGCTTTGGAGGAGGAGGCGGCGGTGGTTTTGGAGGTGGTGGCGGCGGATTCGGAAGCGGATCGCCGTTCGGAGGAGCACCTCCAGCACCCCCAGCAGGACCAGATCCGGATTTCGGAGGAGACACTGGCGCCGGACCGAGCGAAAATGAATACTTCACTGGTGACTCTGCACTGACCCGGTCGAAGGGACCAACTGGCGACGGATACGGCCCGCCAATCTTCCCCGGCGGAGCTGCTCCACCCCCAGTTCCGGCCGTCGGACTCGGCGGCGCGGCGGCAGGAAAGTCGCCGTACAGCGGACAAGTGGTCGACGTGACCGAGAACCCAGTGACCACGGTGAAGCCGTCGGCACTTCTGAGCGTGCTGAGCAAGGCCGACATGGGCTTCAATCAAGCCATCGATCACTTTGAGCACGGAACTCCGGTCGAGACTGCCGCCATCGACATTCTCGAGGTGGCGCTCGGATCGCAGAAGTTGGACTCGCAGGCGAAACTTCTCGGACACGTGGACAGAACGATCGGATTGGACAACCTTCAGAGACTTCAGAGATGGGCGAACACTGCCGGAGCGATGGACGTCTTTAAGGATCAGGTAACAACATGAGCAATGAAGATTATATAAACGTCACATCTCTCAACATTTCCAGTTTTTGCGATTCGCGAAGAACTTCCAACCGCCGGCCGATCTCCTGCCCACCGTGCCTCCACAACTCGAGTATCTGTTCAAAACGTCAGGAAAGTAATTAATTCGTCGCCTTCTTCTTCTCTAATTTATTCTCTCATCAGAGTCTCACTACCTAACTCATTCCTTTCTCATAGTTTTGTTTTCTTCTTCGATCCACCTCAAAACGGGATACTATTTGAGCAATTCAATTCACTTTTCATTCGTCTTTCCTTCATGCTCACTTACTTGCCATCCATTATTATTTATTCGGATTGTTTCAAGCACCATGGAAAACAAACAATCGAAAACGTCTCAATAAAATGTGTGTGTGTGTGTGTGGGTGTTTTGTGCGAACATGTTCAGAGAGAAGGGGAAGAAAAACCGTAGAGGGAATGAATGAATGACATACAAGATGATGGCTCGAATCACAGATCACAGAATCGGAGGCCGAACTAGACAATATATTTATGAAGAGGGCGAACAAGAAGACACTAGAAGAGATTCATGTCAAAAAGGAAGGGGCAATACTTACTAGAAATGAGAGAAACATGAGTATCTACACAGGAAACACTCGTTATCAGATCACTCGCTGTCGTCGTCCATCAGGTCCGCCTTTGTCTTTTCGGCGTTCTCGATCTGAGACATGAGATTCTCGAGGCGACGCTTGATGCGCTTCTGATCGTCGGCCGCGCACTGAATGATAATCTTCAGGAAGTTCTGGCACGTGGCTCCGCTGGTCTCCTCGTAAGAGCACGCGTTCAGGTAGGTTTGCAGACACTGAAAAACAAAAGTTACTTGAGAAAAAGGCGTTTGTGAACTTCTGAACCTACCACTTTAGCCTTCTCGATGTTGGACTTCATCAAAACGGAAACCTCTTCAATCATATGGCTCGCGTCTTCCAGAGCCTTCTTCTGCTCCTCGTTCCTGGGCGTCTCGACGACCACCTGCACCGTCTTTGTCCGTTTCGTCAGACGATCGGTGATGGCCTCGATCTCCTCACGATCACATTCTTCCAGTTTGAACATGCAGTTGTGCACGCTGATCTCGCCCAGGGAACGAAGGATCTGCTCCTTCTCCATCTCGAGCTCGGCGGCCTTCTTTCTCAGTTGCTCCACTTGGACCTCGATCTTGTCCAGTGCCACAATAGTCTTTGCGTTGAAATCGACGACGCTCTGGTTCCTCTGCAATTTCTTCCCCTTCTTCGGCTTTCCTTCGGTCGCCGGAGAAGTCAATGGAGACGGGTCGCCATCCTGAAAACGTTCAATTATATCATCATCAGGTGAAGACGGATGACGTACCGTTTCGTGTTCCCGACAAAACTCGTAATTATTCTTTCCGATCGTGATCTTGGCAATGTTCTCCTCGATCGGCGACTCCTCTCCTTTCCCAGAATCCCGGCTACTTTTCTTCTCCAACTTCTTCTCATAAGGCAACGGAATGACAGCCGGTCTCTCGGGAACCTCGTTCTCTTTTGGTTCACGGGTGCGAGACGACGGACGGGAAGACGGGGTGGTCTTGGTGGCCGGAGGAGTCGTTTGACGTTGGGTTTGTAGCGGCGGAGGAGCCTGATTCTGATGCGAGTTGCGTCTCAGCGTGGAGGTCGGCGATTGGGTCGTCGTCGGGGTGGGACTTCTTCTGATTCGGTCTCCGAACGGCGGGTTCGGAGAGAGCCCTCCGTTCCGTCCAAAATCGGGAAAGTTTGGAAAGTTGGATCCTCCACTGGGGAACTCTCTCGGAAAGTTCGGGAACGACGAGAACCACTCTGGATCGTTGCCGAATCCAGAAGGATCTCTTGGAAAGTCTCTCGGGTAGTCATGGATCGGGTAGTCAGGGATCGGGCTGCGGGACGGGAAGCTCGACGGGAATCCGTTCGAATGGTTCATATTTGTGTTGACGGTCGGGATCTGCTGCTGAGATTGCTGCTGGGGTTGCTGGGATTGCTGCCGATCGTTGTCAACAGAAGAGGAGGAGTTGCTGCGACTGTGCGAGTGATTTTGTCCGAGGATCTTGATGGGAATGTTCTGAAACATGCTGACATTGATTAGGAATGTGAGGGGGGTTAAGGAAAGGTTGGAATGCGGCGGGCGGTGTGTCTGTCTGACTGATAAGAGTGGCCTTTCATCATAATTCGTTCGATTCACAATCGATTTCGAAACAACATTCGACAGGTCAAATGGAACGTTCGGGACGGCGGGCGTCGATTAAAATGCGAGATAAGTCGGCGGCAAACGATTTGATTTACATTTGAATTTCCATGTTCAAGGCCGTCACTCTATTTTCTATCATTGTAATACTCGGGCGGAAGAGCAGCAGCTGCCATTAGCGCCGGGTAACAGCAAAAAAAAACAAATGAGTGTGGGTGTGTGTAATAACGAAATTCTTCGGAATGCTTCTGTCTGCCAGATGAGACCAGTGTTTGCAAGTGCAAACAGACACGTTTTTTTGCGATTACTTTATAAAATGTTGATAAAACTCACCACAACTGGCATCGTCGAGGGAAGGAAAGCCGCCAAAATTGGGGGGACAGAGTGCGGGTGTCTCGTTTGCTTTCGATATGCGCGGGGGGCAGAAACACGGACCGGATTGCGTCTCGATCGGTTCTGGAGGCTGCAGACACCGAAACAAAAGTTTTGACAGTCACTGGTGGCGGTTTGACACACACACACACACGCTCTGGGTCTCGCTCTCTTTGTGTCTCGGAAAGAAAGAAAGAAAGAGTTACGCGAATCAATTGCCGCGGGCGCCACACGCAGCCACGCCCATTCAGTTCGCCTCGGTTCGCGAGTCTTCGAGAAGAAAGCGAGCGAGAGAGAGAGAGTGTGTGTGTGTGGAGTGAGAGACGCAGAGAGTGATGGAGACGGCCGGGAAATCAGTGAGACGCAGTGATAGACGGCACTGTTTTGAGCGAGAGTTTCGAAACTATTGACAAGAACCGACCGATTCTCATGTTGTCATCAATTGTTCCTAAAGCTGAGCAAACTTTCGTCATTTCGCTCACACTAAAATGAGATCATTCGAAAATGTATATTTGGAACGAAATCGCGTTGAAAATGTTGAAAGCACAGCGATTTCGAGTGCACTTTTAAAAATTGATAAGCGGTGGTGAATTTTAATCAAAATTTGCGCAGCATTTTCTTAGAATATCAGTCAAAGTTGTCACGGGAATGTCAGACGCTGTTTCTTCAAGTTTTCAGTATGTCATTTCAATTGTTCAATTCAATTGATGCGACCAGATTTCAAATGAATTTCTCATGAACCAAGTTGGAGCGTGCCAAAAATTTCAAGTTATGATCAGGCCAATGCGGTGATGGTAGAAGGGATGTTAACGGAAGTGATGATCACTCTTATCAGTAGACGGACAAGTCGCCAATTACGAGAACAAAGTTTTTGTTTTTGTGGGGGGACAACGCCCAGAGGACGTAAAGACAGGATAGTCGGCATCTGGATAACGATCGGAAATATGCGGAATTCGAAATATTCGTGTGCCAAAGACTGAAACGGAGAGGAGACTTCTTCCTTTTCGTTATCGTCTCTCTGACGACAAACCGTCGACCTCAAGAAGATGGTCAATTTATTTTATAGCAGCAACCGAATCAGTTATTTTAGGGTGTGGTCGGTCGGCGGAAGAAGAAGAAGAAGAAGAAGAAGAAGAAGAAGAAGAAGAACATGTGATGAAAAGACACGAATAATGAGGCGGGTGGGGCCGAGAACTTCTGTTCAAACATTGGAAACCAACTCGGCGACCGATTGTGCTTTTCACTTTTTTCTATTGCAAATCTGTTTGACGCCTTCTTTTTGTGTTTGTACCGGGTAAACAAACTAAGCGCCGATGTTTCTCGTGTGGTTTTTCGGTACATGGAACTTTCCAGAGAACACCAATTGTTTCGAAATCGGACTGAACACGGCGAACATTTGCCCTATCCAAACGGCATGGAGTTTCGTATGTTCGCGCTGACACATCGTGCTGAAACTTCCCACTGACGAGCCTGAACTCTGATTCCCATATAATATTCTTCTCAGAGAACATCTCTCTCTCTCTCTCCCGTCATACAGTATCCGTTCCCGTGCTGATTCACCCTCTCCACTCCCTTCCTCCCTCCCGTTGTTTTCCTCCTCTGCACTTTTTTGCACCTCCGCCCACACACACACACACTGCCTCTCGTGTATGTACAAACAATCAGTGATAGGCAACCAAAAGTTCGTATGTTTTATTCGCATGACACATGTACGACGCCTCAGAATTTGTTTCCTTTCATGTCGAACGGGATCGAAAAGTGTCTGAAATGAAGGCGGATATTTATATTTAAGATCGAGCACGGGGGGTACTTGAAGTTGCAGGAGGGGTGCACGGCGTTGTAGAAGACGACGTCGATGAGATTGTGATTGATGATGCGAGAAGAGACCAAAACCATTCTGAGCTTATTTGGAGATGATTGGAAAGTTCTCTGGAAGCTCACTGCGAATCGACAATGAAATATCGGACGAAACGCCAAAACTTCACTTCCTCGTTCTTCGTTTCAGGTCGTTTTATCATTACACTCAGTTGACAGACCGGAAATAGTTTCCCAAAATCTTGCTGACTTGAATAGTCGAGAAGATCTTCAAACGGAACTGATTCATCCAAATAAAGGGCTTCTGAAACAAATCCTCTTTTTGTACATTACCTCGTCCCGTCCGACCAACCGATATATCTGTTCTTAAGGTGTATCCGAGTGAAAGTGTCCAGATCGACAATCTTTTGGTCCGAACGGGCGGTGTGCTTCTCGAAAGTCATTCTCAGTTTCACTCGGAAGACCTCCACTTGATTGTCCATGTCCGGAGCCGCCTGAGTGCTCACTTTCACCACTTTACACGACGGAAACGCCTTCTGAAATGAGGGAAAACGAGGAGTTTAGTTATGAGAAAGAGAGAGAGAGAGAGAGAGAGAGAGAGAGAGAGAGAGAGAGAAAGAGAAAGAGAGAGAGACTCGACCTTCATCTTGAGTTCCAACCGAATGTCGTCGCTGTGCTCCGTGGCGTGCACTATCACGCATTGTTCGTCGTCGGAGAACACGAATTGTTTGTGCGACACCACTACATCTTTCACTTCCTGGAACAAAGGAGAAGGATCCTATTGGACCGTAACTTTGCAGAGTAATCAGTTGGGGTATGGAGTATTTTGAGTGAAAGTTTTAGCCCAATTGGTTCATCTGATCTGGAGATACCATAAAAATACCGTACATTCGAAACAAGATATTTCAGTTACCGATAAAGATATCAAAACGTTGAACAAATCGAACCTTTTCTCTCGGTAAAAACAAAACGGATCGGTTTCCAACACGCACTGAATTGAAATAAACACGGATCAAGTTGTAAGAGCATTGATTCACAAAAACAGGAAGATGACTGAAAAGCTGGAAAAACAGCGTCAAAAGATGAGCACTTTACAAATCTCTCGTACTTCTGACGATTTGTCCTGCGTATTAAATCTCAACAGATTCTGAAAGCACTCTTGTTGATCCGGGAATTTTAGGTAAAAGTTTTTGTACGGCTGAAAATCGATCATTAAAAGATTATTATTGAACGGCGCAGAAACCTCGATCTTTTCCAGTCGAAGCCAGAGGAAAACGGCGAGAATGAATATTATGGGATACAAGAAAAACGCACAATTCATAGCGAATGACGGATTTGCGAGCGGTTCGCATTTCCATTTCCGCAAAACTTTCGACTTTTTGATGTTATCTGTTCCAAACTTTCTAGTTTTTATTGGTTTTAGGGAAAAGAAAATGACGTGGAACTAGGATCCTTAGAGTGCAAACCGATCAATTGCCTTATCCATAAACGATCTGTTTTTCATAACATCCAGGTACTGTTTTCTTCTCCGCTCATTGTTTTCAAGCAAAAAGGGAACCAGTTTCGGATCATTCGTTGTTTGGAGTCGAAAAAGTTGACTCATGACGTGGCGGTCAGCATTCTTCACGTCTCCTTCAAGAGTTAAGGTGCTCAGAGAAGTTCGGCTAGACTCATCAGATATCCGGATCGAAAGGCCCATGGTTTGTGATAACTTGAACTCTTCAAACTCGGCATCGTGAATCCGAAGAAGTCCAGTCCATTCTATTCAACTTTCCACTGCTAATACCTTTTTTCCCTTTTCACATTTCCCTCACCCGCATAATCCCCGTCTTTCTTCGTTTCCAGCAACCTCCTCCTCCTCCTAATCATCTGCCTTTTTGTCATCTTACAAAGGTACAACAAAACTGACGTGGCTGTAGTCATTTTCAAGTCTACCACCCCTTTTGCCCCGAAAGGAACCCCCGACTCCTCCAAAAAAAAGGTAATTTCGGCTGCCACACACAGAACGATTACGCGAATCCCTCTCGTCTCTCGACACGCATCGACAGTATCCGCGATGATCTTTTTATGCCTCAACCAGAAACTGTAATCGTTGCATGGGTGCACGGCGCGCCCGAACAAAAAAAAACCGATGAAATATATGTGTGTGTCTGTGTAGACGCGGGTATCAATAATTGGCGTCAAAATGGAAACGGAAACGACCTTTGTTCGTTCGTAGTTTCACACTTTTTATGGATCCTCTGATTCACGGCCGTTCTTGGGGGATTTCTAGGCCATCAGCTAGACAAAAGGCGGCCAAGTTCATGCTGGCACCGTTTTTTTCCAGTCTAATTCCTCCAGAACAGGATCTTGTGTTCATGATCCTGAAGGGGCTTTCAGAATGATTACACTCCCTCCCCTCCTCCCCCCTCACTATCACCGAACACACCTTCCATTGTCCGACGATGCGATCACCAATTACCTCTTCTCTCTCTCTCTCTCTCTCTCTCTCTCTCTCTCTCTCTCTCTCTCTGTTCGTCCTTATCCAATTCCTCTCACAAATATTTCAGCCCCAACACGTTTTGTTCCCCTCCTCCTCCTCCTCCTCGTCGTGTCCTTTCTCGTTGTAACTTGTCGTTGACCCTGTGTGAAAGGCCTGACAATGGAAATCATCAACAAGTTGTCTCTTTTAGTTTGTGACATTGTCCCTTTTGCCTCCATGCGCCACACCTCCTGTTTTCCACATTAGAGAGAGTAGTAAAACGAAGAATGTTTGCTTTTCGAACGAATATTACCACCTTCACACGTCGCTCGGTCCATTATTACCGTCGTCTTCGAACACAACTAATCCGATTGTTAACACAACTCTTTTTCTCTATTTGAACAACTGTCTGGAAGCGGTTGTTATTCCGATGAACGCGGTTCGGTTGTTGTAGTTTGGCTGAAAACATTTTATGGCAAAGAGTACATAAGATGACGTGGCAACTGTTTTGTGATGTGATCATTTCGTTTCCGCTGCATTACTCCCACTCATTTCGTTTGAGAATACAGAATGCCGTCAGGTGACCACGCTTTCTGAACATGACAATACTTGTGCTCCTCTCTTGATCTCCTCTCGTTCACTTGTGCTTACAAACTTCCGTGTACAGTAGCAATCCACTTCCCTCTTGTGAGCCTGAACTTTTGCTTTTGCTACCAGTTCAGTTCACATCAAAAACAAACAGTTCACTTTCCAATTGATCCTCCGTCCCTTTCTGTTCTAATAACTGGATTGCCCTTCCATCTCGATATCATCTCGAATCGGTATGTGACTGTGTGCTCACTGAACCAGAGTATATTTAGTGGTATTTGTGGAGGTGGCAGGGCAACAAATCGAGTTCAAATAGTAGTCGAGGTCCGCCCCAACTCTGTGTATTTAAAAGCGAGCCCGTCGTTTAATCGCAAATTCGTTTGATTTTCCACACTTTTGCAGCATGATCACCCGCGTTGGCGACGTCGAATCGCCGAGAAGAGGCAGTCCGAGCGAGGTGTTCTCCTCCGACATCAACAATATTCATCGGAATCGGAAGGAGGCCAATAAGAAGGGGTGAGTGATAATATTGAAAAGTTATAGTCTTATCGAGTAAATCTGCATTTATTCAAAACGTTGTATCTTAACTGTCTGTGAAGATATCAAAACGTTGTCAAGTGATGTACACAAGATGTACACAATTTCTCAATGCTTTGTCAGTTTACACCTTTTTGAAACCTCCAAAAGCAACTGAGATATCCTGTCTTGAATGAACGGTACAATAGTTGGGATTCCGACCAAACGTAGGTAACAATAAGAATCAGAAGGTCAATGATCTTGAACTTGATGTTGAACATTTGTAATCCAATTTAAAGTAAACCATTTCTTTCTATTTTCTGCCAAAAGATCAGAATGTGTCCATCGATCAAATGTTTGTTCACTCCTACGGTTTGCTCATTGTCAAAAACTGAGCGGGGGAGAGCTCCCGGCGCGGGCAGCTCGCAGCAGCAGCAGCAGCTATTTCTATCCTCGCAGATATATTATAAGCATGCGGATCAGTGTGGAAGAGACCGATTCCATCGTCTACTTTCCCACCTCGCCACACTCCGAGCCCGTCATCGATAACAATCGGAACGCGGCGTCGGTGTGCTCGACGAGCCTCAAAAGTTGTGGTCCGTCGGCGAAACGGTTGCGAACGTTTCGCCGTAATGTCTACGCGTTCGGTCGGTCGAGAAGGTACTTGGGTCTGGTAGTGGGAAAACCAGTTGGTGCGTCAGGTGAACACGCCTTCAAAAATGATGTACTCGCGCCACTTCCAAAATCAAAATCCGACTAGCGGAGGATTTGAAGGAGCGGATCAGAGAGGAAGGGGAGCTCCTGCCGTTTTCCTCATTTCTTTTGACTTTAGTATTCATCCAATACCACTAGTTGGACATGCGTATCGGAGACAATAAGTTTGTTTTATGTTGAAGTCTAGTAGCGTCTATTCAAGAAGATGTATCTCAGCTTCCTGTAGAGATATCTAAAAGTTGTTTAGTGATAAAACACACGAAATTTCCAGATGAGTATTTGATTAGTTGATAACTTTTTGATATCTCCAAAGGCAGATGGGATATATTGTTATGAATGAACAGTACTTCTAATACACTATGTCCGGTATGTATATGCTGACTGATTCCAGATGTTCGAAATGGACGACGATAGCGTTCGGAGTGCTCGCCTCGCTCTTTCTGCTCTCCACAATCGCGCTTGCCATTGTGGTCGGCATCAAATACAGCGAAGACGAGAAACCGATCGAGGTGAGTAGCGGAGTTCTCCGATTAATCCGTCGACTTTGTGAGGGGTTTATTTGGTTACTCAAAAACAAAGAGTTAGTACATGACATTTGAAACAGAGAGTTAATGGGTCGTTGGGCGAAGAGACGAGACACGTCGAAGAGCTCGGAACGACTACGATCGAGGCGGAAGTCACGACGACCAAAAAGACGGTACACATGAGCATCGTGTCGTACTTTGAAATCTAACCGCGTCTTAATATAGAATTTGAACTTGAGCTCAATTGACAATGAAATTAGTCGAGTTGATTTTCAGATTGTGCAAAGAGATGAGAGCGGAAAAGTGCAATACGACTGGCCGCGGCCGTCCGGAAGTCTGTTCGCCCACTACAAAAAGGCGGCGGTCACTTCTGATCACGGCCTGTGCTCGGAGATCGGAAGAGACGTGCTCATCGAGGGCGGCAATGCTGTGGACGCGATGATCGCCGCGTTGCTCTGCATCGGAACCGTCAATCCGCAGTCGTCGGGAATCGGCGGAGGATTCTTGATGACCCTCTACAATGCTTCGACTGGCATGTGCCAGACCATCAATGCTCGCGAGACTGCTCCGGCCGCCGCCACCGAAGACATGTTCGTCAACGACCCGAAAGCCTCGGTCATGGGCTACAAATCGATCGCCACACCGTCGGAACTTCACGGATTCTGGACTGTTTTCAACCTGTACGGCTCGGGAAAAGTCTCGTGGTCGCGTCTCTTCCAGCCCTCGATCACTCTCGCGCACGACGGTTTTCCAGTCTCCTCTAATCTGGCGATGGTGCTGGCCGACAAGGAGAAATACATCCGAGAGGAGTCGACGATGAAGTGAGCGGATAATCTCATCTCTCGCCACGCCAACACATTTTTTTGCAGAGATATCTTCGTGAACCCGAAAACAAACCGAGTCTACGAAGAGGGGGACATTCTGAAGAGACAGCGACTCGCCAGCACTTACAGCCTGCTCGCCAACGCCTCGGATCCGGTCGAGCTGTTCTACAAGGGCGGCATGGCTCAAACGATCGCCGGCGAGATCACGGACAACGGCGGATTCGTAAACGAGTCGGATCTCGCCGGCTACGAGACCCTTATCGACGATGCTCCGCTGCTGAGCACTCATTTGCCAGGCGACTACGAAATGTGCGGACCGCCTCCGCCGTCTTCGTTCGTCATCACGCAGAGTATCATTCAAGTGATGGCTCGTGAGTTGCCGTGCTCAATCGAATAATAATGCAATTGATTGCACTTTTGAGAGTTCTACAAAGACGGCCAGGTTGATCTGGATGATCCGCTCGTCTACCACCGACTCATCGAGGCTGAGAAGTTTGCCTACGCGCAGAGGACTAAGCTGGGCGACGTGAAATTTGTGGAATCATCCAAGGCTTTGGTGGATGATATGATGACTGAGTGAGCGGATCGAAAAAAGAAAAAAGAGGGGGGATGACTTGAGGAATGGGTTTTCAGAGAGTATACAAAGAAGATTGCCGCGCTAATCAAGGACACCGCTCAGCCATTGGACTATTACGGAGGAGAAAAGAAGGATATGGTGAGTAGGGAGCAGCTGAAATTGACTGGGTCAAAATGATGTACAGTAGCGTAATTTCAGCCAGATTCTGAATTTGAGGAGCAGGTAAGAGAAGGGTGTACTTAGTTTTGAGTCTATCGCTATCTTATCATTTCATTTCTCTTTCCTTTCATCAATTAGAATCTTGGAGATTTAATAAATTACAGCCAGACTCTGAAAGTATCAACAAGGTGAGAATGCATGGATGTTTCTGTCGTACCGTGGCGGACACTATCATTTTCTTTTATCATTTTCATGTTCATCTCTTCATACACTCTGTTTATCCTCTAGTGAACAAACAGAGTCGGATGATTTCAGGCCCCTGATCACGGAACTTCCCATGTTTCGATCATTGACTCCAAAGGTAATGCGGTCTCTGCCACGTCGACGGTCAACCAAATGTAAGGACTTCAATACAGCTCACAAGCAACCTTTCTTTTTTGAAGTCTCGGAGCAATGCGTGCGTCTCCTACTCTGGGAATCGTCTGGAACGACCAAATGGACGACTTCTCCACTCCGGGCCAGAAGAACTCATTCGGATACGCCCCGTCCGAGACCAACTTCATCAAGCCCGGAAAGCGTCCGATGAGCTCGATGAGTCCAATGATCATCTACAATAAGAACGAGAACCGAGTGGAGATGGTGGCGGGCGCATCGGGAGGATCCTACATCATCTCGGCCACCGCCCAGACCGTCGTCCGCAGTCTTCTGTTCAACCAGACCGTGAAGGCGGCCATCGACGCTCCGAGGTTCCACAATCAGTACCTTCCGGAGGCAACGGAGACCGAGGAGGCGATGCCGCAGGCGCTGAGGAATGTGCTCGTCGAGCAGTACAAACAGAACTTCACAGTGGTGCCACGCCAGAAATCTGTCGTTCAGGCGCTGATCGGTGTTGAAGGTATGAGAACTGAGCAAAAACTGATGTCAAAAAACTGCATTTTTGATTCAGGATTCGTCGACGGCAACAGTGACTTCCGACGCAAAACTGCCACGTATCCAGCCGGTTACTGATCTCTCCGAATGTCTTCTCGCCTAACTCTATTCTGCTCCGTTTCTGTGAATATCGTTTGTCTGTTCCAAATTACACCTAAAACAAATCCAGTCCTGTAACCACGTAGCTTTACCGTCCGAATCCCCCTCCCGTTAGTGCGCGTTCGGTGACGATTCTAGTCACCCGGGTACATTCCATTTAACTGATAGATGCATTCCATCTTGTGCTTCGTTAGTTGTTTGTTCACATAATTACTAGTAAAAACGTTTTATTTTCAACTCGTCTTATGCGGCCGTCTTCTCGACAATCTGTTTCTCTCTCTTCTCGTTCGGGAACTCCAATTGGATGTTCAACGATCCCAGATCGTACGTCTTCTTTGCCTTCTCCCCCTGATTCACGAAAGTGGCCGGCACGTTGTAGTTGAAACGGCGGAACGCAGTCTGGGAACGAATCATTTTGATTTGCTAAAGTTTTCAGTGTTGCCTACCTTCTCCAACTTCTTCGGATCGTCATCGCAATGGTGGTAGAAGGAGATGACCGGCTGCAGATCGGTCTCGTTCAGTGGGAATCCGTTGGTGTTTCCCTCCACTTGGAACATTCCTTGTGGTCCCGTGTACTTCTCATCGAGAATTTGAGCAACATCTGAACGTTTTCCGCTTGAATTCGTATGTATACATTCTCGACTCACCGTCCTTCTTTCCCGGTTTCACACGGAACAAACGGACGCGCACGTTCTGAGCGGGCGTATTTCCGCAAAGAAGAGTTCCTTTCGCTCCGACGGCCTTCTTTCCGACGATGCTGGCGGAGACGACGACTGCCAGAAGGCAGAACAGTATAAGAAGAAGAAGTTTCATTCCTGAACAGACAAAAAGTTGAAGGAAAAGAACGAGGGGAGCGACGGGGCGAAGGACTAACACAACACTGATAAACGACGGTGTTTATCAATTGAGAAAGATAGAGACGGTGGAGAGAGAGAGAGAGAGAGAGACGGAGAAACGAGAGGGAGGAAGAAAACCCATCTTTCTCCGATTGTGTTGATATTTTGATCGAGGCAGTTGTTTCGCTCGTAATTGTCGGCAAGCGACGAATCGCATTTGATGAAGAACTTTTTTCAATGAAATCGTTTTTGAAAAGGGAAACTAAACACAGAGATGAGCAAGGAAGACATGCAAAGAAAACAAGACAATTGGCACCGAACTATATGTGCTTGCTCAAGCTACTTATACCAGTTTTGTTCAGATTGGTCAAGTGAAAAAGAGGAAGGAAGTGTTTCATATCCCTTCCAAGTTTCCATCGTTTTTTTTCAAACAGCGTCACAATCACAATGGAATCCGCGTGGAACAGGCGCCCGACGCCCATTAGTTGTCCTCCGGAATGGGTGCACTTGTCGCTTAACAGCTCGTCATTCGGAGCTCTCTGGCCAACTTTCAATGTCATATATGTCGACCGGAAGCAGATTTATTTTCGACCTATGCGGATGATGAGAGCAGGAAACAAAGTTACGGCCGTCTTTGCCCGCTCAAAAGTTTCCTTTTTCTTTTCCATTCTGCAAGGTTGGTCATGGGTATTGTAATATAAAAAAGGGATGTTTGGCTTGGCCAGGAGAGCCGAAAGCAACGCAAACATTCTTTCCCTTTGCCTCATTTCATCCACGCGGGTCCCTCTCGCCCTTGATTTATTATGAGTTGCTCACAAGGACAATGCCTTTTTTGTTGCTACTTGCCTGCCCCCAGCGGTCCCTTACACTTTCATCAACAATATCAACAGGCATTTAATTCTTCCAACGTTTCCCATTCGTTTCTGGTGCTATGATTCCGAGTCTAGTCAGAGAAAACGTGCACGTTTAATGAATCGGTCACCCAATTTGTTGAAATTCGAGAATGCGAATGGTTGATGGGGAATTTCCGGCGGCCGGAGGTTTTTGATCGGATTCCCATGCTCTTCTGACCCCTCCCGATGAACAATTGAATTAGGCCCGCATGTTTCTAAATCGGGTCTTTATTGTGTTTCGGGCGAGAGAGGGAAGCCATGTCAGAATATGAAATCGAAATGTGCTCATTCATCGACGGCCGTACATGTGTGAAATGTCCATTATAATCCGCCGACGAGACACACGCCTGTTCGTGACAAACTACTCATTTGCTCTGGTTCTACTGCCCTCGCATCCATCATCATCATCACGGATCTTTGTCCGTGTTTTCACCGCCCGCAACTCTTTTTTTCTCCCGTTTATTCCATTTATTGTGTCTTTATCCGGGGCCAAAAAAAACGGAAAACGACGTCGTGATTTATCGAGATGAGGGAGGAATTCACAGAATCGAAGAGGCACGCAGCCAGCACAGCACAGCAAAATGAGGTGCCATCATCGAGGCATCCGGCCGAGGAGCAGAGAGAGAGCCGAGCGTTCTAAATTAAATTTCGTCGGTGCGCGCATCACTTGGCTCGCGAAGCCGGGCTCACCTCTCAAGCGCGTGCCAAGGACATCAAGGACTTGACACATTTTCTCACGCGTCTCACGGTATGCCTCCGGGCACTTTCACTTTCGAAACCGTCTTGTTTGTCTCTCTCTCTGCCAACTCTCCATGATTCCCGGCTCTGCAAGTTCAGGCTTTGGCGGGTGCCCTCTGAATACTTCAGTTGTACCTACCTTTTTTTGGGGGTGAAACCAACTCTTGTCCTCTGTTTTTTCGTTGACCACACCAGCCGAAACACTTCGTCCGGCGGTCGTAAGCCGCTCGTAATCTCTTTTGATGGGAAGAGCCAACTTTCTGCTGCTCTTTCCGCCCCGGCTCGTTCATCGTTGTGTGCTGCCAGTCAGTTCTTCTCTCAGACATGGCCCTCCTCTAATTGGCCTTCTGATCATCCGGTCTCCAGGGAAACTTTGCCGATGTTTGGCCATCCGGCAGCTCGTTTGCACTTGATTCGAACTCGTCACGGAATGCGCGAGAAAAACAACTTTGAATTCGAGGGGGAGATGCAATTAGGCCGACAACTGAAAACACCGTGATTAGGAGGTGGCGGACTGCCTTGGGGCGAGTAAAGTTTGGAAAGTGTGAGAGAGAGAGAGAGAGAGGGAATCCCTGTTCTTTGCAGCCTTGCGAACGGGCCGGCCGTTAACTTGCTTCTAAATCAAAGTTGTGAGTAGAACACACAATATCAGATTGTAGATTTCAATGAGTTCTACACATTTCACAAAAATTTGGCCGGTTTTTAGAATCGGTATTGCGGCGCGGGCCGACCTAGAATGTTTTTTTTTGTGCCGGCTCGAAATCGTCCCGTTTCCAAGTCGGGTTTTTTGAAATGTGAGGGTTCCAATGGGATGAAGATGAACAAAGCTACCAAAATAGTGTGTTCTTCTGTCCTGAATAGAGTAGAATCTAGAGACAAGTCCGTCCAAATCCAGTTAGCATAACTTTTGCCCCTTCCGCCGGATCCCGGATGTCATCTTCGACCTCTCCCAGTTGTGTTTACTTCGAAAAGTTGAATTTTCCATGCCACTCCACTCCATTATCCGCCCGTTTGCGACCTTTCAGTGTTCCTGAGAACACTCTCCTTCCTTTCCGTTTCCAAGCAGCCCGTTCATCCGTCTAGAGCCCCCCGGCTCTCCTTGTTTTATTATAATAATCCATCTTCTTTCGGAAGGGGGGAATTGAAATGATGTACTGCTACTACGGTTAAATGGTTCTCTTCTTTTTCTCTATTTTCTTCTAGTCGCTCGTCTCGCCCCCCCCCCCAAATCCAATTTCTTCATGCGCATATCATCGCCGTCTTTCGCACTTTCCGACCCTTTTCTTCTGTTTTTTGTTGCATTTCCATTTCCATTTCCATTTCCCCGACGACGGCGACGACGAAGACGTCAGAATCGAATCATCGTCTGTCTCCGGATTCTCACCGGGCTCCCATTTCGTTCGTTTCGAGATTCCCGTGCGCGTTGAGCAAAGCAAACACGTACGTTTTTGCGCTCATTTCGCCGCCTGAAACATACCCATTCTTTTGTTTTAATTTTGCCCTCCCTCCAGATTGCCCCCCCTCCCGCATTTCTTTCGAAAACAACGCCATCTTCCGACCGGAAACGTACTCGATTCCCGGCCTCAAAACACTCTTCCATCTTCTGATAATTTCCCCGGCGCGTGCTTATTTTCGTTCTCCCTCTGAATAACAGCAATATTCGCAAAACAATTTCATCCGCCAACTTTTGCACCACGTCATCATCTCCACCACCACCTTTCCGCTTTGGTTCGCACACTTTCCGGGCATCGCTTCGCCGCTAATACCTCTTCTCGTTCCAGTCTGACGCACGTTCGCAACTCGAATCTCAGAGAGCACAGTCCAATGAGTTTTCAACAAAGTTATTATCAGAGTTTCGAGCAAAGATCAAAGAGTTTTGCTCAGCGGGGTGTGTCTGGCAGAGTGAAGAAACACCATACAAACCCGAAAAGTTTTGGGTGCTATCTTGATACCTACTACTTTATTTTCAAATTTGACAACTTCTCACCACGAAAACAACAGTACCATTTCTCGGCGAACCTCTGTAACTTTTGCACAAAACTGTAAAAAAAAGTTACAGAAACTTGCCGAGCTACAAGTGACGGCTCTTAACTGATCTTTTCGATGATAGAACGTTAGCGAACTACAGTAGACCAACTAAGTGTGTAGATTACGCCGGAAGCATTTCAGAACAGTAACACTTTCTATACAAGCTCAAACAAAAGAATGCGCGAACATTGTAAACGTAACGCGAGCCCTTGAGTGTCTTCTCTTCACTGCCTGTTCATTTTGAGCTCTCCAGCGCTTCAAAAATTTTCCAACTGTGGAACGATCGACACATTAAACTGCTCAGCGAGTTGCCTGTGAGTTTGTCCCTGCTCGCGCCCCCTAGAAATTGCAAATTGTTGGTTAGGGGTCAAATCTACTTTTCCTTTCGTTTGTGTCATTACCTAAATCAAAAAATATTGAAGACTCTGGAAAATATTGGAGTTGTACCTTCCAAAAATAAATTGAAAATACGATAAAATCGTGAGAATTGAAAATATTTTTGGAAAAAATATTTCTTTCGCAGCACCATAACCTCACTTTGCAGAAAGTACATTGAATATGCCGGTAATACGCACAAAAAATTTTAGCCCGGTTGCTCTTCTCTAAAAAGAGTTGAAGCGGAAAAACCAAAAGGAGATATTTCAGTGGCGGCTACTGTAAGTTGGTTGTTTACTTAACGGCGACCACCTTGGGAATCTCTCTGAACCCTTACAAGCAATCCGTTTGCAATCCCTCCAACTCGTTCGGTGCTCTTCGTTCCGCCGCTCAGATTGGATTGGTTCGCCTCCTCCCCAGTGGCCCATACCGGGGAACTTTTTGTCGCACTCAATCTCTTCCCATCATCATCGTCATCTTCATCCTCAAAACGTCTTCCTCCGAATCGTCAGGCCTCCCATCATTTTTTTTTCTATCAATGTAATTTGTTGAAAAGCATTCGCCACTCCAATTCCAATTTGTTTGAGATGCTCCATTGTTTGCCGCTTCTTTCTTCTTCCTCCTCTTCTGCTGATAGGCCTGAAGACGTGCGCTTTGAGCGTGTGAGCAGAATATGTGCAGAAGAAGAAGAAGAAGAAGAAGAAGAAAATTTAAGGAGGAGCACTCGAACAAATTGAATTAACTCGTATAATATGAGGGTTGACAGATCAGATCACGTCCTCAGGTACTGTAGGGAAAGAAAAGAAAACAAAGCGAGGAGCAGACGAACAAAAAGTCTGACAAGCTGTTAGCAGTCACAATTCCCGCAAAGTTTACGAGCCAGATGTATGTCTTGCGGTGGTGTAGAATCCCATTGCCCAGGTACCAAATCACTTTTTGCTCTCTCTCTCTTTCTCGTTCCCCCCGGCGGCTTCGTCTCAACTTCTACTGAAAGTCTCAAAGAGCTGCCGCCCGATGCCCCATGTGACCTGCCTGTGCTAATTGAATCATTTTATCGCGCATCTGAATCTTGTGAATCTTTTGAAACCGCGTCTCGTCGCAACATTCGTTCATCGCGTCGTTCATTGTTTTCGAGAGAAGTCCTCAAAGAGTCTATTGGAGCGCGTTTGCTCAATGACGAACCCTATCAGCTATTCCGCCCGCCCGTGTGATGTCATTTTCATTGAACGACGAATTCCGTGCGTCCACCGAGTCCTATCCCTTTTTTTCGGACATGTCTTCCGGGATCTCTTCACTTCTCTCTAATTGTGGTGCGTCCTATCCTTTTCAGTCAAACTTTTTCGTGTCTCTAGTCCCTACTTACCCTGATTGCCTTAGTTAGTCACAACTAACTGCCAACACGAAGTGGGCGTGGCCTGCGGGAGCAACGTGCGTGCTCCTTTCGTCTCAGAAGGTCTTCCTCCCTTTCTTCGTTTTTCGTGGCTCTCTGTGTGTGTGTGTCATCACAATGAACATGGATTACTCTTCCGAGCACTTCATCTTTCTGAACTTTTCTCCCTTCTTTTTTCGGAGGAACCCTGAAGTGGCATTCTTCAGACATCTTTGCAGGATTTCTCTTGTTTTGCTCCTTTCTGATGTTTTAGAGCTTCTTTTTCCGACTAATCTTCAGGCGTTCCATGTCGGTGTGTGGCTCATGAAACTGAATTACCCCCACGGCCGCCTGTTGTTCATATCTTTTTGTTTTCCAAAACCCTACTCCTAATCATTTTCCGGTTCCCATACCACTTGCTCACACTTGTTATTGTAATCTCTGTGCCTGTAATCACCAACTTTGCAGACTTTTTCACACACACACACACACATGAGGAGTAGTCGATGATGAAGTTTGCGCCCGAATTCACCCTACTCCTTTTGCTCTTCTTCGTCCACTCTTCACAGGTCCGATCCTAGATCCTAGATCCGTTTACAAGCCAAGAGGAGCAAATAATCAAATTGTCTTCTTGTGTGGAGTGCAAAGATTGAGACGTCTGAATTTAGGCAAAAGGCAAACGACGGAAATGTCCGGAGGGCGCGTGGTCGGAGGGCAAGATCATGAACACGATCATGAGCAACTACACGAAGATGCTGCCGGACGCCGAGGACAGTGTGCAGGTCAACATCGAGATCCACGTGCAGGTCGGTTTTGAACTGCATCATGAACTGGCGGTGGGGGGATTAGCTGGACAGAATGTGACAACTTTTGTGCCCAGAAGGCAGTTTTTGCAGTGAACTTTGCAGCAAACACCCTCTGGCTCTGAAGGGATAATGAAAATTGTGTGTGTGTGTGTGTATGCATGTGTGCGTGCTCTTTTGAGCCGACACTCATCAATCTTACAAGTCAAAACTGCGGCCCTCTTCTAGCTCTAGGTCAAAGACTCTCTTGTTTACATTCAATTTGGACCAGTTACCCTTCCTCCTCTCAAGGATGTTGATCAAAACTCAAGAGCTGTTCAAAATAACTGGCACTTTTTCGGGTGATTCTTTCGGAAGAACAACTCGGATTTTTTGAAGAAAAAGAGCGACGAAGTACGATCAAGTTGGCGGCACTTTTCACTGAATTTGATGAAAAAGCGTTTGATAAGTTTGTCGGAAACTGGTCCCCCGGGGGCGCCGCTTGGCGGCAGTTTTGGAAACATTTTGTCGAGAATGGCGAAACGGAAGGGGAACTTGTTGCAGGATATGGGAAGTCTGAATGAGATATCGTCCGACTTCGAGATCGACATTCTGTTCACTCAACTGTGGCACGACTCGGCGCTCTCGTTCGCCCACCTTCCCGCCTGTAAACGGTGAGCATTCAGGCCCAAAACTTCTTCCAAACTGGCACATGAATCTTCAGAAACATCACAATGGAGACGAGACTCTTGCCGAAAATCTGGTCGCCCAACACGTGTATGATCAACTCGAAGAAGACTACGGTACACGCTTCGCCCTCCGAAAACGTGATGGTCATCCTTTATGAGGTGGGGGGTGTTCTTGATGGATTTGTGATGTCACAAGGTCTAAGGACGAGTAAGGGTCAACCGGGAAACGCGTGTCAGGGCCGCCTTTCCTCAGATTAGTAAATTATTGATGGCGCATCACGCTAATTACAAGAATGCGGCTTCTTTGTCTGACGACAGAGAGTACTGAGGAAGGGGGGCACTTCAGAAGATGAGCTCACAAACCGGGAAAGGTTTTCAGAACGGAACAGTCTGGATCAATCACCGACTGAGTGTGAAGTCGCCGTGCAATCTGGACCTCCGGCAGTTCCCGTTCGACGTGCAGACTTGCATTCTCATCTTCGAATCCTATAGTCACAACTCGGAAGAAGTGGAATTGCACTGGATGGAGGAGGCGGTCACTCTCATGAAACCGATCCAACTTCCCGACTTTGACATGGTGCACTATTCGACAAAGAAGGAGACCTTGTTGTATCCGAATGGCTACTGGGACCAACTGCAAGTCACCTTCACGTTCAAACGGCGTTACGGCTTCTACATCATCCAAGCGTACGTGCCCACCTACCTCACAATCATCGTCTCGTGGGTCTCTTTCTGTATGGAACCGAAGGCGCTTCCGGCCAGAACGACAGTCGGCATCTCGTCACTTCTGGCGCTCACGTTCCAGTTCGGAAACATTCTGAAGAACCTGCCCAGAGTTTCCTACGTGAAAGGTTTGTGTTTTTGTGTCGGTCCGTGAGAGAAAACGCCTAAAGCGGATTGCAGCGATGGACGTGTGGATGCTCGGGTGCATCTCATTCGTCTTCGGAACTATGGTCGAGTTGGCATTTGTTTGTTACATTTCCCGCTGTCAGAATAGCGTGAGAAAGTGAGTTAATCGAATTGGCGCGCGCGCGCGCGCAAGATTGAATTAACAGAAGACTAATAATAATTTGTAGCGCCGAGCGACGGCGAGAAAGGATGCGGAACTCGCAGGTGTGGGCGAACGGATCGTGCCGGACAAGGAGCAACGGCTACGCGAACGGAGGATCCATCATCTCGCACTATCATCCGGCGGCCAACGGGAACGGGCACAACAACAACAACAGACAGGACACGCCTCTGGTTACTGGAAGGTATTCGAGCACATCTAAAGGGGTTTCACAATTCAATTCCAGAGGATCTATGAACCGCGGAGGTCCCCCGTCTCCCTTGAATCTTCAGATGACCACCTTCGACTCGGAGATTCCATTGACCTTCGATCAGGTAAGTGCTCCAGTTCCGTTCGCATTTGCTCGTTTCCTCCTGATTACTCATTATCTACCCACTTCTCTCCACTAACTTCAACCTGTTCAGCTGCCAGTTTCCATGGAATCCGATAGACCCCTGATTGACGAGGTAACAGCGTAGTCACTCACTCGATTCCCTGTGTTAAATACTCGCCTCCATCCCTTTGTACTTTCTGTTCCACCTATCCACAATCCATATGAGTTCACTATATATATATATGTCCATTTCACACGTGTCTGATGTCTTCTGCTGAACCTATAGTGACAGTTTCTTTCACAAATCCTTCCACGTCTTCATTCTCACTTGCAGATGCGCTCCACCTCGCCGCCGCCGCCCTCTGGATGCCTGGCCAGATTCCATCCGGAAGCCGTCGACAAGTTCTCCATCGTCGCATTTCCACTCGCATTCACAATGTTCAATGTAGGGTGCTCTTCTCTGCGAATTCGATTCACTATGATTGTTTTCAGCTCGTCTACTGGTGGCACTATCTGTCTCAAACTTTCGATCAGAACTATCAATGATCCATCTGAATGAATAACACATTGTTGCCGGTATTCTCCTTTCCGATGATTCGCACACTCAACAGGGTCCCGCCAATGTATCTCATCATCTGTACCCTTGTTCATGTATACTCCTGGATAGTTTCATAAATAATGTACATTGCTCAAGACACAATAAAATAAACATTTTGATTCGAACGAGTCTCTATCACAAAGTCTTGATGGCAGCGTAGCCGTTCTTTCCGGACGTCACCCTCTGCTTGCTCCTGCTCGTGTTCGTCGTGTCCAACTCGTCCATGTGTCTGAAAAATAAGAGAATGGAAAGAAATATGGGCGGGCAATTATAAACGCACCGACAGGCGCTGAGAGCCGCAATTACTTGGCGATACTTGACCGAGAAAATTAAATAAATGAAGAAAGTGGACATGGAATAAGTGACGAGGAGCAGGTTGGAGACGTGATGCAGCACGCGGAACAGGGTGAACTGAACGATTCTTGGACGCTCATTTTTGGACATTTTAAAGACGTACTTGGAACTGAGCATAGGTCTTGAAAACCAGATTGACAAACTTGAGGCTGGTGTTGAACATGTGACAAAGCGCGTACAAAATGACCATCACCAGCAGCATCGTCGTCGTTTTTTTGTCCTTCTGCTGCTGCGTCGTCAGCATTTTTCGCTCCTCATTCGACTTTTTCAGCTGCTTTATAACTTGAATGTTTGTGATTGAGATGACGAGAAACGGGATGACCGTGTCGAAGACTATCGATCGGATCCCGTAGTACACCACAAAGTACCACTTGTTGTTGGCACTGTGCGACAGGCCCATGTGCACGATTCCAGTGGACAGACTGCAACGAAAAGATTGATCCCCCCTCTGAAGTGCGGAGCAGGCGAACTCACTCCGCTTGGAACTCCAAGAACCGTGGCGCGTTGAAGAGGATCGCAGTGACAATGATGTAAACGAGCGCCTTGACGGTGTTGCTCGGAGTGCACCAGACTTGTACCTGAAGCGGCCGGCACACTGCGAACCAGCGCTCGACCGCAATCAGAACGATAATGTACTGACTGATCATTTTGGCGGTGCAACCGATCGGATAGATGTAGACGATGCAGAAGGCGCTGAGGATCGTGTGGACCGAGCCGATCTTCATGTAACCGGGACTGAAGCGGCCAAGAGTTCAGAGAAGAGTTTTAGAGGTTATACACTTACAAAACAGGCATTTTGTACAACGAAAACGTCGGGAGAGCAGTGAGAAGAACAGTCAGATCGACGACTGAAAGACTTAAAAGCAGAAATCCAACCTGAATCATCAAACAATTGGGAAAATTGAGAAAAAGAGTAGAACTTACAGTGCTCTTCTTCATATGTCTCCTGCTATAGACATAAACTGAGACTGTGTTTCCGAGTATTCCGATCAGAATTACGGGAAACATCAGAATGGCGAACACCTCGTTGACAGTGAAGTTGTGCGAATTGGAAATGGAAGAGGGTAGTGTCGAATTCGGATGCATGTATTCCTGAAATCACGTAAATGAGGAGGCGGCGAAGCTGATGAGCCAGAAACTTCCGATGACTTATTTAACATTTTTTCGGATATTCGTATTAGGCACTGTTAATTCGATGCCTGCCGGCTTTCCGAGAAATGCGAGTAAAAGAGTTTGCGTCGGCTTCTTCTTCTTCTTCTTCTTCTCCTCTTTTTCCCCCAACTTGCGGGGGTAATTACATTGGAAAGGGCACTGCCCCCAGACACTATTGTCGGCTTGCGAATGAAACTCACAAGTTCGAAATGAGTCCGTCCATAGTGATCAATTACGGGCGGCATGGTCGAGTGCAAAAAACTGGCCGATGAGCGTCGCATCTAGCCCATATCTCTCGTGTCGTCTTCCTGGAAAACGCGAATCAGCTCGTATTATGTTTTTTTGAGCAGAGTGGGAAACTTGTTTTTCTGCACAACAACAAAACTAGGCCAATTTTGTGGAAAAGGAGGTATTGTCGGTGAACAAGAATGGTCTAAAGTGGGCGGAAAGAGCACAAGACGCACAACAAAATTGGCGTCGTCTTCAAAACAAAACGAGGAGACAGCGTAAATGAATTTGTGTGTATGTGTGTGTGTGTGTGTGTGGGAAGAGAAGATACGGAAAAAAAAGAAACATGCACAAATTTATTCGCAGTGAACACACACGCTTCCATGCATTTATGAGAGAGCCGTCAAAAATTCAGACGGAAACCGATTGGTGACGAGCGAAAAGCGAAACGACAGTTTTGCGATAACTGAGCGAGAAGATCATGTAGTCGGCGAACGAGAAGATCGGATGGCAGCACATGAAGAAGTTCGACAGCTCTCTTCGCACGTCGGCTATCTGAAAGCAGAGTTCCGGGAAGTTCCGTTGAAAATTCCGTGTTTTTCATTTTCAGACGCTTTTGAGCTTACAAATTAGAGAAAAAAAGCAAAAACAGGTTTTTCTTCCTGTTTTATATCTAGCTTACAACCTATTTTCAGGTCCGGTCCTCACAGCTTTCTTTTCAACGCACCTCAATCGGAAGAAGTTCTTTAAGACTTTGTCGCCGTATTCGATAATCATACTCGGAAAGTGAGTGGTCACGTAGGAGAAGAGCACCGCAAAGAGCATGAGAGTCGTGCGACGATCTTTCACCGACTGAAACTATCCAGATATTCGGACAGATGACGTGATCACTTCGCGACCTGCGTCGTCATTTTCACCCGTTCGTGTTGGCTCCATTTCAATAGACAAACGATCGAAATGTTATCACGAACAGGATGAGAAAGATGATTGCCGCGTTGAACACTTTGTTGTTGAAATCCTCGATCGCGGTGAACAACACGTGACGTCTCCATTCGTTGTTTTTCACGGCGCGATGCGTGAATTTACTGAAACGAACATTATTATTTGTTCCCAAGAATATTATTCAGATCTGTGTGTTACTGTATTTTAAGTTCGAAAAACTTTGGCGCGGAGAGAATGAGGGAAACGAGAACGAGACGCCAACCAATTTTTTGGTTCGTGACATGTTACACAACGTTTTGACCTGGAATTTCGTCTTTGCCAGAAAATCACCTCTCGAACAACGAACCTCCATTGGAACGAAGACTGCGATCCATTGCTGGATGGAAATGAGAATTGAGATGCAGACGCACATGTACTTGGAAAAGTGCACGAATGGATAGACGTACACGTCGATGATCGCTTTCAACAGTGAGCTGTTATCCTGATCCGGAGGACACGTGCTGAAACGAAACAATAAGAAAAGAAGGAAGAAGACTCGAACAAGAATGGTATCTGACTGATGGAAAAGGAGCAAATGGCGGTGAGGAGAAAGAGCCATTCGGAAATGGAGAGACACGCCAACAAGAATCCAACCTGGAATTGAACATTCATCAGAAAGTACATGAAAGCGAGCAGTTACCGTCGTCTTCCGTTGAGATGGTCTACTGTAGACGTAGACGGAAAACGATGTCAAAATAATGCCAACGGAGAGGAACGGAAACATTCCGACGGCCAGAAATTCCGGCAGTTGGTAGGGGCAGTGAACATGTAGTGGCTGAAAGTTGAACTTTTATCCAGGAATAGATTGATTGAATGTGTACCATTTCTGTGGTCATTTTATTAAGCTGAACAGCTCGGGCATACGCCTTGTGACTCTTTGGCGGATAAGGAGGCGGCTACAAGGAAAACAAAGTTGTTGGATTTGATTAAACTGATGTGCTCAGACCGTCGTATTATCTGGATCATCTTTAGCATTAACGTCGTGTAGCATTGACAGTGTATGCAGCATGCTCTACGAATTCAACACTTTTTGTAACGTAGTCTCTCGAGGGGATGAATTAAAACACGCGGCTCCTCTGAATTAACCAACAAAAACAACGACGAAATGAAGGACGGAGAGAGTGTTACGCTCCGGAAATTGTTTGGGCCCGCGTGACGGAGACACGTCAACCTCGCAGCTTCGAACCTCCGGATTCCTGCCGGTCAAAGAGTATTGCCCGATCTGAACTAAAAACAAACATAGACGTTGGTTTGCTCGAATTAAGCTTATTAGATCGAAAAACATGTGAGGGAAATGATGATGAGCGGGCACTCTGTTTTTGAGAAATGCATTACGTTATCCAGAGCATGACCATGAACAAATTTTGAATGTGAGAAAAGGTCATCATTCAACAAAGTATTACATTTGATGCAAGTTTTAGGATGGACAACAGAAAGCGATTTTAGAGGAAGAAAATACCGTGGGATGACGGTCACCTCAGGGATCGATAGTATTGCCTTGGTGAGCAGCGAGAGGTCAGACACACGCACAGTCCCATTTTCCTCCTCGCACAACTCATTTTCTGCTCAACAATGATCCCAAGACCAGTTTTGAACGAGATGCCGCTCCACATCAAGCAGCTAATTTATGGAGAACTGGATTTCATCTCGAGGTACGTTTGAAGTTAGTTAGTACAGTTTCATACTGATTCTTCCCATTTCAGATGCAACTTTCGCAGTATCCGCGAACTCGAGGATGACAGCAAAGTGCCTGTATCTGATAGCCAAAAATTCTCGGAAACAAAAATCGATGAGTCTATCCAGAAGCTATTGGACATCTAGAAACCAGCAAAGGAAGCTTCAGCAGCTTGGGCCACACACTCCATGTTTGTGAGCTCACGCTGATGTTTTGTGGAGAAGACGAGGTCGTCGACTCCATCGTTCCTTCTCTGAAATTAAAAGTTCTTTTGGAACGGTGGATCGACAGGAGCTGAATTTATGGATTTGGAACGGTACTTGGAGACGGACCAAGTGAAATCAATCAAAACGTTGTTGGCAGGTCGATTCCAAACAAACGCCGGGATGGACAAGTGGTGGCACATCCCCATTGTCTCACTCGAAATCGGAGAGTTGTCTGCTGACACGTCCCGCACTCTTATAATGGTCAGTTTGACAATATTGCTTACAATTCAACAGATAATCTGCTTCTGTTTCAGAATTTCGTCAATTCCAAAACGGTGACTAGTTTGTGTCTCAACTGCGACCAAATAAATGTGGAAGAAGTGGAACATCTTTTGGACCCAACTTTCCAATCGAAGATGCGTATCTGATAGTGCGAAAGTACACGACGACTGGTGCCAGGAACGAGAAAGTGACTCTTGCATTGAGTCAGACTACATTAAAATGCTGAAAGAATTTAAAAGGTTAATTGATACTTGTCTTTTGTTATCCTAATAAATTGCTGAGATCAAAGAGCGATGAGTTCCCGAGAAATCTGACGTTCAATGTTTTGAACAGTGACCAGCATGAATAGATATTGAATGATTTATCGGAGTGAGGTACTCTTCCCTCACTTCTTTCCGAATCGAATGTATTCTGAGCGCTCTTTCGGACGCTTGACGGGCGGTCCGAATCCACGTCGCGGAACGGGGTGCAAACTATCATCGTCGTAGTCGTCTTCGTCCACATGGTCACAGTCCCAGTCGTCGTCGTAGTCGTCGCAGTTGGAAGAGCTTTCACTCTCGTGCCGTAAGGCGGAGAAAAGGCCGAGGAGAGCAAGGAAAAGGACGAGAAGTCGCATTTCGGAGGATGGATGGATACGGTCGAGGCGGACGGCGATGGTTTTAAGCGGGGACTGTTAATCGAATCACCGACTGTTTCCCATTTTGGGGCGGAATCAAGAGCCATCATAACAATCTTCTCTTGAAATCAAACTTTTCACGTTATTCTTTGGGAAAAGTCAGAAAACTTCATCATGCATTCCGATTTGACACCAAGTGGACAGATGAAGAAACATTCCGAGTACATTAACGTAATATTATTCTAAAACTATGTGAGTTGCACATGATCCTCCCAAAGTGGTTCATCAGCTGTAGTGATCAGAAATATACGTTTTTGAATGCTTTATCGAAACGAAGAGCTCAATTGTTCCGTCACTTTCTTCCGAATCGAATGTGCTCGAATTGTCGGTTGTAGGGCGGCCCGAATCCACGTGGCGGAACGAATCCCTCGCTGGCTCCGTCGTCAAAGTTTTGCTCGTCGGCCAGATTGCGCATATCGCCGTTCCAATCGTTGTCGCCGTTGTACGAGCGTTGTCCGCCGTGCCAGAAAGCGGACGAAAGGCCGAGGAGAGCAAGGAAAAGGACGAGAAGTTGCATTTCGGAGGATGGATGATACGGTCGGGACGGACGGCGATGGTTTTAAGCGGGGACTGTTAATCGAATCACCGACTGTTTCCCGATTCGGGGCGGGGCATTCCTTATTAGATTAACAGTTTTCTCTTTCTATCATGGAGCTATTGACGAACTTTGAACTTTCAAAGAGATGGAGTGGAAAAACCGTATAACTCAATTTCCTGTAAAGATAGCAAAATATTGTCAACTAGTCAATTGCTCCTCGAAATCTTGTGCACATTCTATTAATTGGCCATTTTTCGATATCTCAACAAACAGCTGAGATACACAGTGCGTAAAAGACAGTATTGGCGTGCGGTTCTACACTTTTCATTTCAATAAAACTTGAAAAGCCAAACAATTCTGAATCCCTCCTTGCTCGTGCCACTCACTTTTTTTTTGACGGGTGGAAACAAAGCAACTCTAAAACGTTCATTTTTGTATTCTTTCATTTACAAGTCTATTTTTCAGTTGCGTTATTAGGAGGACCGTTCCGTTGACTCCCAGTGGGAATCGCGTCATGAAATAAGAGAAGACGAGGTGTCCTCAGTAATCGATATTATCGTTCAGTGCGATTGCGGCAGACGACGGGGGAGGTCAGCAGGAGGACTCGGCCCCAGTCCAGACAGTCTCGATTGCCCTTCGCTCAGCGACTACTCATTCCGTTTTCTGCTCGAGAATGATGGCCCCAAGACCAATTCTGGATGAGATGCCCCTTCACATCAAGCAGAAAATTTATGGAGAACTGGATTTCATCTCGAGGTACGTTTGAAGTGAGTCAGTACAGTTCCATACTGATTCTTCTCATTTCAGATGCAACTTTCGCAAATCGTGCAGCGCGAACCGACGAGTTTCAACAAACTGCGAGTTGTTCACCGAATGCCTCGACCTGCAAGTCAAAGACGATTGTATTGAGTGGAAATTGGACCAGGAAGAGTTTTCGAACGTCTGGGTCATATATCATGAGCACGCGTTGGGATGCCGCATCGAGACGAACATCGACAGCTTGTGGATGGATGATCAGATCGTCGAAGGGATCAACTTTCTGGATCTGGCGCTCGCCGACTTCGGAGCGATCATCAGAAACAAGGAACTGATCGCGGACAGCTTCAGAGTGGAAGTTCATCCGGAAGCTCTCGGACTCCTGGAGACCATCAAGGGACTTCTCAGCAGCCTGGGCCACAAGCTCCATGTTTGTGTGTTCGAACTGAGGTTTGAAGGAGAGCACGAGGTGGTCGAATCGTTTATTCCCTTCCTGAAACCCGAGATTCTGAAAGCGATATTCTTCTGGAATTGTGGACGGGAAAGGAATCCGTTGGACCTGGATCGGTACCTGGAGATGGACCAACTGAAATCGGTTGAAGTGCTGGAGTCGAGCCGATTCCGAACGAACGCGAGGATGGAGAAGTGGTGGCACATTCCCCACGTGTCACTCGAAATGAGAGAATTGTCTGCCGACAGCTCCCGCACCCTTATAACGGTCAGTTTGGGAACATCATTGACATGTTCAATTTCCGTAATCTATTCCTTTTTCAGCATTTCGTCGAGACCAGATCGGTAACTTATATGTGTCTGAACTGCGAGGAGATGGACGTGGAAGAAGTGAAACGTCGTCTGGACCCCAATTTCATAGTCGACACGAGATATCCGAGCGTGCTGAGGTACAAGCTGAGCGATCCCTACGAGGAAATGAAGGTTACCATCGAGCGATACTTCATTCAACTCACAAAACTATTAATATCATAATAACTTATTCATGTAATCTTATTCTTGTCTGATAATTTATTTATCTCGTTTTCTATCCTAATAAATAGTCGTGTTTGAATCCACACCAGTAATATTGTCTCCCTCGAAAAGAGTAGGTCAATCGAGTGCGGTAGGTCACTGCGGTGTGCGCCTGTGGGCGGCCTTTAAAAACCATCTTACTGGTCCGTTCGTTTGACACTCATTCATCCCGATTTCTGCCGAATCGAAACGATGCCTGGTTTGAATGAGATTCCGCTTCACATCAAACAGCGAATCTATGGAGAGTTGGATTTCATCTCAAGGTACGTTTCGTTCAATGCTTTCTTTGTCGATGCATTTATTGATTATCTCTTTTTCAGATGCAATTTCCGAAAATCGACGCGCACAAATCGACTAGTGTCGATAAACTCGAACTTCCACGCCAATCGCCTTCTTCTCCGCGTCGCAAAGCATTTCATCGAGTGGAAAGTCAGCGCAAAGGAGTGTATATTGGTGAAGTACAACAGAGACGAATCGGGATGTCGCCTCGAGACGAACATTGATAATATCCCGAAAACGACGAAACTCATCGAAGGCGAACACTTTGTGGATCTGGCCTTCGACGACTTTGAGCAGATGATCGGAAACCGAAAGTTGACGGTTCGCGTTTTCGGCGTGGAAATTCATTCCGGAGCTGTCGGCTACGTCGAAAACATCAAAGTGGTTCTGGAAAAGTTGAGCCACAAACTCCACGTGCGCATGTTCGATATCTTGTTCGACGGAGAACACGAAGCGGTCCTCTCGTTCGTTCCATTCATGAAACCTGGAATTCTGGAACATGTGTGCTTTGTCAACGGTCAAATGAATTCAACGGAACTCGATTTGGACGACCTTCTGATGTTGGACCAAATCAAATCTGCGCGAGTTTTGTACTCGAGCCGATTTGAAACGAACACGAGCGTTGAGAAGTTGAACGCCATTCCCCACGTGTCGATCGGAGTACAAAACCTCTCGCCGGACTACTGCCTTACACTTGTAACCGTGAGTTTTGCCGCTTTTCATGGTTTTTTCAATCAATCAAATCTTTTCAGAATTTCGTGTACTCCGAAACGGCAGAATGTCTCCGTTTGGTGTGCAAAGAAATGGACGTGGACGCGTTGGAGCAACTGCTGGATCTGAACTTCACGAGATATTCGTGGTTTCCGAGAGGCTGGCAGTGCGTTTTGACTGGCCAGAAGTTCACGAAAATGTGTGCGGCTCTCGTCCCGAACGTTATTGAAATGGTCAAATTGTAGCTATGTCATTTTATGTTCTATTTTTCTATTCCTATTACTTATGTGTGGACTAGTCGAGCCAGTTGATTACTTTTTTATATCAAATATGAATCATGACTTGAAATTCTCTCAAAACGACGATTTTGTCTTACTATTCATACTAGTTGAGCGTGTTTCTTCCACTTTGAGAACCTGTAAATCATTGTTTTGAAATGCCACACAGACACTACAGTATCCCTCACTTTTCTCTTCACTTTACAGCAAACACTCTCGCAGAACATCCCTTTGACGGTGTCCCGATATTGTGAAGACATGAGGAAACAGACGAATGCGTGCGAGGCCGCGTTGATGCTCCTCAGATTGGTGATCGGATATTGGGCGGTCATTAGAGCGTAGCTGAATCGAGTTTAGTTGTCGAAAATTTATTTAAACTGAAAAAACTCACGAAAGATCCTCATTCCACGCGGAAATTCTCTCGAAATTGTACATTAAAAAGTCTTGAGCACCGGCGAGGCCCTCGGATAGCATGAAAGTGACGGTCATGAAGAGTATCAATTTGGTCGTGTTGTCCGATTTGTCACTCTCGCCCTTCTTGATATTCTGCCTTCTTTTCTTGATTGTCCGCAACTCGATCAACAGAAAAATTGTGAGAATCGGGTACAAAGTGGCAGGCAACACTTTTATGACGCCCTCCATGAATCCCAGATCACTGAGAAGATTGGCCAAATCGGCGGGAGCAGCGAGAACGTACCGAGGTTCGGTTTCGTTTTTGGGACGGTTCTGACAACTGAAAACCTATGATTTCAGCTCATCCCTCTACAGAAAAGTACTCACAACTGACTCAAATTGTCCGGGAGCCAGAAGACTCTAAACGTGGTAAAATGCCACGTGGAGTAGACGAACCAGAAGAGCACAACGCCCAGGACCGTCAGAATCGCCGACTTTGGCTTTGTGACCCGCGAGATCCAGTTGTTCATGGGAAAAAGAACGGATAGCGTGCGAATGAGAGCCATCAGAATGGCGAGCCAAACGGAGACTCTTTTGGTGATGTCGCCGAGCGTGTAGATTGCCTGAGTGTACGGATTCACCTCCCGTAGTCCATTCTCAGACACATCTCCATGGAATTGGGAAAAAAGTTGGGCAGCCACATGATCTCGACGGCGGCGTTATAGAAATCGAATAGAAAGTTGATGACGTCACAAACGCAAATTCCGATCATTATAATGTAAATCGCAATGGAGCGAAGATCCTTCCGTGTTAAGACTATGAAATGGAACACGTTCACCAACACGGTAAAGATTTCCAGGTAGAGATTGAGCGCTGTGGAAATATTGTACACTTTCTTGTA